TTTAAGCTAGCTCAAAAGAGTAATGAATTAGCTAGCATATAAAAACTTGGCTTATTTAAGAGTTTGTCTACCTGGTTCACCCAACAACTATATTATAAAGTAAAACAAGCATCAATGAATAGATCTGCTTGAAGCTTGGTCCACTTGTTCACCCATGTGAAGTAATCTTTCCTGGAAAAAAATAGAATAAACTTCATGAGTGCAAAGCCAAAAAAATGAATAAATAAAAAACTTGGTTCTCAGCAAAACTAATTGCTGTCAGTATTCTTAACACCCTCTAACTCCTAGATGTGATCAACATGTAACTTCCTCTAATAGATTCACTGCATTACCCAATAATCACATCAGGTGAAAGTATTTCAAGACCTAGGATTTCGTGGTAACAATTGCTTCCAGTATCTTGTTGTTGCTATAGTTTTAAAACAACATGCCAAAAAGAAAAGTAGTTTTGATTAGGAAAAATATAATTTTGGGCCAGTAAGAGGTATCAGCTAATCAAATTTGCCTATCCATACCTAAGATAAAATTTCCAAAAAAAAGACATCACATTAAAGTGGCCAAATCAAAGGGAAAATACAGGTTGCTAACAATTTTTAATAGAAACAAAACTGTATTCTTAAATAGGCCTCCAAGTTTCAGGATACAGAATTGAAAATGTGTTTTCCATTACATTTGAAATCCCAGGGCTTGTATTTCCCTTAGCTACAACTCATTTGAGAATTTTTATGCTCATGTAATTATGTAAAAATAGTGAACCAATATCAGGGTTATATTAAAATTATAAAAGAAGAAGTAAGGTAACTAAGTTTTACAAGCCCCAAGCTCTAGCAAACTAGCCCAAAACTAAGTTTTTAAAAAATTTCTATCAAGTATCAGTTTACTTTCAAGTTGGCTGTAAATTTGTAATAAAATGGCTACTACTAAATGCTATCAAGAATTAAAAATGTGTTGTAGATCTTTTCACAGCAAAAATTATAAATTCTTTAATCTCATCTTCTTATACAGTGTATTAATGTTCAAAAAATAATGTGATATAATCAAATTAGCCATAATTTAAGTTGTTGCACTTGCATTGATATTGTGACTTTCAGATTGTATTCTAGGGAAAGACCAAATTATATGAGAAAATGTCTTAACACAAGTGATGCTCAAGATAAAGCCATGCCAAGACACAATCAACAAACAAGTCAATCACTCCTTTAGGGGTAAATGGAGATCATATCCACCCCCCCCTTTCCCATAAATAGACTGAGGTAGATGGTTTTCTTTCCAACAAGAAAGTAAATTCTAGATATAAACAAAAAGACTAACGTAAAGTAATAAAGCCTTCCTTAGTGATCAATTTAAAAAAATCTTGTTCATACAAGATTAATGTTTACAACCACATATCACACTCATTCAAAGTTACTGGAGATTATTCTCATTTGCGATCTTTGATAATTAAAGGAAAATAAAACACTCAAGATTTACTCAACATTATGAGCTGGAGGCTCTGAGATACTGGCCTCTGATTGTTAATGACTTAAATGAATATCTTGAATATACTTGGACATTAAAATAAGACCAGAGGTAGATAATTGTGAACAATCAGGCTCAAAATATTGATATATTCACCTCTTGGCATTTAGCTACGAAAATACTCGTATTTCATTCTACAAAAGAAATAGAAGAAAAAGTTGTCCCACTAAGCAGTTGGAATGTTTTGGGTTAGGTCTAGCCTTGCTTCTGCTGGAAAAGACAATATCCCACTGGGTATGAAATTACACCTAATACAGGCACCAATGCAACTAAATTTTTCTCTTTGGCAACCAAATCCTAAAAATAAGTCGCCAGATTGGCGACTAGAATGCTTCATCATAACCTTACCTAGAGATATGGTGAGTTAAAATATTTGCAAAGATAAATCTGCAGCAGACTTACTTGTTAAGGTTGTTTCCAAAATACACCATGTGCATCTCGATCAATGACTAGACACCATCTTGGATTTAGGTGACCTTGAACATTGTATATCATCCATTCTTGTGTCCACTCTGTGGCGTGTGAATGATCTTTTTCCTAACTTGATTTTGGAGGGTCTATCTAGAATTGTAGAAAAAAAGGCTTTGTTTGCCTTTAAAAATGGTAACCAACTTATTTTGAATTGGCTACCACTTTGAAAAATTCAGGAGCCAAGTGGCTATCAGAAAAAAAAAAAAATTCATGCCCTGTCCCAGTAATGATATACTGTTCCTGAAATGTTTCTTCCTACACATATAATTCAGATGTTTGGCAGCAAACTCTATTGGTGCTGCTTTTGATACCTCTGCAGTTTAAGATATGCATTTTCTTATAAGCTCGTTTGAAAAACACTAATATTCTTTAAGTCCTGCTCTTTGAAGTGATGACAAATTTGACAGAAAAATTGAAAAGCAACCTAAAGAGACATTGGGAAACCTCAAAATGACACCTTCCTATCAAAATTGCATAGAAGTTTTGTTTGTATGCTCTAATTCAATACCCAATTAATTCAACACTTCACTCAACCAGACAACATAAATTTCCTACTTTGGACACCAAAAATTCATGTGATTATTGATTACAGGAAAAAGACACTATTTTCACAAATTATACAGTAAATTATTAAGTGCTATTGCAATGACTTGGATATTAAACTGGTTTTCTCTTCCTTCAAAATTGGCAACTGGTTTGGTGTGAAAGACCCTGTCCCTGATGGGCTCCATTCACATGTGGTTTATAAGTTTGTATGTGTTGGCTGTAATGCCTGTTACATCGGTGAAACCTGCTGGCATTTTTCCACATGTGTTAGAGAGCACTTAGTTAGTGACTGGGCCTCTCACATTTTCAAGCATCTATGCATAGACAGCATTGTTAGTCATCCATCCTTTAGTCAAAAGATGTGTGAGAATTGTTCAACTGCAAATGGGGGAAGTTAGATTTTGGGCACTGTGAACATGGCCATTCAGAGTAAAAATGTTTCCAGCCACCTTGAACCTGTATTTCTATGTACATCTAGATAATTTATTTTTTTCAAACATGAGTGCTTGGGCCAAACAGAATTCGCAAGAAAGAAAATGCAAAAAATCCAATTGAAAATTTAAGAGTAGGACACCTCCAAATACATTTTTACATATTTCCCATCACACCGACGAAATCTTCCCGCAAACTGAACTTGTAAAAGTTTACTAAAGGCAATATATCATTTCATACAGTGATTTGCGTTCATACAAAACTTAAGCTGAATATTTGAATTTTCCCGCTTACACCTAAAACTTAATTCACACAATATCAGAAAAAATTCGATCAGATGATAAAAGTGTCTCGCAATTGCCCCTCGACTCATGTTGAAGAAACATTCTCGTAAAGTAAAGCAGTTTTTTTAAGGCCAATTCTTACCTCTGAAAGTTGAATCGAATTTTATACGGTTTCCCCATTTCAGAGTTTTTCAGTCACTTTGAAACATGTTGTTCCGTCCAAACTCGATAAAACGGGATCCAGAATGCACCGAAAGGTAAACTGTATGTAGGGTGCCGTTTTTGCTCCTGCCGGATTATAGACAACGCTAATCCGCCATGTTGAATTCACCATTAATTTGGCTCCAGTGCTTTTCGTTCGACTAACCAAACGCGTCACGCTACACGCGAAATTTCGCGGCAACATGCGTCTAACGAGAGGTTCAACCCATGATAATGTGTGTTCGCCCCCACAGTTTTCGAGTTCGACCCCATCAAGTCGAGTTCGCCCCTTGATTGAAAAGCTCCAGGGCTACTTTCTCATTCATCCAAATATTACTTCCATTTATGGAATTTCATTCAAATTTGTTTATTCCAAAGTATTTTAAGTATACCGTCAGACAAATGACTAGGTTTGGCTAATTTATTGAATTGTCAGGGAGAGTTAGACTACTCCCTCGCTTAGAGGTGTATAATGGTCTTGTATGCACTTTCCTGTGTGAAGTGCCCAAGAATAATGATTCAATTTTAGAGACATCCATCATGAATTAAGCGTCTAACGATTCTGAATTTAGAGCAGTACAAACAAGAATTTTCTCGACCACCACCTAAGTAACATTTTAAACAAGGAAATTCTCAGTGCTCATGTTAAATTTGTTGCCGATTGGATGCCAAATTTATGAGACTTGGAAGAGCAAGGTTTTATTCACGTTTTTAACTTTACCGATGAAATTCGAAAATAAACTCAACCATGATCTTTAACTTAGGTGTTCAATATATTTTTGCACAAAGTAAATTAAAACTCAACGCACAATGTTTGTTTCGTCTCATGTGGCCTACATAAACCCTGTCCTTTATTCTTTCGCGTAGTATGATTAATTCACTGTAAGGGACATTTCTTACATCAAAAGAGACTTTCTATTGATTAAAAAAAGAATTATATAATCAGTAGGACACAGATAAACAGTCCTCATTAAGTGACTGAGAGTAAAGGGAACAGATGTATCTCACCTCATTGCTTACCTTAGAAAGAAAATTTGCTCTATTTTTTACATGGATCACGTGGCAGTTCTCTGTTGCTTCCTTTTGGGCTTTTCCATGGAACTTCCCCGGGGATTAAAAAAAAAAAACATCTCAGTCGAGAACCAAAAATACGAATCTTGCGCAATATATATCATTCTGACTTTTTCCTCGAAAAGATCCACGTTCTTTAAACCCTCCAGGTGGACTATGTCCTCAGAAATAAGAAATGTTTTTCTGTACGGAGACGAAGAAAAAAAATCTAAAGGAATTATGTATCATTCAAGTTTATGATGTCTTTGGTTACCCGACCATTCAACAACAATGGTAAATAATCACATGGGGTAAAATTTGAAATATTATTGTGCAACAAACAGCTAGGCAGGTGCATGACAGGAATAAAATGTTTTTTGTCACTTTTCAATCAACACTCTTCGATATTTGATCCTTAAGACATCGTTATAGGACGCTTCCTTCCCATCGATTGATTTTGGACGGGATTATGAGGTGATGTTAAACATCTTTTGAAAGATGAACATATCAGCCTCTTGGAATTCAAATTCAAACGCTAATATTAGTTCAATTATCCCAAGTCGACTTCATCACGATAAGGTCGATTACATTGTCAGTGATGTTTATAAATTCATATTTGGTGGAATCGCTGGAGTATCCTTTCTTGGTAACCTTTTCCTCTGCGTCGTCATGTGCAAAAAGCGATCACTGCTCTCGAAGACGTACAACCTTCTATTGCTGAACCTTGCCATTACAGATATGCTGACAGGTAAGTATGGGAGAGCTTTCATCACCAGAATAGTTACAGAACTGTGTGAAGGTTTTCACTCATTTTGTGCCCATGTAAACATCTACACACAATATAATAGTAACAAAAGAAACAGAAATATTCTACTACTTGAGTCTTTAACATTTGTTAGTAAAACGAATAGAAAGAATTCAACAGCCTTAAAACTTTTAAAACAAATGTATATGTACAATTAAACATTCGTGAATTTAGCTATATTTAATGTGGCTCTGCTTTCTTCGCCTTTGAAAAATGCAATTCAAACAATTCCATACCTCAAAACAATCTGAAAATAAATCTCAAGTCAATGATGAATCTGGAGGACGAAATTCTGAAACCAAAATGCATTGCCGTACTTTTTAATAACCGAAATATTAGACTAGTTTATGACAACGTGCCTTTAATTCAATCTCGGTCGAAATTAGTTTAGGCGTGGTCAACAGTGAGTAAAACTGCGCATACAGGAAAGCTTTGAAGAGCAACGGTCAGCCTTTTACCTTGGTTTTCAAGCAGGTTTAAAAAAATTAGCAGATATTCTAAACAGTGACGATTATTTCAATATTAAATAATTCCGAAAAATGCAGTCTGTAAAAAGCCCAGAGTGTCAAAACTTAAAAGCTAATTGTTGTATGTCGCAAACTTTCTAACGTTTTTCATACATCAGTTTGTTAAGGTTTGACAAATTTGGTTGCACTGATGAAAAATGTTATAGATATTTCCTTTTTCATTTTAGGGAATCGGGTTTGTTTAATTTTAACGACTGTTATCTTTGACCTTACACATAGAGACACCAAGCATCTCATTATTAGATATGTATAAAACTGATCAGCCACTCTGTACGCTCTGATTGGCTAAAAGCATTATTGCACATTTCATCATTTCCTCGAAATGTAATAAAAGTTTTATATTCAAATTTAATAACAGAGAAAAGAGGAGAAATCCAACTATATTAAACAGCACAGTTTTAATCAGTCTGGTTAACGTTTCACATCTGTCTTTTCGATGGTAAAGAAATATTGTATTGTATTGTCTTAGCTTAAACATATTATTTTAGCAGACAGAAACTGATTTTCAAGGAACTACATGAACCACTTAAGTTCAAACTGAGCATTGGAGTGGAGTCAAACTGTCAATTTGACTGAACTTCCTGCAAGATTACCAGCTATAAGAGGTTATTCCGGTAAAATCCACTGTCCTAATGTTTCATCATTTTAAAAGAATTGAACTGAAAAAATGATAAGAAACTTTATACTCTAATGGGAAGGAAAAGCTCCGATTCTAAAAGTAATTGTATTTTTACTGTGCACACACCTGGGTCAAATTTAAAGAGCACAAATATGGTTCCGAGAAAATTGATGAAAGAACGTCGGTAAAATATATTTAACTTTGTTAAAAAAGGGAGAAATTTATTGAAATCAATTAAAAGGAAAGAAATCAACCAGGAATAAAAAGCTAGAAAGATCGACTGATAACTAGCGTAGAGAACCGTTTGGACAGGTGTTTCAGAAACAAATAAAACAGTCACCGCGCTATGGTCCGCTGAAGTCATTGTGAAACAAGGCAGACAGAGGTATAAATTGATTAATACATCGTTCAGAGGATGAACGCAACAACGAATTTGGGCACAAACTCATCCTTTAACGAAAGTTTTATTCTTGCGTCACGTCAACATCACGACAAGGTTGACTACAATGTCAATAATGTTTACGAGATTATTTTTGGTAGCATTGCATTTGGGGCTTTCCTCGGCAACATTCTCCTATGTGTGGCAATTTGCAAACGCCGAACATTGCTTCGAAAGACTTACAATATGCTGATGTTAAACCTTGCCGTTACAGATATGTTAACAGGTTAGACAAATCGAGCCTCTCAGTACAGTCTGCTTGAAGTCGTTATGATTTTTTAAGGGCGTTTAGTGTATTTTTCGTATTTTTTTGTAGAGATGAAAGGTATGTTTCCAATGTAGGATATATGTCTGATGCAGTAGGTGAGCATACTCATTCAAAGCAGTGTGAACATCAGGCAAATCACGGAATTTGATGGCCTACTCGTTAAAAATTTTTGACTGCTTTATGTGTGAGTGTTTTCGTTTAACTCTTTTTTGCATCAAGAAAATAAGCGAAGTGCAGACCATTCCTTTGATCACAGAAAGACCAAGAGCACTAACAAAACCATTTGAAAAGAAATACAGAGCATTACTTATAATACATAACACTGAAACGCTGTCTCTGCAAGAAAAACTGCCTTATATTTATATGGTACATTTAAAATCAATTTGGAAGACTTACATCAACATTTGATTAAGGACGGTAAAGGTGGAAGAAAAATAACAGCGAGTCTTATATCGCCATCTCTACATAATAAGTAGTAATAATTCGCTAAATTGGTCCAAAAAAATTAGTGATGACATAGAATTAACAACCTCTGAAGGTAGAGAGTTCCATTCGCAAAGGTCACCATTCTGACTCTATTTTACGAAAAAGAGACCAGAAATTTGCATAGAAAGAAAGTCAGCTTGTATTTGTGGCCAATTGCAATAAACCACTTTCTAATTGGAATCATTTTAAACACTAAACGACAGTTAAATATTTATGGCTCTCTGTCCATTACCTTGCTTGAATTCGAGACGAAAAAGTATCGAAAGGTAATGTCATCGTGAAGGATCACACAGGAACACTTAAACTGAGAGCCTCAATGTTTATACTTTATCAAAAGAAATATAAAAAGTTAAGAATTATGAATTCAGATCATGGCACTTTTTCCCTTATAAACTGTTTTTGTCATCTTCTCAATAATCTACAGACCTCAAAGGCTTCTTTCATCGACGAAATATTACGTATTTTTAACACTGCTATCATGAATACAGTGACGAGTTGTCGTTTGTAGTGACGACTGTTTGTCGCAATTCAAACATCAACGGAAACGTGTCAAAGAACTTTGAAAAGTCAAAGCGAAATGATCGAACGAACAGCTCGGGATATCAGGGGTAGCTCATGATAAATATCTAGAAATTACGTTCTATGGAAAATAGCTTTCAGTTCGAGTTAAAAGAATCAGAGTGAGCAAAGCTCAGCTGTATATGGTGATCTCGCACTGTCAAATGTCAAAATGAAAGGCCATAGATTATTTTTCTCCCCTGTTTACGCTCATGTAATGCACCCGGCTCCTCTTTACATATTTACTTTCACCTTTGTTGTCAATTTAATGAAAATTTCATGAAAGTGTTGAATGTCGCACAAGTTAGAAAAAAAAAATGAAATTTTCGGCTACGATATTTTCAAATTTAAACTCCATTTCTGAGTTAAAAAAAGACAACTTGACAAATCTGTCTGTATATTTACACAAGTGTGAAATTAAAAAAAATAATAATAATTTTCTATTACATAGCCCCTTTCCTTCCGTCTTAATCTATGTGGAAAGCAAACTCCCACCGACTCATTGACTGAATCATTGGCTTATGTCTTGATCGATTTCCAGACTGACTGACTTGTCAACTGGCACACTGGCGTCAGGCTGACTGCATAGCTTGTTGACTGACTAGTTGAGTGACTGACTGACTGGAACAGTCGGACCTACTCGTTTAACGCATCGAATGCGACTTCCTTGATGTCTAACAACGTGTGATAAATAATTCAGATTCAACGAAGTCTTTAGTGTTTTGCTGACACCACCTTATGTGCTCGGAAGATACAATTATTATTCTTTACATACAACCGGGAAAATTATCATACAATTATTACATCATAAGCAACCGTTTTATTTCATAGTCGATGTTAGCAAGGTGATTTCTTCTCCATGCAAACAACGAGAACAAACGTGTTTTCTTGCATGTTATAAAGATTCATAGCTTGTTGTAATTTGTTTACATTTGAGACCAAATCCTAAGAAATGGTGGCTGGTTTTATACGGTCAAGCAAACGGCTGCAAGCAGCCGATAAGTTTCTGTCAATCTAAGTTATTCAAAATTTGTAGTAGTGATGTCGACCTTATTTCATTGGAGAAACTCAATACGCGCAATTCAGCAATTTCTATTGTCTTTTCCTTGCTACACAACTACATGCAGCCACCACGACAATGACTCGGGGTAACTTAACCTCAAAAACAAATTTCTCGAGGGGTAACGAAAGTTTCCTGCCCCCAACGAACCAATTCCAAGGCAAAGTTGAAATATTTCGAGTTCTCTTCGGAAATATCGCATTTTTCTCTTTTCTGGGAAATGTGTTTCTATGTGTGGCCATCTACCGGCGTCGCCAGTTGTTACGAAGGACTTACAATATTCTTGTTTTGAATCTTGCAGTCACAGATGTGTTCACAGGTTTGTTACATTTACTATAAACATGATACATTAATTCACATTCGAATTAATCGAGGTATTAAAAAAACACATAGTAAAACTGATGATTAACGTTATACTGTATAAAAACCACCACCATACAAACTGCAATTTGTTCGCCTTCCATTTCTCGGTTAATATCCTAGGTCACTTTTTATTAAACAAAACCCACTATTCGAATATTATCTGAAATTTGGATTTTTTATTATTTGAAAAGTTCCATCCTAGAAAAATAGATTTCATATTAATTCTCCACCACTTAGAACGAAATCGTCATCGCTACAAAATGAGAGCGTGGGTTGAGGATTCATTACCCATCATTTTATAGAGAATCAGACACTAAGATCGTCAGGAGTGGTGGCTTTGATTCTTGTAACTAAGGACAATAAACCTGCTATGTACTACGCCTCATAACTCAGCTCAACTCGTTTTTTATCTCTTAAGTTAGATGAAGTAAATATTTCATTTTTATCATCTTAAGCCAGGATCAAAATTTCCTGTCGTGTTTGTGAAGTATGATGAGAGCTAACTGCTACGCTTATCGGCAGAATAGATTTGTAAACTTCAACTTCTCCCTATTACAAAAAGAGTAGGACTGGAAGATTCAACTTTTAATAAGAAAAAAATTGTATCTCGTTGACTTCAGTGCATAATATAAGCGTACAGAAACGTCAAGAAGCTGTCACAACGAAAGAGCTTTTTACAATAAGGGTGACAGGTTTATTTGGAACGATATCAACGTCACCGTATGAAGTTCAGTGCCAAATAAGGATGACTCCATGATCAAAAAATCAGTGAGTTAAAAATATATCTGCCATATTGAGATCTTTAGACATACAAACAATAACAGGTGAACATGAAGTAGCTCAAATGATCACTCATCACTCTTAGGAAGTTTGTACCGTAAATCACGGTCCAAAAAACTGAGCAATCAACGGAAATTGATTTGTGCTTCTTTTGCACAATTCTTTTGACACTGGATGATTTTTGAATATCTGATCGATTACTCACGAACTGTCTCGTTAGTGCTTGATGCAGTAGAATTTTTTGCAGTGAAGTTTTGCGACAGAGTCACTCGAGAATTACGACGTTTTATCAGTTGGTGAAAAAAAATCTTATCTTTCCTTTAATTAGAAGAGTTAAAGCACAAAAAGTTGAGAAAACTTCTCCTCAGATTCATTAAATAAAAGGATAACATGGGTGAAAGCGATAACAAATTACTTTATCCCGTGCGGTCCCTATCACTGCCGCATTTCCATTGTTAGACATATACAAAAAAGTTTTATCTCACCGCAGTGATCTTAATGTGAATAGTGCTATTAATATTTGATCATGGCCGTAAGTGAAATGGTTTAGACCGACTTCCGTTGCACATCAACCCTCTGTACAGATTTCATTTTGACATATGCAAAGGGAATTTCTTTCAGCAAATCAACGTAAGGCATACAAAGCAGTTAGCAGCTTTATAAACAAGAGGTATTGAAGACATATTTGTCTACCGACTCTAAAACGACGTTTATTACGAACCTTCCTTGAGATAAATTGAATTTTTTTCTGCTTGACGGAATTGAGAATAATGAACAACGTATCTGCTACACTTGATGGTGCAAGTAACCAAACTGTCCATAGCAACGTTTCCGTTGGAGCTAGAGACCACAGTGTAATAATGAAAACATCGTTTGGATTAATCGCTAGCCTTTCGTTTTTTGGCAACTTGATTCTTTGTCTGGTCATTTTTATGAAGCGCTCAATGTTGAAAAAGCCGTACAATATTCTTATTTGCAACCTGGCCCTAACTGATATGCTCACAGGTATGTTTTAATAGACCAGTAGAGCGAGTACGATTTATGCGTCTGTTTCACAGCGTCATACAACAATAGTAAATGTGACATGATGTGCCAATTGTTCGACTTTCGTTACAAAAATAGTAACCGATCTATTTCCAATAGAATTCTTGTTACCTTTGTTTTCCTTTCGAGAGGAGAAATATTCCAATATTCCATTAAAAAATTGTCATTCAAACATCTTTTTCTGTTTTGTTTTCGATGTATCTGGGTCTTTGACATTTATATCAGCCTTGTAAACCAGATATTTGTTCAGCTAGACATCTTTCCAGCTGAACAACTTGCACTGCACCCAGTGTGGAAAGTCACCGATTTAGATTATGCTTTGGCTTTTTAAAGTTGGAGATTGTACTTTCGCTCCATCGTTTAATGAAGGGTGATAGGTAACATGGATCAGCAAGTAGCGTCTAAGTAGATACTTCATTTAATCAAAATCCAAAATGTTATTAAGCAGACTACAAACTCCATCAAATTTAAAGTCTGAGAAGTTACATCTGCTCTTCTTTGTTTGGACGAAACACATGCCGCACTTCTCAGTTGGACCTGCGCCTATCCCTTGTAAACATCGAAAACTCAAATAAAATTTTTCGCTAGAGCTACAGATCACCAAATCTTCCATTGGTTAAATAAAAAAAGGACAAAGAGTAGGACAGACTAAAACCACAATCACCTTGATCCTCAAAAAGTAATTCTTTAAGTTTGTGGCGCAGATATAAAATTAATATAATAATGGAGACAGTGATATTTTGATTTTTCAAACAGGGATCTTCCTTGTTGTTACACCAGACTACCTGATCGACAGGAAAAACTTTCCCTACCCAACTGGACTCGGAGGAGAGATTTACTGCCGTTTGATTGGTTCAACCTACATTCTGTTTATCTTTGGTAAAGCTTCAACTTCCACGATTATGTGCCTGGCTATAGATCGTTGGTACTCCATAGTGAAGCCCATACGCTACAAAACAGCATTCAGCAAGCGACGTTTGTACCTGTACATAACTTTAATCTGGGCCTCTGCCGCTATAACTCAGATCAATGAACTCTTTATCACCGCAACGGAAGATGGCGTTTGCACATTCGTTACTCCATTCTACGGAGAGAGGACGGAACGGACCCTAATTCTTCTTCACGTGATCATCACATTCTACATACCGAGCATAGTCACTTGGATAACCTTTGGAGACATTTGGTCGCACATGCGCCAACCCAACATTCGCCGCCATTTGAATTCTCACAACAAGGCCACCAAGCGGTTACTGCGCATGTGTGCACTAGCAGCCTTCTTTTTAACATTATGTTGGCTTCCGGCAGAAACATTTTTCATTCTATACAAGTTTGAAATTTTGAAACTTCCCTTTGAATTCTACTTATTTACCAATATTTTAGCCATGTCTAACTCCTGCTTAAATCCATGGATTTATTGCCTCAGTAACAGAGAATACAGAAAAGAGTTCATCCGACTTCTATGTTGTTTTAAAGTAACCACGGAAATCACCAACCTCGGTATGTACTTTGGTTGGGTTCGAAAAAACAGATCACGATACTCTCTTTCAGTTGATCTTGAGCAATCAAGTTCAAACGGTAATTTACCTGCCGGCCCTTGTGTTATCAGGCTTCGTAAGATGCAGCAAGAGTCCAGTTTGTCAGCCATGACGTCTTTCAGCAACATAGCCTGTTCCGATGCTAATTCGTCAGAATTTACACCGCATGGTTCGGTCATCCTGCAGGTCAACAACACCATATAAACGCTTTCATACATACAGCAGTCATTCGGAGAGCTTCTGCTTAATAACTCTGGAAGGTAGTTGCAAGTAAATATTTCGACAAGAGAATAATAGAGAAAAGCCTTCGCGAACCTTAAACATTAGATCATAGTTGTTCGATTATTGGACCATTTCAATACTGGTATCTATAACTATGCAAGAGCATTGTGGAACTCTGACGATGTAAGTGCAGGGAAATTCCCATTAAAAACAAACAGCAACAAAAAAACAATCCACCTATATCATGATTTTATTGTTGGTCTTTGACGTATGGCAAATAACCCAAACTATTTTAACATGCACCAATCACGACGTTTTAGGGCAAAGAAACAAAAAAAAGTGGAACGTGAGGAAAGCTACTGTGAAGATTTTTAAAAGGCCTCAACTTTGGAAATTCTTTAATATGCACTGGAAAACGGTTGATTACCGGAACATCTATGACAGCTATTTTCGATTATAACCTTCGTCAGATAGTTAATCGTATACATGAGTCAGTTGTGAAGGAAGTTGAGTACATGCATATCGCAGAATCTATTGTCAAGAGAGAACTAAATTGAAAGTCTGTTTACAACTCTCTAACTACGTTGGCGCGCATTTGTGAGTTACATGTAAATAATTTTCTTGGATTTAGATCATGTAAGTGTTGTTTATTTTCTGTTATCGACATCTAGTCCACTTCGAAATTTTGTAATCTCTGTTTCTTCTGGCTTTTAGATCAAAATCACCCATTTCCCTTGCTCGACATCTGCTACTCCCACGAGTTAAAAGATCTCGATGACTAAATTAAACGCAGGTGATATTCAAATATGTGTCTCTTCCCCCCAGCAAAAACGTGACTTCTCTATGAAGTCAACATCTCTCAATGGAGATATTGTTACGATATAAAAGTTGACGTGTCCACAAAAAAAAGAACCTTTTCATCACAAATAACTTTTTCTGAAGGTAAATATATTTCTTAGAAAATAACTTGTTGTCAAATAAATGCTATATTAGGCAAAAGAATGACATCATCGCAGAATGTTCGCGGAGAATAACAAAATAATTCCTTGAGAAAAGTACATGAGGAAATTTCCTCTTTGTAAGTAATGTTTTAGCTCCCTGTCGATGTAATCTCCGATATGTACAATGCCAGATACATTGATATAATTAAAGCCTGCATTAAGTGTGTCACCAGCCTCTTAAATCTTATAGTGAATAATAATATTCTCGTATTGGTGTGTGGTTTTCACTTATCTTCTGCATAAGAAGCGTCTGAACCAACCTTCGTACTTTAATCTTTGTCATGTTGTGCTTCAAAAAATGTAAATTCACGACGCGCGACCATAAAATTACCGGATTTACGTAGCCACGCTTGACCTTCATTATATTATTTCCTTAAATCATCAAATAGCAAAAGAAAATTCAAGGAATTCGTTTATTGCGTAAACGAAAACTAAGAATGTTCAACAAGGCTTTGGGTGCTGGAGTTACTAACGAAACCGAGATTGACTCCATTTTCAACGAAAATGGCGAAATTTTCGATAATAGAATGATTGCGAAGGTTTCTTATGGAATAATTGGGGTTCTCGCCTTCACCAGTAACTTGGTGTTTTTTGTCGCAATGAATCGGAAAAAGAAGACGCTAAAAACCTGTTATGATATATTGATAACCAGCCTAGCAATCGCTGACATGCTCACGGGTAAGAAAACTAGCATGTGTCGTGTTGTTAGAGTCAGTAATTCTATAAATAATGACCATTCCAGACTCAACATTGTTGTAGTGGTAATGGTAAATGTGTAAGAAACTGTAAACGTATTAAGAATTCTATTTCTTGAAATTTCCATAATTTATTTTTAGGAAGAGTTAGTTACAACGCAATCACAGTACGATGATTTTGGACTCTGAAGGGAAACTCTTTCATTAATCAAGTTTTTATTCTTCTATTTCCTCCTTATAGTTCTTACTCTCTGAATGAGGAAGGCGGAACATTTACTATAATTATTTCTTGTTAATGTTTCAGGTCTATTTATAATAGTCACACCCAACTACGTCATAGGCATGTCTTTGTATTCAGTACCAGGCGGCATAGCTGGTGAGATATTTTGTCGAATGATATTTTCTAAATTCTTCATTTTCACCTTCGGAAAAGGATCGGTGCTTACTATCACATGTCTGGCTGTCGAGAGATGGTTCGTTTTATTAAAACCATTACACTATCAAAAGACCTTTTCTCACCGGAAACTCATCAAATACATTGGTTGTATCTGGTTCAGCTGCGCTTGCCTTCAGAGTTATAAGCTGTTCTACGTAAAATATTCCCAACATTCATGTTTTTTCATTCCTTTACCTCTCGCCAAGAGTCAGGAGACTGCTGTGGTAATAATTTACGTGTCTCTCACGTTCTTCCTTCCAACTTTCATCACATGGGCTGCCTTTCTTCATATATTTGTTGAAATAAAGAAGTCTAACGCTCTCAAAGAGAATCGAGGAAAAATAAACAAACGTCGGTTGCTTAGGATGTGTGCAATTATGTCTCTAATGTTGACAGTATGTTGGTTTCCAACAGAAGTTTGCTATTTGATAAACCAGTACGGATTTCCTATTCTAAACTTCGGCACTCCATTTCGTGAGTTTACAGTAGCGCTTGCTCTGGCAAATTCTTTTGTGAACCCTTGGATTTACGTTGTGTCCAACAGAAAATACAGACGAGCAATAATGACATTCTTAGCTTTATGTCACCAAGATAACAGTAAGTAATACTACGTGTGATATGATTCGAACCACGGGTATAATGCTAATGTTGCATCTGACCTTGAAATTAATTTCAACGGTTTCAGTTACAAGTTAGACCGGCTAGACAAAAAACAAAAAACCTGCAAAATGACAATAGCGACAATACTCACCTGCAGCGACGAAAGAAAAAAAACTCTTAAAAAAAAAAGCTTGTGAATAATTTTCAGATATAATTTACTGCAATCAGTATTTGTAATGTCAGTTCTTTTCGGTGGTAAAACAATATATATTATCATATGAACAAGTTTGTTAAAGTCTTTACATCCTCTCCCCCCCCCCCTCCCCCCCCAAAAAAATGCCACTCTATTTCCATTTATCACGAGCTTTACCGGGACCGATTCTAAGTTATACTGAAATTTGCTAAAAATATGCGATATTTGGATTTTACGGAAATATTACTGATTTGTAAAACTTTGCTGTGTGCTCAAAATGAGATGAAACGGTGCTGGTGTAAACCTAAACCATAACTTAATTATCTAATTGCTACATGAGCTTGCCTTTTTTCGCGCTTTTCATGCAAAGTTAATCTCAGTGCCTCTGTTCTGGGGACTGATTTCCGCCACGCAGGGTTATTAACACTCGTTTCAGTTTTCGTGAATTTTCTAGAACAAAGAAGTAGATTTGGGTGAAAAAAAAGGAGGAAACCTCCTAGATCACGTTTGCAAGCTCCTGAGTGTCCAAGCAAAATATGAAGGTTTTCAATTTCTTGACCAAATACCGCGATTGTCGACTTTCGTATGGTCATCTTAGACGAATCAAAACAAAGTAGTCCAAGGTTAAACTCGAATTATTTTTCACTCTATCATAGGGAATCCTCGCAACCTCTCACCAAGAAGAAACTATCTGATCTAAGAATGAAAGCCTTCTATTCTATGTATTTGTTTATATATTTCGTATTGATTTATGTAGACCAGAAGTATTATTCATCAATATCATTCTCTATTTAAAAAAAATGTATCAAAATGGGAAGAGTTTTAAAATTGTCTTACAACCTGAATACAGAGTGATGTCAAATTCACTCATTGAGTTACTGGGTATGCGCGAACCCTCGGCAGATGACACTTTAAAGCAAGGGAATTTGATTAAGAAAAGAAGCCATAAGTTCTCCTGAATCAGACCCGCTGTTTTTGGCATGCATGATGCCACGCTTCCAAGGCTTATCATCTGTAGGGCAACCTATGCTCAGATTATACAGTGATAATTAGCATTTCAACTAAGTGGATAATTTTGAAAAGGGTTTTAGTGATTAAAAAAAACCAAATGATTCGGCAATTTTGAGGCGACAAGCTATCGTGGGTGTAACTGATTGTATTGTAATAACAGGCTCCTTACTTTGTCAACAGTATAATTTATCATTGTCCTTCATGACTTAAGATGTTGCGAATTGAATAACCAAAGTAAAATAAATTGATAATGGTCCATGTCAAAATAAAACACATCGCTAAACAAAGCTTTCGTTCGTTCAGTTGGCTAGAGTCTCTCTGTTTTGGAACATACGCCTCTGACGGGATTCCAAATTTTAAACTATTATTTTGTTCAAAGAATCATGTAGAAGAAAAACCTTAACCAGGTAAGAGTGCAAAAAAATTAGAAACAATCGAGACAAAAATAAATACTGGCTTAACTGTTGGTCAATCAGGATAGCAGGCGGGCAACTGTTTTTGAAACACACCAACTTGATCACCCTCTAAGTTCCATTTTGTCAACAAAATCTCAGAATGATCCTCGATTAGGTTTCGGCCAGAGTAACCGGATCAAAACTGAAAAAAACGTTTCCAGTTTCGCTTCTACCGAATGCTTTATTACGATTCTTGCCGCACAATTAGCATAACAAGGTGAAGAATGAGCGCCAGCTTCCTCCTTTTAAAAAGAGTGTGTAAACAGAGCACAATATATTACTTAGGAAAACGCAAATTGTCCGGTAAAAGAGTTTGTTCTGCATATCCGATGCTCGGGGATCTTGAAAGGGGGGATCCTAAACAAATTAGTAATGTAAAGCACTTGAGAAGATGAAAATCGCTGCTTGTAAATCGTAGATGCACATAACAAGTGGCCAATTCACTTGAAAGAAATCAATGGTGTTAACAGCGATAACTTGCAGCTAAACATTTCTTACGGTAAGCTAGTCAAATGCATTATCATTTGATCAGGGGTATGTCTGTGCCTCTTTTTGATACTTATCTCTCTCCTCCTCAGAAGCAATCATTCACATTATTAGAACGATCAAGATATCCATGAAAATAGTGAGATATCATGTAAAAAATCGCTTATCTATTTGACTTGTAATCCGTGGTCTCAACTCTTGTAAACAAGCGAAAGGCAAACACTCTCTAAGAGTGAAAATATATTAGGTAACATAAATTGATTTCCATGGAAATAATAGTTTTGGATGAGCGTTTGGATATCATCGAGTCATGAAAAATGGAAAACTTTGGAAATTTCTGTGGTTTAAACACTTAAATGGTATTTCGCGAAAAACCTAAACAGCTAACCATAAAACCGGAAACTGACTTACAAAAACCTTACAAAAACAATAGCTCTCTTGGTACGGTAAAATACCGAAGAAGAGACGTATAGGTGAGAATGGATTAGCTTGTATCTAATTACCTGCTGCAAGATGTCTTTTTCAAGTTAAGTAGCTTTCCTTCATGAGCGCAAGACAATGGTTCCGTCAATAAGAAATTTCGATAATCAGGAGAAAATCCCAAAAAACCCGTGACGAATTCCTCGATTGAATTGAGGATATGCCTGAAAACAGCTATTGTAGTTTTTTCTAAAAACGATGAACCTAATTAAGAAACAGGTGTATTTCACGATCGCTGAAAAAAGCTTCATATTAATTTTTAACTCAAATAGAAAGTAGCCAAGGGAAGTTTCAGTCCGCGAGAGATACTAAACTTCCATTTGTACAACGGAGGGATTGTAAAAATGGAAAAAGTGATTACGACCCGGCACACCATCATCATGTCGGTATGAGGATGAGATCCACAGAGAGTAAAAAAAAAAGGAACTTTTTAATTACTCTGAATGAGTTGCAGTTGGGAGATGGTTATCATGATTAACCCTCTGTTCAGTTTCTCAAGCAAGACTTACTGATACATTGTTATCGTTTAGTAGGATCTTTATAAGCGTTGTATCTAAAAGTTTCAAAACATTGTTTAAAGATCACTTCAGATGTTAGAAATAACGTAAATCCTTCAGTTGAGTTTTTTTTCAAGAGAACACTTTTCATATAAAAAAATCTATGGTGTTTTAACTATATAACATCAGCAATAGAGAGGCCATGATTCTGAAGATATTGACTTACAAGTGTCTTACTATTTTTTAGATGATCTACAGCAACAGATCCGATAATTCTACCAACAACTCTACATCCTCGCCTTTGGCTTATTCTTTCCTTTTGCGGATAGCCTTCGGCATCATTGCAATGACGGCGTTTGCGAGCAACGCTCTTCTATGTGTGGTAATAATGAGAAATGGTAAGATGCTCAGGTCAGCTTACAACCTGCTTATATTCAGCCTGGCTATTACTGACTGGCTGACAGGTAATTTACTTAATTTACACTCTACCCTTGAGGTTATATTAAAAGGACACAAATTGTCTTAAAAGACAGATTATGTATATACTTGTAAACACCTACAAATCTTTGAGTCAAGTTACCACGCAACTGCATCTCTTTCTTTGAGCCCGGAAGGAAGGCTTGTCATAAAAACCGAAATAAAGGTAAATCATTCAAAGCGCCTGCCTTGTGTGAAAAAAAAATCACTCTGTTTTTCATGTGTATGAATGTATTTCTCCGCTAAGTTCATTCTAGTGTATCAATGTTTAGAATCCATATGTATCTATTAGTTTGAAATGTAATCCTTTACGGTGTTTACGGGTCAGTGTGAAAGAACGTTCAATTTGTAGCTGTAACAGCACTTTCTTCTATTTGGTATTTATAGGAATATTTCTTGCGGTAACACCCAATTACCTCATCGCCCTCGACTCGTACCAGGCTCCACCTGGCAAGTTGGGTGTGATCTTCTGTAAGATCATTGGTTCCCAGTATTTTGTCTTCCTCCTAGGCAAGATTTCTGTTTTCTCAGTTACAAGCCTTGCCTTGGAGAGGTGGTACTCTGTGGTCAAACCTATAAAATACAAGTTAGCATTTAAGAAACGACGAGTCCTTATCTACCTTGGTATCATATGGTTCATTTGTCTGCTATCACATGTTTTTCTCCCATTTGGAATGACCCTCGACAAAGACAAACTCAGGTGCATTTGGGTTAGCACTGACTATCCCCAAAAGTTCTTAGCAATCACATACACAATTGTGACATTTTTCATCCCAACCACAGTAACGTGGGTTACGTATTTACATATATCTCTGTCGTCAAGGAGTTTTCCAGGAAGACACAACAAACGCGTCAGTCGTACTCGATTCAAGCTTCTACGCATGTGCATCATAGTAGCGTTATTGTTAACTCTCTGTTGGTTTCCAAACCAGCTTTACTTCGCTTTATCAACGTTTGAATTCGTAAAGCTTGAGACACCTTTTCACCACTTTACAATAGTCTTAGCCATGTTCAATTCATCAATCAATCCAATAGTCTATTGCTATACCAATCAACAATATAGAAGAGGCTTTAAGTCTATATTGTGTCCCCTTTTTAATTGTTTCCTGTGGAAAAGAAAACGCAGTTTTACTTTAACTCACGATCAAGGATTGCGGTCGCAGGAGGGGGACAGAAATAATCAAGCGGAGGTTTTTGACGGTGGAGTTTTGTTGGGGTTTCATTATGTTAACTACGGATGTGAGCTGCAGCTGCAAGACTCTAGATAATATTTGCCAAAGTGTTTGCCATAATAAATTCATGGTAATACTGTGGCAAAGTACATTCATAAAAGTTACTCAGGAGTCTTAAACAGAATAGACCCGCTAATTTGACAGTCAAGTATGTCTGACTAGTTTTGGACTGCGGTTGCCCATTCTAGGAGTTCTAAAGATGTTGGCATTACTGTAACTTATTTCACTTAATTTAGCTGAAATTTTTAAAGCGATTGACTTAAACATTTTGTGATACATCAACAATAATCGTTTATACTCCGACATCGTCAATTCCTGCACTCATCGTATAATCACCTCGTCTTCAGCTTGACTGTGAACGATATGTTAACAGTCTTGGCAGGTAAATGAAAAATTGCATAAGCAAACTAATCAGCGATAAAACATACAGTGGACAGAGCAGATGTAGTCTTGCGATCAAGCTCAATAAGTGACATTAATGTTGTAGCTTTATTTTCCTGCTTTTGTGTATGGTAGTTCTGGCTAACAATAAAAGAAAGTAATAATTTTAAAATATTGATATGACTGCTCGAATCAAGCACCTCACATGAACTTTGCACAACTAAAACTAATGTGCATACGATATGAATTAGAACTTCTATATGCTTACTTGAGTGTTAACGTCAACGATTGGGCTGCACAATTAATATAAATTATCACTGTGTATTGTTTAGAGGCCTCCTTCCTGGGATGGATGTCTTTTTGTCACATTGCTATAGGACTGAAGAGTTCTTCAGCAAAAAAAAAAAAAAAAAAAAAAAAAAAAAAAAAAACGAATGGTCACATCTATGAGTGTCATTGAAGATTTCTAGTAACGATTTGCTGGCTTTCTCAGCACAGTTCTCGCCGTGCTTATCTCATGGTAAGTCCATGGTTGGCTGCTTCAATTCTACAACAGATACAAGATAGAATTCAAAGAGCTGCTAAGAAAACGATTGCTAGTGACGGTTTTTTTCCATTCATTGCTAATTGAAACGATCTCTGTGAAGGTGTAACACATTCATTACGCTTTCAGCATGCGATCAAGATGTTTAGTGACTAAAAAAAAAAGGAAAAGGCAAAAAGCAATAAACATCTGCTCTACTATCATCTGACTTTAGATCGGTTGAATTTGTTAGGGGTTTAAAGTCAGTTAGAGCTGGAATAAAAACATGAAAGTGCCATCCACCCGAAGTCAGTAAGAATATATATCATAATAATATTGCTTTTACACCAAAAATGCTCTCATTACTAAGAGAGAAACACATTTAGATTACTGTACCATATTATGTACCTCTCATGTTTATCCTTAGGAGTATGGATACTGAAAACAAATTTGGCTGTTTCAAGTCATATACAATATAGCATGACGTAATATTAGGCATGTAGCAAATACGATATTGGAAAACGAAAAGCTGCTTAAACTGAAGAATGCTAAGTGAATGCTGGTCTATCAATCATTTTAATATCCTTTAAGATGATATTTTTGGTTAATTCCCGTAGCATTTGTTTTGTCGCAGCAAGCAGACAAATATTTACGTTGCCTTGTATAAGATTATAATTACCATTTCTCATAGAAAATATCTGAAGGACAGGAAAAAACCTTCAAACCTCCCAATTAATATCACTTTAACTTAAGCTATTATGCTGAGGATACATGTCCTTCATAAATTGCTGAGTAATTTGATATCCGCTCCCCTTGTTCCTTTTTTTCACAGCCATGATGTTACTTACTAAGCGTTGGTGAGTCACAAAAGTTGATAAGCCAAACTAATATGGTTTTGGTCAAGTTAAGTTACTTTGCTGGCACAGAATAGAAAAACCGGATTATTCCATCATTATGTATGTAATGTGGCATAATCGCACGTAAATCATAGTTCTCCTAACAACGTTGACATTCCGTTCTTACAATGTTAGCTTCATTCAATTTAATCTGGTTCTCTGGCCAAAGGGCTCAATTCTGTAGTTTTCTTATTGAATTAAGTTAACACAACGACCAGAGAGGTTGCTACGACGAGCAATTGAACAGAGATACTTTTAAAGGCACTTCACATCTCATTAAAGATATTTTATGTTCGAAGGGATATTGGAGTTGCCGTGCTAGATTCGCATAGTTATGGAGTCAATGCCTTTAGAACTACAGCGCAGCAATAAATTTATATCTTCTAGGAACTACTCACACAGAAGAAAACATTGATGAAAGAACAAGGCGAAAATTTTCAAGCCTTTTTCAGTGGATTGTTACTTAATATCGCAAATTAATAGTACTGCTCACAGTAAAGCTTGAGGTTAAGTGGGTCACTTGAGTCTGTGGTTGGGAGAAACCAATGTGCGCTAAGGAAAGAATACTTACAAGAAACGAAAACGTAAAGTCCAAATGGTGGCTACCTATATTGAAATTAGTTTATGCAGCAACGACTGGAGACCGATGAGAAACAACATCGCCGAAGTCATTTTGCATCAGTTACCATCGGCCTTTGCCAAATAAAATCGAGGAAACCCACCTTTAGAACAAATCAGAAATGGGAAGTAAACAGTAGAAATATATTCACACGTTATCATTCTGCCAAAAGTGTACAAAGTAGCTTTCCGTGCATGACAGCCGAGAACAATCCAAATATGGGCCCCCTTGCTGAAAAACTTGCCCTTTAGTTACAGGATGGAAAGTAAAATTAACACACCGTCTTTATTTCACGTGAGATGCTAATTTTTACATATGAATGTTGGCATCGGAATTAACGCTGTTCCGGCACTCATCTATATATGGTGTGCGCCTGTGATATTGCTCCATTACGACAGTTCAAAGGGAATATAAGGAATTTTTTCAAATAACCAGCTTTTATTGTTCACAACCCAACTCAGAGAATCCTGGAAACATACATTAATTCCTATCTGTAGTTGGGCTTCACTAGTCGAAACAGAAACAGAATCTTGATTTTCTCACGGCTTCCCCTTGAGAACCGCTTTACGGACGTAAATAGCCTGGTAGTGACGTTTTACATGGTAAGTTCACGCCAACAAAAACATAAATTTTAAAGTACCCAGTAGAAATAATTCATGTGTATTCTATGAAATCCACCATTTTCAGTTATATTGTTAGTTATAGATAATTCGTGAATTACTTAATCTTTTCTTAACCTGAACATAATGATATCATGTTTAGTCCATTTAGCCTTCGATCGCAGTTGCATTTGTCAATGTAGGATTTATTAGCCTCAAATGACTTAGCTGTATCATTTTAAAACGCAAAATGTTCTCACCCCTATATGAATATCCTTCGACCTCGTCACTCAAAGAGAGTTACATTCTTCGATTCGTTTCTCTCTCTATCGTGCGCTGTTATTTACACGCTGAGCAGCCAAGGAGTTCATTTTGAAGGTAAAAAAAAAAAGTAACATGTACGTCACATGTATACCTAGCTTATCTCAATTATTTTTAAAACGAAAATCATCGACAATTAACGTCAATGAAGCGGGCAAGTTAAACAAGCTTCGACTAGTTCTTTAAACGAACGTTTGATTAGCTAATCATAATCTTGATTTTTGCATTTCAGCCGTTTGGCTTTTCGAGGCTGTATCAAAATGATTTACAAAAACATCACCAGTATGGAAGAGCATGAAACTTCAGGCGAACTACACATGGCGTTAAGAGTGTCCATGGGAATTATTGCCGTGCTTTCTATTTTAAGCAACGGCTTGTTAATTGCAGTTTTCCTTCGCAACCGAAGTCTTTTGCGAAGCTCATACAATGTCCTGATCTTAAGCTTGGCGGTAACTGATATGACAACAGGTATGTGGTTAAATAAGAGTTAGGCATATTTTGAATTCATTGCGGATTTGATTGACTTAAGCTCTTAGATAAGTTTCATTTGCTTGCTCACAGGGGTTAATGCAATAACAAAGAAAATTTCTTTGGAGTAGACAAATACATTCAGTATTGACAGCTCACTAAGAGTTGTATTTCAAGGTGAAATATGCGCTTTAACATTGCATCTTTCGCCAAAGCAGACCTTCAGGTTCTATAATTTTGAAATACAGTATTGAGATAATAATTTACTTCGGAAGATCCTTTTTCTCTTTCGATTCGAATTTTGATACTAAACCAGCTGGCAGCTGAAACACGAGGAGTAGACAGAGGGCAAGTGAGTTGCTCTCTTTTACCGGCTGCCTCGTGTGTGACTTTTATTTCGTTTCAAAGAAAAAAGTGTCAGAGTGACCTACAGACCTCATAACGTCCTTTCTATTTTAGAAAAATTGTGCAGGTAAATTTTTCCAATGAAAATTAAATCCTAAACGGGTAGTGATAGAACCAAAGTGTTTATTGAGTTGGATGAAGAAATAGATGGATATGTAACGAAGGTTTCAAAATCGAACGCTCTTCCAGGTTGTAACACACGCATGTAATGTGTGATATTCTTCTAACAATAGCATAAACAATAACTTTCTAAGCTATTGTTTCGTAGCTCCGCCTTGACAAGTTAATGAGCTTAAGCATTATTCCCTGAGGAGGAATGAGCGCGTAATCTTTGAAAATCAAAGCTCTCCAGAATATCTTTCGCCGCTAATATTACGGATCTATAATTTTTTCGCTACTGCAAGTAAATGTCCCGAGAACAATAGGCATTCTACGCGATGAGGTCTTAAACTGAGCGAGTATAGAAAGAGTCGCTCTTTTACTTGTTCGAAACTAATTTGACGCTTGTGTACACGAGTTTAGAGGGGCTACTGAACAAATGATGCAACATCTGACTGAGACATTCGAAAAAATACATCTAGAGGTTGAAGAGAAATACAAACACATTTATCGTATTTAGGATACTCCAGGTACAGGCACATTGATCGATTCGAGGACCAGATCTCGTAATGGTCATGAGTTTGGATTCGAAGTGCTTTCTTAAACGTCGTATTAAATTGTGTTTTTCATATCAAAATGTGTTAAGAAGTCATGTAGACCCTAGGGGATCTGAGGTAGCTGGGTGGGCTAGTAAGCTGATATGCTCAAAGCTCACTCTAGAGTGCTAGAGAGTTTGAGTCGAATAAAACTCCTCTCAGTACCCAGAAGATGAGAAAGAAAATTTTTATGGTGTTTCCTTCCACAGGAGTAGGCCTGATTTTGACGCCATCTTACATCATAGGGATCAACAACTTTCCAATCCCAAGTGGCCTCGCTGGTGAGCTGTTCTGCCGAATAGTCGTATCATACTACCTCGTGTTTACCCTCGGCATTGTTTCAGTCTATACAATCACGTGTTTATCTCTCGAGAGATGGTTTGCAGTGGCAAAGCCTGCTCGGTACAGAGCAGGTTTTAAAAGTTACAGAATCTATATAATGGTGGCAACTGTATGGTTCATATCGTTTCTGTTTAACGCCCCTCACCTTTTCGAAATGAAACTGGGGCCCGAAAATCACTGTGAATGGGTTTCGCTGACGACGGGAGACGTCAGAAGAGGAGTTGCATTAATTGAGTTCTTGGGAAAGTTTTTCGTACCACTCGTTATGACATGTTTGTCGTTCCTGAGTCTGTGGGTCAAAGTTCGGGATTCGCCAGCTCTGTTTCAAACAAATAGAGGTAAAGCTGGTGTACGTCTACTGCGCATGTGTGCAATTACTGCAGTGGTTTTGGCAATATGTTGGTTTCCTAACCAAGTGTATTACTTGTTGTTCAAGTTTGACATTACCCAAATGGATACCGCTGCACATCAAGTAACGGTAGTTATGTGCATGGGAAATTCCACCCTCAACCCCTTTATTTACTGCGCAATTAACCCATCTTACAGAAAACACTTCATAAACTTTCTTTGTCCGTGGCGATCGGGATATGATGCCGCAGATGTCATTTCGGATGATAAGCGAGCTCATACGATGCGCAACAGTAACACGGCATCAGGATATACCCAGCAAAGCTTTCCAGGGGCAAGAACGTCTCGCTTTGATGACTACAATTCACGGAGTGCTTCTGAAATTCGCATTTGACGTTGGTTACCGAAGTGGAATACCTTAAATGAGGTATAAGGAAAGCCAACTAGGAGCTGCTGCCGGCAACAGAAAGGTTCGCTTGTGAACTGGAGACACCAAAGATATCAAACCGGGAATAAGGAGACGAAAAATAAACCTTGCATGAGAAAAAATAGCAATGAATTTTTTGTTTGGGGCTAGGGCTGAGAGATCATAACGAATGCGCGTTACTACTCTTTAAAAAAAATAGTGATATCGTAGGGTTGTTTGTGCCTATCTGATCACAAAAAAACCAGGAAAGTGTGTCAGAGTAGATGTTTGCCGCATGAGTGTTATGCTACAAAAACATTAATAACAACATACAATAATAATAACAATAATAATAATAATAATAATAATAACAACAATAATATATAATAACAGAGAAGAGATTTCCCCGTGTATCCTTAAGTTTAATAAATACTCCCATAGTTAACAACAATCTGTAAAGAATTCCCTGTTTCGAACAGTTTTTTAGAACCGTTTTATTCAATGGTATCATCTACTTCGCTGTCTTCAAAGGGTTGTTCGGTTTCGACTGGGGTCTTCTTTTCGCTGACTTCTAGGAAAACAAAAGACAAAATGCAAATAAACAGTTGATTCAAAATGTTAGAAAGTACTGAGCATCAAAAAGACGCAAAAAAGAAGTTACATGAAAAAGAGAAAATATACTAGATTTAAGGATAAACTTTGAACACTGTTGTGGGTATTCATGCATAAATTTGACCTTTAAAATTAATCATCATCAACATTGATAAAAATCAATACAATATAGCTTGGCAACGCTAAATATCAGGTACCGTGTTTTAAAACCACGACGAAAAATATTTTATTGTAACGCTCTTCTTGGTAAATAAAGAATTTATACCATCAGTCTCGTCGTTTTCGACGGTGTCTTTCATTGCTGTTTCTTCTGGTTCTTCTTCTTCCTCTTCGTCATCCACTTCCCGAACAAAGCGTTCCTCTTCTTTTTGGAAAATCACACGTAAAAATGTAAGTTAATTTTGAGCATACATAGAGTATAACTACATCAGAGAGATTATCATGCATTAACTAAAGGTTTTCTCCGAAATGCAATTTAGCACGAGTTATATCACACTCTAATACTCTGAAGTCAAGGCCGAATTTTTGAAAACATTATTAACACCCCTCCTTGGTTAACCTTAAACAAGACTTTTCGATGCCATAACACTTAAATCTATGTGCAATTCCTTCTTCGAACAACTGGGTCAAGATTACTTTTAGTGACAAATCATACCAGTTCTATTAAAATTATCACTGTTATCAAATAATAATCATCACTGACCCGTCCCAGTCTCAGGTTCGTCTTCAGCATTATCTTTTACCTCCAACTCCGTCAATAACTCTGCGATTGCAATTAATTTTCGTTTAAACAAAAGCTACATTTGAGTTTCGGTCTTGAAAGAAACGTTTAATCTAGCAATGTAATTTCAATTTAACCGAATAATGAGTTTAATTAGGATGAAAGGTGGGTCATCATTCTGAATTAAACCCATTTTCCTACTCGAGTATCCATTAGGGTTGTATGTTTTCACATACCTCACAATAGTAAATCCTAGTATTGTCCCAGATGTCACCTGTTTATACACCTCATCAACTACTTAAACAATAACATTTTCGAGTCGCTCTCTTTGGTGTTGATCGGACCTTCATTCTCAACCTCGACGAACTGGATATCAAACTGGACGAAAGACAAATTCTTTCGAAATTAATGGCAAAGCAAGGAGGAAAGTTTCCTTCATCAATAGCAGATCACCTCTTCGCATCTTTTTAAAATTTGTCACATTAAATCTTAATTGACTATCCGGTGTGGAAATCTGAAAATCCGTGAATATTTCAGAATCAATTGGATCAGATCAATAAGATAATAAAACTCTCCTTCGTTACAAAGTTCTGATAGCACAACAGTAACAAAAATCATCTTAAGTCTTGCGAGTGCATCTGTTATTGGTAACAGTTGTCAAAAAAAAAGAGGTTAGTAGTGAGGGTTGCAATGCAGAAACTTGGGAAAATCTCAAAAAGGAATTTTCTTGCATGCTAGATATTAACTTGTGAATGAAAGAGAACTTACCATCTTCTTCGTCGTTTGCTGGAGCGCTTAGAACGCTGACGGTCAGAAGAGTGAACGCGAGCAAAAATAACCACTTCATCTTGAGCGTAACTTGAGAGGCAAGTATTGACTTCAAATGCGGGTATCGAAGGTGCGAGGTTTAATAAAGCTATTCGCCGACCAATCCAACAAAACCGCGTCATCTGATTCAGCCAAAAAGTTAATTTGGTGGAAGACGACATTAAGTAAATTTTCATTTAAAAAAATGCCGCCTCCTTAATGGGCAGGGTATATTTAACTTCACTTATGCTTCTTTTGAGGAATCTTTTGAGACATTGATTGCTCTTTGTTTCTTGAAAAAACACAAATACAGATGGCATGGAAAAGAGCTTAGACTAAAAGCAAAAAGGTATTCAGTTAGCTGTAATCAAATATCTGAATATCTGAAATAGAGACATGACTTTCTGGACACAGATTCTCTCATATATTTGTGGAGACCAGAGGATATCAGTATATCCGAACTGGTTATGTTATGTGCAAAATATGTAGCCATGATACATTGTATTGTAAAGTTAGCATGCAATTCGACATTCATTGAAATCTTCATTGTTTGTATCGTTTATAATTCACTAAATCTGATTGGCTAATTCCTCAACAATTCACCAGCGGGCAAATACAGCTGAATTGATTCAAGGCTCAGTCGTGTCCAATTTCCAATAGAAAAATTTCAGATTTGTGAATTTTTTAAGAAACAAGCCCTTCAAGTAACATGAAAGTTGTTGCTATCTTGTTAATTCTAATCTTGTCTCCTTCAGTGGTCACTGCTACCGAAGAAACTCTTCCCGAGGAAGGTACAGAGTAAAATCATGACTTATTTTCATAGGCTAATTGCACAATGAATACACGCGGTAAAATACGGGTAAAATAATGTTTGTTTGGTTAGGGAAGGTAAATGGGTTCGAAAATACACCAAGTTTCGGATTTTTACCCGTATTGTATTTAAAATGCATCAGGACTAATTGGAATAAATGAAGGTAAATCGAATCATAATCCATTTGCCTTTTTGCATGTGTATATGTTGATTCAGGAATGATGTTCCCCGAACGTTTGGTTCTTTATTTAAGAAAAAATATTTTCTTTTCTATAAATATACATTTTTGCCGGCAAACCGGTTCAATATACGCAGGAAAATCATTCATGAAGAGAAAAAATTAAGTATTTACTTTGCGCCTGTTTTCAAATCCACAAAATTTTTTAAGCGTCAAGTTAATTCTAGCTGGTCTCTAAGAACTTAAATCAGTTCAGCCATCGCACTAGCTGAAGGCCTTAGAGAAGTAATTTCTTACAATATGCACCCTAGATGTGAGGATAAATCTTGGTGTGTGAAATTTTCCCATCAGTAATCACTGAGTCTCTTCGTCATGAATTTTAGCGACTGAGAATGGATCACTTCTACCTTTGAGCTTTACAACAGTTTTAACATATTCTTGGTGATCTGCTGATAGAAAAGTTTGTTTACTTATCTCATGTAAAAATCTTATTGGGTTATGAGATGGGCTGAACGAAAAGGGACATCCTTTTGCAGAAGGGGATCCGCAAGTTGACGATGACAGAAGTGAAATCGACGTGAATCAAAGTAAGGTTATCGTAACAGGTCTACAGATCTAACCCAATACTCAAACTTCCTGATAAATGTGTGATTTGTAAAATAGCCGTCTCTCGATGCTACAGGTTAACGTAGAATGAATACGGGAGAAGGAAATAATATTCCAATATCTCTACTTTCCAAAAGAATTGATTGAGTAGACGAGAAGTATACGAGTTCTTTATGAAACGTGATGGTTGCTAAGAGTTCGCTATAGCTCACAAGTTTAAAAAGAGAACAGCGCAACGAAATCGATATCCGGACTGGAAATCGCGTCAGGCTCATAGTTTAGTAAAAATGAAATTTTAATTGCTAGATGGATAATTAACTGAATTCAACCTGTGTTAGGCATTATTAGTGCCATGACTAATCTAAGATATGTTTTAGCGTTTTGGAAATTTTTACCTGTGGATTAATAAAGAAATTGTAATTGCTCACAGAAAACGGGGTTGATGCATTTGAAGGCGACATCATGATGACAGCTGAACAATGGGACGAACTCAAAAAGGAATTTGAACGGACAGGACAGCCCCTGCCGTCATAGCGTCAATACTGGTCTAAGTGATACTAACGGGACATCACCACAAGTTATATATGGCTTAAAGTTGACTGTATTTGTGTAAATTGAATAAAACTTTTTGTCGGCGGAGTTATCCATTGCCGGTTTACTTAAATTTTAGCTTGTTTTTCGTTTTATCAAAGTAATATTTCAGAATAATCCACCATCTGAAACCACCTGTAACATAGAAAAACCACGCCGACAAACCGAATAATACCGTTACACCCTGTTACAAAAATTAGAAGAAATGGAAAAGTTATTGGAAATGGCATCATTCAAAGACTGCGCAAAATTATTTTATCAGTAGATAGGGAAATGTGTCTCTAAGAAATCCCCTCTCTCATATATAGCACTGTCAGAGCAGAGTGTCTCGCACAAGAAGAGAAGATAATAGCCCATGCAGGGACTTTGAACCAGCTCACTTTCAAAATATAATATGGCGTTTTTCTTTTATAACTGATACACCAACTCTCCTTGTTAACTTACTCAAGGATAAGCCAGAAAGTTATATACATGGCAAAGAAGACAGATAAAAAGCTGGTTTGTTTCATCAATTATTTCTGCAACAGCTGCTTATGATGCGTTTCGGAATATCATTAAGCAATTGCCATGTTTGTTACGCTTGCTGCACTGGGTCCAATTGTTTGGGTTGGTCTTATTTCATTAGCTCTGCTGACAGAATCACACGCAGTCATTTCCATCTCCGTGACCCTTGCCCTGTGCCACGGACACAAAAGAAGCGTAAAGTATCTACGGTACATCTTGTTGCTAAGGCAATAGATCAGAGGGTTGACACACGAGTTGAACATACACATAAAGACAGTAAAATGGTGCAAGGGCGTGTCCATCCGAGTTATGTCATATTTGAACAACAGATAATACAACTGGTTGGGAAACCAACTCACTCCAAGAATGACCGCTGTTAACAAACACATCCGTAGTAACCTTAAACCAGCCTTGCCCCTATTTGTTTGAAACAGAGCCGGTGACGACTTGACATGGTTGTAGATACTTACTAAAGTAACGGCTGCGACAAGAAGGGGAAGGAAAAACTTTCCCACAAATTCTAAAAAAGCCACAACTCTTCTAGTAGTACCTCCGGTAAGAACAATCCATAAACACTGCTCTTTCCTGTCTGAATCGCTTGTAGCTGTAATTTCCATCAAGTGCGGAGCGTTCAAAAGCACAGAGAGCATCCATACGCATAACACACAAATGTTTACTCGCGACTTCGTCAAAATTGTTTTGTACTTGGTTGGGCGAACTACAGCAAGCCATCGGTCCATAGCCATACATGCAACTGTATAGACTGATACTATGCCCAGGGTAAACACGAGGTACTGAGAATATATCACTCTGCAGAAAAACTGACCAAAACCTCCTGATGAAACTGTGATCGAATCGGGCCCAATAATGTACGAAGGTGTAACAAAAATACCAATTCCTTTAAAATAGAAATAGACATATACGTCATATCTCTATTTACAAAGATACTCTATTCCAAGATTTACATTTCTGTCCCTTAATTACCATATATATAGTTGTTGACAAAAAGGCAGGTGACTTGATGTTGAAAGAAAATCATTGAATATTGGGAAGAGTATTAGAGCCCAACCGTCAAAATTAGACAGATGTGTGATTATCATAAGTAAAAACCCTGCTTTGAATGGAAGTTTACTTAGCTTGAAATGTTTAGATTAAGGCTAAACATGTCTTCGCATGGAGTATGCGTAGGGGAACTCAATGATACACTGCACTGAGCTGCTGGTGTATGATGCCTATCGTATTCACGGTAATGAAAACTCACTGAGCTTTTTTCTATTGTAACTTTCCCCTCAACAGAAAAAAAAACTTTTCGTTTCAAATTGCAGTTTCTGAGGGAAGTTCTTGTAGAGGTGACTTAAAAAACAAATAACTTCCAATAAGCAATTCTAAAATTAAAAGCAATTTTAGCAGAGATTGACATCTGTCAATCAGTAGAAAGATTTCATCAACTTATTCCTGAAAATCATAATTCTATTCTGTAGAATTACAGGCTAAAATTGTTTTAGAATTAAAACTGAGAAAAGTTACACATCTGGCACCAAATACGCAAATGCCACCTTTGACATGGTTACCATTCGGAAGCCATCGATTCATGCGTTAAGATAGAACACTATTTAATTAATAACAATGAAGGGCTCCGTGCGACCAAACATATGAAAAAGAGAAAGCTATCATTCTCTAGGGGCTAAGATATGAAAGGCACACAAGTGTCTAGGGGAGAAGTAAAATGTAAAAAGTGCGTGTTATTCGACGCGACGATTTCAAATTAAAAAAAGGATTTTTCGTTTAGCACTTCTTGATTATCGTCAGTAAGTCATTTGGAAACAATAATTTTTTATCAAGCGAATATTCTCTCGTTTTTCATTTAAATAGAATGGTGATTTACCTGTTATTAAGTCAGTAATGGCCAAGCTTAAAACTAGCCTGTTGTATGGAGTCTTCAGCAGGGCTCTGTTTCGAAAAATTACCACCAGCAGAAGGCTGTTGTTAATGATGGCGAGAGATCCTATGATACCAAACAAAACTCTTATGCCTGCCTTCATTTTCGCCAATTAGACTAGTGTACGGATAAATTCGCAATATATGTTGCCTTTATGGCTAGTGAATTATATTTCCTTAGACTTGGCTTGCTCCAATGCAAATGTTATACTTCGGCAATAGCAGCAGTCAGGGTGTATCGTCCGGTGTTATGTTTCCGAATGACGTGTAATGATAATTGATGTCGCCAGCCAATTTGCTTAGGGTTTACCATGTCAGTCCTATTAAAGGCAATTGTCCGGAACCTATCTCTGCCTGCAAAATTTATGATGTTTTTCTGAAAAGTTGGTAATTCTTTCTCTTCGAAGCTTTGAGTTTTTTTTTATTAGTTAATTTGATGAAAGAAATGACATACATATCGGAGCACTGCCATCAAAGCGAGTAACAAAAAAAACCCCCTCGTTTTCTCATTATTTATATATTTTTAATAATATTCTAGAAAACAGCTTCGAAACATCTTGGTCGCGAGTCTTGCAGCCTTACCAATCGAATCATAATAAGAAAGATAGAAATCACACAAAGTGCGTTTCTCCTCCCTCTGTGTGTTTAGAGAAAAAAAAATTCACAGCCATGATAATTGTGATGCCCATCCTTACTGGTTGGCGCATCAGTTTTCTCTACCTAAGAAGTCGATATCAAGGATCTTTTAATGTGAAGTACTGACTTCAAAAACCAATAATTTTAACTCATTTTGACTGACATCGACTACAAAATCTGAGACGTCAACTCCATTAAACGTGAGGCAGGATTCTCGTCTTACCTTTTCAGCCGGTTTCAGCCTTTTCCACGGATCGCCAAAGCACATGTCTTTTATCTCCAGCCAAAGGGGATACTATCAGAGACTACAAAGAGAACAACAACATAATTAAAATTCGATTGTTTGTCCCGATACAAAATTAAACTCTGCTTTTTTATTTTTTTGGATAAATTACCAGATACCAACTGATTAATTTTCTTCTCAGATCTTCAGGGGATAATTGGATCGAAAATGAGAGTCTCTGCTGTCACTCGACTGTCGATTTCTAATATCATTGACCTCTACAGTACACAAAAGATTTCTTCGAATGAAATATAAATCGTAGCTATGACTGAAGCACGTTCCAACATCACCAACAATCATAACCGTTAGGCATAAATTTGTATTGCCCTGTATAGGCATGCAACTTAACCACTTTACCAAAATTAACTATTCTGTATGTGAAATAACATGTTACCCAGGTAGAGCTCCAGGCTCCTTGCAAACAATACCAACCCTTTAATAAATAAGGCCCTTAACCCGGGTGGCACCCTTCACGAATAAGTCTGAGTTTCACATTTCAATTCTTCACCTTTCTTGGGGTAATGGGTTTGCTTGTGTGATGAGAAACCAATTAGGTATACTAGCCATTCTTAAAGATATGAAGTAAACATAAAAATGAGAAGCTTCGTTTTATTGATGTAATTATTCAGGTACAATAATTTGCTAGTTTAACACACATAAATATTTTTTATTATCAACTGTTGTCCCTGAGAAAAATGTTTGTGATTTCGTATGATCAGTAACAAATATACAGATTTAAGTTCTTATGATCTAACAAGCTACTGTTCGTATTTTTCGTAAAGGGTAAATCTCCAACGACAGCTAAATACAAAAATGGCAGTCTACTTGCCTACAATAAGACTCTATTTAGATGACATTGTTTTAGAGCAAATTGGCTGAAATTTTATATAATATACTGCTAGTTAAACCTTATAACATGTTTACATTTAGTTTGATAGTATCTATCACAATCCGTAAATGGAGGATACGCATCCGCTATCAGTGTATAATAGTTCATACCGAGACTCTGGTAAACAACACTACACATGATTGACTCTTGATTTATAGCCCCTCTATACAGATGCTTCAACACCGAGACGTAAGGCGTCTTATCAGTCTGCAGATATTTGCACTATAGTATAAATGAGTAAAAATAAATAGGTATGGAAAGGTCGACTTTTTTTTAACCCAGGTCATTACTATACAATTAAAAAGGATCAAATATCTCCATTTTCTCCTCTTAGAGGATATTTCTCTCTAGAAACTCTACGGGTACAACAGACTGAACCACCTTCTTTGATTCTGTCGAAGTTAAGTCGAAGTCCTTTACTGATCCTCTGCACTTGGGGAGTAGTTCTTTTGCCTTTTTTCTGTATAGTTTGTTACTTAACAGAAATATACAAGGGTTCAAACAAGAGTTGAACATGCAAACAATAACTGTTGCTTTATGAAATGGGGTATTCAGCTGCACAACATCGAGCTTGAATAGTAAATAAACAAGTTGGTTGGGAAACCAACACAACACCATCACCAACGATGTTGCGGCAGCCATATGTGTGACACGTGTAAGGGCAATGTAATTGCTTGGATGAGTCGTTGCAACAACAAGTGAATCCTTCATGAAACGATAAAGGTGAGTGAAAGACACCACGAGAATTAAAAATGGTATCAGAAATTTTAAGAAAATCTCTACAACTCCTATGACAACTCTCGCCTCTCTGCTGGCTATCCCTTGGAACACACAACGTTCAGTTGTGTTGACATTGTTAAGAAAATACTTGGTCTCTAAGATGTGAGTGCTATTTGTAGCAAAGGAAGCAATCCAAATAATGATCAGATATTGTCGCACTTTGTGAATTCTAAAAGTTGTTCGATGTTCAAAGGGACGAAATACAGCACACCAGCGCTCCACTGCAAGTAACGTAACGGTATACAAGGAAACGATTCCCAGCGTAAATACAAGATATTGATTTCCTATGATGTAGCAAAACATCGCAGAGCCAACATTTTTGCTTGTTAAAGCTGGTTTTTGACCAATGATATACACTGGTGTTAAGACAAGACAAAGACCTAGAAAGAAGAGAAAAATTATCATCACCTCAATAATTTCAAATGCTTATTTTTGGGATAGTTCATGGTAAATTTCATAAGTTTTGTAAGACAGTAACCTCAATGTTCAAAATTGCAACATAGACTAACCTATCATCATATCGGTGATGGCCAAGCTCAGTATTATTTTGTGATAAGCTTTTCTCAGTAGTTTCCTATTGCGTATAATAATCACAATAAAGAAGACATTTCCAGTGAAAGAGATAATTGCAACGGCCGCAAAAAAGAACCTTTGACTTAAATCTCCACTGAAAACCATGTGCACCGTTTTCTGCAAGGAAAGAAAAGCACAATAATTAACATTTAAGTAACACGGATCCTACTCATCTAGTTCCTTAGAAATAAACTTCTACTGTTATTGATATAAAAAAATAAAAGAAGGTATGCGAGGTCGTAACTAAGGAAAGGAAGTTTGTCTATTTTCAGAAAATATTCTAGAACTAACATTTGAATTATCGTAAGATTGTTGCTCGGGAGGTTAACCCAGTACAAAACCTTCATTCATCAGGTTATGTGAAGAAAATGTAGGTCTTGATTTAAAGAACGTGCTACCAAACGCTGTTCCGGCCGCATACTGAGAACCTGAATTGACGTTGGACCCACGCAATGATGTTTCAGACGTGAGCGGTTAACAATAGAAATATCAGCTCCTCATATTAAATGATCATGTCGGAAGAAATTTGATGTACTTACAACAATTTTCGTATTGTATTTCGTTGAACTTGATAAAGTAAGATTCTTCTTACAAATAGCATCTTTCCCGTAGGATCCAAAGTAATAAATCAAATCTACTAAATATCCGGTGACTAACTGATTTGCAAATTAAAATCCATGAAACCAATCAAAAACCGAAAAATTATATTGACCAAGGAGCTGCTTCACAGATTTTAATTCTGTTATTTTGCCAGTGAAACCAGAAAAATAGGCCATCAAAGTATTAAAATTTATTTACAAACCAATCAAAAATTAATAGAAAAAAAATGTTTTTCTTAAAAAAAGTCGAATTATACAACCTATCATTGCTTAACCAAAAAACGTGTGACCTTAATGTTGTCATGCACGTAACGCGTTTCCCTTATTTCAAACCACTAGCTTTTTGAAGGTAAACAATGTTTTTTCGTGAGAATAAAAGATTATTCTGACGATGTGTAGCTGTCCACTTCAATAAATTAATAGCGTTTTCTTCTCAAAAAGGAACCCTTGGAGAAAATGAAGGATTGAGAGCCCTTATATCTTAAGGATTTCAACGTCATCCTTGGAGCAATCCCCGGAAACGATGGGGGCCTCATTCAAAATAAAAGCATACTGTTTGCATAATAAGCTCAAGTCAACAGTGTGCAGTAGTCAAATATACGTGATAGACTCTTTTTTAGTTTCAGTTTAGATTTTGGCAATGAAAGCTTTAACTTATTTCTCATTCATTTTTTAGGATAAGTTTGAAACGCTAGCTGGTAAGGTTTAGTAGAATTTGTACATCCATGATGAAATTACTTCAGCACAGCTCAAGGTTTTTCTCAAAGCCATACAATTGCATGCTAATTTTCAAAGAAAACATTTGTGGCTGGATGACTCAATCATTTTCAAAACATTTGGACAAGTCGATAACAAAGTGACAGCTAAAGGTACATCTAACCAACATCTGTCCTATTACAATTATTGTTTGCATCACGTAGCTTTAAAAGCACTGTCGAAAATAAATGTAAGGTAGCTACGTTGTGAAGAATGTCACGTTATAATATTTTTGGTCACTTAGTGGAAAACTACCGACTTTTTATCCATTTCTTTGTTCGTATTTGTCAGCGGATTAACGTTAACCAATTTCTTTTTGCCGACATAATCCAGCCTAGTCTGTAATTTTGAGCGAATGTTCATAGACAGAAAGCAAACTACAACAGTACAGTCATTGAACTGCCTACCTTCAAACCCTGATCAAGAGGACACATTTTTGATAAAGCTCAAAAGCATATTATTTTATCTAAAAAGTAGAAAGGAATGTATACTCGTATGCACCATCGTCCGTTTTTTTACCACTCTCCCATGCATGAATGGTTATGTTACAAAATGGTAGTATTTACCTTTTGTTCTCTGAACCCGAATTGAGTACGTCGTTTTCAAATATTTCAGAAGTCCTGTGACGGCACTTCACAATGTTCGTTGTGCTACAAAATTAATTCGAACCATCAATGTTTAGAACCGCAGGTTTGTATAGATCCTTATGGTAAGTCTGACTTTAGTGTATAACCTAGCTAGGTAAAAATAAACAACTTGTCACTTTTTTTCTCTCGTCGTATAAGCTTAGTTTGGCATCGTAAAGGAAATTAAACTAGCAAAGTTAACTTTTCTGAAAAAAAATTTTCGATAACAGCTGCATTCTGTAAAACAGAAGTGAAAAGAATTATCACAATCAAAAGAAAAACCAAAACGGGTTTTTTAGCAATCAAGGACGTGCAATCTATCATTTAAATTTAGTGCTGCGTCTCAAGAACCTACTGCAAATTATAATGTAACACTACTTTGAGTGTTCTCAGTTTCTTACAAAGTAAAGACTGGGTAACTTTTTCACATACAATCACGCGCTTAAAAGCTATGAGAACACTAGCGAATCAATGTCAAAGAAAAACAAAACAAAAATTTGTCACAGTTTTAAAGTTTCTACAGTCATCTTGATATTTTGAATTTGATCTTAGAGCCAATGTGCGACTAGAACAGTTTCTTAGTGTCAGATCTCTGTATTGACTTCTATTTTCTTTTCCGCTGTTCAAGAACAAACACATTCAAGAACAAGACTTGTTATCCAAGATAATCTCGGATCATATTGTAGGAAATGTATTTCACATATGAAATATCAATTTGTCAAGCTTCTTTACTTGAGAACTGCTCAAAATATGACTAGCCTGTAAAACTACCTATGGGTAAGGCGACCTCCTTTATAAAGAAAATTATTATTACTGCTCTTTTAGGGAAAAATAACTTAATGAGCTGACAAAACATCTGATTTTGTGATATCACCGTTTGATTATAATCAGACCTGGCAATGTAACATAGGGTTTTTAATGCAGAAAGAGGAACACAGATGTGGTTTGAACGTAAAGAACACCTTTGACCTAAGCAGGCAGTCAATCTTAAGAGAAAAGTAAATACCCGTGTTTTCTTTTTTGGACATCAACATACTTAATACTGGGCTGATTTCGGCCCACCAAAAACTTACAGTGGTTCCCAGGGCCTTGGATTTTTTTTTCACCAGAAACTATTGACACTACCACCTGCTCTAAGCACACTACCGAGTTGTTTTGGATCCTGTTTTAATTCTCTCCCTGGATGTCTTTGCATTGAACCGTTAAATGAGCCTGTTTCACGAGATGCCGCCAATGAATCATGTCAGACTCTATATTTTATTTCCGTTTCAACTCAGTTTCTGTCACAGTTACGTGCAGCGCGATGCTGATTGATTCCAGCATCCGTTCTACTCATCGTAATCCCTGTGCTTTGAAGTTTGGATCGATTAACACACATGCAAGCGCAGCGAAATGAAACGGGCTAAGCATCGATTAAATAAGTTACTCTCTGTAATATAGCGCAAGAATAACTTTTAAACGTAAGAAGTTTGTGTTTAAGACACCACCTGCTCTCCGTTTTACTCTATCGGCCGCATTTACGTTTTCTCGATGGTCAAAGTTAAGTGCTACAGTAACAGTGTAAGACATCAAAACTTAAATTTTCTGTTAAAGTTACAAAATAACAAGGGTGTGACCATCTCCGTACACCTCGACCAGGTGTACGGAGACGGCTAATCTGATCGTAGAGCTTTCGTCGGACCAAGACAATTAACATCCATTCATTTGTAATCGAAGACCACAAGGATTGAGCGTATGCCCAGTCCCACTCCCTGTTTGACCAGTCGGCTCAAAGGAAATCTCAATAAGAAAAAAAAAACAGTAGTCCCCGAATTTGGATAACGTTGCAATTCCCAAAGGTAGAAACAAATTTGACACCGGAAACAACAATAAAGAAAGCACTCGTTGAATTAAACACTGTCCAATTGTTTTGGATTGACCATGGACTCAGTATCTCCATTGCGTGAGGCTGATGTCCGTGGAAATTATACCTACACAGTTTATTAACCCCGTAGCTATGAATAGACTCAAATCATTCACGATTTTTCTCTGCGGGTGAAGAGTCTTTGAATGTTTCATTTTAAACCGACTTGTGTGAGCGGCCACAAAGTCCTTTGTTAGACCCATGTTATCTGACTTTTGACCAATAGGAAGACGACAGCTCCTGAAGAAGCCTTTAGCCTGACAATTTGTTACTTTCGCTTGGAAAGACACCATGAATGGACCACCCCCAAATAGAAAGCAATCATGGCCGTCATAAATTATTCATCCAAACGAACAATCGATAGAATGTAGCTCATTTCAAATATGTCCTAATGGCCGTTTCAGTTTCTCTTACTGTTAACTGATCCTGTAGAATATACTTAATTGCCTTTACCATGGTCCGTGGCGTTCATCATTCAAGAAAAAGTTTGCAAGGTAAGACCTTTTCCTCTTTACAGAATCTGAAAATGTTCCTAACTTTAGAGTTTTTGATATGAAAATTTTACCAGTCCAGGTTACAGCTCCTTTTGAATTTAAGTTAGAGACCAATAAATCCCGTTTAAATGTGTAAATGCAACGTAACCTTACTACTGAGTCGTTTATCTATTGTTTGAGATAGAGATATGTAGGTGTTCAGTTGTCCATATAAAATCAGAGTCAAGTGGCAGTAAAAAGGTGAAAATATCTCTAACTTAAGTAATAATATTTAATGAGACATGTCTCTCGGAAGGAACCAACACCAACGAGCTGTTTCAAACTAAATTTACTTCCGTGTGGGACAATATTTGCAGTTAAAACCCTTGTTTTACAATTGACAGAAGCAAGGTGATCAATCCAGCAATAGTAAGCACCTATCATGAGAGACATAGTGCACATTCAAGTTGGACAGTGTGGGAATCAGATAAGTTCTAAGGTATTTAAACATGTATTTGTCAAAGCTTGTATCCATTAAGCAGACGAAAGGTTGTGGCATCTAAAGGTTTCAGGGGTGGAATGCATGAAGCGTTCTCATTTTTGTGGATGTTGTTGAACGAAGCTCCCAAAAAAAATCCTTATGTGTCGAATCCAGGATAAAACCCTCTCATTTTTGCCTCGCAAAATAATTTTGAAACTATTACAGATAATTTCTTAGATGCTAACAAATTCAAGATCTTCCGCTGAACACCGTGAACAAAAAACATGGGTAGTAATTCAAAATACCATCTAAATTTAGAGGGAAAAGATCACGAATTTCTTTCATTTTATGCTATATAGTGTTATCTCCACAAAATACCAATATTATCTGTAAACTATATGTGAGGTATTCCTCCAGTTACACGTACAGTTTGCAAGTTTTTCCACTCAGCAAGACTTTTTTAAAGTGCACGGTCCGTTTGACAATAAAACAGATTTCATATTGGATGCCAGTAGCTCCAGAAAACGGCTATTTATTAATTTATACAGGAAAATGTTTTGACATTTGACGAAACACTAGTCGTAAAATCTGCCGACTTAAAAGCCCATCTTTTCAAACAACAGTATGGATTTCCTTCATTGTTTCAATATAACAAGTTTAAAGTCAGCGTGGTTCATTGAAATTATAGTTTATCAATTAAACGCAAATTACCGTCGCAGAAGGGTTCACGGAGCCTAAAACAATTTTGAACTATTCGGTAAATTTAAACTGTTCAATAAATTTAAACTGATCAGCAAATAGAAGAAATTGTGTCAAGAGATGCACATGTAAATAAGAGGAAATATTTAGCTTCCTAAACGTTCAATTTTTATTGAAGTTGGACGCAAAGAGACTTTAAGCTGCAGTAACAAGAAAAAATTCTGTAGACCACCTGCCTAATGAAAAGCAGGTCTCTAATTTACCAGCTAATGTTAAAGCCCTCGCTTTTGTTCTATTTTGGAGAAAAGATCTATTAAAACTACAACTGCAAAAAAGAAAAAAAAACTAACTAACTAAATAACTCTTATCAATAGGAACTAACTGATCAACCAGGGTGATAACCATGGTTCAGAAGAAATCGCAGCTTTCACACATTTCACCTCGCCGGAAGGAATAAATTCTTTTACTTGGTCACGATGTAAGACTAGGCCACCTGCAGTACTGTAGGCTGTTGTCGATTCACCTGTTAAGGGTCGTTTTTGCTCCAAATGACAACATTAACAGAAAAACTTGTCTCAAGTTTCGCCTTTTCTTACATATTTCTTGAACAAAACGTTTCAAAAACTTTCCAACAGCATTTCTAACTCATGGGACGGTGTCATTGTTTTTATATTATTTCTTGCTTTATTAATAACAAACGCAAATTATCCGCAGTCAACAAGAAACAGGCACGGTAGCAAATAACAGAAATGAAGATGGTATATTTCTCGTATCAGTGACCCACAATATACATATCGTACGACAACCACATTACAAAACAAAAGCTGAAACAGATGTGACGTTCAAGGACGAAGCGAGCTCAAACATATTGTTATCTATCTGTCTGCATGCGATTTATTTCTTTCTTTCTCTTGTTCTCGACTTAATGCAGTTTTGGGAACTTATTTCTGATGAACACGGGATTTCGCCAGATGGGCACTACACAGGAAAAACTCCAAATCAACTGGATAGACTTAACGTTTATTTTAACGAAACAGTGGGTAAGTGGTGCGTAAGCACTGGGTACATCTCACCCCACAAAGAGAGAGCTATCATCCCTACACATGGTTTCCTTCAGCTAGAAAAGATCTTTGAGAAAAAGGGTTTTACTTTAAACGACTTAATACAGGCATGCAGTTGCTAGACTACAAAATAAAAGATCTTGTTCTTATTAAATGTTTTGATTTAATTCTCGCTGTTTGCTCCCGCGCCAAATTATTGGTCAAGTCAAGTCTTTGACGATAACTTATATCATTTATTGCATACTCAGTATTTCGCCTGTTGTTCGCTGATTGAATGTTTCGGGTTTTACCCTCAGGTGATAGGAATTTATTTTTCTCTCTTTTATGCAGATGGCAGGTACATTCCACGAGCAGCATGCCTGGATTTGGAACCAGGCTCAATCGATTCACTCCGCACTTCACAGTACGGAGGACTCTTCAGCCCTGACAACTGCATTTGTGGTGAGTTGAAGAGAACAGAAGCGAAAGGAAACTATCTTTGAGAACTAGCACTAGATTATTGGTTCGAATTCGGAGAGTAATCCAAATGACGTTCGCAAAAATATAATTTACTGGTAAATTACACATAAGAGAAGATTTCTTTTCTGGTGTGCTCTGCTTAAGTTTATATCAATAAGATGTTAATTAACGAGCCCAGAAAATATTCAATCATGTGTTAATAGCCAATCCTGCTATAACAATTGTTGTTTTACAATAATATCTCGACCTCAACTCATCTTGTATGTAATCCATATATTTAATTCCGATTACAGGTCAGAGTAGTGCGGCGAACAATTGGGCCAAAGGATTTTATACGGAAGGGTCTGAACTTCTAGAAGCAGGGATGGACTGCATACGAAAACTGGCGGAATTTTGTGATTGTGTGCAAGGTTTTCAAGTGGCTCATTCTTTAGGAGGAGGGACAGGCTCTGGCCTCGGATCGCTTTTAATGTCAAAAATTCGCGAAGAATATCCGGATAGACTACTGAGTAGTTTTTGTGTGCTGCCCTCGCCAAGAGTGTCTGAGACAGTCACTGAGCCATATAATGCTACGCTAAGCTTTCATCATCTTGTGGACATTGCAGATGCAGCGATTTGTATTGATAACGAGGCTTTGTACCGTATCTGTTCGAATGTTTTAAAACTGAAGACGCCTACTTACAGTGAACTAAACAAACTAGTGGCCACGACCATGGCAGGAGTCACGACCTCGCTGCGCTTTCCTGGTCAGGTAATGATCAATAAGCTAAATTAAATCTGTAACAATAAATGATAACACATTCATTTTGAAACACAGAATATTCTTTTTCCAAAAAAGTACCCATTGTTTCTTACAACTTAGTTCGAAAGTCAAAACGTATCAAGTAGAAATAGAAAACAATATAATAAATGTAAACAAAACGAAACCAGACGGGAAAAATGAGTTCTTCAGTTATCTCAGTGTCCGCTTTCGATATTGCAGATATTTCATTTTCTCAACGCGAATAATTCGGTGATCAACTAAGCGTGGTCGATGTGTCATTTTAAAATATTAGTTCTTATGCGCACCGTGCACAGGGGCCAAAAATATCAGCCCTTAAGGGTGGGGGGGGGGGGGGGGGAGAGGGTGGCCATTTGTAGAGCTATGACTGTAAACAATTTTTTCCTCGCAATTGTCAGATTAAAATAACTAAATCAAACTTTGGGTACTTACGGACAACGTGCTCTCCACAGCTAAACGCAGACCTTAGAAAACTCGCAGTAAATATGGTTCCGTTTCCAAGACTTCATTTCTTCATTCCCGCCCACGCACCACTCATCAGCCGATACTCTCAAAGCTACAGATCATACGGCATCTCGGAACTTACTAGTAACATGTTCGGACCTCAAAACATGATGGTAGCCTGTGATCCGCGCCAGGGAAGGTACCTTACCGCTGCAGCTATGTTCAGAGGCCAGCTCGCTATGAGGGACGTAGAGGAAACCATCTCCGCAATGCAAAACGCATATTCGACTTCATTTGTCGATTGGATTCCGAATAACATGAAAACAGCTGTGTGTAATGTACCGCCCAAAGGACAAAAAACCTCCGCCACCTTTCTTTATAACAGTACCGCCATACAGGAAGCATTCAAAAGATTTACTGACCAGTTTTCTGCCATGTTCAGAAGGAGAGCTTTCCTCCACTGGTACACGACGGAAGGCATGGATATCATGGAGTTCACCGAGGTGATTTTTTATCTTTGCCTTGTTATTTTCTTTGAAAACCAGCCACTTTTTCGAACATATTCCGTTTTTTGAGCTTAGAACTAACTAGTGGAATATTACTTTCAGTGGTTTTAAAGTCAACTCCCACCATGACCTGATCACAACGCGGCCAGTTATCTTTCTGCAGAATGTTAGTAGTACCGCAATTAAGTAAGATGGCAATTTCCCAAAACCTAGGACCTCTTGGCACAATAACCTAAAAAGTTGTTTTCACATTGCCGTTTTTACATCCAAGATGGAAATATAAATTGGTTTTAAATTCAAGCAGCAAGAATATCAGGAAAAGAAACAAACTGAACTGGCTTTTAAGCAAAGAACCGCTCAAATTCTTAAGTTTTTAATTGCAAAATATAACTTTCATGGAAGACTAGTTGGTTAACTGGTTGCCAGGCTGTTGCTAAAGCTAACAAACTGACCTCAGGTACCGTTTTAGTCACGTTAAAATATCAAACTTGATTTCATGGTCTTTCATTAATGGTGCTTCATTCAAAGTCTTGATAAATTTATTGTGAAGGCTACTTTAAACTGGATTAGAGTAAATCCTATCAGCCGTGCGCATGTGAATACAACACCAATAGGAAACGAGCGTTCACTGGAACGCGTTAGAACAGACTCTAAATTATGCCACGAAGTTTTTTTTCGAGAAGTATTTGACAATTTCTTACTGTACAACTTTTACCTCGTGAACGTGAAGTTGGGAATCCTTCTGCGATGTAGGGCCAGACTGTTAACATCATGAATTCGCGAACGTGACTTTGAGCGCGATGCTCAACGAGTTTTTTTTGACATTTTCGAAGTGTCTGATCAGTCTCTTGGCCGAAACCAAACGCCGCGCACTACCAACCACGAAGTATTTTTTCATTTTGAAGTATTTGACAACGCTTTGTGAAAGAAATTTTGTTTGTTTCCGAGCAAATTAAGTACGAAAGCTTAGAAAGAAAAATCGCCATGGCCCGTTGGCGAATTGTCAGCTCAGAAAAGAATACAAACGAGTACATTTTTGTGACATCGACAAAAATGCGTGAAAATTCGCACTAGCTAAAATTCAATTCAGCCGAGTTAGACAAAGGTTTACATCAGACCAACACAATAAAAGGCGTTCCGAATTTCTGACTCTCGTTACAAAGTAAAATTTAGTTTTTAAAGAATAACGACATCCTGAATAATAGACAAACTGACCTTTCTCCATTCATAACACTTTTGAGCATGGCCATCGCTTCCCGACTTCGTTCCTGAATTCCAGTTCCTTATTAAATTTTCTTCTCAAAACACGACTGATCAAGCGATTGCACGCACAATTAGCAATTGACAAACCGAGAACAATGAGATGAGGCAAAGGTAAAGGAAGGCAGCGTCGAAGCTCAAAGGCTGACGTGCTCGTTCCTGAATAACATGAGTTTGCTTGAGCAACAAAGCTACGCAACAGATTACGAAACAAAGAAACCAAAATTCCCGCCATGGCGCGCGCTGCCATGTGGATAAGCTGCGCCCTCTCATTGGTTATTTGCGTGGCGTATAAGAGTTTCACCCCGATTGGTTAGATTTATTAATGTTGATGTTCGCGGATAAAGAAATAATTACGACGGGGCTGTCCTGGTGTACCGGTACACGAGGGAATTCCTTTTGTTTTCATAACCATACATGGAGTTATGACGCAGTTCGTTGATGTTTCCTTCCCTTGTGTACCGGTACACGAGGACACAACCAATTACGACAACAACCAGGAAGGAAGTATACGCGGGATGAAACATGTACGGAGCAAAAAATAGAAAAGGAGCCGCATAGATGTAAACTATTGAAAAAAATTTTGCTCTCAATTGAGCATTGGATAAAAATGAATTTGTGTACAGAGTAAACCTCACAAGGTGGCATTTTGGAGGGGAATTTTTCTTCTCTTTCCAGGCATGCATCGGTTGTTAGAACAACCAACACAAACTTTTACTCGTTCCTTTCCTCAGCATTATAATAAATGGTCAGTAAAGCCAATGTTTTCTAGTAGGTTAATTCTAATAATTGGAACGGGGGAGGGCAGGGGAAAAATATCACGGTGAGAACATTGGCAGTCACTTACAATAACCCAAACTGAAGAAAAAAAATCAACGAAAAAAAGGGCAACAGTCTCCCCTGTCTTTCTTCCAGGTTGGGTATTTAGATGTTTTGGAAGGGTATGAACCACACCGATATGATTAAGTCTAAATTTGAGCCCAGGTTTTAATATGATTTTCAATTCGCAGGCTGACTCCAACATGAACGATCTTATCGCCGAGTATCAACAGTATGAGGAAGCTGGACCAGAGGACATCATATACGATGACGGCGAATATGAAGAGCTAACAGATTTCCCAAGAGACTCACCCAATAATATATAAATGAAAAGCAAAAGATTTACTTTGAAGTACAATTATGTTCATCTATTTACTTACTTTAACTCTTTAACTTTATCATCATGCAACTGAATGATTTGTGAGAGTTGCTATAACAAGTATATATGCTTATAGTTCCAAGATTAGCTTGATTCTTTATTAAAGAATATTAGGTTCTCAACAAGTATTTTCCAGCTAACTTTGATGAGAGTGAGTGAGGTACCTGCATAAGTTGAGTTGAGGCTCTACTCAAGATGTTTTTAAGATTACAGTTTATTAAATTATTACAACAAATACTTAAAGTTTTACCGGTGAAACAATCAGTTTTTTGTTTGAGTTAATAATACAACACAGAACATTTTACAAAGTGTCTAAGTCAAGGGATGTTTTCATTTATTCATTGGAACAGGTCTTAAAGTAAATGTATTTTCTATTTCATTTAAATTGGCGAGTTTTTTTTTATGTTTGATTACTCCATTAAGGGCTATGCTTATTTTTGAATGTAAATAATATAGCAATTCATTTTGCAATTTAAGTCAATTAAATTAAGCTGATTTACTTGACTTATGTCAGATTAGGATTTGAAGTACATTTCTTTGTGAACAATTAAAACTACTTATGTAAGAAATTAATTCTTCAAGAATTTTCAGTTAAAATTGAAATAAGTTTACTCAGGATTATTTCACAATTAAGGTATCCTGAAGACGTATTTTTTCCAAACTGATATTAGAAAGGCGTTCCTCTCTTGATCAACAAAGCCAAAAACCCCATTCTTAGTCAAACATAACCATATATTTAAATAATGAGGTATTAAATCAATGACGTTACTTCAACATTGCAAGATAAATAGGTAAAGGGGGATCTTTCTGAAATTTTAAAGAGATTAAAAAAATATTGAATTATTTATAAATATACTTGATCATTTAACTTACAAAAGGGCTGAAAATAAAGCTTAACCCCAAAAGATCTTGGATATAAGGTTTTGGTTTTTACCTTGTTTCATACTGCCTTTTACTCATTTACCCCACACACAGAAACAGAGGCAGCCTTTCTAACATTGACACTGAAGAGCCATAATAACACCACAATACTCTGAAGGGGACCATTTTTTAAACATAACTTTCAATAACTAAAACCATACATTTCCCAAAACACGGTGGTCCCTTCCTAAAAAAAAGGGGCATTGCATGTGTCTCTCCAGATTATGCCTGCAATCAAGCAATCACTTTCTACCCATCCATCAAACAAACAATCAAACCACACATTTTTTAATATATTCTTGGTAAGGGAAGAAGCAGTACATGGCTCAGCCATTATTTGAAATAAAATCCTAAATACACATTTTAAAAACAAATGAATCCACAAAACTGGCCATCAAGCAAATACATGTAACTGCTATTAATACCCATAAAGCCAGTAAAGTGCTATTTGGCAATTATATTGAAAATAGCACAAAATGCTTTTAAACCTCAACACCCAGGCACCAGACTATTGTAACTCTCAAACTATTCCATTACATGAAAACTGAAACTTCTTAATTACCTTAATAATTCAAAGATTTTTCTCAAGTATTAAAATGAAGTAATGGTTTTGGCTTGATGCCTTACAGACAACTTGGACCCTGTCTTTGGGAAATAAGGCCACGTCATTCAAACATAATCAGGAAAAACAAATAAGTAAATTGCATACAATATATACACATATATATATACACACACCCAAGATAATAAGTTGTCATTGAAACATCATGATGATAACATAGTACAAATATTATCCAGAGATATGACTCTGAAAATATGTTAAAAGCATCTTTTATTTACAAGCAAATACATTTGCCTTATGCTTAATCTTTTCTAAAGTGCTCTTAATAACTATCACACTGTTCTATGAGATGCAAAGTATTTTAAACCCTCACTTGTGATGGTATAAATGTCTTCATGGTAGCAAAAATTTAGAAATGGTTTTTAGGTTTGTTATGTGTCATTATGTAACAGTGACCTACCAATGCAGAGTTGCTGGTCATTAACACTTAGTAGCAACAAAAAAGTTTATCAATTCATAACTTGCCTGTAAATTTATAGTTAGGAACATTTGTGAACACTTCAAACACCTTTGGCAAAGAAGACAAGCTAGACTCAAGGCAAATGAAGTTTTCTTATTACCACCTTTAGAGTGCCACCACTTTCATGCATTATCCACTTAATTTCTCAGTAAAGTCTCAAGCAGAAGTGAAGAACTGAGCCATTAAGTTAGCAAACCCAAGCAAAACAATAATAGAATGGAATCCAGCACTCAGCCAAGACAGCCTTCCTTTTTGCTTCTGTATCACTATGTACACAATACAGGGTAGTGCATAATCATAGGCCACTCCACTTAATGATCCTGCATACCTGTAAATGGGATAAAATAACAATAATATAAAACAAAATGAAAAGGTCCTCCATGAAAATTTCTAAATACCATATATCACATGCTCACATGACAGTTAGGTTGTCCATTAGTTACCTGATAAAATCACCAACATGTGGGTAGACCACAGCAAATAATACACAGGTCCCAATCAGTACAAAGTTTAGGATAAACACATGTAGATAGCTGTGTAAAAGAATATCAGCTCAATTAAAAGAGAAGAAGTTACCTTAGTAGAACACATGCAATATTGCTTAGGTATGAAAAATTGCATTGGATACTAAAAAAAGTATATTGCTACACTACAAAAACTATTTTGCAACCTGTTACCTGAGCACATGCAGGGCAGAAGATCTAGAAACAAACTCACCTGGGATAGGTTTTTTTGAAGAAATATAACATGAACTGCACACGTATGACATACATGGCCAGAGGAAACACGGTGGTAAGTTGAAACAGAAGAAAGAGCCTAGCTATAAATGTCATAACGTCTGCAGCTGGAAAGTTATCAAGAAGAACCTAAAAATTGATTGAGGTAATTAAAAACAATTTTAATAAATTTTCCTTTCATTCAGTCTCAGGCTAATTGCCCAGTTACCTTTTGCTTTGATAGCTGCATACTCTCTTAAAATCAGACACTAAAGATTTACAAAAGTGCAAAGGAATTGTTTAGGGTGCATCCACCACAAGGGCACATAACTTGTAGGGATATATTTTAGTAAATCTGTACATCTCTAAATACAGTCATGCACAACTTTTGGTAGGATATATTACCTGTTGAATACAATCTTTTTCTCTAGGAAAAGAAATGAAGAACAGCACTCCAACAAGTGTATATGTAAATGCTACAAGACAGAAAGCTACACTGAGGTCTCGTTCCTGAAATGAAAGAAGAGAAAAGAGTAACTCTTACATCAGTATGTTATTGTTCTTGATACTGTTCTCCATACATTCCCAAGGGCACTGACAAGGAGAATTTGTTTAAAAATTTAAGAGCTTCTTTAACTGGTGATCATTTCCTTTACTCTCATAACTTTAAGGTGTGATTCAGGGGTGATGTTATGAGGAGGCATTAGAAGCTAGTTACCCCTAGGAGTCAGAAACTTCAATTTAAAATACTTCATTAACACTATTGTATTGTATTTAATTAATACTATTGCATTATAGTTGGGCAAAACTAAATAAATAAACACTTGAGAGCAACCTTCAAAAATATGGATCACTTACGTTATTTTTAGGGTTCTCCTGGTTCCTCATTATTGATAGAATACAGTTGTGAATTAAGTAGGCCAGAGTAAGTAAACCTGTTAGGGCAGGAAAACTAGCCTTGAACACTACAACAGAAGAAATGGGAGACATGTTAGTATAAAAATATCCCATATAACTACAAATAATGATAGACATTACTTCTTTATTATGAACTATTGCCAATCTTGGACACATACTCCCAAACAAAATTAAGGTAAAAAATATAAAGCTAAGAAAATAACAAATAAACTGCTGCTTTACAGTTTTAAAAAAATGTTACACAGAAATCTTCTTTCTACTTAACCCCTTTCACCCTAAGAGTGACTACCATCTTATTTCTCCTTACAGTAACACCACTGAATCAAACATTAAATTCATGACAATAGAGAAAAAGATCATCAACTACAGAAGGACCTCTTGATAATTTAACAAATTCTCCTTGTCTGCACCCTAGGAAATGTATTGGGAACAATATGGAGAATATGCAAAGTGATGTTAGGACGTAAAGGATTGAGACCATCCTTCTAAGCTTGGACTAGGATTTGTGTAATGTTATTATTTAATAACATTTCTTAATTGGTCATCTATCTACTATTCTGTAAACCTAAATTATATCTTACTAAGTGTTTTTTTTTTCTTGCTCTAACTTAAGTACCAGTATCTTTTACAGGTGTTATTTAAACTTTTTTTAATCAGCACTAGCTTTAAGATCTTACTTGGTATTTTGTTAAAGTCCAGGTTGACTCCCCATATGCTGGCTTTGATAATAGTGAAGATGATAATGTAGATGGCTGACACAGTTCCTGTGTAGAGAAAAGTATAAAGGTAACTAGAAACAGCCCATTCAAGAATAGCATTCTATCAGATGCAGTCCAAATGTTTAAGCCAACTGAAGTCAAGCTTAAAAGTAAATGCTACTCCCGTAGTTGTATGGAGACATGTTAGCTCTATACTATTCTTTTCATGCCAATTCTTTTTCAAATTTCTCTTTCCAGCACCAACCCAACCTCTTGAAATGTTCTCGACAAGTGACTTTTGAGATTTCCAGTTGTGGTTGGCATGAGACTACATAAACAACATAAATATCATTTTGCATGAATAAATAGTTAGTTTTGGGCAGTGGGCCCACAGGTTGTAACCCATTGCAATTAGTACCCATGTTTACTCCTGTTTCTTTTAGGGTAGGAATTAAGAACATCAACGACTGTTATTTCAAAGGCAAAAGTCTCTTTGTCATTACTATACTACAGATTTTATGACACAAGAGCTGGTAAGTATATTATAAAATTCCCTGTCTGTTACCTATTATATAAATTGACTGAGCTTGAAGAGAAAAAAGAGAGAGAGATTACAAAAAAAGATTGAGGACATTATAGAAAAAGATAAACTAAACAACACTGATCACAGAAACTTAATACTACCTTACCTAAAGAATTAAACTTTGTGAAAAAAGTTGGTGACCTGACACTGCACAGTGGAAAGAAGACAGCAATCAACAAGTATGGTACGGTGTGTTGAACATGCCAAAATGAATTTTCATCCTGAATAACTGAGCTATTTGAAGAAGTTACCCCTGCACTGTAGCCACCTGGGCAAAGCACTGAAAAAAAGTGTATGGATAACATGAGCAGAGAGCTCAACAAAGTATTTATATAAAGTATTTAAAGGGTTTTACCAAAAATGTTTCTAACAGGTAGATGGATAAAGCCGATGAAAATGAAGAAAAATTCAAAATGAACTCATGAAGAATCATGCCACAAGTAAATTTGTTGGGCAAATAGCACATAAAAAATAATACTCTATGAATGCAGACATAAACTTTTTGCTACCTTCCAAAGTGGTTGAAGAGTTGATCACTAGTGCAACTGAAAATATGTTTTCTAAATAGGAGGAAAGAAAAACTATTTGAATAAACAGTTGTTACGGTTAGTCATAAGTCATGTACCATACTTATAAAATACCTTACCTTGGATGTATTTTCCAAAGTTGAAGAGAAAGTTGCTCATTAAAACCCAAAATACAATGACTGCGCTGACAAGAGGTGCCACTGAAAACAATACTGCAATGAGCTCTCCAGGTTTACCAAGATACTCTCTACATAAAGCAGAAAATTCCACAACATCTCCATGCTCCACTAAAGAGACAAAAGAGGTAATTTAATTGATAAGTTCCTTAGTACTAGAGTTGAACTTCAAATTTGGCATTATCAAAAGTAGATACATTATTTTATATTAAAATAATTGGGATAGACTTTTGTCAGCTATAACCTTACAACATTAAATGTCAATGAAATTAATATAATTTTGTCAACAATTAAAAGAGTAGTGAAGCAGAATATCAAAATGCATAGTCTGTCACATTTCAATGCCTAACTCCCACAAGTGATTAACAAATTACTTCTCCCTATAATATCCAGACATCACCCACCAAACTAATTATGAGAATACTCAAAATTATCAGGTAGAATTAATCTCACACCAAATTCTCCCAACTAATTTACAAGGAAATGTGTATCAGCTACAAGGAAAAATTAATAATCAGATCACAAGATTTAATAGGATAAGAGGCTAAATTACACAATACCTTTCTCTTGTGAACACTTTATTATCAAGTAGCAGGTGTAAAAAATAATTCCAGCCATTACTATCACAAGAATGGTACCCAGAACAAATCCAGCCTGAAAAAAATAGACAGAAATTCAGCTTAAATATTAAGTAGCTTTCAGGTCATTGAAACAGAGTAAACAATTAACTTTGGATAACAATGATTTCATGATTATAGTAAAGTTACTGTTAGTAGTAAATTATCCAGGAATAGAGGCGCAACATAGCTGTAAACCTGATTGATAGCCCATGGCATGCTCAACAGTGATGTGCCCATCATCGTGTTCCAAATGGAAAAGCTGGGAAATAAATACATTTATTGAAATTCAAATCATACAAAGGTGAGTACTGCTAGAGAAGTGCAGAAAATTGAGTGCAGATAAATGTAAATTTCAGCATTGTAATCATCAGTTTCAAAATACCACTCTCACCTCAAAAGCAACATTAGAAATTCTAAAGCATGGTTTAGAGACTAAGGGGCACAAAACCAGTTTTCCTTAATGAAACAGGGCTTAAACCAAAAAAACTTCTAGTAGAAGAAATACATACATTGTTTACAACAGGACAATTAGGCAGTTATTATTATTAGTTAGGTTAGAGGTAGTTCATTATATAGACTAGGTGAAGTATTTAGTCATAACCCATTCACAACAAAGCTTTAAATTCACAAAAGCTGTTTTGTTTAACAGGTTTGAAATCCTTTTTCTTCATAGCAGCTGCTTAAGGCCATGTTTGTCAACTTCAAATTTAGCACATGAAAATAAAAGTTAGTGGCCACTTAAACCTTAGAGAAAACTTAGTTTTTTCAGTTCCCTACTTTTGATTTCCATTTAGGTAACCCTTCACTCTCAAGATCCTCTAAGTGATTCTCCTTACTGTCTGCCATACAATTCTTGTGATGTTATTTTGAAGAATTGGTATATTTTTCTCTATTCCCATCACTTGTCTGTTTTATATTGTATTGATATTGTAAGAAGAAATTCTGTCTTGGTCACTCATGTGAGAGTTAAAGGGTTAAACCCAGTTTAACTTAACATGTTTTGCTGGTGTGAATGGGGTATTAGTCTTACATTGTGACAAGGCTGCTTTGTTTCTCATTCCTCTCTTTTGTGACAACAGACTGAGATGGAAGCAGGTGACTTGGAATTATCTATGAAAGGGGAAAAGCACAAACTTATGAAGTTTACCTAAGGAGTTAAAATAATACACTAGACAGACTAGTTTTGAAGCCTTACAAGCATGCATGGTGAAATTTCCATAAATAATGATTTACTTACCACATTGTGATTAGATAAGCGAGAGATGTATCTATAACGATTGAACTTGGCTGCCAAGTCCCAATACTCCAAGGACGACACAATTGCTTTCTTGAAAGAATTAAGATTGAAGGGTTTCCTTGTTTGAGCATAATTTCCTGTTGTGATGCCATTTTGGTTTCTTTTACTAAAGAGTAATAAAATAAAAACAAAACCAATTCAAACGAAGACAATGCTTTACTCTAACTTGCTCCGATTCAGATGTCTACGTTCCATAGACCAAGTGTTTAAAATCCGTATTGAAAATCCAGTTTGCACCAAGTCCATTGTACCACTCAACGTAAAATAAAAAGAATATCGAGCGTGCTTATCATGTGAGAAAAAAAAGGATTTGATAAAGCTAAATAGACTTTGAGATCACGGTAACGTACCTCCTCAATTACAAGCTATCCACTACCTTGAGCTTTCAAAATCCATTGCGGCACGTGAACAGTTCGTGTCGGCTGCTTCGCCAACATAAATGAATGACCTTTCATTTTATGATGATTTCTGATAAATTACTCTTACTCTCCAGTTATCATTCTCAAAGTAACATAAAATCAACTTGAAGCCAGGTTAATTAGGTAAATTGTGGTCCCTCGTAGAACAACTGGGAGATAAACAACTTGTGCGAGCCATGTTATGGTTTGCATTAAGTGTGTACTACACGTAAACTCCCCCAAATAGTCCATGGTATTTCCTAAATTGCCATTTACTTTAAACTGTTGTAAAGTTGTGCAAAAAGGCCACAAATTATCATTTTTGACAAGGCTTTTTACTTGTACCATGAGCTCAGTTTAGGGGGCTCTATATTTTTGGTGTTAGATTAATCTCCCGCGGAAATGATCTTACACACACATGCTCTGCAGGTGCATCGAAGGACTAAAATACTCCAAGTGAGTTTTTTTCCCGCGCACCAAAGTATAAACAGAGATGCCTACACTCCCATCAAATTCAAACTGTCTGGAAATGCTATCATTACCTATTTCCGCAAATGTCATACTTCCGTTGGATTTAACCGTCAAGATTCGATTATGGCGTAATTCCGCTAGTTTATTTCATTACTGCGAAGATCGCTTTCAAATTCACTCCGCTAGTTTTAATAGCTGAGAAATTTACGGCACTGCACAAAGTAGAGTGACAACTGCGAAAATTTGCATAAAGCTGACAACGTTATAGAAATTGCACACCCCTCAAGACAAGGACTCTACCTTGAATTAGCTGGAAAATTTAACTTGTCTCCAGAATTGCTTGAATCGCCCAGTTGAACCGAGATTAAAGGAGATTTTTCGTCTATGATCGCCACTCCCACTTCACTTAAAGAGTTTGGTCCTTTTTCATCAGCCATGATATGATTCAAAATTCTCAGTCGGGTAAACTGATGCTGAGTTGTGCTTTGTTTAAATATTTTTCCTTTTGGAGGAACAAGGCAGCTTTTTGTATGAAGGCTTATATCGGGTCTTGTTCGAGGGGTACTGTAAATATCAACACAGGAGCGTACAAGCGTTATACCAGTCTTGGCCAGTCACCACCGAGTCACGAGCTTTTTAAAACGTCTCTTTTAAAACATGCAGTTAATAGAAGAAACAAGATCCAGAGGCGGGAACGTGGTTTACCCGCAGTGATGTGATGGAACTCGGAACTGTAACAGAATACGACCAAACAAAGAACAGGATCGATTTTTGGAGAGTTGCTCCTTGAATTTTACTTATTACTATTATTACTTATTATTATTAATGAAGGAGCGTTTTACGAAGATCGTTATCGTAAATTTCATCCTCTTTAAGAACCTAAGTAAAACACTTTGTTCTCTGACAGAAGAAACATTTTCCCGTGAGTGATATAAGTCAGTCAGGCTACGTTGTTTAACACCAAATTACATCATGTGTCAGGAGCATCTAAAGGACAAGTTGAGACGAGTAAAGTGCACAACATGCACTTTGTAAAACTGTTCACAAGTGTGGTGCCCGTTTGCAGGCTGTCTGGTAACAAATAAAGGTCAGAGGTTGCACCAAATCAATCAATTTTCTTACGGTCCCCCAGGTAAGTATTAAAAGTAGTTAAACTAACTGACCTCGGGGTCACGAGTTCACTACCCAATTTAATTTTTAATTAACCTTAGGCAAAAACAGCCACACCCCAGTGCCGACTGTTGAAAGTAAAGGGGCATGACAAACCTACGGCATGTGTGATGGGAACGATTGACCAGAATGAAAAGATGCCTTCAGAGTTTTGCTCCGGATAATATGTCTTTCAACAATTTATTTTATTTAGGAGTTATTAAAGTGGTGCTTTTCATAAAGGGCTGGAGCACGGGCTGATTTGGGATGAAAATCCATCATGGCATCAATATTTGACAACCTCGCGAACAAATTTCATTGTGATGGAGACACATACGAGTTGATAATATTCTGTAGAAAGGGGTGATACATAAAGCTCTATGGATTCACAGAGGACATCTGAAAATGTTGTACTACTCGTTTCGAGAAGAATGAACTGACACGCTTATCTCTCTTAGTCTAGCACTTAATAAACTTTCACCTTTACCATCCCTACCGCGCCACTTCACTTTGTCTTAACAAATAAAGGCTCGAGATCATGAAGGAGCCCTTAAGTGGGTCCTTATTTTGTGAGGCAGTTGATCCCCCCTTTGGTGTACCACTTTAACCACCCTCTCTCGAATACATCTCTGTTTCTCCATAGGCTAGATTATTTTCTTGCAACGTGCACCAAAATTTGTTACGTGCCAAGTTACGTGGGGGGTTCAACTAAAGTGCAAAGCAGTAAGAAACTATTTACAGATCAGTGACTTCGTTGCGGTTTTATTTTATTAATTGAAACCTCTCCCCACAAAGATACCCGTTGCATATTAATAAAATTATTTGGAACATAGAAATTCTTTTAATCAGGTGCAAACCCGTATCGAGGGTCTTCAGACGCAGCAAAAACACCACCTAAAAATAGACGTTTCCCAAAATATTCGTTACGGAAACGGAATAAATGAATTCCCCAAAAAAGCACACATCAATAAATAATAAAACCAGAGCAAAATTTTCAACTCAAATGTCATTGTGCTTTCACCTCTTCTCATCGTGAAGGGCATTTACTGACTTTGATTACATTACAATTTTCAAAAAATATATATTTTCAATCAAGTTTTTGTTTGATATCTCCTATCTAAGTGCATTGTTTAGTTATACGAACCAGGAAATGTCCCAAAACAGGGGAAAAGTGCAAACACAAGGGAGCCCATCTTTGGGTAGTCGCGCAACGCTCCCCATTACGTGAAAACCGAAGACAGACTGCGAAGGAGACTAATAAGGAGGTCGAGCCAGCATTAAATACTTCGTGACTGTACTTCTTATGTTTAAATCTTTTTTTCCCAGTCCTTATTCCACTAAACAATGATCTGAAAATTGATCAAATTTTTCTTATAAAAACGATTCAACGCATATGCTAGTGTGGAAAGCTGAGTTATTATGGATAAAAAACATGAGTACGGTAAAAAAGGTACATCATGTTATCAAATAAGAGAATAGAGAATTCAACTGAGCTAACCAGTGACGATGCGCATATTCCTCAAAACTTTATCGAAATCATACAGTATGACAGTGACCTGCACCAGGTAATTAAAGTAGTCCACCGAATTTTGAACATTTAACGCATTTGATTGTAGGAACCATTAACATTGAGGTCTTAATTAAATCCTCGTGACAATTTGCCTCATAACTGCATAGAACACATATCTCAAGTATCTTATTCTACCGTATTACAAGAGTAGAACATCGAATTGAACTATCAAAAATAATCTCATCCAGTAATAAAGAACTGGGACATAAAATTCAGAACTCCAAAAACAACAATGCAAGAATGAAACACAGTGCTGGGCCAAGAGAGCTGTCCTCTCTGTTTCTGTATCAGCATGTGCACAATACATGGTAGTGAGTAGTTGTAAGCCAGGCCACTTAATGATCCCACATACCTGTGACAAAAGACAAGAGTGCATCACGTGAGCTATTGTGAAATAAGAATCCATTTTCCCTAGGACAGCTCTTATAAATTGGGACCGTTTTAATCGTCATAGCAAAAAGGGACAAAAAAATGGGGAATAAATTTGAGGTGAAATTAAGTTGTTAATTTGACAACCTGTGCACAGTGGTCATGTAGTAAGACCAAGGGAGCTGCAATGTTTTTTTTAATTACAAACTGTTTCTGGTCTAGAGTTAAAGTGAGAAGGAGATTGGTAATACATTCCAGGTAATGTCCTTGTCTGATTTTTTCTATTTTTTTTTTTGAGAGAAGTAACCAAGAACGGACCAAGCCTGTTACTGACATTTCTTCAACTGTAATCCTGAGGATTTCCTTTAGTTACCTGATTATGTTGCCAACATGTGGATAAACTACAGCAAATAATACACAGGCTCCAATAAGGGCTAGGTTCAAGACAAATACATGTAGGAAGCTGTGAAAAACAACAACACAAGTTTTTTTGTAAAAAAAAAAGAAAGACATTTATAGGTCTTCATTTATTACAATCACACTTTTGAACCTTTAACAAACTTGGCCACCAATCTGTCCTAAAAACAATAAAGGAGGTAAGATTCTACAAAAACTGCGATGCTGCATTGGCGGGGGAAATTACAGGATAATTTGCTTTTATCAACTGAGTTGATGATATAGATTGGTCACTTTTCAAGTATAAGCCCTTTGTCTGAGTGAAATATGAAGGTTTTTTCAAATTTTTTTTTGCTCTGACAAAAGGCTAATGCTCAAAATATCAGCAGTAGAAACTCTTTACAGTGACAAATTTAAATTATCTAAAACCAGATTAACTAGCCCCCCACACACACAAAATAACATCTGACAAATTCATCACTTATAAAAATTTCCAGTTGACAAATTCCAAAAGGCAATGAAAAGAAAAGCTTCAAACCAACTTACCTTGGATAAGTTTTGTTAAAGAAGTATAACATGAGTTGCACACGTATGATGTAAACAATCAATGGAAACACAGTGGTAAGTTGAAACAGGAGAAAAAGCCTTGCTATAAATGTCATAATGTCTGGAGCTGGAAGATTATCAAGAAGAACCTACAGGATAATGAAAACATCATCAGCAAAAGAGCAATTAATTACATTAAAAAAACAAGAAGTGTGTAGAAAAGGTAATATATGAAAATGTGGTTTTGCACCAACTTTAATTTTGCATTTTCCAGGATGAACATCTAATTCATGCTATCAGGAAGTTATTTATTGAATAATACTACTGTTAAGTAATGTTTTTGTCTTGCGCTTAAGCTTTGACTGGTTTGTTACTCCATGTCCATCCAACAGTAAGGTCTACTGCACTAACTGATTTACAATGTTCAAAAACCTCTCTCCTAATTTTATTGAAGAACCAACTATACACTTTACCTCTTGAATACAAGACTTTTCTTTGGGAAAACTAATAAAAAACAGCAAACCAACAACTATGTATGTTAAAGCTACCAAGAAGTAAGCTATGCTGAGGTCACGTGCCTGACAAAAAAGAATAATAAAAGAGATAATTTTTCCAATAAAATTAAAATGCTAAATTTTATCAAGCATATCCCAGCTGCCATATATATGCTTATTCTACAAGTTTGAGTGCTAAAAGAAATAATGAAACCTCTTTAACAACCTATCTAAGATAAGTTTGAGGCTTTGTGGCTTAACCTATGGATGACTAGGGAAGTGAAAAGAAACCCTTCCTGGTGAAATGTAGGGTAAACAACTCAACCCTTTAATTCCCAAGATCTGATTGTCAATTCTCCCCTCCAGCTGCTGCAAATTTCTTTGTAAACTAGCTATGAGAATTTGGTATCAGATCAAGATAACACTTTTACTCGATAAGTTTGAGTATTCTCATTACCTAGCTGTTTGCTGGATAATGTATGGATATATCCTAAGGAAAAGTTACACATAAATCAATTCTGGGAGTTGAAGGGTTAAATTAATAAACTAGGGTTGCAGGATTACCCATACACATTGCATAATGACTCTTTACAGGAACAAGAACAATCTGATTCATATTTGGGCAGCAATAAACAACACCTTTTAGTATTTTTACTTGAAGCACTTACATTATTTTTAGGGTTCTCCTGATTCCTCATTATTGAAAGAATGCAGTTGTGAATAAAGTAGGCCAGAGTAAGTATTCCTGTTAGAGCTGGAAAACTAGCCTTGAACACTACAACAAAAATATAGATAGATCTATATCACCTGTACTGTATAATATCCAGAACTACCTAGTAACTTTATAGTGGCATGCAGTCCATGTATTTTTTCCTAAATTTGCAAATATCTTTTTTATGGCATTTATCCCTCCCATCTTGAGTTCTATCTAACAATTATGGTAATATCCACACAATAAGTCAGTCAATAAGACTAACTGTAACATCTAAGTATCCATTAGAGGTTCCCTTTTAACTTACTTGGTATGCTGTCATGTTTAAAATCCATGTGAATTCCCCATATACTGGCTTTGGTAATGATGAAGACAACAATATATGCAACTGATAAGGTTCCTGCATGTAAAGAATTGAGACATAGACTGTTCATGAATACCCTCACTTTACATTAAACACAATTGCCTTAGCTCTATAACAGTGAGCTCACCAAGAGAGTTAAATTTAGTGAAGAACGTTGGTGACTTTACACTGCACAAGGGAAACAGGACAGCAATTAAAAAGAGGGGTACGGTGTGTTGGAGCTGCCAGAATTTGAAGAAGCTTGTTTTGTCAGCTGTTATTAAACTGTTTGCAGAGCTTGCTGATGCACTGTGGCCACCAGGGCAAAGAACTGTAAAGAGATCAAACGAGAAATAACCAATTAACATAAAAAAAGGTAAAGTGGTTTGAAATACAGGCAGCTGTTCAGTTATAATTTTGTTACTCTATCCTTATCACATGCACAAAGAAGAGGTTGAAACAAAGAAATCAAAGATCAAAGCAATTTACTTTAAAAATATTGTATATGGATGAATTAATAAAAAGAAAATTAATTAAACACACCTTGGATAAAAGGATTAATAAATTATCAAGTACAGTGAGGAATGAATGAATGAATGAATGAATGAATAACTGAAAAAGTGAATAAGTGTCAGACAAACTGTCCTACCAACTGACAGAAATTTAATGTGTTGTTGCAAAAAGGAAAGGATGGTAAAAATTAATGGTAAAAGGATGAACTGAACCTGAAAAGATGGAACATCAAAAGATAGAAAATCAAAACATTAAGATGGAAAATCAAAAGATGGAGTATGGAAGGAGAAAGGAATAGAAAATATGGGTATCTGATTAGGAGTAATTGAGCAGAAAAAGTTGTATTCAAGCCACACATTTAAGATTTATAAGATTGAAAAGTAAATAGTTCTCTTGGATTAATTCACACCAAAATACCTTCTAGGTGGCCTGGGGAGAAGCTTCCATTTGTAATATTTCTGGAAGTGGGAACTGAATAAGCATGATGGACAGTCTCTATAACACAAATTAATATTCTGTTTAATAATTATGATACTAACAGTAATAATAATAATAGAAATAACACAGAAAGGAAAAATAAAATAATTTTTAAAACAGGATAAGAATACAAATTAGTACATTGTTTTAGCAAAGAGATTCCACAAACCTTGAAAAATAATAAAAAATTAAATAAAGATGAAATGTTAAAAATTTAAGCACTACTCACTTTTAATCTGTATAACATATGGGGAATACAACTCCCTTCCAACGAATGAGTCATTTAATTAGTGGTAAAATCAAATTACAGTGACCCATTTTAAAATTTTTTGCCATTTCCTGAAGACCTGTACTGACCAAAACCTTGCATCAAGCTAATACAAAAGAAGATAGTTACCATGAATGTACTTTCCAGAATAGAACAAGAAGCTGCTCATTAAAACCCAAAAGACTATGGCCCCTCCAGCATTAGCAGCCACAGAAAACAGGATTGCAATGAACTCTCCTGGCTTACCAAGGTACTTCTTACAGATATCAGAAAATTCTAGGATGTCACCTTGTTTCGCTAAAGGAACAGTAAATTGAAAATCAAACCAACTAATTAGGAGTCAGGACCTATCTAGGGCAGGCAAGGATCTATGTTTCATGAAGGGCAGAATTAAGGCCTAATTAATTACATCATTAAAATTTATAATCAGTCACTAATAAAGTTACTTGCATAAACATGTTATATTAATTTCGTATATCATTAATAATGAATAACATTATAATCATGTGAATTCAAAAACCTCACTAACCCGTTTCTTCTGCACATCTTATTATCAAGTGACAGCTATAGAGGCAAAGACCCGCCATGACAACCAAGAGAATAATGGCAAGAGCAAAACCAGCCTGGAAAACATGATATGATACATTCATTGTTAACTTACAGTTAGTGTACTTACTAGCTACTGTTCTTTATTGTAGTTCATATTGTATTAGTGCTGAGACACACACAGACATAATAAAACTGGTCCTTTTTTTTGTTTAATCAGGATTAGTATGGGAACACTCTGAATGAATCAAATCAGTACCTCAGTCTTTCACCCGTGAGAGTTCTTTATCTTGTAATGTATCTTCTATAAATATCATTTTAGTCTAACTCTTTATTTTTATTTATTCACAAACCTGATCAATTGCCCAAGGTATACTTAATAGTGAGGTACCCATCATTGTGTTCCAAATTGAAAAACTGGAAAAATATCATAAAATGAAAAAATATACATATAATCAGATAAATTCCTTCCTGGCATGTGTTAACACTGAAATCATTGCTGTTATTAGTAGATTAAGATAACATCAAAGGACTGTCAACACTTAGCTTATATTGGTTAAAGCTACAAAATACTATTGGAGAGAGAGGTCAAGAACACATGAAATAGTCTAGTCTAGTTCCCTGGAGTAAAGTGAACAGGAGTATTGCTCCCCTCCCCCTCCCCCCCCCCTCCCCCTCTAAAATTTTAGAAAATCTCCTTGAAAGATCATAGGTACCAATTAGTAAAACCTGGGTGGATACATTAATTTTAAGCACTGTGAGAGGGAAGTGTCACGCTCAAGATATCAACACTAAGCATTGTTCTAGCTCATACCTGGGCCTGTTGATTCAATACCTCACTAACTAACTCACAAACAAAGGCATGCCTATTTCATAGCCAACAATTACCTGATGAGGGTCCATTATCATAATGGTTTACCATTTGATAAGTACATTCCTATGCTTAGCCAGAGTGATATATTAGATCTAGGTTTACTATATGGTGCAGTTAACATTTATAATCAAATATTTATTAATAACAACTTAACTAACATTGTGACCAGACTGCTTTGTTTTTCATTCGATTCTTTCGGGATGACAAGAAATAAGTGAGGTGGAAGTATATGTCTTGGAATAATCTAAATGAGAGAAAAAAAAATTTCTGATAAGCATTGCCCAGGTAGATGTGACAGAAAGCTTTGAATTAGGGAATCAAGGTCAACTTGTATACATGGATTCTTGCGTTCTTGCATTATATTTCTCAGTAATATTTATATTAGGACAGAGGGGATTTATCAGATCAGAGTGACTTTGGATTCCATCCTTCTGGTCCTGCTTATCCAAAAAAAAAACAAAAAACAGGTTAGGAAGAATAAGTTAAGAATAAGTTAAGAATTTCTATAAAAAATTGTTAAAAGTTCATAAGGATTTATAAAAGCTGAAAAAAAACTTTTGTACCTATACCAATTAGGAAAAAAATTAAAAACTCATTTTTACAATTGTACAGTTCCATATTTAAAACTATGTAAATTAGCATCGTATTGTCCTTACCACATTGTGTCTAGACAGTCTGGATATGTATCTGTAGCGATTGAACTTAGCAGCTATGTCCATATCACGAGGTGTAACAATGGGATTTCTAAGTGTGTTGTAATGAAAGGGCTTCCTCTTTGCAAAGTTGTTTGATGACTCGCTATTCAATGAACCCGTGTGTGAACCATCATGAGTGGAATTGCTATCATATAGGCCCCTACACAAACAATAAAATATATAAATAAATAAATAAAAATATTTGATCAGTGTGGGTACCTGAGCAATTGTACACTTATCCCTCACCTGACTCAATGTTAACCCTAACTTGTTGTTGGGTTAGGGCAGGGGTAGGTGTGCAGTTGCTCAGATACTGACATAGATCCCAGACATACACATTCAAACCCTTAAATAAAAATATGATGTATTCCCAAAAATTACCTCATAATGAGCCTAAAATATCCTGAAAGTCAATAAGCTCAGGAAGAAATAACGAGAGTCAGCTTCTAAGTATTAAAAATTGTGAAGTAGGTATGTAAATATTTTGAAAGAGTTTGAACATGTCTCCACTCTCCTATTCCGTCTTTCCCACCTCACAGTTCAGCAAACCCCCCTCTATCTACTAGAAATACCGATAATCTTATCATTGATTTCCAAAAACCTTAAAATTTATCTCAAGGAAGCATCTTACATTAAGAAAAAAAAATTAAAATAGTTCACGTAATTGTTGCAATATCATCTATGAAACACCACATTACAAAATAATCGTTGCATTTGCAAGTTTTCAGGTAAGAGAGCTGCTTTCTACGAATTAATTATTTTAAAAAGGAAGAATAAGCTATTGATATCTCTTTCATTTCCTGCGGCTGTGCATACCTTGAACTATTTAAAGCACTGGACCTGTCTTTGACCGCATTGCTTGAATCGCCTTGCTCAGAAAGGAGGGGAGATTTTTCGTCGACGACTTTATCTCTCGTATATTCTGAGCGCTCCCCTTCCATAGCTAACTTCAGCTGTCATATATCGTCCATTTTATCTACAAGACTGACTCATCAACCCATTTACCCACGCGAGCTCACGTCGCCATAGGTTTTTTTGGATAATAATGTAATGCGAAGGACTCGGTCGAGCTTCGTGCATGATTACTTTCGGTAATAACTTCCGGTGAATAGCCCTCCCATCCTTTACGTGTTCATACATACATACATACATACATACTTTATTTGTCACGTAGGTCGATAAATGGCAGCTAAAAAGCTGATGTGGACCTACAAAACTAAAGAGTGTCTACAAAATTTAAATAATAACAATAACAAGTAGCGAAATTATGGTAAGTAAGAAAGGATGTAAGACCTAGTAATATAATATACAGTTGATTTACAGTAGTAATAAAAAGTAATAAAATAAATAAAAGTAGTAAAATAGCTTTAATATATGTAATTTACAACGTCTTTATTTAGTCCCTGTAAACCATTAAATGTTATTTTATCTAAAATGTCGGATTTTGCTTTGAGAGCAGATTTGAAAGAAACAATGTTCGGTTTGCTCTTCAAGTACACGGGTAAGTTGTTCCATAGAACAGACGCATGGTGAGAAAAAGAAGATCGACGGAAGTCACTTTTAGGGCGTTGCACGAATAGCTTCAGATTGTCCCTTAGATTTCTCAACGGAGAGTGTTTAGTAAACAAAGAGCTTATAGCAGCCGGAGCTCTATTGTAAAATGCCTGATAGGATATAGTGGCAATCCTCTTTTATAGAAATATGATAAGGACTTCCATTTTGTCGCTGCCAGAACTTCAGTATTGGGGTAGATTCCTTTAGGTTAAAAATAAATCTCGCGGCTCCAATGTGAATGTCTTCCAGTGTCTGAAGTGACTTAGAAGATCCCCATAATGCAATAGAATACGCAATACTTGGAATGATACCTTTGAAATAAATTGACTCTAAGAGGCGATTGTCGAGTCCTTTTAGGTGTTTGAGTTTCTTCACTCTTGCCGAAAAACGTTTGCTCAAAGATTTTATATGTGGCGACCAAGAGAGTTTATTATCGATAAGAATCCCTAAACATGTAGCTTTGGAAACAAATGACAACTCATTTTGCCCTAAACAAATTTTCTGTAGGGGTCCGATGAATCTTGATTTTGATAACAACATTAGTTCACTTTTGCGGGATGAATAGTCATGAAGTTATCCTTAGCCCATTTGTTTAAGTCAACGATCGCTTTCTGTATCTTAAATAAAACTTCATCAACAGTATTTCCAATGCAAAAAACAGTAGTATCATCTGCAAACATTTCAACGGAAGCGTTCGTTGTGGCTCCGGGCAGATCATTTGAGTAAATGCTGTAAAGTCTAGGACCAAGTAAAGACCCTTGGGGTACACCCGTATCTATTTCCAACAATTCTGAGTTTGAACCATTTACGGTGACAAATTGTTTACGATTATCAAGATAATTTAAGAGCCAATCGTAAAAAGAGCCACTAATACCTATAGAGTGTAATTTATCCATAAGAACTGTGTGGTTGACGCAATCAAACGCTTTCCGAAAATCAATAAAGACTACGCCAATAATATTGCTTTCATCCAAGGCTAAACGCCATCGTTCTGTAACGGAAAGTAAGAGCAGCTCGGGTGAGCTTCCTTTTCTGAAGCCCCATTGATTTAAGGAGATCAGATTGTTGCTATATAAGAAGTTATCAAGTTGTTGGCTTACAACATTCTCCAATAGCTTGCCCGGAATGCTAAGAAGGGAAATAGGCCTGTAGTTTTCACAGTCGAGAGTATTCCCCTTCTTGTGAAGACATTTTACCTGTGCCTGTTTCCACTGGCTGGGGAGTTTGCATTCCAAAATACTTCTTTGAGCCAGTGGCATAAAGCAATCCAAAATGCGTCTCCAATAAGGTACAGCTCTTTGCTGGATATGTCATCAGGTCCACTCGCCTTGCCAGGTTTCAAACACCTTAGAGAAGATTTTAAAAGGTCTCTGTTAAGGGCTATGTTATAAAGAGAGGCACTGATTTTTCTTGCGGACTGACAAGGAGAGTTTACTGAAGAATCTTGTGTTGATTTCGAGAGGGATTTTCCAACATTGACAAAAAAGGAATTTAAAGTGTTGGCCTTTGATGTATCGTCTGCGTGAATAACTCCGGAACTATCTTTAATCGGTCCGATATTTGTAGCTGTTTGTTTTCCCTCGAAAGATCTTACTGTCTTCCAAAAATCTCGAGCAGAGGTTGTCTCATTAAATTTTGTTAGCCAATAACTTGATTCCGCTAATCTAAGGAGTTTGGTGCATTTATTTCTTGCCTTCTTGTAATCTATCCAGGCTTGTGAGCCCTTCGGTGTTTTCTGTGCTTTAAGGAGTAATTTGTAGCGTTTGTTCAGCTCTTTACGTATGGAAGAGTTCATCCAGGGTAGGCCCCTCTTCTTATCTTTACTCGTCGAGCATGAAGGTGAGATTTCATAATGTCCTTGTATAAATACTCCCAAGCCCAAGTAGCATCGTCCAGATTGTGAAAGACATTGCAGATACTCCATGGGGCTGCAGCAAAGTCCGTTCTTAATGAGTCTAGATCTACTTTTTATAATCGTAGACTGTTTTGAGCGTTGGTTTCTGACGTTTTCTTTTGAGATTTACGATTGCATATATTAAGTGGTGATCTGAGATTCCTAAATCACAAACACCCTGGTGAGAAATTTTTGAGGTGTCAGAGCAAATCACCAAATCAATCAGCGTTGTGGAGGTGTCAGTGATCCTTGTTGCCTTGTTGATGACATTCTTTAGATTAAATCTATTCAAAAGTTGACGGAATTTCCAGGTTGAAGAATCTGTGTCCCTGGATTTAGGCAAAAGATTAAAATTGAAGTCCCCCAATAAAATTATATTCGTTCGTTTCATCCATATGCGATCCAAAGTAGAAGAAAATTTATTTAAAAACGTAGTGTCATCGGGTGGGCGATACATTGAAGCAACTAGAAGTTTCTGAGACGCCACCGTAACGTCAATCCACGCAGCTTCTAGAGAGTTGTTTACATTTATGTCTCGACGCTCATATGCATCTAAGTATTCAGCAAAGTAGATGACCGTGCCACCGCCTTTTCGACCATCGTTTCGATCGCATCGAGCAGTTTTGTATCCAGTAATGGCGATTTCGTCGTCAGTAATATCCTTACCTAGATGGGATTCAGTTATGGCTAAAATGTCAAAATTCATCGAAAGTAAAAGAGCTTTAATTTCCAATAACTTGTTAGGAAGACCATTTACATTGATGTGTGAGATCTTCAAACCTGGTAGTTGCAAGTCCGCTTTGAGTGATGGATAAAGATGCGAATCAGATGAGCAACCTAGTGTTGGTAGTTGCAGGTCCACTTCGAAAGATGGATAAAGATGCGAGTCAGATGAGCAATCTAGGTTTGTCTCATTGTCGAATGGTAATGCGCCGGGGAAAACAGAGTTACTCTGCGAAAACTGATAGGTGCGTTTAACAGAGATGTTCATGGCTCAAAACTCAAGTTCATTGCTCAAGACTCAAGTTCTTCAGTTGAAGGTTGCATAAAACTTCGTTAAAATATGTTCAAAGAGAGGAGCAGGGAGTGCATCCCTTTCGGACTCACAAGCACATACCCTACCACACCTTTTGGTTTGTTCTCTCCGGAGTGAATACTTAAGTCACTGAAATGGAAAACCGTTCTTCCTGCCATACTTCAAAGTATTCATCACTCAATTCCAACTTAATTTCGCTTCTGGCGAACGCAAGTTTTGTTATAATGGACATTCTGGAATGCTCTTTTAACATGAGTAACACCCTCAAAGCTTCATCATAGCCACCCCAAATTGCCGTCCCTTGGAAAAAGCTAATATTAAACTTTACTGCTCTGATGTAATCAAAACTTCTCTCGTCTGAACACAGTTATAGACAATATCTCAGATTATTCCCTTTATTAGCTGTTGATATTCATTCAATTATGCAATATACAATATTTTACAAAATATGAATCTAACAAATTTTAACTTATTTCAATAAACAAAAACTTTTTTCAATATGACGCCCTACACTGTATGCAAAATTATTATTAATTGTAAGATCTATATTAACATGGTGGTAACGTGTAAGGAAAATAAGATCCTAAACTTTAGTTGAAGCAAATATAAGTCAACTGGAAAAATGATTTTCAGTAAATGAAAAGCAATTAAGCAAAAAGAGAGTAAAAAAAAAAACAAAACAAAACAAACAAACAAAAAAAAGAAATAAGCACCAATAATGCAAATTATGCACTATAAGAGAAAAATGCCTTGAAGTCCTGCAGTAACAAAATCATTAGCCAACAAATTAATTGCCTGATCCCTTTAATTCCAGAGGTGAAAAATAACTAACAATAATTTATGAGAAATTGACTGATGGAGCACTTACTTCTTATAAGTGATATACAAACTAACATATGGCAATGAACTGGTATATAAAATCCTCTAGCAAAGAGACATCAAGTTCCCAAGCAAGAAAAGCATTGTAATAAAATGAGATCTAGTGTTTTTTATCAAAATGTAATGATTGTCCAATGAAAAAGGTTTGTTACAAATGAGCATCTTCCAGGAGGGTTCCTTAAGAGAGCCTTAATCACTTGATTTCCTTATTCGATTACAATGTACAACAACATGAAAACAGCATTAAATGTTGACAAAGCTTAATCACACATTATTTTTAACTGTTCATATCCTCTATTAACTGAAAATTTGCTTCCACCCATGTCCTACACATCTAGATGCTACTCTTAAAAGACACAATTGCTGATTCACAGAAGTTTCAGGGATCTGGCTTGAAATGCTCTTGAAACAACAGAGCTGCTTGGTTAATATTGATAAGTCAATTGCTTTTCATTCAATCCATTGGATTCTGTCATGTATTATCTTTGAAAGAAAGAGATTCAAAGTCCCTTGATTTACATTATATGCAAAATAGCAATTTAGACATAATCAGACTAGATGCTAAATTATAACTGGATGCCAGAAAAAGTCAAAACAGTCTCTATGGCCTATTGTTCTTGAACAATGTAATGTATGTATGACATATGCAGCAACCTTGTGCAACCCCTTTGCAACCCTAATGAAGGTGGGGGGAGGGGAGAGAGAGGAGAACTGTGTATGATAACATCTGTTTCTTTGATATGTAAGTGATGATATTTAGTAGTCAGAGTATGTCATTTTAAGTATCTCCCTGATCTAAACACAAAAACATACAAAGAACAAAAGTGTTGTTGAGAAAAATTCATAACTTGTTAGCAATCTCTTTTTCTGTTCTCACAAGACCTATAACAAAACTGTCTCCTTCAGAGTAATGTGTTTCATGTCACACCCAGTGTTCGTGAATGACTTTTCCACCTTTCCGATATCCTACAACTTGAAATGCAGATTCACTATTGTCTTGTTTAACTGTGTTTTCTGGTGGCCTGTAAAGTAAAGAGAGCTTGTATATAAAGCATGGTCATCTCTGGACATCACAAGTGTATAAATTACACTTACAATGATGATTACTGATTACTTGTTGCAAGGAATTAAAAACCTAGATGATCTGATTTTAGCTTTTATCTTGTTCATGTGACAAGTTTTCTTCATTAGGTCATGAGCATGGGAAAAGGAAAGATATTGAGTCTGAAATTCTGGGGCTCAGTTTCATATGGGGCACTCAGATCTTTCTTTTATCCCATCCTCATGAACAAACTGAAAAACATCCATCTGTAACTGGTAATCAAGCTTAAAATTTATCATCTCTCTTGTTGCAATAAATTACTGTAGCAAGGAAAAGATGGAGACGAGTTGGTGCGTCATATACACACATGTATTTCTTATTCAGCAAGCAACAAAAAAAAGAAATGAATTACTAGGTACTGTTCTACACATATACCTTTCTTTCTCCTCCCATTTCTGTTCCTCGACTCTTCTTTCTTCCCTGCTTCTTTCACTATCTCTCCAATGATTACCATAATTTGCTCTTTGGAACCCAGAATCCTCTCTTGCTGCTGTGGAACTTTGACTACCTCCTGGTGATGACATAACATGCACAACAGAGCTTGTGAACTGCTGCTTTGGGGGAACTGAAGGAGCTTCAGAAGCAACAACCTTGTATTCTGAGGGAACAGAATTAACAACTTCTGCCTTTCGAAGAGGTTTTACAAAATCATCCACATATTTTCTTTGATTCTGGTAATCAACAGCAGAGTCACTATCCACACTTGAGCGTCTTAATCTCTTATCAGACACTGGACCATTTACAGCCCTTTGTAGAGATGATGCACTTTGATCCAGAGACTGCCTTTGCAGACCATTATTGCGTTGTCTCTGGGATGGTTTAGAAAGGTGTTCCAAGTTCACATCAAGGCTTGGGATTTTCTGCATTTGAACAGCTACAGGAGACAGCCTTGGAGGTGACTGAGACCTGGTTGAGCTTGGTATGTCAAGTCCAAGTTTCTTCCGCAGTTCACTGTTTTCTTTTGTAAGCTTCTCCACCTTTTTTTCCAGATTCCTCTTCATTCGAGAGAGCTCTAGAGATTTCTCCATAGCCATATCATTGAAAACTGCATTAGACTTCTCCAAATCCTCTTTGGCCTTCTCAGCCAAATCAGCCTTTTCTTCTGCAACAAGTCTTGCTTCCTCTGTCTCTCGTAAATTCTGTTGTGTTAATTTTAACTCTTTTCGGATCTCGTCAACCATAATTCTTAAGTTTTGAAGTTCAGATCCTTTACTTGCCTGAGACTGACGTACAGAGTTTAACTCTCCCTCAGAAGATTTCAATCTGGCAGACATTTCTTGTATTTCCTCATGAAGTTTATGCTTCTCTTGTTTCTCTTCTTCACAAGCTGCAGACAACTCTCTCTTCTGATCATCCAAATTTCTCTTGATCAGTTTTACTTCCTCCTCTTTGGTTACTAAATCTTTATTGAATAGGGCTAAGTCATTCTTTAGCTTTTCAATGGTGTCCTCATATTCTTTGCAGAGTTTTTCAACTGACTGTTTCTCACTTGAAGTTCTCTGCAGTATTTCATCCTTTTCAGTGTTGCTTTTATTGGCGATTTGTAGCCTCTGAGCAAGTTCTTGATGAAGATTTCTTAGATTTGAATATGTTCCCTCTAATTCTTCTTTCTCTGTCTTGATTTTTGTTAACTCCTCAATGATCCCTTCAAGTTCAACAAGTTTTGATTCATGTTTTGTCTTTTCTTGATTAAGTGCTTCCATTTCTTTAGCCATTTGACGTTTTTCATTTGCAGTCTTAGCAACAGTCTCTGACAGACACTCACATTCACTTTTCAAATTATAAATTTCTTTCTTGAAAGCTTCCACTTCACTGCTGTGATCATCATTAGTTCTACTAACTTCACTCTCTTTGTCTTTTTTACTTTTCTGCTTTTTCCCCTTTTCACTTGCACTTGCTCTCCACTTTTGTTTCTCTTCCCTCTCCTTTTCCAGATCTTCTTTCAGAGATGTTATCTCCTTCTCTGCCTTTTCCAGTGATTCATGAAGTGTGGATGTTTCCTTGTTCAGTTTTTCAAGAGCTGACTTCAACTGTAGAACATTCTGAGTGGGTTTAGGCGATGCATTTTCTGATACCTTTTCTTTTTGTTCCTTCAGTTGCTGTATTTCTTTTTCAAGTTGATCAACTTTCTTAGTCAATGCACTCTTCTCTTTCTCAAGTAGGGTGCACTTTCTTTCCGATTTAGCTAGATCTTCTTTTGATTCCTAGGAAAAAATTAAAAGAGTGGTGAATTGTTAGCTCAACCAATAGTTGATGATGGCAGCCAATTCTCCTTCTCAGACCAACTTTGGTTCTTAATTAGAACAAATGAAAATAGACTCCACACACAATACAACCACTATCAACAAAATTGAGATGAGATCTTTATGAAAAGAAATGGCAATAACTTTCTCTACCTCTAGTTGTGATAACAAAACTGGAACTCTAAAGTCAACTGCCAATGAGAGTTCAATAACATCAGTCCACATTCAACTTCATATGCTATAGAATTAAGTTGCATACTTAAAGAAGGTGAACGCTATTCCCTCAGAATAAAAATCAGTTCCAAGAAATGAAATTGAAAATTCAAAAATTTTACCTTCAGCATTACAACATTTCCATTTTGATCTCCACTGTTACTCAACCTCTTCTGCAAACTATCCACCTCTTCCTCAAGCTCTTCCCTGTCTAATTCTAGTTGTTCTTTCAAGGATTTCAGCTTTTTATTTTCTTTCTTTAAGCTTTCATTCAGCTTTTGCATTTCTGCTTGTTTTGATTGAGCATTTGTCAGTTCTTCAGTAATACTGCCTTCTGATTCCTCTGCCATTTGAAGAAGTTTTTGCAGGTTTGCATTTTCATCATGTAACAATTCCAGTTCTCTGGCCAATAAATTTGATGTATGATCACCCATATTAGTATTCTGACCTTTGCCTTTTAATTGTTCATTTTCTAAAGTTAAATTCTCAATATCCGCTTTCAAAGCAAGGTTTTGTTGCTTTAATTCATGGGACAAATCATCATTCTCATCACCATTTTCCAAGCCAGCTGAATTATCTAAAAGTGTTTTCAAATGATCCACTTGATCACGCAAACCATCACACTCATCCTGCAGAGCCTCTTTCTCAAAAGCCACATCAGATGAATTCAGCACATGATTCTGAATTTCTGTTATTGTCTCTTCAATATCTTTTAGCAGAGAGTTCCTTTCCATTTCAACAACAGACCTCTCTTCTTCTAATTTGCTAGTGTTAGAATAATGGTCCTCTATTTCTGCAAGACTGTTTTCTATCTCTTGAACAAGACGATCTTTCCGCATAACAAGTGGGGTTCCAGATGATTCCACTCCATTACCATTCTCATGAGTGTCATCACCTCTGACAAACAAATCTGTATTATTCTGCTTAACTATACTACTGGGTAAACTGGTTTGATGGAAAGCAGAAACAACTCTCTTGGGCTTTGCAACTTTGTTGAGAACTAGTGATTCCCTAGGTAAGCCATTTATCATCTCTTTCGGCATGCTATTCTAAACAATAGATTTTAATATGCAGCTTTTTTAACCAGTCAAGGGCTCAGCAAGACACAAAAGACTTGAACTGTATAATTGATGCACTATAAATGACCTGAAAGAAGACAAAGAGAACTGTCAAAATTTTGTGCACTAATTAAATTTTCACAGCATAGTCCATATCCATGAATACTTTGTTTGTGTAATGTAATTCATGCGTAAGTTATCATTGTCATACCTGTTTTAAAATTGATCAGTGTAAAATAACATTCTTCAGTTTCATATTGGTTTATTAGGACATAATGGCCAAAAAGGATTGAAAAAAAAATCATGGTTATCATCAGTGTTAACAAAGAAACGTCGCAAGAGGGAAGCTATTACAGGTCAACCATGATCATTTTTAGAACAAGTTAGCATTGTTTTCATTTTCAGTTATTATGTGTAATTGGCGAGTCATTGATGATCAGATGCAGACAGACATCTGGTCTCTAAGACATGGTCCATGCATCAACTATGAAAGCTACTGATATAAGTGTACAAGATTGTGAAGATTAACCATAGAATAGTCATTAGTAGGTGCAGGTGTAGGCACAGTGACAAAATTCAAAGCAGCATAATTCTGTAACAGTTATACAAAATCATTGATAGAGATTCTGCACTTATGGACTGAGCAATAATATAGCTTCAGTTGGCATATATGGAAAATTCAACATTTACAAAAGATGGATAAATAGTATTGAACATGAAGATCTCTTTTTAATGCCATTTTTAGTAGTCTGTGAAAAAGACGCACTTTAAGACAAGGATTAATGATCAGCTAATTAAATAATTCATGGATTAAACCGCTTGAGGGCTCATTCTGTCTCATTTAAGATAACTACAAAATTTTATGCAAAATTTTTCATAGAAACATAATTTTTTCATTGAACACCAGACTAAAATTGTTTCAACAAAGAGTTCTGCATTTAATAACACTGCACTTAAACCAGTTTGTACATTCAAATTCAAACCAGTTTTTCTACAAAGACCACATCTAAAGCACTACAAAATCCCTCTCTTTAAGACATCAGAAAAAAATTTAAAATTTTAATGAAATATATAATTTTGACTGAAATTATCATATATTGAAAAAACATAATTATTGAATACACTTAGATTAAAATAAAAAGCTTTTGGACCTCCATGACTATTGACATTACCAAAACATTGGTCAAGTATAATTTCTAGAATAGAACAAGTTGCCGTATGAAAATTTTCAACCTATGATACTTCATGTTTACAATCCGATTAAAAATAAGCCAAACACATTCCTCAACAAGGCCAATAAAAAATTTTCAAACAGCATAAACAATAATTTATTCCATGGAAATGTCAATCAAATTAAAATAGAATTATGTCACAATGACCCTCTGTAAGGTCCCCAGAAATTATTCATAGCCAGAAAAATGTTCTGCCAACCTTCTGTTTGTAATTGTGTGGATTACATGTAAGGAATACTGTGTACAAGAGATAATTTCATTGTAAAAAACTAAGAACCTAAGTTTGTCAATATCTTTGCCGTCTTTAAGGAAAGACTTAAGCCTATTATTAAAACATGGTCAAACTTTTTCACTGTCAGTAATAAAACATTGCCCACTTGATAACTAACCTTAGCAGACTTTACAATCCTGTGAGAGATAATATTTTCCTTGATGGAGGGAGGCACAAATTTCCCCTTACACCTTAGGTATAGATAAATGATGTAATATTTTCCATCTTCACCCCTTTTAGGCTGCCTTTTCCTTAATTGTTCACATGACAAAGAATCTATTCATAAAGGTTTAAGGGTGCTAATGGTGGCATTTTGCACCTAGTGAGGCGGTATCGAGCTGTGAGATACAAGCTAATACATAAGACTTTAGTGATCACAAGGTAGAGCTTGTGATACACAGTATCTAATCAAACTCAGGTCAACTATTTGTCATGTGGATAATAATAATTGTTTTACCATTTGAGCTAGATCAGTGAGTAATTTTTCCAAAAATAAGAATTTACTCATACATGGGACATGTTAAAACATGGATAATCCTGATCAACTATGGAATTTGTCATATAATTTAAATTAACCATTCCCAAATGATGTTTACAAACTTTTAAGACCTTGATAAATTAAACATAGTAATTTGTTATAAAATCATAGCAGCTGGTTTGGAACAAAACAAGACCTCAGTAAATATAGCTGAATTAAATCAAAGATGGTAGTTTGAAGTATTCCAATATTACCATCCTCAACCATAAGAGCACATTGTGATTAATTAAAGACGGGATGAATGAAAATACACTGTGCAAATAAGTAATATTTAGGAGAGTTCAATTTAACCTCAAGAGACACTGCAGAATAATAGCCTTGCATTCTATCGACTTGTCTCATTGAAGGATGTTACTAATTGACAAAAGAAGATGGCAAGAGGAAAAATAAGATGACGTTGCATGCAAAAATGCCGAAACAAGGACAAATTGCCGCAACTGGTTTGTGGTTAAAAATTTCAATTTCAGGTGATATACACTTCAAAGTGCCCTAAGCCTAACTGATTGCCCTAACTTTGTTTAACTGCGCGTGAGGTATATTACGTAAACAAGCGAGGCATTCTGTAACCTAACCAGATCCATTCGGAGCAGGTCTATCATAATGATACAGAAATCGGCTCAAAAATTAAACCAAAAGCGAACATACTGAAGACTCCACTGGGTACGTTATTAAACTTGCCACGTTCGACGCGAGCGCTGTTGAAATCGAGACCAAATTTAATGGAAATAAATGCTCAGACTAGCTTATCATAATTGAAATAGCGGTACAACATAGCTTCGCGATCCTTGGAGAAGAATACTTTTGGTTTAGTTCACGTCATACGAAGAAAGCGGAAGCCACACTCGCACTTCTGGAACAATACTTCATACGAAATATCCGTAGACGCACGAGTGACCCCAACTTGTCAAAAATGTCACGAACGAATATGTTCGCTGTGTTCCATACAATCACATACTAAAATTGGACAACATCCATCCCTTTTCACAGTTCAAACAACGGATCATGCAGTCACTTAAATATGTCACGATTAAAGTATTCATTTCTTCATTTACAAGAAAAAACCATAATTCTTTTCCGAAAACGTTTTTCAGTCGAAAAGAAATTTGATCATATCGACGAACCATCGAGAGGTTGTACGACGGACAGAGATTCCAGTTAGTCTAAACTACGAATTATTCCAGACGATGTTCGAAATACATCATAGCCAATAAGACGAAAGTTAGTCCGTATTGCTTCAGTATTCTACATGATAAGAAAAATTTGCCCAAGACTAAAAAGTTTTGCAAAAATGCGATCGACCGCTTACTGCGAAGGGTACTCACCGCGGCTGGAAATTTGTGTTTGGTGCCAGATATTGTAACTGAATGAATCCTTAAAATGGTAAACCAACTCTGGAAGTTTTCGTATCTTAGTTATTTACGATATAAACCCCATAGGCCAAATTCCAGAACACTCACACGAAATCCTTGACGAACTAAACAACTCGCTCTCGATACTATTAACCATCCGGAAACTGGCTCTGAAATCCAAACACTGACCTATCACCTGATTGGTCCATTTCTGAGCCAATAAGTTGTCATTGGCTATACGCAAAATAATAGACTGTTGGATACCATTGAAAAGCGGTAATAGGTCACAAAAAAATCCTTTTGTTTTTCACAACAGCATAACTTGTGAAATTTTAATTTTGATTTCAAAATAAGATAATTAAGTTTCTGAAAGATGTTGCATACAGGTAAATAAATCACCATGATCCTTGTTAGTGCTTTAATTAATTCAAGCTCAAAAGAAACACCAACATCTGTCTCTGAGATATTGTGTTTATAATCCAAAGATTTATTCTTTCCCAGCAGCGTGTTGTTAGGGAAATGCTGGTTAAAATATCTTTGTGTATTAATGTAAATAAGGCTATAATTAAATTCAAAGCCTTCTTTTTCTTAGTTAACACCTTTAGGGTAGAGGTTAATTTCAATTTAAAGTGGCACTTACAGAAGAAGTCAAACAATGATCCCATTTATCTCCTGGAGGCTACACGCAAAAACTTTAAGTGTAAACATTAAACTGGCAACATCAAAATCTTAGAGTTAAGTGAAGGGGTAGGAAAGTTTGTTTATTTCAGCAACGTTTAAAGAAACATGCATATTCTCAGTTAGTCAAGTAATTGGTAGCCATGGGTCAGCGAACAAGACTCAATATTTACCTCTGATTTGATGAATCATGTGCATTTATTATCATATGAAGGAAGTTTGCTCATTTGCCTGTTGAACAGTTGTCTCAACCAGCATAGGTTGAAGAATTCACTGTAGTATCAAGATTAAAATGGAGAAAAAGAAAGCTACACAAAGTCTTCCATTTCTTTGCTTTTTCTTTCTCTCATCTTTCCCTTGTTCTGGTCTTACTTACAAGAAAGCTTTTTAGCCAGCAATGGCTGAGGAACTAATCCCTCCAAGAGCAACAATGACTCCAGCTTTTGGGTTTTCATATTTATTTCTCCTCATTGTACCACCAATTTTTAAACAACTCCCACCTAAAAGAACATTGTAAAGGGTACATTAACCTTGAGTAGTTCAACAGTATATATAAAATTTTAATACATTCACAGCTCAATAGAATTATTCCATAAAAAAAGGATATTACTAAATGAAGAACAAGTTTTTGGCTGGGTATCTTACCCTCTTGAACAACAGCCTTTAGACACCCAACAATTCTGCTATAAGCAAGCTGTGAACTGCAATAAGCAGCCATTGCTTGTTTTAGTAGAATTTTTAACAAACCTCATAAATAATATCACATTTTTACAACCATGACTTATGAACTTTTAAAGCTCTAAAATCCATGAATGAAGAATACATTCACTGCTGCTAGGCAACCAAGAATTCAGTAACAATCTGGGTGATGAGTTTCTAGCTAGTAAATTTCTTCTATTCAACATCTCTGCATTCAAATACTCTTTACCTTTCCTTCTCCTCTAAATGGGAAAGAAAGATATAAATTTAGGAAAGGCAATGCATGCAGAGATCAGATAATTAGAGGGGTTAACTGCTAAATAGTCTTCAAACATAACCCTATAAAAGATATGAGAATACTACCAAACAATCCTTAGAGATTATAGGAAAAGTAAAACAAGAAAGGTGGGATATTTGTTAAAACATGTGTATAAGACAATTATTACCAGAGCTGAGGATCATATGTTTTGCTATGTTATGAGTGCATTTATAAATTGGTTTTTATTAAAACAACTACTATGACTACTGCTACTACTAATGTCATCAATATAATTATTACAATTATTGTCTCTGTCTTCAAATACTAATCAATGAATATTAAAGATGATGATAACCTCATGCCGTTGTTCTGTTTGCCATTGTTGGTGTCACCTGTGGGGCTGGTTCAGGTGGAGCATGGAAGAAATACAACTACAAACAAAAGAAAGTTTAGTATGATGGTCTACATTCAAATGAAAAGGAAACAGATACCTAGTTGACCTACTCAAAAATGATTCTCTTTAACAAAAAAAATCAACTCAGAACCCCAATGCAATGAATAAAAATATCATACCTTAAATCCAACAGCCAAAAGGCCATGAAGGAGAAATATGACTGCAAGAAGAATGCCAGCTACCTGAATGAAGCAGATTTGAAAAAAAATCTTAGTTAACAATCCAGCTCTTGAATCAGAAAATGCAGACAAAACAGAAATAAATAAAAGGCTAATGACAGAAACTGAGTTGCAAGTTTCCTCACAGCTTCATACCTTTTTGTCATCATCTTCAACCGCCGGCCAAAATGTTAACAATAGCACAGCACCTGTAAAATTGTCACAGTGGCTATTACAAAGTTGCCTTAAAGGAAAAAACATTGTTTCACTTAAAACACTATGTCTTAGTTTTTTCCTTACCTGAGAGAATCATTGCTATCATAACAAGAAGCCATCTTAACCATTCCAATGGGACAACCCATAACACCTGAGAGGAAACAATAGTAATATTATTCGCTGTAGAAATATTTTGAACAGCCAGTCAGTCTGTCAGTTGTCCAACATGAAATACGTCTCTCCTTAACATACACAAAGAGAATCTATCCACGGAAATCTGAAGATTGTTCACTGAAACAAAAAAAATTCTCAGAATGGCAGTATGAGTGATTATTGCTGAAAGATAAGTGACTCAAGATCTTGGGAGTGAAAGAGTTGAGAATTTTTGGAGAGGTCTTCTTATCTATTTATTTCTTTATCTAATATATTTCATTCATCTCTCACAACTTACTGATATTGGGACATAGATGGACAAGGAATAACCATAAACACAGAGTATTTCTAGAAAGGAATATCCTGCATTGCTTCTTCTCCAAAGAAGAACTCCCCAAAGAGCTGTTGGTACCAGGAAGGCATATGTGTATATGGCTGCTGCAGCCAGAGTAACTGTCATGGATGAAAATGTGATAGTAGTAATTACTGACAATAGTTTTATAAAAAGGCTTACGTGTCAAGAAAGTTGTGACAAAAATGGTCTTATTAGGGGGCGCACTGGCAAATAATAATGTGGGCAACCAAGGCTAGAAGATTCTCTACATCCATGGAACAGGTGATAGGAATAGAGAAATATTTCACATGGAATTTTACCTTTGTGGAAATCATACACCCATTCATGGTCTCCACTGTTGATCAGATAGCTTGCCAGGTTACCAGATATTGCTGTTGTAAATACAAGTGTTGCACACACCCAGAAGGGACCTAAAATTTAAGCAATGTCAATAATTGAAGTAAATTTCAAAACATACCTTTTAAATATATCCTGTACTGTTAAAAAAAAATGATAGATACAATGACATTTATACTCTACCATAAAGATCAGGATTTGGACGAATAAAAGACACAAGGTAGTTTTTCTTGTAGACTGGTACCATTGATCCTATAATCCTCCTAAGGACCTTAAAAACAAAAAAGTTTTGTTGGTTTAGGAGGCCTAGAGAACCACAGAACAATCCAGGAAGAACTTGAATGTTTCAGAGGTGAAAATCAATCACTCAATTTCATTGAAAACAGTTCATTTTATGCAAACTTCTTCAAAAACAAAATTAAAGGCAAAACACTGTTAGCATCATTTAAAATTTCATGGCTTCAATATGTAATAATCTTACTTGGTATGTGTCCACATCAAAAAAGGTTTGGTAATATTCAAATGTCCAGAAAGGTGGTTGTTTTCGCTGTCCAGCTAAAAGCTAAAAACACTAATTAATATAATTAAAACCAGTATAACTGCAAAACTAAAGTCAAGTTATGACATTAACAAGCAGCATGAAATTAAACTAAGCTATGCAAACCTCTGTTTTATCTTCTTCATCATCTGCAAGTGAAGAAAACAGCAAATTAAAAGAATGATTCTGCAACCTCTTAATTTTATAGCAGAGAAAGATAATGCAGTCATAAAAGAACCTTCATTCTTATCATTACTATATGTAGTCACTCCCAATTTTGATTTTTAAAATTCAGCTTTACACTGCTGGTTTTCTTCTGGTGATGAAGTTAACCAATCACAAATCAAATAAAGATTCCCATCTTGAACTATACACAATCTGATCCACTGATGCACAAGAGAGAGTCGCTATGCATTGATCTGTTAATATTCTTAATTTGAACAGAATATGTATTAAAGGACTACCATCAGAGAAGTCTTCCAGTGATTGTGTTTTCAAATTAGCAGGGATCGTTCTTGCAGGTTCTTCACCAATATTACCAACAGTGTTAAGATTATTTATGTCATCTCCTTTAGTAAAATCTGAAAGAAAAAAGGCCTCTGGTTAACTCCAGCCACAAATTGCACAAAAAATAATAATGTGTTTGTAAGGGCATGATTAATTTGCTCAGCATCACAAATGCAAATGACTCATTAAAAAAGGTAATGAAAATGATACTGCACAGGCCAATAATTTTCAAATTATTTTGATTATTGTGTTTTGATATTTTTTCACCTTATCAAATTTAATTTCAAACCTTGGAATGTGAAGTCTTCACCAGCTCCTCCTCCATCCTCCATCTAAAAAATAATTCATTAATATGCTAATTGCACTGTTTACATCCAAAACTTTTGGCTCAAGCATTGTTTTCGAATAAATATCGAATTATGATTCTTTTTTATTAAAAAATAAATAAATAAGAACGAAAGCTTCCTCTGTTAAAAACTCAGTAATTAGTATTTAAATCGTGCCCTAAAAGCCACAGATCACTGATTTGATTCAGGTTTTGTGACCGAAGCTGAACCCATTCAAAGCTAAACACATACAAACTTTTTGACTACCATCGTCGCTTTAATTCAATGAAAATGAACTTAAGGCAAGGGATATTCCAGGAGTAATTCAAGAAAATGTAAAGCTCCATAGCGTATAGCTTGCATTGGGCAGCATGGAAAATACATTAGATCAGGTTTTACTGAATTTAAATATACTTTTTATTTAATACCGCTAACGAAGAGTTTCATAAGCAAATAATTAATTTATTTTATTTGTGAAGTCTTATTAATGAAAGGTTGGGAAATAAGCTGTTTTACCTTCACGTCAACAAGGCCGACTTCATCATCACTCTCCGCCATTTTGATTTTCGTGCATGCGTGGAAGGGGCATGAGCTTTGCGATAAAACCGCTGATGTATTAAATGTGGTCCCATTTTCGGCCCTCCACGTGATGATTTCCACTTTACTATTTTTATTTTCAAAAATTCAGCACGTTCAAAATGATAATCCCAAGTGTATATCTGAAAGGAGGGACTCTAGTGGATCCAAAGGATGGGGAAAAAATTGAAGATGTAACAGGCTGCCTCGATACAATTTCTTTGTGCCCAGAGTTTACCATCGTTTATCTTGATAAAGTCCAGGAGACAAAAGAATTTGGAAAGAAAGTTATGCATAGGACCTCTTGTTGCGTAGAAATTGAACTGAATTCTGAAGACGAGGTCTTAGATATACTGGATTCTGGTGCTAACAGTGTCATCCTTAACAAAGATCACCAACTGCATAGCCTGGGAGAATTTTTACCCAGAGAAAGGATTGTCTGCAAATTACCTGATCAAGAGTGCTCTGTAGCTGAGTTGGCCGAAGAAATCAATGACCTAAAACACAGATCTAGCACTTTTCTTTTGTGTCCTAAAAAAGCTTCCCTTGCGGATGAATCATGCCTTGTCGAGTCTATAAAGGAACTAAAGACACACCTGTGTGACGATGTGAAACTCATACTATCAATCGATGGGGTGATTTTGTCCTCAACCATCTCACAGCTTCACTTCCTCGGAGTTCAGGTTCAACTAAGTACAACTTGGTTGCTAAATGATCTCAGTCTTGGAGAGATTATCGCATCCTGTCTTAAAAGTGACCGATCTGATGGACTCTACCCAACTCTTGTGGTAAGTCTCTTATGTATATGACATGGGTCAGTTGTGGGAGGTTTTAAGGTGCATGTCCAGAAAAGGTAATGATTTACTATGGTAGAACAACTTGAAATGCCACCAAATGCAGGTAAGATGCTAGTTTAGGATCCTTTCCCCACCACTTCTCATGGTAAAACCCTGTGCACACCCCTCATTGATTTCAACCAGTGCTTGTTGAGGGAGGAGGTGGCTTGGAGAGAGGAGGGAGGGGGTGGTATGTTTTGAAGGAGCTGATAAGGTACAGAAAGTAAGATAAGATGTCAGATGCATGATAGAGTCTGAATCTGATGAGGCAGAGGTGTGGGACTCAATGTGAAACATAACTCAGTGTTTTTTCTTTAATTTTTATTAAACTGCACACTTTTTTGTTGTCATTCTCAGACAGATGAGCATAATATTGCATTAGGATTGTGTTATTCAAGTTCTGAGAGTATTCAAGAAGCAGTGAAAACCAAGAAAGGGGTGTATTTTTCAAGAAAAAGAGGATTATGGAGGAAAGGGGAAACATCTGGAAACCAACAGGTAAATTCTTGAGTATGAAAAAAAAAAATGATGTTTAAGTCTGAGTTGGTGAAGAAAGCAAGCTCTTACCCTTAAAGTCTACTTTTTGGATTTTGGAAAAAGCAAACTTTGGAGCTAACTCTCTTTTTCTAACACAAAGAATCTTTGTCTTGTCTGAGCTTAAGGATTGAATTTTCAAATAAAATTTTGTTTGCAGGATTTATTGCAAATTCATTTAGACTGTGATTGTGATACCCTGAAGTTTGTTGTACGTCAGCTTGGACAAGGATTCTGCCACCTTAACACATGGACTTGCTTTGGAGATAACAATGGTTTACCATTACTGATGAATACATTAAAGTCCCGCAAAGAGTCAGCTCCTCCAGGATCCTACACAAGTCGCTTGTACAATGATAGTAAACTGCTGCATGCCAAGATCCGTGAAGAGGCAGAGGAATTGTGTGAATCTGAAACAAAAGAGGAGATTACTTGGGAAGCAGCTGATGTTTTGTATTTCACACTAGTGAAATGTGCCAAGGCAGGTGAGTAAAAGCTGTGTTTAGGGAAGGGGAAGATGAGTGACAATGATTGTCTGCTGGGTACATTTTTATGGATTGTCAATGTCAAAGAGAAACAGATATCTGGAGGGGGGGCAGGGAGACAGTTTTAAGACATTGAGGGAATTGCTGGTTTAAGAGAGGGAAGTCTACCCATGAAGTAAAGAAACTATTATGATAATAGTAATGATGATGATAAAAGTGTTGAGCAAAGCAATGACTTATTTTAGAGCTTTGTATTTGTTTGAAATAGAAAATCAGATTTTGTTGTTACATTCCTTTTTCTTAGGAGTTTCTCTGAGTGATATTGAAAAAGTTCTGGATCAAAGGTCACTCAAGGTTAGACGACGTCCTGGTAATGCAAAACCTGGCAAATTGTCTCCCCATAATGGCCATTCTATAACCAAGACAAAAGTACATGCTCCTGCCCAAGCTAACTCATCTACAGTCAGTGCACAAAACTCTGTTTTAAGAAGCTTTGATTTTGAGCTTCTTAGTGATAAGGAATTACAAGATCTTTGTAAACGTCCTGCAGTGGTTGACAAAGAGAAACTAGAAGCTATTGTGGGACCAATTTTGACCAATGTGCGAACTTATGGAGACAAGGCTTTGCTGGAATTAACAGAAAGGTTTGATAAAGCTAAGCTGAGCAGCCCTGTGATCAACATGTCTGCCACAGATGAACCGGTTCTTGATAAGGAGGTCAAAGATGCAATTGATTTGGCTTACAACAACATCTACAAATTCCATAAGGCACAACTTGACCTGGAGCCTCTTGTGGTAGAAACATGCAAGGGTGTGGTGTGCTCTCGACATGTTCGGCCCATTGAAAGAGTGAGTAAACACTTCAAAATTCTATCTTGTGGTTAAATTAGCTGGTATGGTGTGCTCATGGTATTTATAGCAGTTCAGCATTGCTGAATGAACAATAAATCAATTGTATTCCATCTGATATCAGTCAAGGGGATCTTGTTTTTCTGGAAGTTCTTTCCTCTTATTTCAACTCAAACAGAAGTCTTCTTCAATTTGTTTTTGATTTATTTGGAGGTCTGTTAAGGGTCATGCACTGCCAATCCCTTCATAGTTTGCTGGTTAACAGCTCTTGTTTGAAATTTGTTTGTTGCAGGTTGGCTTGTATGTTCCTGGTGGTAGTGCTGTTTTGCCATCAACTGCTCTTATGCTGGGTATTCCAGCCCAGGTAGCAGGGTGCAAAGAGGTTATTCTGGCCACCCCACCCAAGCAGGATGGTTCAGTTTCTCTTGAAATCCTTTACATTGCAAAGAAAGTTGGTGTCTCCAAAATATTACTAGCAGGTACTGAAATTATTGGTCATGGAAAGAAAACAGTATCAGAGGTTGCATTTGATCAGGTGTTTGTGTTATCCTATTGTTGAATGCAATAAACCTGAATGCTTCAGGTTCATTGAGATTCTTAATTTTTTCGAGGAAAAAATTGAACCTTTGAATTTTACTTTTTTTTTTAAGTAATTGAGCTCAGCACCAAAGGATTTTTATTTTTGAGTCAGGTGGGGCTCAAGCGGTGGCAGCAATGGCTTATGGAACAAAAAGTGTTCCTAAAGTGGACAAACTGTGTGGTCCAGGGAACTCATTTGTAACTATGGCCAAAATGTTGGTGCAAAATGATAGCTCAGCTTGTGTCAGTATTGATATGCCTGCAGGACCATCAGAAGTTATGGTGTGTAAAATCAATATTAGTTACTTAGTAACTCTAAGTGAAAAAGAATCCATTGGAGTTCTGTTATCTTGAATCCGAAAAAGGATATGTCAGATATATTAAATATATCTATAAACTAAAGCCTAACCCTAAGGCCCAGAGGCTGGTCATTGTTTCTTAGGGACCCAAGCAGGGCTTTTCAATGGTGTCATACACTGCCATCGTGAATGTAGAGGCACACCGTAATACTTTTTTGTTCAACTACACTTATAATTATTCTAAATTTTAACTAGTTTCTCATTTGGGTAGCAGTGATGGGGGTTGGTGTGCATGTCACACCCACAGTAGAGCTCTACCCCCATCCTTCGGTGCAAAACACTCAGTATCTTGTCTTTCTCTGGTGCCATTAGTAATGGTACAATCATTATATCACTTTATTTTGTATCCTGGGTACTCCATGCATCTTTGCTTCAGTTTTTTATATATCTATCTTGTTCTTCTGTAATCAACAGGTCATTGCTGATGCAATTGCAGATCCCTCATTTGTGGCAGCTGATCTGTTGTCCCAGGCAGAGCATGGAACAGACAGTCAAGTGGTGTTAGTAGCTGTTAATTTGAGTGACAACCAGCTTGCCATGATTCAGGTGACAGATTATATTTTTATTTTTACCTGATAAGTTTGAGTATTCAGATTATTTGTTTGCTGGATAATATATGGATATTTTAGGGAGACATTACATGTAAATCACTTTTTCTAGTTCAAGGGTTAATTTGCCCTTAGGTGGTTATTAAGTGAAAGAGCAAAACATGGATTTGTTTTGGCAAAAAAATGTAGTCTTCATAAGATATTTAATTGGTGCCTCATTAATATATAGTTTATTTTTTCATAATTTTTTAGAGTCAAGTGGATGCTCAAGCAAAGAAACTGCCTCGGGAAAAAATTGTCAGAGAGTCTCTCTCAAAGAGTTTTGTAATAAAAGTGTCAAATATGAGTCAGGCTCTGTGCTTCAGTAACAAATATGCTCCAGAACATCTCATCATTAACACAAAGGTTTGCTAATGGGCAAGATACTTTGAATGTTGTTCCAAGTGTGTGAGCCCACCAGTTGTACAAACATACCGTGGTATAAGATTTAATCATGGATAACTGCTTTGAAGCTTAGAGTTGCAAGCATATTAAAAGGCATAATAAGAGGCGTAAGGGCTTCTTCCTGTCCTGTGTGACTCATGTGCCTTGTATGTTTAAATCTAACTTAACCCTCTACACCCTAAAATTAGTATGCATATTCTCCAAACTCTTCTATATACATTTCCTGTAATATAGTAGGGAGAGTTTGCCTGACAATTGGGAGCTTCTTGAGTTTGCAATCATTTCCTTCATTCTCTGTTTCATTTCCTGACACTGTTGGGAGAAATTAGATCCTTATCACTCCTGTGGGGTAAAGGGTTAACAGGCAATAAGAGAAGTTTGAAGAAGCCTATATCATATAGAGGAGGGGAAAAATTAAATTAACAATCACAACCTTGCTGAAATAATTTTTTTCCCTTTAAATTGTTTTAATATCATATAATTTGTTTGCTTTCTAGAATGCTGAAGATTCTTTAAAAGATATACAGAATGCAGGGTCTGTATTTCTTGGGCCATATTCTTCAGAGAGTTGTGGAGACTATGCAAGTGGTACAAACCACACCCTTCCAACATATGGCTATGCACGCATGTACAGTGGTGTATCAACAGCATCATTCCAGAAACATATCACAGCCCAGCATGTAACAGAGGAGGGTTTGGCTAACATTGGACCAGCAGTGGCAACACTTGCTGCTGTGGAGAAACTTGATGCTCACCGTAATGCAATTTTGATCAGGCAGAAACAGATAAATGTCTGATTGTAGAAATTTATAGTGCCATTTGAGAGTGTCAGTATGAACTGTTACTTTTATAATCTAAATAAAATCAATAAAATAAGATAAGTATTTTCCTAGGAGTTCAAGGCTTATTAAGCTTTATAAACCATTGAGGAACACTTGTTAGAATAGAGTGTTATGGTCTACAGCTAATTGTACATGTTAGTTAGAGTTGAAAATTCTAACCTTTAAAGAGAAACATATGACATAATGAACATGTTATTTAAGGAGGCATATTTATTTGTAGGAGTTAACAAACTGTGTGGCCAAATCTTTGTTTTCCACCCATGGAAGGTATTCTGTGTTCCCTACATGGTAATGACATTTGCTTGTTCAAGGCAATTTGTTTGGGGGGATGACTGAAAGAGGGGGCTTAGTTGCAGAAACCCTGGTACTTACCCACTCATTTGAGTGTATTCACTTACCACTAGCTCAGTAGAGGCCACATTGGTTTAAGTTGTTCAGAGAGCTGAACTGAAATGTTAGTCATCACCAAATGAATAAAGGGGGTACATTCTAAACAAACTGTGGTGTTGCATCAGTGGGGGCATTCAAGATAATTTGATAAAGTAACTGGCCACTGTAGAAGGTTTTTCAAGCTGACACCTGCAATTTTTATAATCAACTTGGTTGATGTGATCATCACTAGTCTGAATCATGATAGGTACCTTTTTGCAAAAGTCTTCCCACCTTGCAATGTGTCGATTGTTTTTCAATTTGGTACAACACTACATGAGGGTTACAGCAATAAAGAAACTTCCATTGTTTTGGTGTCATGTGGTGCCACATCCTTTAATATTTCTACTCTCTAAAGTCGATAAACTTGCTTGGCTCTGTTCTGTTCATTGGTTGAACAAAGTAACATTGAGTAAGACTTACAAGGTATACAGAAATAAGTTATCACACATCAGACATCTTATAATGCAGATTTTATTTGCAGACTTTTCTTGCCACTATACACAACTCTGCTAAGTTATAAGTTACCACTGGCAAAAGATCCAACTATTCATTTAACAATGTTATTTAGCAGTGGACATTGAAATTGTGTTACCAAGTGTAGCATCTTCAAGATGTTTATACTGTATCTACTGCATTGTTGTCTTTTTGTGATGTCAAAAATTGCCTTTAAAAAAAGACCCAACCGCTTTGAGCGAGAGACAAAAGACTAAAGTTCTGCTTAGAAAACAATGGCACAATAACTTTTCTCTGTTGTAAATATGGAGTCCCAGTGAGTTATAAAACCCCAAATTACTTTTACAGCTCTCCTTGGATGGACTTATGGGAGTCTTTATCACCCAGCCACAAGCCCCAGTCTCCACACTTTTGTAACAGTGGAGTAAAGATAGAGGAGGGAATGGTGGGGAGAGGAGTACAAGGGGGTGACAAAGACTGGCCCAAAAGTTTCATTAACCACTAAACAATTAAAGAAAGAAACAAGCATCAGTCTGATGATTTTCTGGGTTACTGGTTGTTTCAAATTTGCATGTGAGTTTCTTAACATTCCGTTCATTTACTCTGATTTAGTCAACTGAGTTGATAATGTAAATTGGCTGCTGTAGAGAGGCCCTAAAGCTGAAGTTTCAAATTAATGTTAATCCTTTAGCTTAAATTTTATTATAAAGCAAATGCAATGCACAAACCCATTCCAACTGAATGACAGCTAAGAAAAGAACAGGTGTTACACTTACTAGTTGCACAGACCAGTTTAAAATACTACTGCCTCTTTAAAAAAAAGGTTACTTTTTGTTTTTCAAGTACATACATTGAAACTTGACAACTTGTTGGTAACATTGTGAAGACAAGAATTCTGTAAAAATATTCAACATCACTCTAACAAAGATTAAAGTGGAATACATTATTTTGTTCAATTAGATTTTTCCAGAAGACAAATGGGATTCTTGTGAACCAATTCAAGGTCCACTTTGTGTCCTATTAAATCCCGAATGTTTGAAATCTTGTATTTGATCATGGTTGGCCTGCAGTGAATGTAAATCAAAAATAAAGAGCAATCAGCCAACATTGGATAAACCTTTTCACTCAAAATTTATACAAAAAAACCTAACAAATTGATATAAATTATGTAACACTACATGATGATATAAACATCCACCACAAGTACTCAATACAACTAAGGAGATGTACAAACAGTCAAAGGGGTGAAAGGTAATTAACACTTAAACGCAAAACAGATGGGAAACAACATGACAATAAGTTTAATAATAACAGTGAACACTTACCTTTCCAAGGAAAGTCCCCAAGCAATAACAGACACATCTTTTGGTAAGCCCATTGGGAGTAACATTTCAGGTCTGAAAACCCCTGAATTGCCAACTTCAACCCACTTCTTGAGGCCTGAAAATTTTAAAATCTTTGATTGTAACATACAGTAAATAAATCATGTAAACCTTCATAACCACACAAACAATACTGACTATGGAAAGTGTTTTTCAGGCAAGAAAAATGAGTGACTGTAAACAAATGAAGTCAACTACCTAGAGTGCTCCAGAAGATTGGTTCTAGTCAGCTGATTTAGCTCTAGTTGTCTATAAATGAAATCTGATGAAGCAGAAATTTTATTTAATGAGTACCTTCATGATAACTGAAAACTTCCATGCTTGGTTCTGTGTAAGGATTGTATGCTGGCTTGAATCTTAACTTTGTAATTCCTGTGGAATTGGAAAAAAATAATTGATATATGGACTGTAGTTCTTCTGCTTCATACAGTAAATCCCCTTTTACCAATGTGACAAAAATACCAAAAGTTATACTTAAAACTAACCTAGCTTCTTGAAAAACTCATAGAGCACTCCAATCAAATCCCCAAGAGTCAAGTTATAATCTGCAACGACACCTTCAATCTGATGAAACTCTGCTAAATGAGTAGCATCTAGGGTCTCATTCCGGAACACTCGATCTATTGAAAAATACTTGGCTGGTGTGAATTTTTCCTGCAAGTAAAACATAGTTCAGTTGACTTCTACATTTAATTCATCAACATTGAAAAGTGAAAAAACAAGTTAGAGTTAATAATATTCAAACAAGTAAAATCAAAGATCTTTGTGCTCCATCAACTAGGCTAAATACAATAAAACAATTTTTAAATTAGCTAAAACTATTGCTGAGAACCTTTTGAGCCAGTTTGTACAGCATCCTTGCACTAACAGCAGTTGTATGAGTTCTGAGAATGTTCTTTTTGGCTTCTTCAAGTTTCCATTCATATTTATATCTGAAAAATCAATCACATTTATCTAGTGTTAATCACCCCCAGAAACTGAAAGCCATTCAAGTAAATACAGTTGTCATTCTTCTAATCACAGCTGTAGCTTTCCAGTATCCTTACTACTGCATTTCTGAGTAGCGCATCTATCTCTGGTTGACTTCAAAGCCAAGGGAATGTTTGTTAAATTGCAAAGTATAAATTGAATTGTGTAAAAAAGAAGTTGCAAAATTAGTTCTTACCCCTGTGATCCATGTCCTCCAGATTCATGCATGATTTTCACTTTTTCAATATAGGACTCAGGCATTTCCTTGAGCTTAGCATACTTTGGTTCTAAAAGCAGAAGAAAATATTAGAAGAACTGAATTGACAATTTATTAACCAATGCAACATTCAGTAGTCACTAACCTGCCATGAAAAAGGTGTCATGCGCATCACGGGCTGGATGTTGTTGAGGCTGGAACAATGAATCAAAATTCCAGAAGGAGCTCTCTACAAAGTTGTTTGTAGGCATCTCAGTAAACCTTAAAAAAGATCAACCACTCCTCAGTAATTTGTAGTCTTCATCTTCTTCACTACAACTGAACTGACCTCAGAGTATAAAGGGAATAACACCATAAAGGAATCAGTTTTGAAACTTCTCTACTGACCCCATTTCTAAGAAGATTTGTCTGAACTGTGCTCTAACTTTCATCAGAGGATGAAGATGTCCTGATGTTGGTATGATTCCTTGTGCATCAAAATTGTATGGCTTGAATTGCTTCTCTTTCCAAGAACCACTAAATGTAAACATGGATAAAATATTCACAATTCACCTGATAAAAAATAAAAATGCATTGCTGTGACCTATTGATAAATAACTTGTTATCTGAAGTCATAATAGAGAATAAATTTAATTGAATTTTATTTCAATCTTTAGTAAAATTTTTCTTGTCTACATCAATAGTAAAACAATGATACTTTATATAATATTCAAGAAATCAACCTTGCAAGCATGTCTGCTGTTAAATCAGCTTCTAGTTTTGTTGGTGATATGGTAAATTCAGTGCCTTTGGTCACATAAAAGCTCTTGATGACCCTGAAAAAACAATGAAAATTACTTAAAATGTAATTGGAAACTTATTCAATTGAATACCCCTGTGTTTATGTATGAATTAAAGCTGACACTCTCGGTGAAGTGTACTTTCACCTGGTATAAGTGTCTTTTGTGTTTCATTGATCCTAACCAAATGCAAACAAACTGTACATGACTCATAGGTAATCTACAGGGCAAAGTACTTGGAAAGTCAACAGCCCTGAGAAGGTACTGTCCTTTACCTAAGCTGGGTAGAATCTTTCACTATTTGCACTTACTGTGTTTTAATGAGCTTCCTTTTCTTGAATTCCTTCATCTTTGCATCAGGGATGTCTGAAAGCTGCTGATCTCTGATTTTTATGAGTGCAAGTTGGACATCATCTTTTACATCCTCAGCCTTCAATAACATATTTTGAAAGATTAAATGGAGAAATAAAGCCCAAAAATAATTAAAATTAGTTTTCCTGTATCTGCAAAGGCTATTTTACTTATCCTTTCTGCTCACAGTTTGAGGACACAAGCATAACCTCTACTATGTTTAGATTTAACATCTATATACAGATGAAATTCAGATGAAATACAGATGGAATGATCCTTGTACAGTGCTGATTCAAGGTGTACTTTATGAAAGTGAAGAACAGGATAAGTCTAAAGTGTTTCAAGCATTTCATTCTCACCTTCCTCATTACCCTAGGTCCTCCCTCTGCATTCTTGTTTAACAGAAGCCATCCAGCTGACATAGCTTTACTAAAACCAACATTAGCATGTGGACCCAGTTTCTGTCAACACAAAATGATAAACAACAATGACATTATCGAAGTGATATTGCGAGTTTCTTGGGATGAGGATTCAGCCTTGCATAATGATGAAATGATAGTATTTAGGACATTTATCTGCCCTCATATGCCTAACTTCCTGTAAGTACCTTACAGGCATATTCAGAAATGACACGTGTAAATAGAGGCAGCCTTCTACCACAGCTAACTTCAGTTTTGGTATATTTAATCATGGAGACCACCCCCACCCTGTCAAAAGGAATTTGGAGCCTCCCATCCATCCTGCTCTTTAGAATCCATGTGGAGTTTCATCAAAACAAAGGAAGTAAAGAGAGTTTCCTTCATTCGGTGCACACAAAATAAAAAGAGATCAAATAACTGCCACACAAAAATCTATTTCATAGAATACCTTTACTTCCGCTTGAGGTAATCCCTCTGGTGGAACAGCTTTAAACACCAGAAACTCATGGCTACCTTTCTCTACCACTTCACTTCCTTCGTCCGTCAGTACCCAGCCTTCGGCTTGTCGTTGCTCAACATTTATCACCTTTAAAATCACCCGAAAAAACACCATTTACTGATATCTTTCTCATTAAATTACCGATAAAATATCCCCATAGCACAAGGAACACACTTACATCCCCGAGAGCATGGATGCTCTTCACACTTCCAACAATAGATTGATGATCTTTCCCGAGTTCTTTAGCAAATTCGAAAGTCTCGATACTCCCTCTCTCTTCTACACCTTCTAATACCAGTCTCTCCAAGGACTGAGTACCCATTATTCCGAAGAGAAGAGTTTTCAAAGCAACAATAAAGCCCACTCTTTTTCAGAAAATTTCATCAGAAAATACTGACTGCGTTATACGAAGTACAAAAAAGATATCGCGCCGCTGGATAAGTTATCAATGACTTGTAAGGGCCCGCAATTTCCTAGCTAGCAGTTTCATTTCAGAGGATAGAACTGTCATGTATGATGAGATCAGATAATAGAAAGAGGTAATGGCGCTAGTGTTATTGTTTGATTTCATAAATTTTCGCTTTCATGCTCGAGCAACAATAGTGGAAGGTGTTGGAGATGAAGTGTTAATTGGTTTGGCGTCGACTCTTGGGCTCATAGCGCTAGTTAGTATTCTGTACAACACCCAAGGACAAAGAAACATTCATCCCTTACAAGAAGAGCATGTGCGTGTAGTGCGTGACAGACTGGGAGTCCGACGAGAAGGAAGTGATACAGGAGCGAATGATGATCCAGTTCTGCCTGATTCGCCACCTGTTACTTATTCTACTGATAGACAGTGCCCTGTTTGTCTTACAGACACGAAATTCTGTACCACTACCAATTGTGGACATGTCTTTTGTGGTATGTCTCTCTTTGAATTCCCTTACATATATGTCCGATTATATTATCACGGTAACATCATCGTTTGACAGATATAATTGAGGATTTTGTTCGGTTTGTTTTTCTCTTCCTGCGCTTTACTATAACGCTCGAAGGAAAAACACAAAAATGCCAGGACTTCTTATGTGTAGTTATCAAGTTTCCATGTGCTCATCCTTCTTTTCTGGCTAATATTTTGACAGTCTCGATATAATTGTTTTCTTAGCCCCATGTATAATAACATACTGGAGGTATGGAAGGTGGCTTGGTGCTATCAACTGTCCTGTGTGCAGACAACAGGTGAGGGCTTCATCATAGTCAGACAGTCAGTCAGCGCTCATTGATTCAGTCAGTCATTCAGTCTGTGAGACAGTCAGAAAGTTATTTACTTCCTTGGTGAACTAATCTTTTAGTCAGATAGGTCAGTTGATTGGTTGATCTATAGGTCAGTTTGTTGGAAATAAAGTTTTGAGTTACAAAGAACACAGCTCAGTCATGGCACCATTACACTTGATTATTACTGCTCCCTTAAACCAAGTCCTTATGTCTAAGGAGTGAAGCTTAGGCTCATTTCCTAAACAATGGCTGGTTTTCAAAATTATCTTACCAAGGAGGAAAACATGAATGCAAAATCTGTTACACCTGAGTTTAAGTTAAATTCTTGTCTTTTCACAGGTCACTATTCTATTTTCAAATTTTTCTGAGGAGGACAGAGCATTACCAGAAGCAGTACAACATAGACATGATATGAATGAGTACAATCGTAGATATTCAGGAATACCAAGACCTGTAAGTAACCCCTCTTGTGTTTCAACAGTATGTACAAATTTTTTTTGTAAATTACATGATCAAGCATAATGTATACTCTCAATATTATTTATTGTTTATATAATAATTATTTTCATCTTTCAAAATTAGGACAAGCATTTTAATATTTAAGTTCTGACTTGCCTCTCATAATGCAGCCTCACAAAGATAACTGTGCATGAGTTCAATTTTTTGGTTTTGTCTAAAGCTCAAACTCTCTGTTGATTTTTTACAACGTTGTACAACTCAGAAACTTTATTCCAGCTTTCTGATGGTTACACACAGAATAATATATCAAGCTAACATGTAAATTTGAGAAAAAAAAATTGTTGAAATAACAAAAGAAAAAGATTTTTGTTCAATCATTTAATGAACAATTCCTGTGATTTTGAGTGGAGTGTAAAAAACAACAATCAAATAAATTTTTCACAACAACAATTCCACTTATAACAATTCCTTTCTTTCTTGCAGTGGATGGATTACATTTATGACCTGCCCACTCTTCTTCATCAACTGTTTACTGAGCTGTTTTCTGTTGGAGGACTTGTCTGGGTTCTAAGACTCAGAATCATCTTGTGTTTTTGCGCAGCAGCTTTATATTTTGTTTCTCCTTTGGACATCATTCCAGAGTCTGTGTTTGGATTTCTTGGTCTTTTGGATGATGTACTTATCACTTTACTGGTGCTGGTGTATGTTACTGAAATGTACAGAAGAGTGATTGCCAATAGAGCAGAACAACCCATGTGAAGCATCATCAAAGAAGTATAATAAATTACATTTATTGTGTTCACAGTATTTAATGCTATTTGGTATTGGAAATTAGGTTTTAAAAATTTTTAGAAAACATTTTTCAAATCAACAAACATTTTTCTTGACTGGGTGTTCCTCCTAAAGAGTGACACAAGATTAAAATATCTATCATGTTTGAGTCAATAGAATTTCCACTTGATACAAGCATCCTTAAAGAGGAATTCCATATTTCTGAGCTACACACTTTCAGTGGTCTATTAGAAACATTTGAGGTCACAAGTTTAGATGGATGAAGAAACAGGATATGTTTAATACCAATATCACCATTTCCTTGATGGTGAGCACCAATTGTAGTGTTACAGAGTGTAACATTTTTAAAATTATATTATTGACTTCGCAAGTTGTAGATAGTATTGTGAACAATTGTTTTAAAATAACAAATAAGATCAATTTAAACAAAGTAGTGAGGGTAATTAATCCATTTATAGTATGCTTCAACTATAAACAGAAGTACTGGCAGGTTTTTACGTACTTTATCTGCCTTATTTCTTTATAAATGGAAAATAATGACTTTAAGATGATGAAAAAAACTCTGCAGAATGCATGGCCAAATTTTCATCATATATGGAGCATGCAGGTCAGGCAAATCCTTTTTTTTTTTGTTGATAAGTTGTTGATTTGCCTGAAATTTTGCCCAAGTTTAGAACTGACTAATAACTTCCTCTATGTAAATTAGATGAAGAACAATTCCTGGTGCAGAATAAGGAGCAGTCATCCAAAAGGTGAATTAACATAATAGTATTTTCAGACAAATTTTTAAGGATATTTCACAAAAAGAAAAACTTTGAGGAAAATCTAAGTTAAACAAGAGTTTCTATCACACATTAGTGTCTTAAATTTAAACATCATTTTTCTATCAAATTAGTCATGGTACAACTTCATTAAATGTAAGTTAGCCATACTATATCAGTTCAGATGTAAAAGTTTAAGTTAGTGGAACAATTTGAAACAAATGAGAGAAAAATATAAACCACAGTGTAGGCAGCAGTAGTGTTTTTATCCAAAACCCATAAACCATTTCTTTCCAAAGTTCTAATCTGAAAGTAGCACTGTCTCCTCCAGCAACTAGACATGGTTTATGCCAGTGTAATAAGTAGGAAGTTTGTCTATTTCTGTCAGTAATGGCTTCTCCAACAATTGACCTTATGATTAACCCTCCTCTTCATAAGATTTCATTTGTTATTTTCTCTTCTAGCTGTTCCACACTTCCTTGTAATTTAGTTTAATGAATTAAACAATATAGAGGAAATAGACCGACAAATTTTCCATTGTTAAATCTCTTTATTTGAGTATTTATTCACAACACTCAACAATAAACTGTACTGGTTCAACCCAACTGTACTCAATTTCTGTCCCTTGAATGAAATCTTCCTCAACATAATTTGCTTCAGAAAATGCTCCACCATAATTTTATTTTCATATGTTCTTACATTGGACAACCCAAGTAAAAACCAGGTAATCCAAACAAATCCCACTAACTGGAAAAGCGAGGCAACCTTGAGCATTTCCCAACAGCACTACATGATTTGACCTACTTTAAACTTATATTAAATATTAACATTGTTTGCAGTTCTTTTTTTAAAAAATAAACAGATATAGGTATGTCATACTTAGATAATGCAAGTCTCTATTTTGCCACTGTTTACTCTACAACACGCAACATTGTTTAAGTTTCTTTTCAATACTCATCCGCTTTAAACTGTCTTGTAAATTTCAATTTTCATACCTCAGTTTAAGTAAAGAACAGGTCCCTTTTACCACCTGTCCATCAACCCTTGACAAAACATACAAAGTGATTAATTACTACAAAGCTATGATAGAAACAAGGTACAAAAACTCTGCCAACATCAGTCAACAAACAATAACTAATCAATTTACAGATAACAGGCAATCTTAATTTTTTGAAATAAAATATACAAAAATATATAAATATGTATTTTAATGGAAAGGTAAATTTACTTTCTAAACTAGAAAAATTATATTTGTGGGTTAACTCATCATGCAGGTCCCAAAGCTGTGACTTAATGAAATCAAGTCTGAGACATTATTAATTAAGACACTATGCAAAGTATTCATATGCAATCTAATTAAAGAACCTTTAACAAACATTCTTCAATTGTTCCTCAGTATGAACTTATTAACAGCAAATTGTCAGAAGTGTTATTTCAATCAGAAGTTCTGATTGTGGTGCTCATAAACATTTCTGCAGCCCTTATCTTAAATAAATCATTGTTACTGGAAAGCAACACAGTTACACAGGCACTCCATTGAAAAGTGATGAGATCTGGTGATGAATGCAGTTAAACCTTGGCCTCTCAGTTGGCATCAACTTCCAGCAGCCTTGCATAATTTCATACATTTCTTTGGGACACTCTTTTGGACAAGGAAGAATGTCTCCACCATTCACCAAAGAAATAACTTCATCATCATTCATTCCATAGTATGGCGTTAAACCACTAGAGTAAATCTCCCATAATACAACACCAAATGACCAGATGTCAGTATCCTCTTCAAATACACCATACTGGAGGGTTTCAGGGGGGAGCCATCTCACAGGGTAGCCAGCTCGCTCTGTGGATCCCAAGGAGAAGTAATCACTATTTGGACCTTTCCAAGAGAAACCCAGGTTTGAGATCTTGACTACCATTCCTTTGCCCATGATGCAGTTCTTGGTGCACAATTCTCTGTGGACATAACCCTTATCTGCTAAGTATTCCATACCACTTGCTATCTGCTTGGCAATGGATATCTGATCTATGTTTGACAGCTTTGGTTTGGCATTTTGTATATCAGTGCGTCGATGGATTGAACAATGACCACGGCCTGATTCAATGAGAAATTGCTGCAAGCATTCATCATGCTCTGAAAACTCAAACACAAGGCACAGAGGCGGGCTGTCCACACAGACACCATACAAATTTTGCACATATGGGTGGCTAAATGTGGTCAGGGTAATAGCATCTTTCTCAAAGTTCCTTCTATCCTCTTCCAAAGAGTATTTTTCTTTGAGCAATTTCACCATAAAGAGTGGACCTTTTCTTTCCTTGTCATTTTCCACTTTGGTTTCATTCACACTGGCAAGAAAGAGGCTTGAGAAGTTTCCTGTAAATGAAAAAGGGTAATTAATATGCATGCTGTCCTGAAGAAGGCAATCAAAATAAACAACTGCATTGCTAGGGAGTGTTATGCTGATATGACAGCAAATTATCTCCACTTGTTTTCAAAGCAACGAAAGACTTGGCAAAATTTTAATCAACTTACCATTTCCATGTCCCAGTTCTTTGATGAATTCCATCCCGTTTCTTGATACCTGCCAATTCAGTAGCTGTGGGTTGACATAATAGTTTGTGTGCTGCTCATATATTGGATTATTTTGTAAGTTCTCCAAATCAACAGGTGTTGGTAAGTTTTTCATTTTGAAATTGCCACGGCGATTCATGACAAGGACCCCACACAGGATGAACAAGACAGCTAACACAACAAATGCCGTGACCAAAATAATGGTCAACTGAGTTGAAACTCCTGATGATGGATTAGACTCCACAGCTGCATCAACTAAAAAATAAAATTAAAATAAATGACATATTGTGTAATTCTAGATAGAACAAGGTCATTTTTCATATACTTTTGACATAAATTTCAAATTCAGAGTGAGTCTTGTTCTTTAAAAAACTTGGGCTTTCAATAATTGGCAGAGAAATGAAAGCATAGGACATTCATTTATTAAGTGGAACAATGTCGCTCAACAAGTTTGGGATGACTGAGATTTGGACTATGTTTGACAAGGAAATGAAACGCATGTTTATTAGACCTTGATATTAACTAGTACCATGTTACCCCTTAGAACCAAAGATTTGGAAAATGAGAAAATTTGTTACCTTTAGCAGCTGTAATGTAGGCTGTCTTTGAGTCGATGTTGTGATTATTTTTTGCCTCACATTGTATAGCTGTCCTGTCTTTAATAACTGTGAGAGTGAAGAGAGATACTCCATTTTCATCTTCTGGTAAGTCCTCGTAATATTTACCCTCTGTCAGCCATCTAAACAAAGAAGCAAACCATGATACATCACTGAATGGCAAAAAATTGTTTATTAAGACCACTTTGCCAGACTGTAGCCTGGCTAAGTATGAGAATGCTTTGAACAATAATTCTTGAATCTTAATAAATAAATGTACATGTAGTGAGGATACACAAATGTACACGGAAGTCAAAGAAAAGATGCTTGAGGTAATTTTGGTAAAATTGCTTGCCATTCACAACAAACTCACTGAAAACAATTTACTAATATATGTATCTACTATGCATTCTTAGTGCACTTCCATTGCACAAACTGTACCTGATCTTGGGTTTAGGATCTCCTTCTGCAGCACATTTTAATGTCACATTAGCTCCCAGCTCTGCAGTCAAATTGGCTGGCACTATAGTTATCACAGGTGAAGACCAGGTGGGTGCAGAAGTTGTTGAGTCATCATCTGTCACAGTGGTAAGTATCACAGGAGCTTAATGAAATAAATTAAGATATAATAAATCATTAATTGTCAATGACAATTTACAGGTGTTTAAAGTCTGATTAAATTACAGCATCTACATTAATTTGTTAATGGCATCGCACATCGCACTCGTATCCTGTCTGGGAGGGGGGGGAGGAGACAACACTCCCGGTGACTTCACAATATGAAAACTGGAATCAGCTCAGCTAGAAATGGAGCACATCATCAGAAAGAATCAGCCAAACCTTAAGTTAATTCTAACCTGTTACAGCAATATTTGTAGCTTTCCAGTCCATTCCAAACTGATTGGCTGCTGTACAGTTCACAACTGCATTTATGTCTGCTGTGAATTTCAGCTGAGAGGTGAAGTTCTTTTGGATGGCCATTGTTGTCTTTTCTTCTCCATTGACTTTCCAACTGTTAATGCAATTAAAAAAAGAAACCAAAAGCAAAATGAAAATGAAACAACATGTTACTTAATACATTGGGCTAATATATAAGTGGCCCTCACTGATGGAGCTTATCATAGCATCTCTTCTAATTAAAAAAAAGGTTTCTTCCTTACATCTTTGTAACATTGCAAATGCAGACTACATTACATTATGATCTGTGAATGATTCAAAGCCATACCGTATCCTAGGAATGGGATCTCCATAGGCTTGGCAATTCATAACAACAGTGTCACCAGTTGAGACATTCATGGTAGAGGGGCCCTCTTTTATGCTGGCTGCTTCTAAAAATTCAGAAGAAAAAAAAAGAACTTTAATTAATGTGCACTTATTTTCAATTTTGGTCATAAAGAAATGAGGATTGATATCTTTTCCTCAAAGTTGAGAAAGTATTATTTCACATTTATTTATCACAATTAAGATGGTACACCTTGGTGAGTTAAGAAAAACAAATTATTTTTCTGAGAACAACAGGGCAACCAATAGTATGACAGAATGATTGCTTAAAAAAATTTTGGACCTAAATTTTTATTCTATGGTCAGAGAAAACACAAAAAGCTTGGTCAAAGTCTTCTGATTTCAAAGCTCAAAAATGAATGAGCTCTGTAGAACATGTACCTTTCACAAGAAGGCTTCCAGAGGAAGAGATTTTTCTCCCCATATCAATGTCCTCCACTGTGCAGTTGTACTCTCCAGCATCATGTTTTGACACTCTGGTCAACAACAGAGTTGATTTCTTGTTGTAAGAACTGTTTTTGATCATGGTAAAGTTTGATTTACTCTGACTCAAGCTTTTTCCATCTTTCGTCCATGAAATAACAATATTTAGACTTCCATCTTTGACCTGGCAAGTAAATTTAACCTGTTGCCCAACAACTCTGACAGTGGTATCCATCAATGTTCTTTTAAAAATCATAGATTTTATGGGCCTCATTGCTTCCATGACAAATGAGGCCTTGAATCCACGATAATTTAAAGATCTGTCAGACTTGAATGTGATATACATGTAACTTCTTGGTGTTTCCACATTAAATGGATTTTTATTTCCACAATACTTTCCTATAAGTGTGGCAGAACTGTTCTTCCCTTCATAAATCTTAACATTATCACTACCGCAATCAAAACTTCTTTCGAGCACAAAATCAAAATACTGTAATTTGATTTTGTATCCTGAAGGTGCCTTTATCAACCAGGAGCATTTTGAATGACTTGGATATGGCTTTGGGTAATCTGGAGTTTTTAATTCTCCAGTTCTTTCTGTAAAGATGATGTGACCACAGTTTCCATCTGCAACAGAGAAGAAATTATAATTTAGTACCCTTTCAAACCTTTTCTCTCCCAGAATCTCAATATTAACTCTCCTTACTGTCTGCTTTACATTTCTCATAATTTCCATTCTAAGAATGTGGTAATAAATCAAACTTTATCTTTTAGTACATCATCTTTCTGCTTGACAAGATGTTGGCATTTTAAAGGAAAATGACAAATTCTAGTAATTCTCTTGGGGGAAAGTAGAGAGACCCTGGAAGCCATGTACCTCTCTCTCCACTTCCCCCTAACACTATTTAGACAGGTGAAGGACCACTGAAAAAGGTCACATCTAGCATGACATTGGCTTTGCTTCCACAAAATTTTATCTTATATGACCATTACACTTTTTGAAAGACTATTAATATTAAATGAATATGTTTTATCACATAATATCAAACATTTTCTAAAAACTTGACAACCAGACATAATTTTTAACATGGCTAAAGATATATAGTTATTGTACCATTAGATCAATGAATAATTATGCTGGTATTTCTTTTGTTAAAATGAGTAACAGTACACTGTAAGTACTAGACTATAATGTCATGTCTGAGGTTAACTCCAATCATAATTTCAATATATTGATCTAACTATCAATTCTCTGCAATGTCTGCCAAACATCTCTCATAATGTTAGATCTGAAAATTTGGTGTTCAATCGCAAAATATTCTCCAGCTGATGCTTTGCTATCTCCTCATAACCTTCCCCTTGAAAATGAATTAATATCACTTTTTGCTATATCTTTGGGAATAAAAGGTTTAACAGAAGGTAGCTACTGATTTTTAAGCTCTGAGAAAAGTATGCTACATCATTCTGCTGTAAGTAGAACACAGGAAGGAAAGGTTGCGTTTAAGCACCATATCTGAAGGCACACAATTTACTCATCCTTAGTCCTGCCCAAAGATTAAAGCAAGAAAACTTGACCATACATGGAATGGTTTAAGCACTGAAAACTCCCTATTTATATTTACATTTTTCCAGAGAATATAACATCCCTTTCTTAAAAGTTTGATTATCTAAATCCTCTGACCACATTTTCTTGCTTAAAATTACAAGATCTTCAAATAAAAATCTGCCCTCATAATCTTTGGCTATTTTTCAACACATTTTTTTGCCCTTAAGCTTAACAGTCAAATGGGCAGTTTGAGGTTGTTGCGCAATGATACTATGGTAAAATTCTGAGAATAAATTAATCAGATTCTGTAAGACACAAAAGAACTCCTTTAATATATTATGCTGAGCACTGTTCTTTGTCAAGAAAGAAACAGCACCACATCAGAGGGCAATTCACACATCATGATTTCAGTTGATTTCCATAACTCTCAAATCCCAATAAGAAAAAATAAATATTCATATAATGTGAAGAATAAATGTTTCTTTTAAAGTCTTCTTAAGGGACCTATAAGGAATAATTATCTTCATATCAGTGTTCTACCTTTGGTAGGTGTGGGAGAGGATTATCCAAGCTTAGAAGGAAGGAGAGTAAAACTTCAAACAGGCTGGCAACATATAAGATATTGTCTTGATATGAAGTACATTACAAGCACTTTTATATGAGATGATAATTAAGGCTGGAACAGTTTATAAGACAACTTTTGTCAGAGGTTCAAGGCATGGCAGGTTTCATCCCAGTAATCATCAAGACTTAAGCCCTGTTGCTGCTCAGATGGAAAATTTTGCTTCACCACCAAGATAAACAAGGTGGGACCTTTCAAGTCTTCTCCCATTAAAAATTGAGAAATCAGATGGGATACCTTCAAACCTCTTTGAAACTAATAAATTTGAGTAATCCATGGAACCTTTAACATCCAAATGTAATATTTTCAGAGAAAATAGATTCCACTCTTCAACTTAAATGATGGGTTTTCAAAAACATTCTTTCAGCACCATACAGGTGTCACTAAGATTGACTGTTACCAAAGCATAGTTTCACAAATCTTTTTCATGACACATTAAATAAAATTTGCAACTTTGATAATCATGAATAAATATATACTCAAGTATGAATTTACTACCGGGGGTTAATGAAGGTTCCTGACAATAGGGGCTTGAGGCTCCTGTTCCTATTGCCAGTCCATGAAAACATTATGCACAACAGATTGTTGCTTAAAGAGAGAAATTGAAGGAAAACACTTTTGGAAATGTTCTCGAGTTCAAGTAATTATATTACACCCGTTCTGTCTAATATTATTCGTCTCACGCGATTCGAGGTTATATATAGCAAGCAGAGATGTATCGTTCTTTGTCACTTAGTAGCATATCCTTTTGACTAAGTGATTCAAAAACTGTTTAGAAAACTAAAGGGACGATTCTATGGAATTTTTTGTTCGCTCTTTTCTAGAAGAGAAATTTTAATTTTCAAGACAGCTAACGATCTGTTCAACGCAATTCGTGCGTGTCATTACTTCACAGCCGGCCGGATTTCACAAGCTTATTTTTATTCAACTTATCTTTCTTAATTATAATTCATACGCACACATAAGGAACCAATATGTCTGAGAGAGAACAAATTATCAGGGAAGAAAATTGCCCTTACTCTAGAATAAATACCGGTCAAGCTGGCAATGACAAAGAGTAACTAAGTAATAAACTTATCCAGAGATTTACAACTTATTTAAGTAAAAATTAACCCTTAACCAAACATTGTTACCAAAGAGAGATTATCAATATCAAACAATGTTTCAGAGCAAATAATGCGCAAAGATTTTGTGTGGATAAAATATTCGCTTTATCGCCGCAGGAAACTCATTCAAAGTCTTGTCTTTCGGCACGCTTCAGAAATAAAGATTTCTAAAGAGATGCTGCCGAAACCCCGCGGCTCTCCACAATGAAGGGTTTGAATATATCACAGATTGTCTTTACTGCTACTTTACTCTGAAACTGTATTAAAATTAAACATAGCTGACTAACCTGTTAGAGAAACTAAGTAACCAATGAGGAAAAGAAAGACGCTATGATAAAACACACTGGTACAGCCAAGACGAACTCGGTGAGGAGCCATTTGCAGGATCATCTTACTATTAGTATGCGTTGAGGTCCAGTGAACAAATTTCCAGAGTTCTCAGTTTTTAGCGCCTACCTATGGACCCAAGTTTACAAAGAAACTTCAAAAGTGTGCAGAAAAGAGAGTCTTCTGTAATCGTTGAACGTGAGGGAAACTGCCGACCTCAAAATCAAACGCAAATGACTCATTTATCACAGATAAGCTAGCTGTCTACTCCCTTAAGAAACGGAAATGCCTTTTGCGCCACAGCGGTGTGCGGTTCGTTACGTATTTCCTGTAAGCTGTCAAACTTCGTATCCAAGTTCGTTTTAGCGAAGAATTATCGACCTTTAGATTGAACCGGCGGAACACAATCGAATATGGATCCTAGATGCGTGGTGTAAAAGTCACATAATGACTATCCCTTTCTCAGTACTCAAACAACCGCAACTTTCAAAATGATGGTTGATTGCGGAGGTTAAGGATTGCAGAGTTCGACTTGAAAAAAGAGTCAGTGTTTACATGCAATGGTATGAAAGTCTGTTTGTCGTGTATACCTTCTTAACAGCTCGGAGCCTCGGACAGAGTACTTTTAAACAAGTACAACGTGTAAACTTTGTTCAAATTATCGTACAGCATGCGCTTGACTCGGGATTTGTGTGATTCATGTATTCAGTTTTCTATTTTTTCTTTCACAGAGCAAGCATCCAAAAAGGATTATCTTAGTGAATGGAGAAGAACGTGTTGGTTCGTTATTGTTAGCAGAACCATGCAGTTCTTTTGGGTGAGAATTTATAGAAAATGCCTTCATTTCTCACTTACATGCACAGTTAGTAAAAAAAAACTTTGTGCACAAATAAAGTATTTTTCGATTAATTTCAACTTTTCCCTTTTTTTTGCTGAATCAATATCTTAAGATTTATAAGAAACCTATTGACTGTGTTTCTGTTTATTATTTTCATTACTTCTTCTGCAGCCCAAGAACTTTTCAAAAATCGTCTTGGACAAAGCCACAAAAAAAGGACAAGGAGACAATCTCCACTGCAACAAATTCAAAGGCAAGCAGTTGTGAAGAAGCAGTGTCAGTCTTTTCTGCAGATTATGGCAAATGCATGCCCAATTTTTTCCATCCTTACCAAAACATGTGCACAGCAGAATTGCCTTTGCACATATAGGATCTCATTGAGTTCTGCCATGCTATGTAGACTGGGTGTCAGTCATGTACAAGTAAGAGGGTTTCAGTTTCAGATCCTGTCAATGGCACACAAAGCCCTTTTTTGTTTTAAGTATGCCTCAGCCATTTTCTTTTGCATTATTACAAAAGCTTTTAAGTTATTCTCAAAATCTTGCAAAATCTGTGTTGAAGTAGGTTTTTTCTTCTCCATTATTTCAATGAGATTTTGGGACATTCCATGCAGTTGTTCTATTACATGAACTCTGCAATTCTCCACTTTTCACTGTTTATTGTTTGGTATGACCAAAAGTCTTGCACAGATTAAGAACTATTAGAAATTAAGTCAGCACTCTGATTTTGATTCCCTGATTTTTTAGCTGGTACTCAGCAGATTTAAACATATTAGATTTTCTTCCAAAAAAAACTGACTTAATAACCTTGTTGTGTACATTTGTTTTCAGAAGCGTAGTGCATGGATTGCAAGTTCATTCAGTGACTTTGATGAAGGAAATACTAAGAAAACAAAACAAGCTAACATCAACCATCCACTTGTAACAAGTAAAGCTCCAGGCACTTTCTCAGATAGACCATCATGCAGCTCTGATTCACTTATTAATCTTTTTAAGCAGAATAAGTAATGTGCAGTGGTGAGATTAATAAAGGGGTAGAGAAAACAAGAAATGAAAAGAACTATCATAGCAGCTATATATGGTCTAAATTTATTACTATGATGATATAGATTACACCTCACTCACAGACTGCAAAAAATCAGCTGTGCAATATTAATTTTTTTAATGCACCATTTATAACTTTCTGTGGAAATTCTAACCCAAGTCTTAACCCATCTTAAGGTGAAAGCAGCCAAGCTGCCCATCACAAATTTAGGAAAGATGAAGATCTATGGCTTGAAAAATATAAACCAAAATCAGAGGTATTGTCTGAAATTGTTTTATTCAATCTGAGTTGCATAAGGTATCTTTTTTTACCAATTTGGTGAAATTTACTATGAAAGTGTTGAATATTAATTTATTTTTTATTTAGCTTGAACTGGCTGTTCACAAGAAAAAGGTAGCTGAAGTACGTAACTGGTTTTTGGATCAATTATGTACACAGGTTAGTTAAGAGAGGGTGTCTTCCTCTGTATTTTTAACAGCAAGCCAACTCTAATTAATATTGTAATAAAGTTCGGATATAACATGTACTGTCATTAGTTGAAAGAGCATACTCTATGAGAGTATAGAGCATAGAATTTAGCTAAAGCTGTCACACCAGGCACAGTAATTTACATTACTGTAACATAAGCAGAGACAAAAATCCTCAAAGATAAAAAAAATGGACAGTCCAAGTTTTAAAGGTTTTCATGCTCAGTTAGATTGTGAGTTTACATGTATCAAGAAAAGTGGATCAGCTTAGATTACAGCATGCTTTGTTAAATGATTAACAATGACTGCATATGGCTACTTTGGAACAATGGCAGAGACAGCTTCAAAATACACGCGGGATTTTTCAAAATTTCCTATTATCACACAAGTGGCAGATTTAAAACATTGGCAAAACTGACGACAAGACAAATCCTCCCCGTAATAAAAATCAAACACAGCTAACACTTGTATTGTATGTAAAGTTTCGTTTTCAAAAACAAAACAGAAAAAAACAGGTATGATGAAAAATATAACGTGGCATAACTGTTAAAATTCATACTAATCATGACGGTGTCAGAGCAACTGTGATCATGCTAAGATCTATCGCGGCTAGCTCATCATGGTGATCTCTGGTCATCACAGTGGAGCAAGCCTCAGGAACTAAATTGACTACCTTTCAAGTGGAAAAATAAGAGCTTGCCCTGATTACCTTTCCAATGTGGTGAGTGGAAGGCCACATCAGTCACTGCAGCCAAGTTTTACGGCGCTGTCATTCCAAGCAATCTTCATGTTCTAGTGATTTGGCTGTTGTTCATTCATAATACACTCATAATACACTTGAACAGTTTGTTTTCTACTTGTCCTGTGAAATAACTTGCGTATTTTTGTGAGCCATGATTGGGCCAAATTTCACTGAACATTGCACTTTCAGATCCTGTACTAGAAACTAAAAACTTCAGGCAAAAGTGTTAAATTTGACATGCTGAGCTATTTTAGTTTGTAAACTATTGCAGAATATGAACTTTGATAGTTATTGAACTTTGATGGTTTGACATTTTTGACAGCTTTAGTCTTGTACAACCAATCAGATTATTTGAACCATTCTAACAGGGATTCTGATTGGCTTATTGTAGTGTGCTTTATGAGAGCATAGAGCATGCTGACGGTACTGTTGTTTGCTTTGGAAATAAGATTTGTTTTGAAAATTGAAAATAATTCCTGGGGAATTTAATAGATTCTTTATTATAAGACAAATTGAGAAGCCTTGACTGTGCTCTGTTCTGTTGTAAAGCACTTAGGAAGCGGCTAGAGCACTCAAGAAGTAGGGAGAAACACTTGACTATGTCATGTGTTTCCCCCTACTCTTCTCTCATGCTCTAGCTGCTTCCTGCGTGCTTTACAACAGAACAGAGCACAGTCAAGGCTTCTCTATATGTTAAGTGATTATTGGGATATAATTTTGTGATAGGTTTGGTAGTCAATTTATTTGAAGTCATGAATGATCTTTTAATCATGTAGCTAAGATCTTTAAAAAACAGTCCTCAACTAATCCATCCAACTTTTGTTCTTTTATGGTTGGATGTTATGAATAAGTAGAGGAATAAATAAATACATAGAAAAAAAAAACTGAATAAACATGTCAGTAAACAATTGAATAAATTTGAGTGAGAGGCATCTTTTTTATCATTATTAATATTTTAGACATATAGGGACACAGATAATTTATAAAGGCATAAAATGTTTCCTTTCCTTGACTTGAGGTTTTTTGTTGCTGAAAATTATTTAAAATGTGAAAGCATATTATGACCTTGTCATTAAAACTGTTTAAATTCCTGTCAGGTGGGACATGGTTCTATATTACTCCTGACTGGTCCAACTGGAGCAGGCAAAACAGCAACAGTCAATGTACTTGCTAGTGAGTTGGGATTTGAGGTTCAAGAATGGCTCAATCCTCTTAGTGATACAGAAGGTAACTAGAAATGGTAGAGTTACAGCAGTGAAGTACTTTTACATGTAACTACCTGAAAATCCTGGTTGATAAATGAAAATAACCTAAAAGGACTGCTGAAGTAACTGTGTAAGTAATATTTTTTTTGGACTCTTCTTAATTTCAGTTTACCAGTAGTTTTATCTTGATTCAGCAATGTCATGTCATGTATAGTATATTAATGTGTATTTTGGGTTAAGATATTTTTTAAGATATAAATTAAGACAAAAGTTTTTTAACCAGCACCATTCATACCCACCCTGTATATAATATCTCATCAGATGAAGGGTATTTTAACTGGAAAAGCCATAGTCAATCCCAGGTGAAACTTTTTCAAGACTTCATAGTTCGTGCTAGCAAGTACCCCACCTTGTCAATATTCGGTGGGAAGGGAGATAATTCTGTCAAGAAAATTGTCCTGGTAGAGGTAAGTATATTGTAAAGGTCTTAAAACTTACTTTCATCATACTCTCAGAGGCCTGTTTTTGATAAAAAAAAAATATCTTTTAATTGCAAGAAAAGGTAAATTGAGGCTTGCATTACCCTTGATATTCTCACACTATAGGCCCCACTGGATACCATCTGCTAATGATTTCAGTAGTGGGCTCTCTCATTGTAGTATTACAGTAATTATGATTATTACCAGGTTTAAAAATATTCAATGACAATTTTACAATCACTTTAAAGTGTACCTTTAGTTGCATAAGTGATAGTAGTTGAAGGATTGGTGGCTATCATTGGATCTAGTGATTTATTTTAGAATTATGTAGCATGTTTTAAATTTCTTTATAGCTGTCTGCACTTTTTTTGTAGGACCTTCCAAATATATTTTTCAGAGAGGCTTCAAAGCTTCAAGAGGTTTTGAGGTAAGTGATGTTGATTTAGTTTGAATCCCAAAAATATCAAATTTTGACTAGGATGAAGTTATAGTGACAGAAATAATTGGTTTTTAGACTACTCTGGATCAATCTGAAAAGGTTTCCCTTTATGCATCGCAAATATATGAAAGAAGTCAGTGTTGTTTTTCAAATTTTAGTGGGGAATGGTGAACTGACAGATATATGTGGGATTTAATATTTTATCATGATCATGTTTCTAACTGCTCAACAGCACATATAAACAGAGAGGGCAAGTTCCTATAGTATTTGTCATCTCTGACAGCCACCATGGTGATTCAAATGTTCACAAATTACTTCCCAAAGATGTTCAGGAAAAACTGAAGATTCATAACATCAGGTAAAAGTATTGTAACTAACTTAAGGTGTTCAACGTTCATATATGTAGACTTGCCTTGTTTCATACTTAGATTATATTCTACTAAACACTACATTAAATTTGTCACTTACAGCTTCAACCCAATTGCACAGACCAGCTTGGTGAAAGCCTTGAACAGAATAATATCAACTGAAGCTCAACTGGTAAATAAGACACCTCTCCTATTTATCAGTTCATCCCAAGATCTTTTTAGTAATTCTTCTTACTATCTGCCATACAGTTCTTTTGATGTTAGTGTAGAGAATTTGGCATTTGATCAGTTGATAATTCCCTTAATGATTTTTCCCTTCATTCTCAACACTTTTCCGCTTGATATTATAGTGCTATTGTAGGGAGAAATGCTGTGTTGGTCTCTTATGGGAGGTTAAGGGTTCATTTTCCCTCTTCCCCCACTATAATCCTTAGTTGATTCAAAAAGTCTAAAGATAAAGAAAACCACAAAAAGGTCAAGAGTTGCTAATTATTGAAAAGATCATTCACTTGGTAAGATTTCAGTTTCTAAATTTCTACGTTATTTAAATTCCCTTTTTAGCAGAATAAAACAACATTTGAGATTCCAGTTAAAGATACTGTTCAGCTCTTGGCTCAGAACAGTGGAGGAGACATTCGCACAGCCATCAATGGTCTCCAGTTCTCCTCTTCAAAAGGTGAGATTGCTGGGATCAATGATGAGATTTCCAGAGATTTTCCCTTTTTCCATTAAGAATTGTAGTAATTGCAGTAGATCATTTTGAAGTTTTTTAATTTTCTAATTACAGATCACATTTCCTTTTGCACGGAAAGTGAACATAAAACATGATAATCTTTAAATTTTTTCCAAGTTATAACCTTTGATCTGAAATTCAACCGTCACAGATAAATCACGCACCACCCAAAAGGGCTCAAATGTGACAAAGAAAGATGACAGAAAACCAAACAAGTCAAAATTAAAGAAAACAAGTAGTTCACTGCCAAACAAGATGAACACTTCAGAATCAGTTCAGCCATCCTCTAAATGTCTTCTCTATGGAAAAGAGACAAGAAATAACCTTGAATCAGAAGCAGTCACTGCTATTGGTGGAAGAGACTCAGCTTTGTTCCTCTTCAGAGCTCTAGGGAAAATACTGTATTGTAAAAGTGAGTTATTTATGTTGCATTAAAATTTTCTGCCTGTTGGTAGATGCAAAGGGGAGTACCTGAAAGGCAGTGCATAAAAACTGTGATATTCATAATAAACATGTTTCATGTTATGTTTTAGAAATGATAGTAATTTTGGTTCCTGAAGGTAGTGTGTAAAAAGACTCTAGACATTGATTTTTTTTTTTGTAAAGGAGATCCAACACTTTCTGACTCAGACTTACTTCCATCTCACCTGTCACATCATGCCAGAAACCAGCTGTTGTTCTGTCCAGAGGTAGTATGAAAATTATTTTCAAATATATATTTTATGTTGTTGTTGTGTTGGATTTTCAGAGCTTATATTGTTAATAAGCACTCTATCCCTTAAAAAACTCAGAACTTAAAAACTAATTATAATAACAGTAAATCATAAAGTCCTCATGAGAAGGGTAATATCTTTTTTTAGTAAGGAGGAATATATAAATACCCTCAGAATAGATTTATGTGCAAGCTTTTTTTTTCAAAATGTGTATCACCTAATATGAATAACCCCAAAAGACAAATGTCAACAATTATTTTCGATACTCTTATCCAGGGTAATAAGTGGCCTGTTTCCTTTTTTATGCAGGAAGTGTTGGAGAAAACACATCTCTCGAGTGAATTTTTTAATCTCTACCTTCATCAGAATTATTTGGAATTCTCTGCTGATATTGATGATGTGGTAGGTAAAGCATGTCCCAATGAATATTTCTAGTACTTAAATCATTTACAGTTCTCTTCTTCAATAACAGTTTAAGTAACATGTACAGGTATAGCATTATATACAGTTGTTGCTTAATACCTCAGAACTCCATTCAACCCATTTAATGTAACAACACAGTGTTTATATAAAAATTTGGGCTTAAAATTGATCCAAATTATTTGTAAAAGAAGTCATTTTGATTTGTATTGTCCACCTACCATTGCAACATACTTTCATATAATTTTGATCTTTTTTCTGTCTCTGATTCTTAGGTGAATATTAGTGAACATTTCAGTGAAGCCGACTACATGACTAAAGAATGGATGGTAAAGATCTCTCATTTTATTTTTCATCTGTTGATACCCAACATGATTGGAAAAAAATTACTTGATTACACGATTCATGGACCATAAGAGTAGCTTCCTTCAAGTTGCAGAGGGCCATTGCAATTGTTTATCTGGATAATAAACTTTGTTCACAAAGGGGCTGTCGTGTCAAACAAATGCTAAAAAGTCCTCGTAATAATATCACAGTTTCAGTCCTCCATGAAGGAGTACAGCTCATGTCTGGCAGCAAGAGGGTTGATATTCAACAGCAGATCAGCAGGGACATCATCAAGTTCTAGTGGGTCAGGGAGAGGATGGAGACCACTTCATAAACCACAGTTGTTTGAGGTCAATAAGAAGGTAAATTATTTCAGGATAAAAGTGGAGGTTCAAATTGCTTCTTTATGTGAGTTAACAGGGAAATAAAAATATTGATGAAAACATACTAGCAATAGCATAGTTATGCCCCTTCCCCTTCCCCTTTCCATTATACATTTAATTTAAACTTGTGACAATACAGTCACTTAAAAAAGTATGTTGTACAAAATCCATTGAAAACTATAAAATGTTGCATACTTTAAACACACCCTCCTCTAATATGGGTTTAAATGACCCTCTCACAGAACTAAGATTGAGATGTTTATTTTTAATTGGTACTGATGATGATGATGGTAGTGTGATACTGAATTACTTTCAGATGCGGGATGGTGTTAACACTGCACAAGATCTCTTCAGAGGTGAGACTTGTGCTGTCATCACTAAATCATTTTGCTGTGGCCAAAGGGGACTTGTCAACCAACAAGTAGGCGATATTGTTAATGAAGGGGAGGGAAGTAGTAGGGTTAGTAGGGTTGAGATCTAGAATCTTGCTTACCCCAAATAAAGAAGTGTTATTTTGGTTGACAGCGATAATTTTGTTGACTTCCTAAGATTACCACTGTCCATCATTAGTTCTGCAAACAGAGGTCCTTCCGTACTTGGCCATCACTGATGTCCCCCTGCGGACACCTGGTTTGTTACAATATGAACCTTTTTTTTTATTTATCATTTTTATGAATTTGACTATGTCTTTATTTATTATTCTTCTTCCTCCTCCTTGTGACAAACCTAAAACCTCATCAGAATTCTGGGATGTTTAAGGTTCCATTCACTCTCAGTTAACTGAATTGTTAATCTTTCTTGTGTTTAGGACAAATTGCCTTCTTGCAAGCTATCAGCAATTTCAGAAAATCTAAGCATCCATTCAGGTAATGTCCAATAATGAACTACGTAGAAGCAAGCAGATAAATTTTACAGTTTTCATACTGATTGTGGTTCAGATACCAACTTTTCACTTTCAAAAACAATATATTTTTTCGGTTTTTTTATTTGTAGGGGTGGCACAGATATGCTTGATGAAAAAGACTGTGGTATGAATAGTGATAATGATGACGAAGTCCATGTTAGTTCCCAACCAAATGGGAATGGCACCCAGGGAGCTAATAAGTGCCTGGCCATGGGTGAAGAGTGTGATTCGCAAGGAACCTCTGAGATGCCTCGAGATGATGATGATGTTATAGAAGATTTTGATAATGAAGACTTTTAAAGGGTTTAAAAGAGCTTCTGACACCTTCCACTCATGCAGGGTGGTTCATCTGAGTGTGATGCAGTGCCCCCCTTAAGGTTGTCATCATTTGTACAAAAGCTATAGCCATGATTATGGTAGACCCAATCTTTACAAGGGTTAGTTTGAAGTAAAGTTTATCTAATTTCACACAACTTGTGGTCTAAATGGTGGTAATATTAAATAAACAGAAGTAAGGCCTGGATCTAAAAGGAGAACATTGTAAATTGTGTACAAAATCATAAAAACAGATTATCTGTAGTTTGTTTTGTCAAATACATCCAAGTTTAGAAGCTATTCATTGAAAGATAACAACTGCCATTTGGTTCATAGTGCAGCACTGACTTCCTCAACTTGCTGCCATCAGGCTCAACTTATAGTGTTTTATAATGTCCAAAGGAAGAAAGAGAAGCATTAATTTGAAAGTTATACAGATGGCAGAAGAAATTATTACCTAATTTAACAAAACATTTTCCGTTGAGTTATTAGTTGTATTATGTATTTACATGAAGAAAAAGTACTTCATATAAGATGAAACTTTAAAAATATATATATTAAAAGTGAATGACGGTTAATGATTGGATTGAAAGGCTCCAAAATCAATGATTATGGGCTTTTCTGCATTATATGCTCTTGTTTTGATACTCACAGCTATGTCATGGAGTAACAAGCTTGAGATTTAAACTTTTCACTGTCCAGAAATTTATCAGACTCATTTGTAAATAATTGCAATAATTATTGTTGTGTAGGAATCTGTACATTTCCTGTCTAAGACAGGTAAACTTTATCACCAGACTCTATTTGTTTCAAGCAGTTTTAAAATCTGCTGTAGTATCTGTGGTGAATGTTTCTTGAGGGAAATCCCCAAAAGAACTGGTTTGCTGGCATGCTCAGTTATAAGGGCTCCGATCTGTTTAGCATAAACATGCCAGATTTCCTGCAATATAATAACATGTTAAAAAATAAATACAAACATAAATCAATGAATGAAGTGATATTAACCTTCTGTCAGTAACAGTCCATCCTCTCAAAAACCTGTTGTAATCATGAATAATTTTCCACTCATTGACAGTATTTAGAGTGAATTTCTTCATACACCTTAAAAGACTACACATGGTAGACCACTGTATTTACTAAAGGGGTAAGGGCTAATGCTAGAAAGTTCAGCTTTTTTACCCTTTACGGTGTCTAATTTACGTTTTCAACTCAGTTGTTAACACTAAATTACCCATTATATTTATTAGCCTATTAATTAATTTAGTGAGCATGAAAATGTGACTTTTTTTGCAGTCTTTTCTTGTTCCTTTTTTTCCCTTTTTCCCTTTTCCCTTTTCTTTCTCTCCACAGCCTTCTGTTGTCATTTAATTAAAGGAAGGGGGCCATAACTTTCCCTAATAAAACACTGAGCACTTGATTACCTTTGCCTGCTTACGCCTGCTCCGCAGGCTTACAGAAAACCTGCTAAGATTATGAAGTCTTAAACATTTCCCTGTATGATAGCTCAGTGAATTTGGTACTGGTCACCAGTAAATTTACTGTGTTCTGTAGTTGATAATTTCCTAAATTCTTGCCATCTATTTACTTAGCAATGAGTTCATATCCCACAGAGAAGATGCATTTGATCACCTCTGAGACTGATGGAGTTTACGCAGAACTAGACAACAGTATAGAACTTGAACAAACCTCATCACTGCCCATGAGTATTCTTGTGTTGAATGTCTGTGCCTCTCTTTTGGATGAGCTCTCTGTTGGAGACATCCTATTTACATTAACCTGCAAGGGTGTTCAATGCACAGATGATTTTTGAAGGAACTTAGTTTATGCAAATTAACATACTCAAAGCTTTAAGTTCTCAATAACAAAAGGATTACGAGGAGCCTATAGGGAACCTGATGCAACTTCACATCCAAAGAAGCCCATCAGACCGTTTGAAATGATTAACAACACCAGCAAATATGTTCGAACAACCTCCTGTCAACCCTTTTAATAACTCCCATGGGCAACCAAAACAAAATTTCACCTGAAAATATCAATACAAAACCTAGCAGACAAGTGATGAAAATACAGGAAAACATCAACTAGGGGTTTATTAGTTGATCCAAAACAAAATTCTCCAACCATACCTGATAAAAATTTAAGCAAGACAATAAGGAAGATTACAAATGAGATCTTAGGAGTGAAAACGTGTTATGGATAATGTAACAATACATATCAGCCAAAGATCACATGAAGCTCAAAATTGTTTTTGATACAGTGGTTGAAATTATTCTAATTTACGCTCAGAGATCTTGGTGTAAATCATCACTCAATCATCCAATCATCCAATCATCGAAACAGCTATCAAAGAAAAAATGTAACAAAAACTTAGGACACCAACACTCACCAACGTTCCAATCTTCTCAAACTGTGAAACGATCAAAAAGATTCTGTCCTGATAAGCAGCACAAAACACTTCTGTGTGGGTTCCTTCGATAATTGCCGCAGTCTAGAAAGTAAGATAATTATCAAAAAACCACGCTGCAGAGCTTGTGATTCACGAAAAAGGTACTTTTACCTGACGGGTTTTCACAGCCTGTGCAGCCATTTTGAAATCCACTAAAGTATGGGGAAAATGTAAGGTTTGAGGAGGAGTGGGAAGCCTAAGAGATCAAGCGTCACGCTTTCCAGGTTGCTGCGTGACTGCTCACTTGTGTGAGACCTCGATAGTCGGCAGTCACTTGTAAAATTTCGCTAAGGAAATATCTGTGGCGGAAAACCACTATGATTTTCGTGTTACAGGTGATTTTAATTCTAATTATTGTTGATAACAATTGAAAATAATTTTTTCCAAGCGAATTTTTCTGATGCGACATGCTCGCTGATGATCAAATGCAAAATACCTCGATGTCATGTGTACGTTAACTGGAATATTTGCTGTATGTTACTGTTGTCTAAATTGAAATCAAACTTTTTTAATAGGTTTGTCTTCGTTCTTATGAGCTTCAGTGTCATATCTCTGTCGCATGTTACCGTAGATTTTGATAATTATACTAAGAGGAGTAATATCATCTCGATTACATTCGAATGACAACAAATATTGTCTACCTTCGGCCTCGCTGCGGTTGTTGCGTTCCATTCACTTACGTAACTCAATTAATTTCAGTAATCCCTGCATTGAACTTGAAGTCGGAACCAAGTTAACGTATTCTGAATCAAGAATAATTATTCGTGTGCCCCAGTAACTGATAATAAGCCGATGTTGACGCAAGTACCTTAGCAAAGGCGCCTTTTTAAGTACTAAGTTTCCTATGTGCGTAGAGGACTCAAAATTTTTTAAAGGGTGGATCCTCAGTCTACCGTTAAGTTCTCTCTCTTAACATTTGAATTGAATGAATTTCAATTATATTAACAGGCAAGTCAATAATTTGGATTCTTTTTTTGCACTGATCAAAATGCATTGGATTGGAAAACACAATTTTACAAAGGCACACACTCAACATTGTAGCTAAGATAATGTGTTTTCTTCATTTATGTTCCAAATCTAAGCAACAAGATTTAACAACCTCTTGTCTCCAGCATTTAATCAATTTCATTATTACCTTATGTCCTTGGGTAGGTTAGTGTACCTGAAAAAAGTAAAGGTAAAAAAAGCATTGTTTAAAGAAACTGTGATGTTTGCAAAAACTCTTTCTTTTAATCATATTCAGGTCACAGCTCAGCTGCTGCTTCTCAGTGTCTCAACTGTGTTGGGATTTTCTAAAGGTCCTCCATTGAGTACCTGTGAGAGTAAGTTCCCTCACCACAAACATGCCCCAGCACAACAAGGACTGCCTCCCTATAACATCAATGTGTCCGCACTCTCGTACAGCCTTGGAGACAACCTGACAGTGACCATCTCAGGATCACAGCCTTTTACAGGATTCATTTTGAATGCACAGGGGACTGAAAGCTCAATTCCATGGCCAGTAGGAACATTTACTCAAATTCCAAATTGTATGTATTCTCTAAACTGCTTCTTTTACTTCTTGCGTATAATTCGAGACAGTTCATGGGAACAAGACATCCAAGAAAGTAACTTTTTCTTTTTTACCATGAACTTAGGATGAAAATAAGGGGTTTCTAAGTTTTCTTCTACCATGGAAGATTATTAATTGTTTACAACACTGAAACTTGAATGCCCCAAAATTCCCAGTACAACCCTTGTATAGGACTTCCCCCCCCCCATTGGAGAATTCTGCTGACACCCCTAGGACATCAAATTAGACCCAAGTACTATCTCCTTAACTATTCTTGCAAACAAACAAAGAAAGGAAACAGGAGTCCCTGGCTGACAAAGGATACAACATTTCTGGCTGATCTTTGGTGAAAGAATGGTGGTCATACCTTTTCTTTTTTTTGGAAGCGTTAGTGGACAAGCAGACATGTTTTTTTTTCTCTTGCAGATGCAGCTTATTTTTACTGTTCTGGAGGTAATCCAAAGGTAAGGTACTGCATATTTATTTCAAATTATTTTATAGTCAATAAACGTTATAGATGTCTTGTTGTTGGTTTCTTTTTTCTGCTCATATTTAGAACACAGTTGGTCAAAACAATCCTAAGCCAGCTAAGAATTTGAATTCACTTCAGTTCACTTGGATGGCTCCTGAAAAGAGTGCAGGGAACATCAGCTTCATGTTAGTAACATATATGTTTGTTTTAAAGGTCATAATATTAAGCTTAAACATGTTGAAATGGGGGGGGGGGTGGGGTGGGGAATTGGGGGTGGTTGTGAAATGTAATATGTCGGTCAATTTGACGTTTCCACCTCCCTCCACCTGGGAGTTTATCAAAAACCCACCCTAAGGCCAAAATTGAGTTCAAATGTCCTTTCTCAAGTGCCAGATTTGATGGTCAATTATTTGGTGAAACCTAAAACCTAGACCCTGTAGACCTCCTCCTCCTTTCCTCCTCCATCTGCTTGTCAAGTGAACTCTTTTTCTTTAAGCACCTCCATATTAAAAGATAAAATGTGTGTTCCCCTGGAAAGACTTGATACTTTTGGTTCAAATTCCCCACCCCACCCAGGCAAGGTTCAAATTTTCCACCCCACTGTCCAGGCATGAAGGACAATCAAATGTATGTGGGTTGCCCAAATGGAAATGTTGAAGTTTTGAATTGATTGTTGCATTATTGTAAGCGTTTTGTTACACTAAGCCCCTTGTGCAAGGCACTCCACAGTTTAACTGTGTAGACAGAGTTCCTTCAGGAAATATGTTTAAATATGAGGTCCCTGCCTTTTGCAGACTTTCACATGTTATTTATTTTCTATATATAGCGCAACCATCGTTCAGAACTATTCCACTTTCTGGGAAAAAGTTACTTCACCTGTTGTTCACGGTCCGCCAGTGGAGAATGTCACTAGAGGGACTTCAACAGAGAGCTTTCAGGTGAGGCTATCAAAAAATGGGCCCAGCAAATGTATGGTTTTCTATCATGAAGCCTTATTTCCATGACCCTTTGTTCTGGAACCATTTTACATTGTAGATTGACAAAAAGGGATGTGGAGAGACCAAAGGGTGTTACTCCTTACCATCAAACTGCGCTGGAAGTGGAGACTGTACCTATCTTTTCACTTACAATGTTTCTGGAAGAAATGTTATCATAGACATGAGTGCTAAAGAGCGCTGGGTGGCAGTTGCTTTTAATGAAAATAAGCTAATGGTAAGAGGAAACACCATAGAAAATTCAGTTTATTTGCGTGTTTTCATGATCTTTTATGTTCATACATTTTCTCAGGCAACAAATTTTGTCTGTTTTTGTTGTTCTCCTTCTTAAGGATAAGATGGACTCCATAATGTGCACTACCATGGCAACTAATTTGGCAGAATTTCGTCATTTCTATTCTATTGGTCACAGTGTTGTCCGACAGGACCTGGTGAGGAATATCTGGCTATTTCTTTATAGCATGACAGTGTCATCCTCATAATTAGTAGAACATATTGGGTGATAAGATCTTTCACAAGATAATTTCTCTCTCAGACTGGTAACTCTGATGTCACCTTTGACAAGATAGTTTATGAGGATGGTGGGATAAAGTGCAGGTTGGTAAAAAAGGCTGCTGACAAGTCTTAGTAACAAACAGAGCAATTTTCATTGCTTTGTCTTTCTTTACTTTGCTCTCTGATTGGTTTAGAAAACTTGTGCCATCCTCTTAAGCCATCAAATGCTCATGAGATCCCACTGTTCCTTACCCTTTGACTGATGAACGTCTTTGGCTGCTGTCATGGAAATATGATGGAAACAACCTTAGTGTTGATGCTCAAAAAAGAAAAAATTGTAATAAAGGGATGGATTCTCAAAGATTTTTCAAATGAGTTTTACTTTTTATTTCTCTTTTCAAGTTAACAATTTCTCTTCTGTCTCTCTACCTCAGGGTCACTCGTAAACTTACCTCAAATGCAGTCTACTTTAGAGATCTAACCAAGAAATGGTATCTGCTCTTCTCCTGGGGTAAAACAAGTACGTACCATCACTCTCACAATAGAGTTCTCTATTTGACGTCTAAGCAACCTCTTCAAGGAACTAATTTTGTGGGAATGATTTGAAAAGAAAGGCAATTGAGGGAAAAACAGATGAAGGAGGGGGTGCAAAGGAGGGAGAGTGGAGGAAGAAGTCACTCTTTTCCTTGTCACTTCTTCCCAGACCCTCACCACCCACTTTGAGAGTGGTTGTGGACTCTGTTAATATCTGTGTCTCCAATGCTATCTGGGATCTACTCTAAAAATATTTATTTATCTTTCAGGGAAATGTGCAATATACCTTTATTTACAGTTTCTTATTATATCTTTTTCCATCCAGAGCATGTAGAGAATCAAGTTTTACTTACTGCTTGAATTATTAACCATTTTGTTGCTGTATGAAAGCATTGTAGTTTTGGTTGTATTTGAAAAGCCAGTCGATACGAATCAATAAAATTATTGGGAATGCCAAACCCTACTCACTTATTAAGACAATTAAATTGATGAAAAAGAAGCTATTTACCTGTGCGACTTCATTGCTGATTCAAGTATTACTTTCATATGTTTGCGCACAGTATATCATTTAAACTAAAGCATTTGTATAAGGATCAATGTCAGTAACCCAACAACAGTCAACTGATGACAAGTTAGAGTTAATGTTGGTTGAGGGAAGGGGTTGATGCACAGTTGCTAACATTGATCCTTGTATAATCAGGTTTGTCTGGCAGTGCACAGTATCACCGTGCCAATCAATCTGTCACAGCTGATATGGTGGACCTTGGTGTCAATGCAGTTCTTAAAGATGAAAAAAGTCAGGCTGAAGCTACAGTAAGATGTTCAATCATTAAGTTAACATTTGACCCTTTTCTCCTTTCTTTAATACTTTTTATCTTTGTTGGAATAAAGAGGAAAATTGAAGAACGTATGTAAATGACCTAACTCACAAGTAAACCATGAGTGTCATTCATAAATGTTTTGCTCTCATGTTCTTGTTACTTAAGATAACCAAAGATGGGTGCAGGAAGACAAAGAGCTGCTATTCTGAGCCTGCAAACTGCAAGTCTAGCAAAGACTGTGATTATCTTGTGACCATGAAACCCACGGGGGACCAGGGAGAGTCAGGCGAAGTGGAATTTGAGCTTAGCGCTAAGAAACAATGGGTGGCCATTGGTTTTAACAATGAAAAGAACAAGATGGTGAGAAAAAAATTATTGTAGTTATTGAAATGTTAAGCTTGTGATTTAAGGTAACATTATTGTTTCTTTTTCTAGCCACAGTGCTTTGTCAGATTTATACGTCATGTTATGACATCACAATATGTTGGCAAAATTCATATGCTAAGTATCCAAGGCAGCCATTGATTGACTTCTGGGAATACACAGTGATTGTGATTGGCAAAAAAACTCAACTAATCAGAAGGAAGTATGACCCCAGTCATAACTTGATTAAACAGGTGATCTGCAGTTCAGGCTGCATACTACCCAGTGAAGGTTCCTGTTTAATTTCAACCTTTCCTCTTATTTACTTTGGTAATCTCTGTAACCCTTTAACTCCCATGAGTGACCAAGACAGAACTCCTCCCTACCATATCAGTACAATATGAAACAGAAAAGTGTTGAGGATCAAGAAAAATTTCAATTATTAGTTAATCCAATAACAAATTTTCAGAACTAACATCATAAGAATTGTATGTCAGAGAATTACTAAATGAGATCTTGGGAGTTAAATGGCTCACTGGTCCTAACCCCCATGACAATCACTGCAGAATATCATTCTGTCATGTGATGAAAAAGAGCCATTTCTGTTCTGGTGATAATAATCAAATTGTTGACAGCACTGTTTGTTATTTACTTGTTTTCAGGATGGCACCGATGCCTTAATCTGCGCTGAAGTCAATGATAAAGTCACTGTAGAACATTATATGGCCGACAAAGGATATGGTAGACCTACAAAGACCACCCCTGTAAGTACCTGGCATCCTCGACTGTCCAGTGGTATTTTTACCAGGTTACCAGTTTAACAAATAGATTCCAATTTGAACATCAGTGACATACTCAGCTGCACCTCATGTGCCACTTTTGTTCTTACCACATTTTGACGTCATCTGTGATCTATTACTGAACAGACGCATGGCAGCTTGGAATCCATTTGTTTTATATAATAAAGAATTAAAATATACAGAAAAAAGTTTTAATGATGACATCATCTATACATCTGTCCTCTAATAGATCATAAGTGAGAACCAATCAGAATGCGTGCATAACTGAGTTTACTATATAATTAGATATAGCTTGTATGAATCACCACATGAAATAATGAGTATAGAGTTGAAAACGCACTGGTTAACTGAATTTTAGCGAGTTTTGATTAAGTGTGTGATGATTGACATATTTTTGTATTTCAGACTCCCACTTCTATTATTGCAACTCTTGCTGAATCAAAAGGTGGAGTTGTTGCCTGTCGGTAAGTCTCATTCCATCTGCAAGAGTATCACAAGTGGATCAAACCTTCAAGTTTCCTTTAACGTTCATGGACACCAATTTTTGTCCTTGAGCATAAAGAGGCACTGAGAATGTCAATTATGGCTCAAAATGACAACACAATAAACCAGTCAAGGTTAGAATCTGGACTTCTTGATCCTGAGCCATTGGAGTCTCCTCCCTAAACCGAGACCAGGAAACCTCGAATCCAGAGTGTCAGGGGTGGGGTAGGGTAGGGTTATTTTGTCACTTGTGCGCAGTTCCATTTTCCTCTAACTTTTTAATGATATGAAAACACCGGAGGAAGAAATACTGCAAGAAATTGGGTAGAAATTCCTCCCTTTCTAGAAATGAGGGATAAAATACGGTTGTCATTATTCATAATAGCTTTAAAAGGAAGAAGAAAGATGACAAGATGGTGGATCTTACAAAGACATGGCATCTTGTGTATGCAAGTGGCCCTATGAGTAAGTGATGTTTTTTTAATGGTAAATATGTATTCATTATTTGACAGTGTGAACAGTTTTTGGATCAATGTCAGTATCTGAGCAACTGCGCACCTACTCCTCCCCTAACTCAAGATAAGGCCTAACTTCTTATCAGTTGACTGCAGTTCGGTTGGTGGGGGGTAGATGTGCAGTTTCTCAGATACTGATATTGATGCTTTTCTTAATAAACAGGTGGAGACAAGATAGGCATACACTCCACTACTCCAAAAACCAGCCCTCTGAAAGTGGACGTCAGTGCAATCGGAGAGCTTGTTGCAGCAGAGGAGAGCATTACATTGGTACAGGTTCATGGTAAGAGAGCTGATACTGTGGTCAAAACAAAGTTCATCCAAAGAAACCATTTTTGGGAAAAATTCACAATAGTCTAATTAATCTAAGAGTTATTTTAAACCTGATAAATCTCAAACAATCGAGAACCAATTTCATGGTGCTATACATTACATGCAACATGTCAATTATTTACAAAAGATATTTGGAAAATTCCTAACATGGTAAAGCAAAAGTCTAATATGACTAGCTTGAATAATTTGAGAACCAATGACTTAACTGCAAACTTCAACGTTATCAGACGGTTCCTACACTAGTGCCTGATCTTAGAAACTAATGTCTGAATCTAGACACAAGTGTCCGATTTTAGACACTAGTGTCCAATTTTGGACTTAAGTGTCCAATTTTGACACAAATGTCCGATTTTAGACACTGTTGTCCGATTTTAGACAATAGTGTCTGATTTTAAACAACAGAGTCCAATTTTAGACACAAGTGTTCAATTTTAGACACTGGTATCTGATGTTAGACACTAGTGTCCGATTTTAAACACTTGTGTCTGATTTTAGATGCTATTGTCCGATTTTAGACACTAGTGTCCAATTTTAGACACTAGTGTCCAATTTTATACGTCAGTATCCCATTTTAGACACTACCGTCCGATTTTAAACAATAGTGTGCAAAATGAGAAAGTATTTTCAGTCTTGACTTTCTATTTCTCACAGGCTGTTTAATGGTTATTGCGTGGATCGGCTTTGCATCAATTGGAATGTTCATTGCTCGTCACATGAAGGTGTTTTTTGGCCAGAGGGTTCTGCTTGGTACCAAAATGTGGTTTACGGTAAGACTTTTATTCTTTCAAACACAGTTTTATCAAAAAACTTGTCGATAATTTTGTTTACGGGAGGAGCACTGTATTTCACTTTTTATTCCAAGTATCATGTTGATTTGTTAGTTGGGGATATAACAGCTCGAAGTTAGTTTCTCATTTGCCTATGATAATGAAAGATAAACCTACAGAAAGTTTTTACAGGTTCACTGGAAGAGTGAAATATTTTGGATAAATGTCAGTATCTAAGCAACTACGCACCTACCCCTCCCCAAACCCAACATGAGCCTTAACTTGTTATAAATCGACTGTCGTTGGGTCAGTGGAAGGTGTAGGTGCGTAGCTGCTCAGATACTGACATTGATCCACATTTTGATTGTCATTTCTCAGCTTCACCGATTGTTAATGGTCTTGACAGTTGTGCTTACTATCCTTGGAGTTATCCTCATCTTTGTTCATGCAGGTCGCTGGACCAAGGTAGGACTAAATCTTCATATCCTGTATCTTCTCTATAATGGTTAGCTGGGGACATTAGGGAACCCACGCACTTCTCGCAAAGTGAAATTTCCTTTAAAAAATATTGTTAACTGCCTTAAGCAGTCTGGCCACAGTCCTCTAAAAACTGATGTAAATGATATATGCGCATTAGGGCATATTCATATGGAGAATCTGCTCTGTAAATGCACTATTATTATTATCTCTTTGACCTGCGTGACACCTCAGCCAATCACAACCAGTTAACCAGTGACAACATCAATTTACATCATATCCCGGTGCAAAGCGCAAGTCAAGAGTTTTCTAGAGGTGGATTGTTGACAGAACAAGAGGCTAGGCTTGTATTAGGCCTATCGATTGGCTACATGGATAGATAGTTCCCAGCCTTCTTTTTTCCTTTATTAACAGGAAGCTGGTGCTCATCCAATCACTGGTATATTTGTACTGGTGCTCGCTGTTATTCAACCAATTATGGCAGTATTCAGACCCCACCCTGGAGAAGAAAAGTATGTTTGGAGAGTATTTTTTTCTTTCTTTTCTCTTATGTATCTTCAGTGTTCATGTTCTTTATTGTTGGTGTTACTTTTCTTTAGACGTTACATCTTCAACTGGGCCCATCGTGGTGTGGGGCTGTCTGCACTGATCCTGGCTGGTAAGGAGTCTTTTGAATCAAAATAACTTTAGAATGATCACTGGCTCAGCTCTTTAGCTTCTTGAACTGAAAAACTGGTTACTCCTTGTTATATTAACGATACACTGTGACACCAGATTCCCTTGATTAATTTATATAGAAAATGGAAACTAACTCAGTAGATGGGAGAATCACAAAGCAGATCTCAGGAGTTAAAGGAAGATGATGCTGTGCGGGAAACGTTTGCGACTTTCTTTTAAACATCATACAAAGTCACGCACTTTAGAGATCACTGAACTGTCAAACAGATTAGAGGCTGAAATTATCTCCAATTTACACTGATGGTTTTCAGCAATTTCTTTTGATATTAACCCCTTATTTTTATATATATAATACGTCTTAAACTTTTCTTTGTTAAACTTCACAGTGGTGACTGTGTTCTTTGGTCTTCGCCTTCCTCACTCAAGGCTAGGTGACCCCGCCTTGTACCCCATGGTCGCCTACTGTGTGGCTTTGATTCTTGTGGTTGCTTACGACATTTACGATACTTTGACGACGTCGCGTGGCGGAGCATCTTTCAACGTCGGTCCGTTGGGAGGGAAAGAAGGTGATTACTTGTGTAGTAAGGAAGCTAAGTATCAATCAGAACTGCCCGTCAAGATCAGTCAGTGTCCAGATTTTATACACTATTTTAAGGAATTATTTCAAAGTGAGATTAAAGCGTTCTTTTGGCCATTTTCGATTGATTCTAATCTCCCTCGTGTGAGCCAGTCACGTGACTCTTGTCGTATTTTTATGTCTTTTTGAATGACAGATGGCAATGTTGAATTGCAGCCCCCTGGCGTTCCGGTATGAAAATTCGTTTCATTATATCTTGTCTTGTTGTATCTTTTGCTATGCTTAATTCTGGTCCCGTGGAAGTTTAACGAATTTAAACGCTTTCATGCCTCAACCCTTAAACTCCATGTGTGTTAAAACAGCATGTCTCCTTACAATTACAAGTGATGTTAACAAAGAAAAATACTTATTTGGGGATTATTTATTGATCCAGTATCAAATTCTCCAAACAAACACCATAAGAATTGTATGACATACAGTGAGGAGAACTACTAATGAGATTTTGGGAGTGAAAGGTTAAATTAAGCCAGTGCATTATGATCAGCGATATAGGTGACGTAAAATGCGTTCTTTGTGAACTCCTGCTGAGGGAGAAATTCTTAATTTCCTTCTCTTCCAGTTGTCCAAGCTTTGTGTGCAAATAGGGTAATACTCTCTGTGGATGTTTTCTTTCGGTTCTCACCCGTTGCTGCTTTTTTTTCCTTTTTGCAGGCTGGAAATGAACACAAATTTCTGTTTGCCTTTACGGTTCTTGTTTCAGTTGGTGTTGTGATTGCACTTTTGGTGCTGATTGCAATCGCTGACAGGGAATCTCACAAACATGATCACGACAGCTAAATTAAAAGTCAAGGAGTGAGTTTATAAGGGTGTGCTATTATTTTAATATGCAGACCAATCAATCCCTAAGTTGAAAGTGCAGAGATTTGTAGAAAGAATCTATCTGAATTTTCTTCCTGAAATCATTAAACTGAAATTTTTCATTTTCTTCTTGTACAGTCCTTTAAATCTCATCCATTGTTTATCATCTGTATTTCTTTTATTTATTCTTTTGTATTTGATGTTTGTCCAAATCTGCATTCAATAAAATTAAAAAGGAAGTTACCTCTAAGGTCTCAGGGTGCATGACTCCCTCTCCTTCCCTCCCATTCCTTCTTTGCTGAAAGTGCAAGATCCCTGTCTCTTTCCCACTACTTGTCTAGAAAAAAGGTGATAATTTATGATAATCTTACATCCTGGTTTATCCTCAAATGCCATTGGGTCGCTAGTGTCAAACTGACCCTGTCCCCACCCCTCCAGAGAATCCTGCTTATACCCCTTTTTAGGTGTTCTTCTACTTAAAGTTGTTTTCATAGTTCCTCTAAATCACCTCTTTCTCTCTTTGCAGGTTGATGCAACAAAATTCCTCAAGCAGAGGAATGATCAACCTATGAACTGAATTGGTACCAAAACAATCGTATAAGAACTAGTTGATAGTGAACATTTTTGGTAGCCCATTTATCTTTTTAATAAGGTTACATCTGTAGACTGTCTCATTTATTTTCTGTGAACATCACTTTTTCATTAGGATGTAGCTTTTTTTTTTTTTTTAGGTGAAATGTTTATAAGAGCAAACAGTTATTAACGGATGAGGTGGTAGAGGTCATACGTTTATGAAGAAATTTATAGACTAGTAAAAAGTGTTCGGAAGATTTTCCTCTAGATAATAGTATGCATAATGCTGATATATTTGAATGATTTAAACTCTAGCAAATATTTAGACATTTTAACGATGATTTATCGTAAATAAAACAATCATATATTTGAGAAAGGGTTTCCTATAGAGGTCTTGGCTCAGTTCAAAGCCCTATTTGCAATTGTTTTACACCATGTTTTTACAATCTCTCCAAAGAAGCCTCTGGCTGACACACTCTTGCTCATTGAGAGCTTGACTGTTTCAAGTCAACTATGTGATTTATAATGGTAATAAGACCGAGTGGAGTCCAATTCGGTCTGTAATCATACAAGTGATTAACAAAATGGGACGACTTGTCAATCATGAGAATTATAACAGACAGAATTGGAAGACAAAAATCATGTTACCAATTAATCATAACCTTCACAATTTCCAAAAACAACAAATACATTTAGGACAAGTATCTGTGGTAGAGACAAAGTCTAAGTAAAAAAATGGTTATTGTGATCAATTCTATAATTGGTAGATTTGGCTGAAAGGACTGAGCATGATTCAAAATTTCAACTGCCTGATTATAGCCAACTGTCTGATTACATTGTCCAATTTCAACTGTGCAGAATGATTCGTGAAAAATAAAGCAGCTAAAGCACCAATCACATTTGAGTAAATTGTAATGGTTATGATTAAGGGGAGAACTGAAGGGTGTGATACCTGGAAACAACTTGATATTCACCCTTGCGGTGTAGCTTGGTGAAATTTCATGTTATTATAGCAACAGTGACGAGACCAGTGCAGTCTGCACCACATAACTAATGATTGAGAAACCCCTCCTTGGTTAAAACAACTTATAAAAATTTAGACAACTTCCTGTACAATCAAAGGAGCATTACCTCATGATGCACAGTAAGTATTTACAATTAAAGAAAAACTGTGAAAATATCAGTAAATTCCAACACTCAAGGGATAAACTTGCAAGAAAGTGGTTAAAAAAAACATTGGGTAATGAGAAAAAACCTGTATACAAATACATCCCAGACTATTTATGGGCTTGGTATAACATAGAGAAAGAAAGCAATCACCAAAAAAAAAAAAAAAAGAGGAAGAAAAGCTTTAAAATGAAATTTAAAAAAACAAAACAAAAAAACAGCAAGCTCCCCGGGACAGGATCTGCACCTAGTCTGGGAGCGCGGTTTCATGATACAATGCTCAACCCACAGAGCTGCAGGAAAATTGCCATGAAATTGAGAGCAAATTTAAGTCAATTTGTATCGAGTCAACAACGTAATGTTAGGATCAAGTGTGCAAACATTCTGAGGGAAGAAGTGTTTTGAATCTAAGATGACATCAGAACCAAAACTCTGCTATTTGCCAGTTACATAATTTTCAAATTCAGGGGCACTCTCCTCCTAAATTTAAAGGTCTGGGAAAAGGGTGAAATTGATACTAAGTGGATAAAAAAACATTGGCTAATGTACCTTAAGGAAAAAAATAATTTAAAATTGTGACAATACACAGTCACTTAAAAAAGTATGTTGTACAAAATCCATTGAAAACTATGTAATGTTGCATACTTTTAACACACCCACCTCTAATATGGGTTTAAATGACCCTCTCACAGAACTAAGATTGAGATGGTTATTTTTAACTGGTACTGATGATGATAGTAGTGTGATATTTAATTAATTTCAGATGCAAGATGGTATTAACACTACGCAAGATCTGTTCAGAGGTGAGACTCATGCTGTCATCAATAAATCATTTTGCTGTGGCTAAAGGGAACTTGTCAACCAACAAGTAGGTGATATTTTTAATGAAGAGGAGGGGAAAATACTTAGTAAGGTTGAGATCTTGAATCTTGCTTACCCCAAATTAAGAAGTGTTATTTTGGTTGACAGTGACAATTTTGTTGACTTCCTAAGATTACCACTGTCCATCATTAGTTCTGTAAAGAGAGGTCCTTCCGTACTTGGCCCCCACCAATGTTCCCCTGCAGACACCTGGTTTGTTACAATACGAACCATTTTGTTTATTTATCATTTTTATGAATTTGACTATGTCTTTATTAATTTTCTTCTTCTTCTTCCTCCTCCTTGTGACAAACCTAAAACCTCATTAGAATTCTGGGGTGTTCAAGGTTCCATTCACTCTCAGTTAACTGAATTATCAATCTTTCTTGTGTTTAGGACAAATTTCCTTTTCGCAAGCTATCAGCAATTCAGAAAACCTAAGCATCTATTCATGTAATGTCCAATAATGTAAATTTTACAGTTTTCCATAATGATTGTGGTTCAGATGCCAACTTTTCCATTTCAAAAACAATAAAGTTTTTCAGGTTTTTTATTTGTAGGGGTGGCACAGATATGCTTGATGAAAAAGACTGTGGTATGAATAGTGATAATGATGATGAAATCCTTGTTAGTTCCCAACCAAATGGGAATAGCACCCAGGGAGCTAATAAGTGCCTGGCCATGGGTGAAGAGTGTGATTCACAAGGAACCTCTGAGATGCCTCGAGATGATGATGATGTTATAGAAGATTTTGATGATGAAGACTTTTAAAGGGTTTAAAAGAGCTTTTGACACCTTCCACTCATGCAGGGTGGTTCATCTGAGTGTGATGCAGTGCCCCCCTTAAGGTTGTCATCATTTGTACAAAAGCTATAGCCATGATTATGGTAGACCCAATCTTTACAAGGGTTGGTTTGAAGAAAAGTTTGTCTAATTTCACAAAACTTGTGGTCTAAATGGTGGTAATGTTAAATAACTGAAGACCTGGATTGTAAATTGTGTACAAAACAGTAAAAACATATTATCTGTAGTTTGTTTGGTCAAATACATCCAAGTTTAGAAGCTATTCATTGAAAGATTACAACTGACATTTGGTTCATAGTGCAGCACTGACTTCCTCGACTTGCTGCCATCAGGCTCAACTTATAGTGTTTTATAATGTTCACAGGAAGAAAGAGAAGCACTAGTTTGAATAGTTATACAGATGGGAGGAAAAAGCACAAGATCTGTAAATATACATCAAATTGTTAACTGATTTAACAAAACATTTTCCTTTGGTTATTAGTTGTATTATGTATTTTCATGAAGAAAAAGTGCTTCACATAAGATGAAACTTAAAAAAAACAAATATTAAAAGGGAATGACAGTTGATAATGGTTGGATTCAAAGGCTCCAAGATCGATGATTATGGGCTTTTCTGCATTGTATGCTCTTGTTTTGATACTCACAGCTATGTCATGGAGTAAGAAGCTTGAAATTGGAACTTTTCACTGTCCATAGGTTTATCAGACTCATTTGTAAACGATTGCAATAATTATTGTTGTGTAGGAATCTGTACATTTTCTGTTTAAGACGGGTATTCTTTATCACCAGACTCTATTCGTTTCAAGCAGTTTTAAAATCTGCTGTAGTATCTGTGGTGAATGTTTCTTGAGGGCAATACCCAAAAGAACTGGTTTGCTGGCATGCTTATTTATAAGGGCTCCAATCTGTTTAGCATAAACATGCCAGATTTCCTGCAATGTAATAACATGTTCAAAATTAAATACAAACGTAAGTCAATGAATGAAGTGATATTAACCTTCTGTCAGTAACAGTCCATCCTATCAAAAACCTGTTGTAATCATAAATAATTTTCCACTCATTGACAACATTTAGAGTGAATCTCTTCATACACCTTAAAATACTACACAAGGTAGACCACTGCATTTACTAGCCTTTTAATTTAGTGGGCATGAAAATGTTACTTTTAGCACAGTCTTTTCTTGTTCCTTTTTTCCCCTCCAGTATTAACAGCTTTTAAGGCCTGGTAGACATAGACATACTCATAAAGAAAACTAGCTTGCAGTGCAGGCATCTTATAAGAGTGAATTAACATTAGGAAGCTTGCAATAATTTATTCCACCAGCCATGTTTGATTTGGAGATAGAGGTGATGAGGGGAGGGGGGGCAGGAAAGGTGAAAATCTTCACTCCCCCAATCTTACCCCTCTCCTTATTTTAGACTGTTGCCCATCCCCTTGGTACAATATTCTTTCTCTCCACAGCCTTCTGCTATAATTAAATTAAAAGAAGGGGGCCATAATTTTTCCTAACAAAATCACCTCTGCTCTACAGGCTAAAAGAAAACGTGCTAAGTTTATGAAGTCTTAAACATTTCCCTGTATGATAGCTCAGTGAATTTGGTATTGGTTACCAGTAAATTTACTGTGTTCTGTAATTGAAAATTTCCTAAATTTTTACCATCTACTTACTTAGCAATGAGTTCATATCCCACAGAGAAGATGCATTTGACCACCTCTGAGATTGATGGAGTTTCTGCAGAACTAGACAACAGTATAGAACTTGAACAAACCTTGTCACTACCCATGAGTATTCTTGTGTTGAATGTCTGTGCCTCTCTTTTGGATGAGCTCTCTGTTGGAGACATCCTATTTACACTAACCTGCAAGGATGTTCATTGAACAGATGATTTTTAAAGAAACTAGGTTTATGCAAATTAACAAACTCAAAGCTTTAGGTTCTCAATGACAAAAGGATTATGAGGAGTTTAAAGGGAACCTGCTGCAACTTCACATCCAAAGAAGCCCATCAGACCGTTTGAAATGATTAACAACACCGGCAAATATCCTCGAACAACTTCCTGTCAACCCTTTAACTCCCATTGGGCAACCAAAACATAATTTCTCCTCACAACATCAATACAAAACCTAGCAGACAAGTGATGGGAATACAGGAAAATATCAACTAGGGGTTTATTAGTTGATCCAAAACAAAATTCTCCAACGATATAAAAAAATTAAGCAAGACAATAAGGAAGATTACTAATGAGATCTTAGAGTGAAAACGTTTTATGGATAATGTAACAATACATATCAGCTAAAGATCACATGAAGCTCAAAATTATTTTTAATACAATGGTTGAAATTATTCTAATTTACGCTCCGAAATCTTGGTGTAAATCATCACTCAATCATCCAATCATCAGAAACCGCTATCAAAGAAAAAAAGTAACAAACACTTAAGACAACAACACTCACCAACGTTCCAATTTTCTCAAACTGTGAAACGATCAAAAAGATTCTGTCCTGATAAGCAGAACAAAACACTTCTGTGTGGGTTCCTTCGATAATTGCCGCAGTCTAGAAAGCAAGATAATTATCAAAAAACCACGCTGCAGAACTTGTGATTCACGAAAAAGGCACTTTTACCTGACGGGTTTTCACAGTCTGACCGGCCATTTTAAAATCTACGAATGTATGGGGAAAATGCAAGATTTAAGGAGGGGTGGGAAGCCTAAGATATTCAAGCGTCACGCTCTCCAGGTTGCTGCGTGACTGCCCACTTGTGTGAGACCATTGGTAATAGGCAGCCACTTGTAAAATTTCGCTTAAGGAAATATCTGAGGCGGAAAACCACTATGATTTTTGTGTTACAGGTGATTTTAATTCTAATTATTGTAGATAATAATTGAAAATTATTTTTTCCAAGCGAATTTTACTGATGCGACATGCTCGATGTCATGTGAAAGTTAACTGGAATATTTGCTGTATGTTACCGTCGTCTAAGTTGAAATCAAACTTTTTTAATAGGTTTGTCTTCGTTCTTATGGGCTTTAGTGTCATATCTCTGTCGCATGTTGCCGTAGATTTTGATGATTATACTCAGAGGAGTAATGCTTTCTCGAACACATCCGAATGACAACAAACATTCTACCTTCGACCTCGCTGCAGCTGTTGCATTCTATACACTTACGTAACTCAATTACTTTCAGTAATCCCCGCACTAAACTTGAAGCCGAAACCAAGTTAACTTTTTCTGAATCAACAATAACTTTATTGCGCCTTGGTAAAGGCGTCTTTTTTAGTTTTTGGATTTATCGGTGATAGAACCTTGAGTCACTAAAACTTCTAGCTGGGCGGCAACTCAGTTCAGAAGTTTATGCAATATGAGATAGGTTTAGTTTGACATCAAAACGCGGGCATTTTCATAGGTGAGATATGTCAGTGTTTCGGGATTTAATTGCTGATATTTCGCCTTATGAAAAATGGAAAGAGGGAAAAACATTGGAAAACATCTTTTAATAAAGATTTCTTAGCGCAGGTAATCAATCATCCGTTCCAATTGTTTACATTAAGAACCAATGGTATTGTCAATGTTGTTGTAACAAAGAATAGAGGCGACCCCCTTGGCCAACATATTTTATATTCGTTGTATCGATGGCTTAAGGGCTTCCGTCTACTTTACCAAACGTTTTTCAAAGGCGTTGGAAGATGAAGTCAACAGTTCATTTTTGTTTCCCGTGTTTTTTTTTTTGTTTTTGTTTTTTCACTTTAAATACTGAATTTTAAAAAAATCGGCACTTCAGATGCATATTGGTTTTCGATTTTCATCGTTGGGTGAAAACCTGATGCGAATTTTCACTGTGGTAGTATGTGTTTTGTAGGTATGTATTCTGAGAAATGTATCTTTTTTTCAGTTATCATGCTGAACTCATACATCTCACTTTCTGGAGGTCATCCACTAAATGGTTCTGGATTTAAATTTTAATTGCTTGGCATTAAAAAAGGATGTCATGTCTACAAAGATGTACACCATGAGGTTACTGTTTAAACGAAACACTGATTATGTTATGTTCCTAGCAACACTTTATAAATACATCATAATTGCTTTAACTCTTTTTTAACTTTTTTGGCGCTGATTTAAATGCATTACATCTGAAAAGACAATCTTACAGAGACACACGCTAAACCATATAGCTAAGATAGTGTATTTTCTTCATTTATGTTCCAAATCTAAGTAACAAGATTTTTAACATGAATATTATTTCGAGATCCTTAGGAACTTCTTTTCTCCAATGTCAAATCAATTTCATAATTACCTAACGTCACTGGGTAGGTCTAAATCTTCAAACCCACCAGCATTTCAGCGTACTTGTAAGGGTAAAGGTAAAAAAGCAATGTTCAAATAAACCATGATGTTCGCAAAAACTTTTTCTTTTAATCTATTTCAGGTCGCAGCTCAGCTGTTGCTCCTCAGTGTCTCAACCGTGTTTGGATTCTCTGGAGGTCCTCCATTGAGTGCCTGCGAGAATAAGTTCCCTCACCACAAAAGGGCTGTGGCACAACAAGGACTGCCTCCCTATAACATCTCTGTGTCCTCACTTTTGTATAACCCTGGAGACAGCCTGACTGTGATCATCTCAGGATCACAGCCTTTTAAGGGATTCATTTTAAATGCACAGGGGACTGAAAGCTCGATTCCTCGGCCAGTAGGAACATTTACTCAAATTCCAAGTTGTATGTATTCTCTAAACTTCTTCTTCTACTTCTCGCACATAATTCAAGACAGTTTATGAGAATGAGACATCTGAGAAAGTAACTTTTTCTTTGTCTACTATGAATTTAAGATGAAAATAAGGGGTTCCTAGGTCTTTCTCAACCAGGGAAGAAATTGTTTATAACATCGAAACTTGAATGCCCAAAAATTCCCAGTAAAACACTTATATAGGACTTCTCCTTCTTCTGCTGACATCCCTGGGACATCAAATTGGACACAAGTACTATCTCTTTAACTGTTCTTGCAAACAAACAAAAAAAGGAAACAGGAGTCCTGGCTGATGAAGGATAGAACATTTCTAGCCAATCTTTGGTGAAAGAATGGCAATTATACCTTTTCTTTTTTTCGGAAGCATTGGTGGACAAGTGGACATATTTTTATTTTTCTTGCAGATACAGCTTCTTTAGACTGTTCTGGAGATGAATCAAAGGTAAGGTATTGCATACTTATTTCAAATTCTTTTTAAGTTAATTAACACTATAGGTGTCTTGGCAGAGGAAACTATTGTTTTTTTTTTCTGCTCATATTTAGGACACAGTTGGTCATAAAAATCCTAACCCAGCTAAGAACTTGAATTCACTTCAGTTCACTTGGATGGCTCCTGAAAAGAGTGCAGGGAACATCAGCTTCATGTCAGTAACATATATGTTTTTTTTGAAGGTCATAATATGTAGCTTAAACTTGCTAACATGGGGGGTGGGAAGGAGGGTTGGCTGTGGAATGTAATGTGTCATTCTTTTTGAACTCAAGCATTTGAACTTTTGAAAATTGGTTCAACAAAAACCCATTCTTAAGGGCTAAAATTGAGTTCAAATGTCCTTCCCAAGTGTCAGATGGTCAATTATTTGGTGAAACCTAAAACCTGGACCAATGTAGACCTTTCCTCCTCAGAGCCATCTGCTTGCAAAAGTCAACTCTTTTCCTTTAAGTACCTCCATATTAAAAGATACAACTGGAAAGACTTGATACTTAATACTTCTGGTTCAAATTCCCCGCCCCACCTAGGCAAGGTTCATATTTCCCACCACACAGGCTGGGCACGAAGGACAATCAAATGTTTGTGGAATGCACGAGGGGGGATGTTGAAGCTTTGAATTGATTGTTGCATTATTGTAAGTGTTTTGTTGGAAGTTGAAATGTACTGAACCCTTTGTGCAAGGCACTTTATAGTTATAATTGCATAGACAGAGTTCCTACAGGAAATATTTGAGATATGCAGCAGCCAATGTTTAAATATGCAGTCCCTGCCTTTTGTAGACTTTCATGTGTTATTTATTTTCTATATACAGTGCAACCATTGTTCAGAGCTATTCCACTTTCTGGGAAAAAGTTTCTTCTCCTGTGGTTCATGGTCCACCAGCAGAGGATGTCACTAGTGGGACTTCAACAGAGAGCTTTCAGGTGAGCCCAATGATCAAAAAATGGGCCCAGCTAATATAGGGAGGGGAAGAACCTTAGGAATGAGCTTGCAGAGTGCCATTCACAAGTGTTTTACTCTCGTGTTCTAGTCACAAAAGATAACCAAAGATGGATGCGGGAAGACAAAGAGCTGCTATTCTGAGCCTGCAAATTGCAAGTCCAGCAAAGACTGTGAATATCTTGTGACCATAAAACCAGAAGGGGACCAGTGTGAGTCAGGTGGAGTGGAATTTGAGCTTAGCACCAAGAAACAATGGGGGGCCATTGGTTTTAACAGTGAAAAGAACAAGATGGTGAGAAAAATAAATTGTGGTTATTGAAATTTTAAACTCATGTGTCAAGGTAACTTTATTGTTTCTTATTCTAACCACAGTGCTTTGTGAGATTTATATGTCACGTTAAACTCATGCGTCAAGGTAACATTATTGTTTCTTCTTCTAACCACAGTGCTTTGTCAGATTTATATGTCACATTATGATGTCACAATATGTTGGCACAATTGAATTTGCTAAGTATCCAAGGCAGCTATTGACTGACCACTGGGATTAGTCTGGTTTTGCTACACAGTGCTCTGTGATTGGCAAAAAACTCAACCAATCAGAAGGAAGTATGACCTTAGTCATGACTTGATTAAACAAGTGATCTGCAGTTCAGGCTGCATACTACCCAGTGAAGGTTCCTGTTTAATTTCTACCTTTCCTCTTACTTACTTCGGTAATCTCTGTAATCCTTTAACTCCCATGAGTGACCAAGACAGAACTCCTCCCTACCATATCAATACAATATGAAACAGAAAAGTGTTGAGGATCAAGAAAAATTTCAATTATTAGTTAATCCAATAACAAATTTTCAGAACTAACATCATAAGAATAGTATGTCAGAGAATTACTAATGAGATCTTGGGAGTTAAAGGGTTAACTGGTCCTAACCCCCACGACAATCACTGTGGAACATCATTCTGTCACGCAACGAAAAAGAGCCATTTCTGTTCTGGTGGTAATGATCAAATCGTTGACAGCACTGCTTGTTATTTGCTTGTTTTTAGGATGGCACCGATGCCTTAATATGCGCTGAAGTCAAGAATAATGTCACTGTAGAACATTATATGGCCGACAAAGGGTATGGTATACCTACAAAGACCAAACCTGTAAGTACCTGGCATCCTCAACTGTCCAGCGGTATTTTTACCAGGTTACCAGTTTAGATATAGCTTGTATGGATCACAACATGAAATAATGAGTATAGAGATGAAAACGCGCAGATAAACTGAGTTTTTGCGAGTTTCGATTAAGTGTGTGATAATTGACGTATTTTTGTATTCCAGACACCCGCCTCTATTATTGTAACTCTTGCTGAATCAAAAGATGGAGTTGTTGCCTGTCGGTAAGTCCCATTCCATCTGCGAGAGTATCACAAGTGGATCAGACCTACAAGTTTTCCTTAACTTTCATGGACTCCTATTTTTGTCCTTGAGCTTAAAGAGGCACTGAGAATGTAAATTATGGCTCAAAATCACAACATGATGAACCAGTCAAGGTTCGAATCTGGACATCTTGATCCTAAGCCATTGGAGTCTCCTCCCTAAACCGAGGCCAGGAAGCCTCGGATCCAGAGTGTCAGGGGTGGGGTAGGGTTATTTTGTCGTTTCTGCTTAGTTCCGTTTTCCTCTAACTTTTTAATGATATGAAAACACCAGAGGAAGAAATACTTCAAGAAATTAGGTAGAAATTCTTCCCTTTCTAGAAATGAGAGATAATAAAACACGGTTGTCGTTATTTAAAATAGCTTTAAAAGGAAGAAGAAAGATGACAAGATGGTGGATCTTACGAAGACATGGCATCTTGTGTATGCAAGTGGCCCTATGAGTAAGTGATGTTTTTTTAATGGTAAATATGTATTCATTATTTGACAGTGTGAACAGTTTTTGGATCAATGTCAGTATCTGAGCAACTGCGCACCTACTCCTCCCCTAACTCAAGATAAAGCCTAACTTCTTATCGGTTGACTGCAGTTGGGTTGGTGGGGGGGGGGGGTAGATGTGCAGTTTCTCAGATACTGATATTGATGCTTTTCTTCATAAACAGGCGGAGACAAGATAGGCATACACTCCACTACTCCAAAAACCAGCCCTCAGAAAGTGGACGTCTGTGCAAAGGGAGAGCTTGTTGCAGCAGAGAAGAGCATTACATTGGTACAGGTTCATGGTAAGAGAGCTGATACTGTGGTTAAAACGAAGTTCATTCAAAGAAACCATTTTTGGGAAAAATTCACAATAGTCTAATTAATCTAATATTTATTTTAAACCTGATAAATCTCGAACAATCGACGACCGATTTCATGGTGCTATACACTACGCGCAACACGTCAATTATTAACAAAAGATATTTGGAAATTTCCTAACACGGTAAAACAAAAGTCTAATATGTCTAGCTTTAATCATTTTGAGAACCAATGACTTAACCGCAATCTTCAACGTTATCAGATGATTCCTACACTAGTGTCTGATCTTAGACACTAATGTCCGATTCTAGACACAAGTGTCCGATTTTAGACACTAGTGTCCGATTTTAGACGTTAGTATCCCATTTTAGACACTACCGTCCAATTTTAAACAATAGTGTGCAAAATGAGAAAGTATTTTCAGTCTTGACCCTTTATTTCTCACAGGCTGTTTAATGGTTATCGCGTGGATTGGCTTTGCGTCGATTGGAATGTTCATTGCTCGTCACATGAAGGTGTTGTTTGGCCAGAGGGTTCTGCTTGGCACCAAAATGTGGTTTACAGTAAGACTTTTATTCTTTCAAACAAAGTTTTATCAAAACACTTGTCGGTAATTACGTTAACGGGAGGAGCACCGTACTTCACTTTTTATTCTAAGTATCGTGTTGATTTGTTATTTGGGGATATAACAGCTCAGAGTTAGTTTCTCATTCGCTGATGATAATGAAAGATAAACCGACAGAAATTTTTTACGGGTTTGCTGGAAGAGTGAAATATTTTGGATAAATTCCAGTATCTAAGCAACTACGCACCTACCTCTCCCCAAACCCAACATGAACCCTAACTTGTTATAAATTGACTGTTGTTATGTTAGGGGAGGGGTAGGTCCGTTGTCGCTCAGATACTGACATTGGTCCATATTTTGATTGTTATCTCTCAGCTTCACCGATTGTTAATGGTCTTGACAGTTGTGCTTACTATTCTTGGAGTTATCCTCATCTTTGTTCATGCTGGTCGCTGGACCAAGGTAGGACTAAATCTTCGTATCCTGTATCTTCTCTATATTGGTTAGCTGGGGACATTAGAGAACCCACGCACTTCTCGCAAAGTGAAATTTCCTTTAAAAAGTTTTGTTAACTGCCTTAAGCAGTCTAGCCACAGTCCTCTAAAAACTGATGTAAATGATGTAAATGATATATGTGCATTAGAAAATATTCATATGGAGAAACCGCTATATAAATGCATCATTATCATCGTCTTCCTAATCTGCGTGACGCCTCAGCCAATCACAACCAGTTAACCAATGACAACGTCAATTTACGTCATATCCCCGGTGCATAGCGCTAGTCTAGAGTTTTCTAGTGGTGGATTGTTGATTGAACAAGAGGCTAGGCTTGTATTAGGCCTATCGATTGGCTACATGGATAGATAGTTCCCAGCCCTTTCTTTTCTTTTACTCACAGGAAGCTGGCGCTCATCCAATCACTGGTATATTTGTACTGCTGCTCGCTGTTATTCAACCAATTATGGCAGTATTCAGACCCCACCCTGGAGAAGAAAAGTATGTTTGGAGAGTATTTTTTTTCTTTCTTTTCTCTTATGTATCCTTAGTGTTCATGTTCCTTATTGTTGGTGTTGCTTTTCTTTAGACGCTACATCTTCAACTGGGCCCATCGTGGTGTGGGGCTGTCTGCACTGATCCTGGCTGGTAAGGAGTCTTTTGAATCAAAATAACTTTAGAATGATCACTGGCTCAGCTCTTTAGCTTCTTGAACTGAAAAACGGGTTACTCCTTGTTATATTAACGATACACTGTGACACCAGATTCCCTTGATTAATTTGTACAGAAAATGGAAACTAACTCAGTAGATGGGAGAATCGCAAAGCAGATCTCAGGAGTTAAAGAAAGATGATACTGTGCGGGAAACGTTTGCGACTCTCTTTTAAACATCATACAAAGTCACGCACTTAAGAGATCACTGAACTGTCAAACAGATTAGAGGCTGAAATTATCTCCAATTTACACTGATGGTTTTCAGCAATTTCTTTAGATACTAACCCCTTATTTTTATTTATATAATACGTCTTAAACTTTTCTTTGTTAAACTTCACAGTGGTGACTGTGTTCTTTGGTCTTCGCCTTCCTCACTCAAGGCTAGGTGACCCCGCCTTGTACCCCATGATCGCCTATTGTGTGGCTTTGATTCTTGTGGTTGCTTACGACATTTACGATACTTTGACGACGTCGCGTGACGGAGCATCTTTCAACGTCGGTCCGTTGGGAGGGAAAGAAGGTGATTACTTGTGTAGTAAGGAAGCTAAGTATCAATCAGAACTGCCCGTCAAGATCAGTCAGTGTCTAGATTTTATACACTATTTTAAGGAATTCTTTCAAAGTGAGATTAAAGCGTTCAAAAATGGTCATATTCTTCAGTAAACCTACTATTCTTTTGGCCATTTTCAATTGATTCTAATCTCCCTCGTGTGAGCCAGTCACGTGACTCTTGTCGTATTTTTATGTCTTTTTGAATGACAGATGGCAATGTTGAATTGCAGCCCCCTGGCGTTCCGGTATGAAAATTCGTTTCATTATATCTTGTCTTGTTGTATCTTTTGCTATGCTTAATTCTGGTCCCGTGGAAGTTTAACGAATTTAAACGCTTTCATGCCTCAACCCTTAAACTCCATGTGTGCTAAAACAGCATGTCTCCTTACAATTACAAGTGATGTTAACAAAGAAAAATACTTATTTGGGGATTATTTATTGATCCAATATCAAATTCTCCAAACAAACACCATAAGAATTGTATGACATACAGTGAGGAGAACTACTAATGAGATTTTGGGAGTGAAAGGTTAAATGAAGCCAGTGCATTATGATCAGCGATATAGGTGACGTAAAATGCGTTCTTTGTGAACTCCTGCTGAGGGAGAAATTCTTAATTTCCTTCTCTTCCAGTTGTCCAAGCTTTGTGTGCAAATAGGGTAATACTCTCTGTGGATGTTTTCTTTCGGTTCTCACCCGTTGCTGCTTTTTTTTCCTTTTTGCAGGCTGGAAATAAACGCAAGTTTCTGTTCGCCTTTACGGTTCTTGTTTCAGTTGGTGTTGTGGTTGCACTTTTGGTGCTGATTGCAATCGCTGACGGAGAATCTCACGAACATGATCACGACAGCTAAATCAAAAGTCAAGGAGTGAGTTTATAAGGGTGTACTATTATTTCAATATGCGGACCAATCAATCCCTAAGTTGAAAGTGCGGAGACTCGTAGAAAGAATCTATCTGAATTTTCTTCCTGAAAACATTCAACTAAAACTTTTCATTTTCTTCTTGTACAGTCCTTTAAATCTCATCCATCGTTTATCATCTGTATTTCTTTTATTTATTCTTTTATATGTGATGTTTGTCCAAATCTGCATTCAATTTATGATAATCTTACATCCTGGTTTACCCTCAAATGCCATTGGGTCGCTAGTGTCGAACTGACCCTGTCTCCACCCCTCCAGAGAATCCTGCTTATACTCTTTTTAGGTGTTCTTCTACTTAAAGTTGTTTTTATAGTTCCTCTAAGGCAGCTCTTTCTCTCTTTGCAGGTCAATGCAACAAAATTCTTCAAGCGGAGGGTGCAGATATTACAGCTGACGGCATAATGATTAACTTATGAACTGAAGTGGTACCACATCAGTCGTATAAGAACTAGTTGATAGTGAACTTTTTGTTAGCCTATTTATCTTTTTAATAAGGATATATCTGTATACTTTCTTAATTATTTTCAGCGAATATCACTTTTTTATCAGGATGTAGCTGTTTTTTTTTTTTTTAGGTGAAATGTTAATAAGAGTAAACAGTTATTAACAGATGAGGTGGTAGAGGTCATACGTTTATGAAGAGATATATAGACTAGTAAAGAGTGTTCGGAAGATGTTTCCTTTAGGTAATAGTATGCATAATGCTGATATATTTGAATGATTTAAACTCTAGCAAATATTTACACATTTTAACGATGATTTATCGTAAATAAAACAGTCATATGTTTGAGAAAGGGTTTCCTATAGAGGTCTTGGCTCATTTCAAAGCCCTATTTGCAATTGTTTTACACCATGTTTTTACAATCTCTTCAGAGAAGTCTCTGGCTGACACACTCTTACTCATTGAGAGCTTGACTGTTTCAAGTCAATTATGTGATTTATAATGGTAATAGGACCGAGTGGAGTCCAATTCGGTCCGTAATCACACGAGTGATTAACGATTTGTCCATTACGAGTATTATAACAGACAGAATTGGGAGACAAAAATCGAGTTACCAATTAATCATAACCTTTACAATTTCCGAAAACAACAATACATTTAGGACAAATATCTGTGGTAGAGACAAAGTCTAAGTGAAAAATTCAACTTTGGAAATTTCACCATTTTTTTAGGATAAGTGGTTGTTGCTGTGGTTGTGATCAATTCTGTGATTGGTGGATTTGGCTGAAAGGACTGAGCATGATTCGAAATTTCAACTGCTCGATTACATCACATTTGAGTAAATTGTAATTGTTATGATTAAGGGGAGAACTGAAGGGTGTTATATCTGGGAACGACTTGATATTCGCCCTTGTGTAGCCCGGTGAAGTTTCATGTTACTGTAGCGACAGTTACGAGACTTCAGTGCAGTCTGCACCACGTGACTGATGATTGAGAAACCTTTCCGTGGTTAAAACAACTTATAAAAATTTAGACAACTTCCTGTACGACCAAAGGAGCATTGCCGAATAACGTACAGTATTTACAATTAAAGAAAAACTGCGAAAATATCAGTAAATCCCGACACTCGAGAGATAAACTTACCAGAAAGTGGGTGAAAAAAACGTTGGCTAATGAGAAAAAACCGGTATACAAATACATCCCAGACTATTTATAGGCTTGGTATAACAGAGAATGGAAACAATCACCGAAAAAAAAGGGAAAAAAACTCTAAAATGAAATTAAAAAATTAAAAAAAAAAAAACAGCAAGTTCTCCAGGACGGGATCTGCGCCCTATCTGGTACCGCGGTTTCGCGGTCCAATGCTCAACCCACAGAGCTGTGGGGAACTTGCCATGAAACAGAGAGCAAATTTAAGTCAAAATGTAACGAGTCGACAACGTAATGCTGGGATCAAGTGCGCAAACATTCTGAGGGAAGAAGTGTTTTGACTCTCAGATGACATCAGAACTAAAACTCTGCTATTTGCCAGTTATATAATGTTCAAATTCAGGGGTGCTCTCATCCTAAATTTAAAGGTGTGGAAAAAGGGTAAAATTGATACTAAGTGGATAAAAAAAGCGTCGGCTAATATAATGTACCAAAATGAAAATAACAGTTTAAAGACACGTCCCAGACTACATATAAGCTTGGTATAAAAATCGAGAACGAAATAGTGAAATTAACATTGACAAGGCCTAGACCAGAGGCACACGTTAACTCTTTCACTTCCAAGATCTCATAAGTTATTCTCCTTACAGTATGCCATACAGTTCATATGATGTTAGTATGGAGAATTTAGCATGGGGTCAACAAATAACCCCATTAATGATTTTTTTCTTGATTTTCATCACATGTGCTTAATGTTGCATTGCTATTGTAAGGAGAAGTCCTGTCTTGGTCACTCGTGAGAGTTTAAGATTCATCATAAAATCGTCCTTACAATTCCGTGAGCTATATTTTATTCAGTGTTTTGTAACAATCTTAACAAAGATGATCAACTTGAGTGGTTTAATAAGCGTGACTGTGCATTAACCTGTTTTCCCGGTCTCGAATATCATTAAACCCCATTGTTTCAAGAAGCACCGGTCGTTGTGATCAGGACTTGTCGCGCGCTCGAATCAGTGCTGCACATCAAGAAGCAAAGGAATCGCTCGGAAAGAATTTTGCAAAAAACGCGCAACATGTTTGACAAAGTGGTAAGTGATTATCCAAAACTAAAATGATCTTAATCATTGACTCGATCGTGAACAAAGCAGGACAGAACCGAAGTGCCCATATTTGAAATAGAAACAAGAAGAAAAGAAACGACATAAAAATAATTGTAATAAGACGGATGACCTAAGGAGTCAAACGCAGGTTGCAGTTTTCCCTGAGTTTGGTAGGGGAACCACGACACTTACATTAAGGCTCATAAGCCTGTGAGACCATCATGTGTTGTTATTCACAAGGGGGAGTTCAGTGACGCGTAAACTTCAGAACAACAGATATATGAAAATTTTTTTGCATCGTAGTTGAAACATTTACGTGATTTCTAGACTCACAAACATTATTATAGTAGAGTTAGCTATTTGGTTCGTGAGGGAACCACTATCTTGTTATCTTGAACAGCACTGTGATCGTAAGTGCTCTGTGTGCAATCATGCTTAAGATTCTTTCATGACTTTGCAAAACTCAAAACCTAACGAAGGGCTAACGCTCGAAACGCTAGCTTGAAAACTCTTTACGGCGGCCAAGTCACGTTATCAACTCAGTTGATAACACTTCATTACCCTGTTATACTCTCCCACCAACCCAGCATCACAGTTTATTTAGAAACCTACCCCTTCGTTAAAAAATAATGCTAGTTTGCTTCGCACTATGCATGTCCTACTAATGATGGATTGTTAGGATAGGCAAATTCCCCGTAAAATACTCGCTGATTTTCTCGTTTGGCTCAATTTGGAATAAGCGTTGTACTTAAATTACCAGAATAAACCTACGTAAGCTGACTCTGAACACGTCTCTATCGGAAAATAGAGAGGATTGAAGGGCTCTTTCAAATTTCCTTTTAGTTTTGTCATAGAATGTTGCAACTTCTCTGCTGTTTCAAAACTTTTTTAGGTGAAAACGGTCGTTTTTCGCACCTTCGATTGTAATGACAGTGCAAAAGTTTGCTGTGCATGAAAAGTCAGTGCAATGTCGAGACTTACTTTTTCATCTTACGTAATAACAACTGACCTGCTTACTCATGTGTATCTGTCGTTTGAAGTTGTTTTCCAGACTCCTGGCAGTGTTTACGTCTCAACTGATGACTTGCATTGGGTACCCAACACATGTGCCAATCACAGTTTGCGAAAGCCTTTTTGCGTACCATTTTACTCAGCCACCCCCGGCCTTACCCACTCCCCCTCAACCGCCCAACACAAATCCATACAGAATCCACGTGAGTAATGAGAGCTATGCACGAGATGGTCAGCTGACTGTAACGGTAAATGGTACCAAGGGTTTTAAGGTGAGCCTAGGGTTTTTATTGAGGTAATCATGCTGAAAAATAGTTTCAATTTCTCTGAGTTTTTTCTTACTGACCCATATCATTCTCCCTTTTGTCAGCAACATTAAGTCCTCTGTGTCATAAAGTCTTGTCATAACGTCTCTTTTTCTCTATCTCTGTGGAAGGGGTTCATACTTCAGGCGCGTGCTGCAGGGGATTCAAGACCTGTTGGTACCTTTCAGGGGAACCTGTCTCCGAACCAAACCTATATGTGGTGTTCCGGTGGAGAGCCACAGGTAACCAGCTTTTGATTTCATTTTTGCTCCCCTTCTCAGTGACCGTTACTCTGGTCTCTTCTGTTTGCTCTCTCTTTTCTTTCTGTATCCATAACCACAATGATGAGCAATTCGATTATCCTGAATATCCCTCACTTTTCATTTATTTCTCTTTTGTTAACAGAACACAGTGACACACCAACGTTCCAGACCACCACAGATTACCGCCTTTTATACGCTTGAATTTACCTGGAAAGCACCAGCAGAGAGCGTTGGAAATATCACATTTTGGTTGGCAACAATTTATATTTATACTGGCGTAGGCTAGAAGACGGATCCAAGTCATTTTACTACTGTCGATGAACACCGTTTTGTTTACAAAAAGGGGGGCATCATCTCTGATTACATACATTCAATTTTTCAATCTTAAGCTAAAGAAACTCCTTTAAACCTTATTTTCTTCGATTCAGGGGCACCTTCGTCGAAAATTACACCAGTTTTTGGGTCGGTGTCCAGTCTGTGACTGTCAGTGGTCCTGTATTGGACCCACAACAGCCACTAGTGATACAGCCTGGCTTTGAGGTAACACTGAGTGTTGGTTGTATCTGACTCTTCTCCAAAATAAGTCGCATGAGAAATCTGTACCAGACAATAATTCCGTATTTTGACATCTCACAAGCGGGAAAGACGGAAAAATGCGACTTAGAACAATAACTAGCTTGTATAACTGGCGGCTCTGTCAGGGTGCACTTGACGATGGCTCGCGAAGTCGCCCCAAGCCTTCCGCGGCTTAATCGCCCTTTCCCTTTGCGTAAATAAAACGGGCTGTTATTTGTTTTTGTTGAAGGATATGGATTATATAACAACGAATAACGCTGACTTGAAATTTACTTTATATGTTATTCGTGCCATGTTATCTATTTATTAGGGGAATAATTTTCGTCATGATAAATTCTCACTTTCGGTTCCCATGTTGGAGCGGTATACTTGTTGCGTTTTCTATCCTGTTGAAGATCATTCGACAATCATTTGTTATTGTGTTCTTTAGATAACGAAAAATGGTTGCGGCAGCCAAAAAGGTTGTTATTCTGAGCCCACAGACTGCACAGATAGTTCAAACTGCGAATTCTTGGTCACCTATGAAACAGAAGGAGAAAATGTTACATTTGAGACGAGTGGAAAACATGGCTACGTTTCTATCGGATTCAATTCCAAGCAGAAAATGGTACGGTGAAATTATAGTATACAGTTAACAGTAGTTTGTATGTCAAGTGAAGCTTGAGCATTTTCAAGTTTTCTAACAGTTCTCTGATACACATCAACATAAACGAAAGTTTTCGAGTATGTTGAATGCACACCATTAGTATAATTTCCATGTTAGTGTGAGATAACAGACATAAATGTTTTTAACAACTTGGCAGTTTCCATATTGACCTTTAGCCTACTGCGTCTCATGCTTATGCTTCATGCTAGCCAAACTGAAGTTTCCTTATGGTCATTTTTGTTTCAGGACCAAACGGACTCGATTACTTGTTCAACTTCATCCAATAACGCTGTAGAAATTAGACACTATCACTTAGATTACAATCAGCCAATCAGAACTGACTTGGTAAGGATCGACATATGTATTCTCATACTGACATCGCTTGTTAAATACTTCGGTTCCACTCAGAACTGATTATCATTATTGTTATCGTTAGGAAAACTCTACGGACATAATTCGCGATATGGGAGCGTATGAGAATGGAACTTGCAAGTAGGTAATTACGGTCTCAGGAATCGCTGTATATGTCATGCTTGTACATCAAAATGCATTCCTAATGAGGAGTAGTAAAACCAAAAACCAAAGTAATCACAACGGCCAGTTAGTACAAAATAATTTCTTCAAAGAAACAATTGACGGGCGCACTACTTCGAGTTATTTTTAACAAAGTAACAATGTACTTACATATCTATTGGTAGGTTTGTTCGCAAAATTTCACCCACTGATCCAAGGATGAAAAATTTAACCAAGAGCTGGTTTTTTGTATTTGCTTGGGGTAAAGTCAGTAAGTATCCTTAATCACATTTTCTTTTATCATCTAAACGAAGATTATGTTCGTTTACGTTCTGCTGAAAAAGTTGCTTTCTCTAGTAGGTAATGATCCTGGCCAACCGAGGGCAATTTTGCACAAACCTAAACAATGCACTTTTTAAAGGGCAGTGTTGTTTTGAAAGAACACATTTTATTTTTGCTTAATTTGTATGAATTTTGCCTTTTTTTACTTTAAACTCATACCCGTTTGTTTGTTTGTTTGTTTGTTTTTTTTTTAGGTAACACAGGAGCTCTTTCTTATCATAGAGAAAATGCGACATTTTCCTCAGAACTGGTGAATGTTAGCCAACCTGCTGTGCTAAAAAACGGGCGTAAAACAGCACCAGCACCAGCACCCACCCCCGAAGGTGAACTTGAGGTAAGTAAGAAACAGAAGGCAAATTTGTAGACTGACATAACTCTTCGCTTTTTCTTCGCTGACCAGTTTTTTAAAGAGTCAAGAAATGGTGTCAAATCGCTATCAGCCCCAGATTTTACGAACTATCAGCTGTTTCGGCCAAATTGTCTGCCCACGCTGACGGTATTCCTACGTTTTACTTTCTCTTTCAGTTTTTAACTTCTCAATGTGGCCAAACAAAGAGTTGTTACTCGGAGCCCACAGACTGTACATCTAGCAGCACCTGTGACTATCTTGTCACATTCGAACCTTGCGAAGACAAGAATGACGTCAAATTTGAGTTGAGTGCGAAGACTGGTTGGGTCGCCATCGGATTCAACAAAGAGAGCAAAATGGTAAATGAGAAAGCCTTTGCGTAGATGAAAGCTTCATCGACAGTGGCAATTGCCTTCGTGAAATCATTACCCATTCCTTTACATTTGCTTCAGGACGGTACAGATACTATTATCTGCTCTCGCTTAAATGATGACACTGTAGCCACGGAGCACTATAGCCTGACTGGCCATGACAATCCAGTTCAAACCAAACCGGTGAGAAAGATTTGTGCGTTTAGACCAGGGTTCAAAATATATATGTATGGTCAGGTTTCGAATGAGACTGAACGTGGCCATATGTGTGTGCATGTGTTTTTGTTTTTGTTTGTTTTTTTCGAATCCTTTACCCTTTACTTAAAATGGAAAGAGAGAAGGAAAGCCCATCTTGCGAGTTCAATTCCAACTTTGTTTTATGTTAAGTCTGTTTTTCGTCCATCTCTAGTCTTAAAACCTTTTTACTTATTACATTTTGTGCGCAAGCTGTGTAACTAAACCTTTTGGTTTAAACCAGACTCCTGCAGGCCTTATGGTGATCTCTGGTGCGTATGAAGACGGAGTCATTAAGTGTAGGTGGGTACTATCATTGGTTAGTTGTGAAAATATAATCGAAAAAAACTTAAAACGTATAATCCTTTGACATTCTTTTCAGAAAGTTATGAAAATGTCTGAATCTTTGGTAGCATTTAAGTTGAATACTTATTTTAAAACACTTTCTTTTTAATGTTCTCTCAGATTTTCTCGAAATAAAACAGCAAATGGCATGTTAGGATTGGACCAAGAAGTGTTCTTAATTTACGCTCGTGGTGATGTGAATGATACGTTGGGAAATATTTCTCATCAGTGATTCAATCAGCGTAAGACCTACCTGGTGTATTCTCACTGCCGTTTATCATAACTGTATTTTCTTATTTATTATCTTCAGGTGGTATACTTATCCGGCACACTCACAGGTCACCCAGCACAAGTAAAGTCGATGTTTGTAAACTGAACACCGCGCTCGAGAGTAAGACTACGGACAACAAGCTACTGAAAGCTCACGGTAACTAGAGTTTGATATTTAGCTGTGAAAGGTTATACAAAAATAGGATGATTCCTTTTTGTCTCTGCTTACTTCTTATCGTTCGTCAGGTGTTTCATAGGAAATTTTATATCCCAACAAGTAGAGGCGAGGGGGGGGGGAATTTATCTCATCTCAAATGACAGTTATTAACTTCCCAATGTAGGCTCAATGAGTACTTTTAATACTTTAGGGGAGTCTGCGTACTAAGCTCTTACTAATGTTTTACTCTTTATTGATATTTAGGCTCGCTAATGGTGGTGGCCTGGGTTGGGTTTGCAACTCTGGCTATGTTTGCCGCGCGTTACATGAAGGACGCCTGGGGAAAACTATTTGGACTTAAGAAGTGGTTCCAGGTAATCTTGCCAACTTTTCATCGAGGCAACAGTAAGGAAATATACACTGAAATGACCACCATCCCACTTTGCTGAGTTTGTCAGAAATTTTGCGTACGGTGATAGTTTTTTGAAGGGCCGCCCGGCATAATTGGGATGGTTTAGTTGCATATATAGTAGAATGATATAGTTCAAAAGTTAAATTTTTCGTTCCCTCTTGACTGATCAAACCCCCCAAGCGGAATGTTAACACATAAATAACTAGCGATCATTTAGTGGAAAGTCTCTTAGACAGCTTGATTTTATTTCTGTCTTTGGGTAATTCACCTGTTTCTTTTAGGTTCACAGGGCACTGACTGTAAGCTGTTTGATATTCACTCTAGTCGGTTTTGTGCTGGTTTTTGCTCACGTCGAAGGCTGGTCTGAAGTAAGGAAAAACTGTCACTGTTGGTTTAACGTAGTGCTTTAATCTGTATGTGACATCTTTAGGTTCATTTACTCATGCTAAGTAGACATCAAAGTTCTATACTCTAATTAAGTTTCTGAACCTATGCCTGAAGTAGTTAGCATGCAATAACCTTTTTGTTAAAAGTCAGTTCTCTTTCATTTTCGTACGCCTTCCAGTTGGTAGAAACAAAAGACTGAGATATTTCTTTTGTACTTTAGGGCTCGGTAATATCTCTGTCAACCCTTAACTGATTTTATCGTGTATTAATCATCAGGCAGATGTGGCACACTCTGTACTAGGGGTTATTATCACTCTTCTTGTCTGTGCACAGCCCATTATGGCGCTCATGAGGCCTAAACCAGCAGCAGAGAAGTAAGGAAATATATCGTGCTGTAAACTCAATTTAGTTTAAGAACAATTTCGAAAACATTGGTCGCCAAAGTGTGACGGTGGACTTATTACATTTTTCTGTTCTTGCGCATAGTCGATGGATTTTCAACTGGTGCCATCGTTGCGTTGGCATCTCTGCATTTATTCTTGCGGGTGAGTTTTGATAGAAAATAAGTAATTTTCTTAACCTTTGTTATCAGTAGGCACTAATAATTATACTGACATTCTTATTTATGTCGGTTTTTAGTGGCCAACATATTCCTTGGCCTTCGCCTGCCTCATTTAAACGCTGAAGTCGGAGTTTATCTCATGACCTTTTTCTGCGTCGGCCTGGTAGCAGTTGTTGCACTTGAGATCTACATTAGGTGCCAAAAGAGTAAGAAAGGTAAGATCCTACGGCGCGTACGATGGGTCGTCCTTGTCACTTACCAATGATTTGTATACAATTGCGCAAGACGAACGTCGAAAGCTATGATAGGTCTCGTCTCCTGCGTTGGTACCGCTTCTCTCGTCATAACCTTTTTTTTTTACTTTTGCAGGACTACTTTACATGACCTTTGGATTCCTCGTTGTCCTAACCAGTACTGTTTGTTTTGCCCTGCTTCTTTTCATTACCATGGAAACTTGAAACCCAAAACCTCAGGACTTCTGTTGACCCTTTTGTTCGACTCGGAAATGCTTCTGTCATTCATACCTATTACCAAGGCAACTTTAAGAATTAATAAGTGAATCCCACGACACGACTTTATCCAGCGTGTGTTACTTAGTAGAGATTCTTGTTTTAAACTCGTCTTCTTTTCTGATATTTTATACGCAAAATCTTCAATCAATCCATCGCAACATAATGGAACTGTACGTTACTTAACCTCGAAGGTTTCAGTCATGTATGTTGTAGCCTATTCTTGGCGCTCAACTGGTAAACAAGGCAGTTATAATTTCTGCGGGGCAAACTGTAAGAGACTGCTTCCAACCATTATCCTGATCACGATCTGTTCCAGACCTCCCTCGTTTATTCGCTTTTTATCACGCCCCTTTACCAACTAATTGCCAGGAACAGGTTAACCGTTAGTTTATAGATGGAGAATCTTAAAGATAATTTTATATTCTCGGGATATATTATTCTTCAACCAACAACAACCTGTTGTAATAGAGGTTTTGGCTCTTCAGCGCAGTCAAGTACATATACAATGAATGAAATATTTCATCGTTGATCTCACGATGTTGTTGCTTCGGATTTGTGCCTTTCATTGGTCAGTTATGGGGAAAAAAGAAATTAAAAGGTTCTATCTCGTCAACACTGACAAAGCGTGTCATGATTTTGGTGGAATCAAGCGAATACAGGTATTGTTTCTGCTTTTAGACGGGACATCGGTTCATCGCTGTTACTTGACCCCCCCTCCTTCGACTAAATCGATGTTAACGAAGCATTTCAAGAGAACAGAGGCGAATTCAACTACTTTCAGGTACGTTCTCTGAGATCACCATTTCAAAAATCTTACGGGTTTCTTTCAAGTCTTTTCTGAAATCTCTCGTCTGATTTACATCTTGGAAGGGTCGCGTACCATATATTTTTCTAAACCTACCTCGCCTTTCTGAAATATTATTGATCTCTTGCGTAACTCCGATGTAAATTGCTTTTATTTTGTGTATCTTATCGGGATTTTCACTGATAGATTTTTTTTCCCGCCAAAAGCCCGTCTGCTGCTCCCTTAAACGCGGATCGCCACTGCCATATTTGGGAATCATGAAATCTGACCAAGGTACTTATTGTTATTTCAATATCTAGGCGTAGAAGGTGAAAATTTTGCTGCGACAAACAACAGAAAATAGCGAGAATCTTAGTTAGATTTTTGATCGCAAGCAGATGAACATCGACAAGAGAGAAAATTGCCCACAGGAGAAACTGTTCGTGTTCTTATATGGAGTGTTTGGTGAACACATCAGTACACTTTTTCGCAAATGGGAAGGTAAACAGATTTTTTTTTTAATAATTCAACTGCAGCAAAAATTTCGCTAAAATTACAGATTGGATGGTTGGTCCCTTCTCCATGTTCCGATTTATACCCCTCTAGGCAGAATTCGCTGAATTGTACATATTCGCTCTGAGAAACGGAAAACGTTCGCGAGTTTTTCGCGTATCGCTCTGTGAGCAAATAACAACAAAATAACTTTTTTCCCGAGAGCTCAGTGATTTACAGAGAAACTGAACAAATTACACCTGTCTATTCTTATTTCGGCATTCGTGCTGAACACCTTCACGTCATAGTAAGCAACTGAGCGTTTCTTTCAACAGAACTAAACTAAAAACGAAAGAAATCTAAATTATTTGTGAGAAAGGGTATTTTTCACGATGCTCCTACAGAAAATCTACAAAAAGCGATGTTCAGATAAATTTGAACCACTGACTAAAATGAAGGAACCCATTTTAAAGACAAAGGAATTCATCACATTTTTTCACACTGTAGCTGCAAAAAAAATTGATTAGAGAACAAGAGAATATCAACTAGTTGGTTTTTTTGTTAGAAAGTGAGTGCTGATATTTACTGGGTACTTACACTGCCTTTACACGAATTTTTATTTTTGTGCGCCGTCAGTTTCGAGCGTTTCCAACAGCCAGAACTTGATCACAAATGCATTAAAGATGTTGATATTTTACAAAGAGGAAATAATATCACATGTATCAAAATCGACACAGTGAATAGTCTCCTTCGCAGCAGTTGTTTGGTCATCACGTAACGCGCTGCGAAGAATACTACGGAAAATATTGCTCTCTGCGATTTTATTAATTACCTTTTTTGCCGCACCCTCTGCTAAATACTGTGGGCGCTCTCCCGGTTATTTCATTGGTGCATTCTCAGTTACATTTGTACATTGTACGGACATCTTCTCTCTTGTTTTCAAATTCTTTCCACCAACCTTAATTCCTTTCCGCGTAATTTTTCTTTGGGTAGGAACATTTGTGTAGGTTTCTTCGTTGATATTTAATTCTCAGTTTCAGTTTTGCAAGTACAACATCTCATAAGTTTCAATTATAGCCGTTGTGCCCAGGTACCTTCTCACTCCCTCCAGCTTCTGTTTGAAAATATTTTTGCTTTTGTGACAGGTTTTTACAACCTTTTGTTGTTAACTGCTAAGAGAGTGAGGTCGGGATGTTTCTCAGTTGACACGGACGAACTGGGTAACACTAAAACAGAGCACAGTGGTACTATACTAACAGGTATCGCCTGTAACATTTACTGCTTTTACAACTCTATTGCATGCGCGTTGAGTAATTAGGTTCCTGTGGCTGGAAACAAACGAAAACGAAAAAAGTGGAAACAGCTTTTTACCTACGATTTCTTATGACCGTTTTGATTCAATTTTATTAATCCATATATTGATTTTAAAGAGAATATCTGATTTTAAGAGGAACTTCCAAAATTGTACATTATATACATGGACAGTGAAAACCCACTTACAAGAAGTTTGGCGGGACCTGGAAATATTTTCTCTTTTACTCTTAATTCATGCATGGTTTCCACTAAAGGCTGTGCACTTCATTATCCTAGCTAAACCAACTACATTCTTTTCCAGTGAAGCCAGGACCACTATGCTTCAAAGGCTTCGTTCTTTTCGGTTACTACTTGGTCAGCCGCGCATATCATGATTCTTCGGCATTTAAACTGTTTTGTTGAGAATGTGTATTTCATTTAGTTTAAAACTGACTGTTGGTTGATTGTGTTCTCATCCGCTTTATTATACTGGCTTTGAATGAAGACCCTCGGCGGTCACGCTCAGCTGCTGTCTTCCTTCTCCATATTACCACCATTGTCACGCAAATCGCCACAACAATGACTGGAACCACTATCCACGGAACGATCGATGCCGCGTCTACTTCTACAGAGGTTAGAAAACAGGTGAATCACCTTACAGTGTAGCTGTAAGTTAAAAGTTACTCTTCTACAGTTTATTCCGATCATGGCAAAAATTAGTTTAACTTTTTTCCGAGTTTTTCTTCAATTTCCGCCTCTAAGTACAGTTTGTTCCTTTACAAAATATGATTTTTGTCTATAACTGAGAGTATTTCAGCAAAGTTTATAAGACAGGATATAAATTTCTGAAAGAAAAATCATACGAAAGATTACTGGTAATTACCTTTTATTTTTGTTACAAACTCCGCACGAAAGCCAAAATCATACGAAATATCACTGGTAATTACCTTTCTCTTTTGTTACAAACTCCGCACGAAAGCCGCGGTTATTTTGCGACTCTGTTACAATCATCCTCACGGTTAAGTCGGAATCAGATGTCAAAAGGCCTTGAGGTTTTTTGGAACCACAGAAGACCTCCTGGCCGACTTGCAGTTTGCTCTTTCCATCGCAAGACATTTCAAAATCTTGTACGTCCATTTCTAGAATATGACCATCCGGAACGACAAGACGCCAGGTACAAGTAATTATGGGATAGGAATTTGGATACCCTGGGCTTACCAGAGAACCTCTGCTACCTTTCAATGTAACGAAATTTTCCTTGTTTAAATCAGTTCGACAACGGCTTGTATGACCTGACAAAAATTAGGAAAAAACTTCAGTAAGTCATATATTCCCTGTACATTTCAATTCAGGTTGGATATAGATTACGAGCAGTCCCTCCTTTTCGGCGAAGTCCGGCGCGCGAGTCGAAAAAAATCATTGGAAAAACCACAGGGAGCTCTTGTAGTGACTCCATGCATGAGTGAGGCGCTCGAAAAGTAGGGACTACGCACTAGGCCCAAGAGTTTGAATTCTGCATCGCGCTCACAATGCAAAAAGATGATTGGCTATCAGCCGGAAATCTGTCAACAAGCTTTTCGAGCGCCTCACTCATGCAACTCTCGCGGCCCATCGACATTACTCAAGAGCTCTCCGAGCTAGCTTCAATTTTTTTTAACTGATTTTTTTGGACTCGCGCGACGGACTTCGCCGAATTGGAAGGACTGCTTGTAGTCTAGGTTGGAAATGGAACTAATTTCATATTAACAAGGTCCGAATATTCTATATGTAAATGTTACTGAAGCTCTTTGTTGTCCGATATCTAAAACATGTATATTTTCTTTGTTGGCAAAGTTTTCAATATGGAGACGTCTCGTTTCAATTTTGTTGATTTTAGCCGTGATAAACGAAAACCTCCTTGTGATGACCGCCCTTTTTTGCTACATACTATAAAAACATATCTGGCCATATACTCTTATGTACATCGTTCACAAACACAATTTGATATGGTCGTAATTATAATAATGATGATGATGAAAGGTAACACTAACAGGGAAGTGAGGTTAAATTTCAAAAGTAAAATTCTGCACTTCAAGAACGAATCAACAAATGCATGCACCAAGGCATACTTGCGATATGTGCACTCACCGCACTTCATGCCTGAACTAATTGTTGACCAATTGAAAAACCACCAAAAAGTAACAGCCACAAAAGAGGTATCAGCAGCTAACCATCTATGTGAATTACTATGATACACAAAGGCAAATCTCTCTGTTTCTTAAGTATTTGGAATGGCTAAAATTTTATTTACCTTGCGGAGTAACCTGGTAAGTTCCATAAAAGCCGGTGGCCGAGTTGGGATCCACTTGCTTACCACTACTGTAATCCTTTCCATTTGAATAGTTAGAAGTGAAAAAAATTTGGAGTTCATTTCGTGTTGAGTATATCACTTGCGGTTGGACATCTTTGCAAAAGTGACCCCAAAAAGAAGTAACACTGCCAAAGTCGGTGGTGAAGTAATCATCGACTCGCATTAGCTCTTCTCGATGACCCTCTTCTTCACATTCTCCTTTAATATTTAGCGAAGTGAAAGAAAGCTTAACACAGTAGCCATCGGGTGCCTTCAGTCGCCAAAAACACGAGCTGACAGAAGGTAATTGGAGAGGGTAATCTGGTGACGATAAACGCCCCACTGAATTTTGGGTCAGATTAAGTTGAATGATTCTGTTGTTGGGGGTACATACACCTAAAACAGAAAGAGTTTCATTTGATTTCCCCTTGTGATTTCGAGTGAGTGACACTTGATGAGTTAGGCCATTAACGATTCAGCTGTAAGCTGTAAGCTTACAACTGAAAGAAAAAAAAATTAATTTCAAACACGTCGAAACATGCTGTTCCCCTTTCGCTATAGGAAACGATTCTGCAGTTAGCAGTGTAAACGCGTAAAACAAATTTTTATTGATCTTTTACCCTGAAATTTGCGCGCAAGAAACACTCTACTATTAAGATTTTAAGGAAATACTTTTTTACTGATTTTTCTAGAATAAAAATTTTCATGTTGTTTTCCCTTCGTATTTACGCAAATGATATGAGGAAAGGAATATTCTGACTAGACTCACACGAGACATTCAATGTGAAAAGTTTATTTAGGATGAGTCTGTCAGTCTTTTAGTATACGCATCCTAATCAAATCTTAACATGTGCACCCAGAAACGAGGGGTTCTATAAAAAAAAAAGCTGTGCTACGCCATATACTAAAAACCACTAAAAAATCACTCTTAAGATGTGGCAAAAAAATGCGTGGAAACGTAGTCCTGATCCAAAGCAGAAGCGCGATACCACTAGGAAAGGGTAAACTAACCTGGTTGCACCACTAATCTTAAAGAAAAATCAGTGATTGTAAAGATATTTTACAAGGAGTTGGAATACCAAAATTACAACAAATACAAAAAGAAAATGGTCAAACCAAAGACTGACAGACCTAGAATGGCTTAATTTTCCAGCGAAACGCTTTAATAATCCGAAACTCCCATAATGCTACGCGAACTTCTTCTACGTGCCATCAGAATATTAATTCTTGTCTAATTCTTTCCCATGTCACCCCAACGTCAGAAATTACCTAAGTGGGGACTTTTGTGACGATTCTGCTGTAAGGCAGGCAGATGCCGTGTCATTAGGCACAGATCAACTTCAAATTCTGGCCCCCTTCGTTAAGTCAGTGTGTGAGATAGAAAGCTATTCCTAAAGATATGTCTAAGTTCAACCTACCTCCGGAAATTGCTTCAAACTTAGCGGAGAACCCCCGTAAACGTTTCTTCCCGTCTGATACGAACGTTACGACGATCCTTGGTCCGACTGAATATATTGTAGAAGGTTTCTTATTTCCACAGAACTTTCCATAGGGTGGGTCATTATCATTGTAGCTATCTCGCACATCCACGTAATCAACTCCATCGCAAGTATCCTGCCCTGCGATTTCCCCCAGGTGGAACGCACTGAAGTTAAGCTTGATACGGTGACCGCTGGGTACTGTTATAGTCCAGCGGCATTTCGTATCGATGTTGTGAGACAATGGATTAAGAGGGCTTTGAATGGTGCCATTTGTGCCGCTCCTCATTATGTTATTGTTTGCATCGGGGTCATGTTCTTGGCTACACTCCGCTTACATCGTAAGTTGAAGAGATAAACAGGGAATACAGTTAAGCGTCTAAAAAATAAATTTCAATCTAATCCGCCTCTCTCTCACAAAAAATTGGTATAGATTAAGATCAACATTGTTTAGGGTTGCAATTTCCAATTCAGTTCCTTATCCTAAGTCTGTACCAAAAAAGAGCAAATTGTTACAGCCAAGTTCAAATTAACAGTTGGGCGTCGTCTCGTTGTTGGTGGAAAAATTAAGTGACTCTAAGAACCAACAAACACATTGTGTGCTTTAATCGGCTGTGTGTTGACTAACGACAAAAACATACTGAAGTAGAAATGTGACTCATAGAAGAACTCCTTAGTGGCTACATCATGCCACGGGAAAGGTTTAGAATTCTTATCCATCATGCTAGTCAGAGATATATGTAAAAAACGCAACTGATTATGCGCAGGCTGCATCAGAATTATATGAAATGTTTGCAAACAAAATCACCTCCCTTAGTGGTTTCTTATTATTTTTCTTACCTGGTGACACCAGCATTAATGAGGCATAAAATCCTTGATGTGTCTGCCCAGGCTCAATTGATGCAGTGTATATTACCGTGAGAGTGTTCAAGTTGTACGTAGAGAAGACGTCATTAGGTATTTTTCCGCAATATCGACCTAGGACTTTGTGAAAATCGTCTCGCACTTCGGCTATTTCTACAGACGCCTTAAAACAGTTCGAACTGTTTGTTATGTTGAAGGAACTGAAGTGAACTTTAATCTGGTATCCTAAGGGAACGAACGCTTTCCACGAACAATAAACCGACGAGGTTAAAAAAGATGCTGTAGGACTTGAAATGTTCACCGATGAGTTTGTGCTTGACAACCACACTGATCTATTAGACATGGTAGGAGTGCAATCTTTGCCAATTGTCATACAGATACAAAATAAAGCAAAATTTCAGTAAAGGTGTCTGAATAATGATTGAAAATATCGTAAAACAAATAAACAAAGAACAAAAACCTTTTTCGTGAGACTATGAAGACTTGACCGAGCATCGAAGGAGGCTTTTAAATTTATCACCGTAAGAGTTCAGTAAAATACAAATATAGTCTCACTATTGACAATCTTTTCCTCTTCCGGTCGCGACATTAATTCTGCAGCAAACCAGGCTATGACTTTGCGATAACGAAATATCTTTTTGAGACACAAACACATAAAAATGAGGAGCTTTTAACGCAGCTTTTGCTTTCATCCTCAAACTAAAGAGAAATCACTCTTGGAAAATATCCAAGGTTTCTTCTTCTATTTGTCTGGTCTCCATAGAGGTATAGAGATATATTTTTGCTTTCTCTAATTTTGTACAGCTGCTCGAGCACATCACTCAGTTACGACTTGAGGATGTGTACGTTTCGATTTAGCTTTGCGAATTCTGAAGTCAAACTTTAGCTCACCTAAAACGCCACCATAGGTCCGTTTCCATTGGATCAGAACTGCAATTTATGATTAAAAAAAAACAAACAAACAAGAGTACCTGATCAGCGAATAGGGCTTCAGTTAGGTCGACTTTCTATACTTAAGTGAGGGAAGCTTGACTTTGGGCAAATTGATAGTTTACGAGTAAATGAGCAGCCAGCAAAAAACAAAAAGGTGATTGGGTGAAATAGAACCTAAGACACAAATTAAATGTAAACTGAGAAGGATGATAACTTGAGGACTTACCCAACAGGTACATGACCAGTGCTAATGTGTCATAAATAAATTTCATCATACATGTATGGGTCTGACGGTCTATTAGAGGATAGTAATGTTTAAAAGTGGAGGTGGGAAATCAGATGATTTTTGCGGCAATGCAATATACTTTGATAAGTTTTCACTATATCAAGAATAGGACTTTCACATGTCAGAAACTATGATTAGCATATTGTAATAAGTATACGTCTGAGAGATGGGAGACACCTTTCATCTGTCAACCGACATGTCTTCATTTTTCCTTTGTTTGGTGGTAAACGTAAAGCCATCACTACAATAGTTCATGGACTGTTCATACAATCTGGTACCTTATTGCGCTTTTTTGCAATAACAGAAAAAGAAACGGATATTAATCTGTGGCTAGGACACAATATATTTTCTTCTATATCTAAATAAAACTTAACTTTCAAATGCAGTTAATAACGTAGATTTTTCAAGAATTAAATAAAAAATAACAGAAAATGAAACAATACAGCGCCTTTTTGTTTCTGTGGGGAAGCTTGACGAGGAAAATAAGTGAGCATCACAGTACAATTTTACATAAATGTTTCAAAACTTCGTGAGAGGAGAAGAATATGAAAGCGATTTAGAAATAAAACGTTCTCTTGAATCTAAAAGATTATCCATTTACTTTTCGAATGACCACATGATAAAATAAATATAAAGAAGACGACTTAATGAAGTACTTCTATTCGACAGCTGGAATGACCGATGCCTCTATAATTTGTTTTTTACCAGTTTTCTTTGAATCTAGCAATGCCCATATCTTTTTACCAAAAAATTATGTTTGTACTACGTTTATGAAAAAAAGGCCAACAAGCATAACAGTAATGCAACAGAATTCCCCAGTCAAACAACATGGTCTTTCCTAGGAAGTTTTTCAGTTGACAAGCAGGAATTTTCGTCGAACAGTTGGCGACTAGCAATCAAATAAATCTAACTTCGTTGATCTACTTAGAGCAGCAATACATAATGTTTCAATATTTTATTTCAAATCTACAATGCTGTTTCCTGCAGATGTCAAACTGCTGATGCTTTTGAATTATTGAATTAACGTCATAAAATACTCAGTCAAGCATGAATTCATAGGGAATGGCACCCGACTAAACATAACAAGTTCATCTGTGTTTACCAAATGCATGAACTAATTTTTAAACCATAGCCGTGTTATCTTAGGCCTTCTAAATCGTGAATGGTTGCAACTACATGGTTTAAGCTGACCAAAGGCCAAAAATAGGCAATCGACCGACAGATGATTTCGAACCTCCTAGGCTTATGACTTAGGTTGATATGTCATGAATTATATAATGATGAAGTTATAGCATGTGTACTTGAATCCTCTTACAATTTTAAGCAATAACAACAATTCGGTCATGAAGTTCCCTTATTCTTATTCCTGTCCTCCGATGTGGAGAACGCGAATTCGAGAAGCCATCGCGTGATGCTTTGCTAACTTTTGTTTGAATACAAGTCTAACCGTTTGCAATCATTATTCAGTGTCTTACGTCTCTAAGAAGTCATATTTACATAAGCTTCACCAGTAAAAATTCCTTCGTTACTATCGTCAACATACTACCTTCTAAACTCACCTGTATAAACCATCATTGCTACCCATTTCGACATCATTCTGCAGTAGTAGCTAAGCAAAGTTTGAGTGCAAATGGATTTGCTCATTAAATCGAAGAGAAGCTTAGTAATCATTAACATTTTATTTATGGAAGCCAGTCACGTCATCCCCTTGACATACGTCATTACTAGCAAGCCAATAGACAACCTTTCAGTACCCGTCGCACTCTAGTAGAGTATTCATATTTTCTAAAAAAAATTAACCTCAAAAGCATTTGCTGGAATCAGGAAAATAGTGACTTGGTCGAATCTGTCTGTCACGCTATGCTAGGCACTTAAAATATTTCTTCACGCACAAACGACCACATATAGCTCACACCTTGATTTTATTCTTTTTGCTTCTTTGAAACTGTGGAAATGTCATCTTTGACACGACTTACTTGTATATATGAACACATGCACGTACTCTTGAAGGGTTTGATGATGCTATTGCGAAAGCAGAAGGGGGATAAGAAACATAAATACAGACTTTATCAAAACCCAATTATTTCCTTAATTTCTGGGACGAAAAATGTAATCCATGTCACGGACCACAAACAAAGAGACATAAATAAATAAATAAATAAATAAATGAATAAATAAAATAAACCGCGAGGACACCGATAACTTATAAAACTGTACTTAGAAACCACCATCAAAGCTATTTAAAGACAATTTTTAATCTCTCGTTGGTGGAGCGTTGCCTCTCCGAGGTAAAATCAATGTAGTCATCAGTTAGTTGCTATCTTTGTTTCCCAATGGTATAAAGCATTATACTAAAGCGCATTCTCTGTTCTAAGAAGTAAAATTTAGGCAACTGTTATTTTTAATAGGGGCTGGTTTGATCTGATCATATGGGGCAAAAGAACCACATGTACGCTACTGATAACTTTTAAGCCTATGTGTGTTTAAGAACACTGTGGTGAATAACGTATCTGACAGAGAACAAAAGAAATACCAGTTCTATTCATGAAACGAGGTTAAATATGGACGTACACAGTACTTAATTTTACCAAAACCATTTTCGCTAGCCAGTTGAAGGAAGAAAACTGGCAGCCGACAAAATTTTCTTAGTTCCGCCAACCTGTTAGCGGCCGAACGAAAGAGAGGACAAGCGACAAACAGCGCATGCGGGATGCAGTTTTTACTTTGTCTGATACCCGCCGTTTTTTCGCGCGCCCGCCTTTTCGCTCGTTTGCACTTAGCACAAGCTTTAGTATCATTGGCTCCTTCAATAACCTCAAAGTGCAGACGAGATAATATCTATAGAGTGTAAAATGTACGATTAACACCATCTACTTTTCAGCAGCGCGAAAATTTGCAGAAACGGCGGTCATTCCATCAACTGTGGTTAACGTATTTACATTAGTAACTTGTAGGAGCTCAGCTATTAAAGTCGAGCTCGTCAGCTTCGTTGTTATTTCTGACTGATTTTTGTCTGTAATTCAGCATGGCCATCTCCTCGCGGTTTGTTTCCTTCAACTGTTTTTTCCTTCGTCGATATATCTGCGCCATTTTTAAGAGTATTAGAACAATTATAAATATTCCGAAGCAGATAAAACAAGTGGTGATTATAGCTATAACTGTTCTGTTTTTAGTATCTGCAAGGGAAAAAAACGATGGTGTTAAAGAAAAACTTGAGCGCAAGGTATTGAGATTAGTTTAACTGGGCGTGAAGTTAAGAAGTCTCTTCCTGAGAGAATGTTTGGTCGATCTAATCTTGTCTTAATTTGGAAACTTAAAGAATAGCTGAAAACGCCCACACTTCTTGTCGTGAGGGGAGTTTTAACCAAAAGAAAAAGTGCAATGATCAAGGCATTATCACAATCGTTAAGGAGGTCAGTGGGAAGTTTTTACACTTCTCTATAGGAAGAAACGAAAACTTTGAAGTTTTCTACATTAGGGCCCATGAAACCAACTAATCACGACAAGCTTTCAGTTTGAGGAAAGTCAAATTTCCTTGATCCTTAGGGTTTCATCTTTATTTAGAAGGAAACAAATTGTCATCTGTTTCTTCATCAGGGCTATGATTTTTAACCCCAACGGAAAGTGTACTATCAATAGTAGGTCAGGCCATCAATTGTTGATGGCGACAATCTGACTGTTATACTGTTAGTCTTTGCCAAGCGATAAGGTCATGGTATTACTTCTCCGCACTTCGTTACATCTGAGTTTATACTCTTATTGATGTGAACCTCAGTATATTTTGGGAAACTAGGATCAGTTACCTTTAGTAGCTGTCTCTTTCAGTACCCGTATCTGACAGATAGTGATATTGTACTGCTTTACATCGTCTGATGTGGTTACTTGACACGTATATATTCCAAAGTCAGCAAGTGAAGAAACCGTCACATTTAGAACTCCATCTCCACTGCTATTAAGAATAGATTGCCCCTTTGTCCATTTGTAATTGGTCGGTTCGTCAACGGAAGCGTGACAAAACAAAGTTATTTTATCACCTATTTTCGAAGCTACACATTCTTGTTTCATGGAACCAATCCAAATTCTGTGCGGATCATCTAAGCAACAAAACGTAAAACAATTACGTTGAGGCTAAATAATGTAAAAGAAGAAGTACTAAAACGGAAATTAATTGAGAAAATTTTATTGTTCGTTGGGATGTGACACTTTCATACAAATACACTGTTCGCCGGCTTGCTTGTTTCATTGAGAATGTCAATTCAGGGCCTTGTAAGAAAAGGGCAGGAGTATTTTTGTATTCTTTGTTATCAGAAAAAAAAAGTAAATGATAGGAATTTTAAGTATCTTTTGCAATAAAAATTATATGTCTAAATTTGAATAGTGTTACTCACTCTAAAACTGAGCAGGGGACCACACCCTCCCACGTCGTATGCATTCGGTGTCGACCTCAGAGTATGTTCCTGCCTTTCTGTTCTAACTACGGTGGTGCATGACAGCAGAGTTTATGACGTCTCTAACCATTTATACTTTTTATTAGCTTCCTCAGTTGTTAACTGCTTTAGGATGAAACATCACTGGTCAAGAACACACCAATTCAGTGATGAGACAAGCTGTTTCGGGCTTTTAAATAATCCAATTTCCCGCACGAGGCATGGGGAATCAATTTCTTATAAACATTGGCTTAATATAGTTGTTCAATCAGCGAGTTAGGTTACAATTAAGTTGTTGTCGAGTCTTAGCCCTCTTGATATAATAAGAAAAGTATATTACCGTTTGATTTTATCCTCATTGCTTCACTTGATGCACTCGGTGTGCTTTTCCAACTCTTGTATAGCGCCAACACCCTGAAACGATAATCCTGATCTTTCTTGAGAGCAATAACAGTTGCTGTGTTATTACTAACAGTACATCCTGTATCAGTTAATTTTTCCACACATTCCACCGCTTTCCATGTAGTTTCTCCGCAGCATTTTGCTTCCACTGAGTAGTTTGTGAACTCAGTGGGAGTTGGCTTCCAAACTAATGTGATAGATCTATCGGAGCTTGAGACAAATCGTGGTACACTCGGATCACCTCAAGAAGGGAAAAATTAAATCCATGATACACATACTCGAAGTGCAAATAATGATGACATAAAGTGTCCACCTGTAATCAAATCTGATTCGATTTGGGAGGCGGGAGATTGCGAGATTTGACCATTAGTTACTGATGTTGAGTATTTTTCGATATGTGTGAGTACCAAATTACGAAGAGTTGAGGTTGTATTGAATGGAATAGGACTACTTGGAGGGTTTTTTCCCCACCCTTTCTCAACTGAAAGTCAAACGAAACCTTACCTAATTCCTTCGTAGCCATTGACTCCGATACCTGACTATACACCAGATAAGGAGAAACAAGTCGTAGGTAGTATATGTGCCCGGGGCTCAGACCAGTAAGAGTTATTATGGCCTTGGGTACCTTGACAACGCACGATCCAACTACATTGCTTCGTCGGCGGCATTTAGTATCATACCATTTGTCAGTTGTGTTCGACCATATTTGTATTGTGTACGTTATATCTGTCACGTCAGGTATGCTGCACTTTATTGTAAGAGAGTCCAGTGTGCTTGAAACATACTGTGGTATTGCCAACGAGATGCCTGCAAGATACAAATTCGCTGTTGTAGTTTAGTGACAAGAATACATGAGAACAGACGAGAGTCTGTTTGTGTAGGTTACATTTTCGGCACCTTTCGACACTTCACTGTAATCAATTATGATAACTGCGCAAATTGTTTTCCACATTCCTTGATTTATGACAAAAAGGAAAAAAAATCAAGATGCTGATTAGAATTGTATATTACAGCATCAATACTTTCAGGTGTTGGGTCAAACTTGTTGAACACTTTAAGATCAGCTGCAATCAAGTAGTTCTAAATACTCGACGCTCAGCCAATCAGAAAAAGCGTGACGTGGTCAAGAAAATGGAGACCTCCCTTATGACATAAAATAATTATTTGACCTAAAAATAAAAAAATACAGCAACAAAACTCACCCCAGCTTCTATCAGAACACGTTGCTCCAGCAGCAAGACCTTCATTGCAAGTGCGTTTTCCCCAGCCAGAGTTAACACAATGAAAAAGAGAACTCTCATTTCCAACGCATTGTACGTCAGTTAGCCACAATGTATTATTGCTCTGCTTGAAAGTGATATTTTGGTAATATGCTAGGGCTCCATTGTAGCCCAACAGTCGGCAAAGAACATTAGCATCCACCAAGTCCCACTGTTCGCCACACACTGAACCCCAGGCGCCGGAACGACGTACTTCAACTCGGCCATCTCTTGCAGTCCATCCTTGGACCAAACGCACTACAATAAACACGATAACGCGATCATTAAAGTGTTCAGTCATTGGGTTTTTTTGTTTTTTTGTTTTTTCTCCGAACAATATTTTGTCGCTCCCATTTCCTGATCTTGCTACATTGTCTTAAAATTAAAAAAAGGAGCTTACATTCATTGCCCTGCCCTGGATTGGACAGGGGATTATGACTCCTCATGTTGATTATAGAAGTTCAGGCTTTCAGGAAGAAAGAAGTTCTGTTGATTATAGAAGTTCAGGCTTTCAGGAAACGTAGCCCTTGTCGGGTTACGTTTCTTGAGATACCTCAAATTAACCTCTTTATTTAATTTTGTTTGCTTTGTTTCTCGAGTACAATGTTAAAAAAATGCTCTGTTTTCTCAGTTTTATTAATCGGTACAAATCGCTCATCTACCTTAACAAAATTATAACAATGTGTCTTTTATGGTGGTGATTTTTCATCACGCATAACAATGACTACAGGCGATAATTCAATTTTGTGCATAATTATGTGCTGGTTGCCTTGGATGACTGTTTCTAATTTTGTTACAAAATTCATTACCGACAAAAAAAGGATTTTAACAGTTCTTACATGTAGAAGCATGTGTTATTGCGTCACCTGCGTCTTTTGCCCACGTCTTCACGGAGAGCACTCCTATCAAAACATCCAGCCGGTTAATAATGTGTAAGGTCAGGAGCCCATTACTGGGCTCATAGTAAGGTACATTATTCAGATTTCATCAGGCTGACATCATCTCATAAAGGTTACTACTCGACAACAATACATATGGTTTACGTATATTTCAGCGGTTATTCGCCGTTACGTTCTATTGGTCAATCAAAGACTGATTTCTTGCTCTTTCTCTATTTATTACGTCACGACGGAGGGTTTTGGCAGTCAGAAGATCAGTTTCCGGGTTATGTTTATCTTCCAAGCGAAAAAATAGCATGTAATAACAGTCTGTCAATCTAATTAGTCTGATAAATATGTAAGGAAGATTGCAAGAAAAACAAAGTGGCGACAGAGACTCACAAACTCGCACAAAATTTAAGCAGAGTAAGCGTAAAAGGAACTGATTGCCTTACATCACCCTTTTACCTTCGATTCCTCCGTACACATTTTGAAACGGGTTTCCGCAAGAAAGATAATGACATAGCCGTAAACTTAATTATTTTCGTACATTGTCCTGTGTTCAACAATTACCCCACATTAATTACTTTCTAATAGCTCTTTGTGCACGCACGGTGTAACTTGGAGTCACAAACCGTTCAAATCGTCAAGGCTTCTACACGTTAGCATGCACAAAATGCTTGAACAGAATATTTCTTTCTGTTGAAGATAGCGCAAATAATGAAGAAGTTTGAAAACTCTTCGTTGCCAAGGGAAAGCAGGGTTACTCGATTCACAGTCATAATTCCTTCGTTTTAAGTGCCAGATATATGTGAGGCATATTTATATTTCTACAAAATCAAGTAACATTTTCGCTGCTGCTAAATAAAAAAAGGGTTAAAGGCTCGGTTGGACATTTTCATTCAAGATCTTTTGTATAATTGGAAGGTTAAACATCCTGTAAATGCTGTTTGTAAACACCTAAACCACGCGATAGAACAAGGTTTGTTACACCTGAATAGAGTTCACGTAATATATTCGTGTTGATTGTGTTTCTGATTTGAGTCGATTAACATACCTGCCAACAGAATAAGCCGGGTTGCCCTTGTTCCCTGCATTGTTTTGAAAGTTCGTACTGTTTACAAGGTACGTCTGTGTTCACTTCTGCTTGGTACTGCTGGTATTATTACTGTAATCTTATGAATTTTCATGTGTTACGAAGTGACGCGTATGACGTAGCATGAAGGTTCTACGATTTAATTAACGTGGATTCTACTCAGGACAATGGCCGCCCGGATTAACAGTAGTTATACTCGCTCTGTTGATTTGAGAAAGTTCATCTGTGATAAATGAAAACAGCTGCAGATTCTGTCATGCATACGATTATGTCTGTTTTCGACATGATTTAGAGCTCCCCCGGCTTAGAGAGGAAATAAGAAACAAAACCACACTGAGGCCAAATTGTATCCTATGACACGAGAGAGACGTAAATGACTTTACACGTAAATTAATACAGAATTCGAAGACAGCTTCATATGCCAATATTTCCGCTGCAATATCATGTGTTGTCTCTTGGTTTGCATGTATGTTTGTCCAATCGAACTTATACACCGAGTTTTAGCTCCGGAAATACCTGGAAAGCAAAGATATGATCAACTAGAATAGATTGAAGGAAAATTTATGATTAGTTGTGTGAACATGGAGTATGTTTCGTGACAAACTGCCGACGTTAGAACTTGCCAAAGACCTGCAAAATCACTTGAGGTCAGGGTCAAAGCGAGCATATCTATATGTGGCCTAGCCTAAATTTATCACTTTGGCCAGTCGTGTGCCAATTTTGTACAAAATTTATTTCGTTTACATCACCGAAATTCAAATTAGTTTATCGTTCAGTGTATTCGTACACTATCAGTCACTGTCTCTAAAGATTGTGTATTTAAAACTCAGCGCGTGAAAATGCTTTAAAAAAGGTAATTACGGAACGTTCGAGAAACAATTTTTTAATTTTATCTATCTTACTTCATGGCGATGTCTATCATCTTCACAGGCTTGAGCCAACTCACAAACCCTAACCAAAAATGAGGCAGTTGAGTTCCATAGCATTTTGTCTTTATTGCTTTTTTTGATAAGAGTATCTATGAAAAAAAAAAACTTATCTGTCCACTCCGGCAGTTGTTTAGACGCATTTCAACGTCATCGAATATCTCCCTTAGATCAGAACAAGTCGTCCAACTGAAGTGAAGTGCTGATCGCATCTGTCTCATACTGCGGGGGATCAAGGGAAAGAAAAAGGAAATGAAGAAAATTATTTAGCAGAGAGTAGGGTGCCCCGGAAAAGATCGCGAAAAGTTATATATCAAAAGAAATTTAATTATTTTATTTATTTATTAATTAACCCATTCATTTATTTTAACTTCATATTATTAGTGCATTGTATGCTCGGTGTTGGTGTTACTTTTTGCAAAGGATAATGCATGAAAATTCCTGTTTAATTAGATTTCTCAGGAGATAATAACAAAGAAGTTTACTGATCCTAGTTTCTCACAATAAAAGCATAAATTGGAAGCTAGAAGACCTCAGAAACTTTTAAAATCCTATTCCTTTTCAATTATCAGCTCTCTCTGTGCTACTCATATTTGTTATACATGCACGGTTGCCTGTCAGTCCTCAAATCAGCGGCCACCTCCGAGCAATTTTCACAATTTCTGGGGCTCGGTACTCAGGTAAAGCTGGGAAAAAGTAAAGAATTAGACGAAAATTAATAATCGTGTCGTTGTGTCGTTTTCAAAGAATATTTTAAAGAAAAATACAGTTGAGTCGATCGTTATTTGTAGAGCGGAGTTAATCTGACTCGTGAACTACTATTACTAAATTTATTCACTGAAATTACGCACGAGTTGGCTCGTTTTGAGAGGAAACGTTACTTTCGGCTCAGATTGTCAGAGGAAAGCAGTGGAAAGTCTATCGTATGTTGAAATGGTGCTCAGCGTTACAAAATGTTACATCTAATCATAGCAATATCTTCTTAGCCAATCCTAATATCCTCCTGTAGGTTATTAAAAATATACGAACATATAATATCGCACTTCAAACCTGTCATAAATGGGGTTGACCATTAGGATATCGTCAGAGGCAGCAGATTCATAAAGCGGGTTTTCATTTTCGTAATCCATACAAGGTACTTCGTCACAATTTTGTTGCTCTTTAACCTCACTGTACAAGTCATCTGCTGAAAACTCCGTCATTCTGTTTCTGATATGATAATAAGCAAATTATTATGATGTAATTCAGGGGATCTCCCGTTTACTGCGGCGCAGTATCGCCTTCAGCTGTAAGTTTGTACTAGCGCAACACGCCGAGTAGGATCTCATGTATACGTTTGTAGAGGCTCCTAGTCTGAAAAAAGGGTGCAATGCTTAACTCTTAACTCTTAACTCTTAACTCTTAACTCTTAACTCTTAACTCTTAACTCTTAACTCTTAACTCTTAACTCTTAACTCTTAACTCTTAACTCTTAACTCTTAACTCTTAAATCTTAACTCTTCTTTCATCTTCTCTAACTGTCTGTCTTGAATGTAGCTGATTCATGATTTTAGTAAATAACTTAATTGGAGTATGAAATCACCTAAAATTGAAGCATGAACACTTCGTGAATTATCACGTATTTTGAAGACGTAGTGGCATCGCAAAAAATAGACAGTCAAAGACTGTATGTGGCTACTGATATAGCACAACTTTTGTAGCACTATAAAGAACTCGAGGTTGTCTAATGATACTACAAGGCAGAAGATTTGTCACACATGCAAAACAGAAAACCTACTGCATTCCACATTTTTATGAGTACTCTGTTCCACGAGAGAAAGATGATTCAAGACACTCAACCAATAATTGCATGGTAACAAATAATAATATTAACAATAACAATAATTATAACAATAGTTAAATTATAATAATTTAAAGGAGCTAGCTCGAAAACCTTATGGTTCCTTATCTTCTGGGCTCCAACAATGATTGCCCATGCTTCTTTTAATTTCGTCTGTTATTAATGAATGATTTCTTATTTTAATGCCATTTCATTTTTTTAGACTTTTAGACAAAAAGTCATCAGCGTTTTAGATATTCCGTCATTCCGCGTCTCAAGATATTCCGACATTTCGCTATCCACCCTTCCCGTTCCATTACTCTGTTGAATGACTCAAGGTAAAAGTAGCACGGAGAAACATCGGGTCAAAATTGGGTCAAGATCGGAATTCCAATGTTGCACTCACTCGCTCACTAGCTAATCATCTCTACGACGCATGGGGCTTCGCCTCCTTTTGGAGGCAGTAGCCATTAAAATGTTGTATAGAAAAGTATAGGAAGTCAATTAAAATTCAAAATAGTAAATCTACACCTGTTCAGCAAGTTTGGATGCCCTCAGAGAAAAACGGAAAAAACATCATTAAGGGACTGGTCATCATTTACATTATTTATCATTGGGGGGGGGGGAGGTAGGGCTGGAGGATCTTGGTTATGTCAGTCAATTTTCTATAGTCCTTCCCCTTTTTGCTCTGTTGGCGACGACTGATCCCCCTCCTTTCCCCTTAAAATCATGTGATCCTCCAGAAATCCTCCCTCCCCCAGGTGATGAATAATGACTAGTCTCTCACTCCGACTTAAAACTGACCTTTCATAGATGGGGTTAACCACAGCAGCGTCGGGTGATTTTGCAGGCTCATACGAAGGGTTTTCATTTTCTTTTCCACAACAGAGTTGCCCACTATCATCGACGTCGTGTTGGTTTTTAACTTCGGCGTACAATTCAATTCCGTCTAAACCATTAATTTCATTTGTGTTTGTAGTAACCAAGGTGCTGCAAAGTAAACCAATGAGTTATTAACATCGTGCATTTTAACAAATTCATAATCGTCATCGAATGTATCACTTGGAAAATAATGATGATGATGATGATGATGATGATGATGACGGCGATATCAATCAATGTGGGTTTTGGTTTTGGTTTTGTTAGTATGGAATGTCATACGTTGATAGTTATCATATAGTGAAACAGACCAGATTATAGAAATCGTTCATCAGTTGATTCATTCTGTTTGAAAAAGGCTGAAAATTATTACACTGCACTACTTATTCCAGATAGTTTCGCAAAAGATTATTGCACTCATCTTGAAAGATGACTACCTTCTATAGAGCTAAGGTTTCAAGAGAGGAAATCAACATTTTACCGTAATAGAGTAAATATATCTCATTTGACGTTTTGGTGTATAGTATCGCTGAGTATTTTCACGAGTTATGCCGTATTTTGGCGAGCCCGTACAGCGAGTCAAAATGCAAACAACGAATATGAAATATCTAGCGATACTACACACCCAAACGTCTAGTAATTTATTACTATCCAACTGCTTTTTTTTTCTGCCAAGTATTCCTGTTCGTTTCTCATTGGGCGGGGAAAGCAAAGCGGATAGAGAAGCGTAGCGCGCAGCCGACTGGTTAAACAGGTTTTTTTATAGTACAAAATAACCAACTGTCTAAATAATCGTACAGTGTCGCAGGATGTTTGTACTCTATTCGCGCGTTATTTGTACTCTACTTTGTGTAGTTGGATAATAAGGTGATTTATCATTGAAATGTTTTGAAATCAGTAGTTCGTTGCCTTTTATCAAATACAGCCTAGTGAAAACTATAATCATGAATCGTAGGAAACGTTAATTTAACAAGCACCCAATGACCTTACAAATTAAGTGGTTGAATGTTCAGTGCGAATGTATATGTGATTCTCACCTATCATAATTCGGATTTTCAGTTGACACGGCTGATGCTTTCCTTGACCTTAAAATTGAACAAACGGTTCTGTTAGTTTTACATGAGTTATGACATCCCTTACTAGACATTCTATAGCGAGCAAGGCCATTACGAAGTTCACGCATCCAGCATGTACTGCTAGGATCAGCTATGTTGATAGCGTCTTGTTTGTAAATAGAATTAGAAAGATGATAAAATTTTGAGCGCGGTAAAGAAATAGAGAAATTTGTTTTTCGTCTTGTCATAAGCATGGGACAAAGAAAACGACAGTCTCTGTGGCTCAGTAGTAGAGCATCGCAGCGCGGAATCCGAAGGTCTGATGTTTGATTTAGTCATTGTAGGGACTCGATATAATTTCTTTGTCTCACACTCGTGACAAGACGAAAAACATTCTTCTTAGGGTTTTGTGAAGCCAACGATTTCCAGCACACGAAGAACGTCATCTAATCGGATCTGCTTCGATATTTCAGAAATCAAGGAAAAGCCAAAATAAAATTTCTAGTGGTATGACATGCTTTTCAAAGTGAATACTTACCGTGTGATATGAAAGAGGACAGCTGAACCCATACAAACAAGCAAGACGGCCAACACCACGGGAATGACCACGGCTACTACATTCACACCTGTACAAGGTAGATCAGTATAACTATATAGGACTGTAGAATTAGCTACACAAAAAGCTGTGTCCTGGCGGAACCTCTCCTTTGAAACAGTTTATTTGTTTGTTTTTTTTTTGGTTTATTATAACAGCTCCTATAAGACCTAGTATGGTCACCTATATACTCGTTGATTGCAGGTTAATTGTGGGTTACAGATGAATAAAACACAAACTCTAAACAGCCTGATCCCTGGATCCTTTCAGACCTCTCCTTCTGCCGTAACATAAATAGTAGTTAACCTGTGAAGATAAATTTGTCACCTTTTAGTATTTACCTCGTCTTTGTGGTTGCTTCTCTCCGCTTTCAACTCCACCCTTTTTCGATAATTTATCAGATGTAGGTTTCGGCTCTCCGTCAGATGTTGTGTTTTTCGTGTGGAAACGTGTGTTATCTCTGTTGTCTGGGTAGCTATGAGGGAAATCGTAATTCGGCATTGCAAAATAGTCTTTTCAATACATCTCCGATCTAATGTTAACATAGCATGTCTATTAACCATGGAGAAGAACGTATTCCTTCAGTCTTATTTAGAGAAAATAGTGCAAGAAACTTACATCATGTGATACAAAAGGTTCACGGAATTAGGGAATACTTACTTGGAAAACTAACACCGTAGTAAGAAACATTGAATCCAGCGTACGAGCCTTTGCTATCTGATCTGAACATTACAAATAGATGATTAGACGAGGAAAATATTCCTTCCTCTGGGGGTGGATGAGCTCCGTAAAACACCCCCAATATCTTCCCTGTAGCATTCTCTCCATCATACACATATAATTCGTCTGTGTCACTCTCGTACTGCAAACTAAAGTTTGTGAATGTCATACGGATTCGTTGTGTTTGGTTGATTGTGATTCTCCAGGAGCAGTACTGTCCATCTGGATATGTTCTTGGGTAGTTTGGGGAATGGAAAGTACCATTTATAGATGTAAGAGTTTTGTTGCATCCTGAAATAGGATTAAATGGAGTTAACAAAAATTGATGTGGGAGTTAAGTGTGTGACATTAGAGACGTATACATTCGAGACGTGTACATTGAGAGACGGTAAAATGATATTTCCTGTTTAATGGTCAATATGCTGTTCCAACTAAGAAATTTCTTTGGTGAACAATAACCGCAAGTTCTAACCGGGTACGACGGCAAAATTAGCCTTATTCCCTCTCCTCATGAGTGCTTCTTAAATTTGCAATAAAAAATAAAGACCCTCGCTATTCATTGCCAATTCAAATGCAATTATGATAGCTGAAAGATGTTTGCATGAGTGTGATTGCTCACCACGGTAATAACAGTAGTAAATGGTTGGGTTCTTTGTTCCAGCATTGTAAGGGTACGCCCCATAGCTTTTATCCTTGTTGTTCCTGTCTTCAGTATGATAACGTATCCGCTCCACACTGGCAACCGCCCATTTGACCATCTGACATTTTTTTGACCCATAGGCCAGCAGGAAGAATGGATCTTTAGCGGGGATGATAATGGGATCAGTTTTGTTTCCACTCGTCGCACAGCAGAAGTAAATCTTGGTGTTCTTTCCATATTTGCCAGTAGGAAGAATGCCCCTTTTATCATTACGATTATCGTCGTCTTCGTCATCCCAGTAGACGTAACCTGACTCTAGATCTGGAGGGCAGGTTCGCTTTTTGTAGATACAGTACTGCCCTGCAGAGAAAAAAACATTCAAATAAGTTACGTTGAAGGTACTATGGAAAAATCTAATGCAACATGTTAATTTTCCTCTTTTCATCAATAACTACTTCGTAACAGAAATAAGTGTAATTGCGTAAGAGACGTCGAGTTTGTTTAACATACATTATCATAAAAAAGTGATATAGGAACAGAAGTATGGGCTCTGATCAGTGGGCTATGGGGGACCTAAACAAACAAGACATGCACGAACATCAACACTTTTAAGAAATTGCAAAAGACATTTTTATTTAAAGAGGCCTACTTGCAGTAGTTATATACATAATGTGCATTTTTGTTTTTTATCCATTTACTTATTTTATTCCTCTTTTCCACACATTTTACATTTTTATCTTTGTAAATACCTATTTTTTATTTATGCATTTCTTTGATTTTCTTTTTCCGAGATTGTGAAGCGCTATAGAGTAATATATATAGCGCTATATAAATGTATATAAAAAATTATTATTATTTCATTATTTTTATTAGAATTAAATGTCAAAGTGTCATCGAGCAGTAACTAAAAAATCGCAATCTACTTATTTTCCTTGCTTTTTTGAATTGTACGTTAATGGAAAAAACAAATAGGTGGATATTGTAACACTTGGTAGAGATTTAAGGTAAAACAAATTTTAGGAGACCCATTTTTGCGTACACATATTTAGGGGAGTAACTTACTCATGGGTTTCTCTATTTTTGGTCAGATGATAGTCACTTTCTTACCTGATGGCCAGTGTGGCCTGTTGCTATCGTCAGCTGTTGAAGTTTTCATGCAGAAAGATCTTGCAATTCCTGCTTCTCGAACCTCTCCATCAAGGTGAAATTGCGGTGATTTTGAGTTTGCCGAATTAGTATCCTCTGTGTCTTGATATCTCCATCCCTTCTCCCAGCGAAACCCTCCTGCTCTAGGACACTCAGCTACAGGTTTTGGTATCCCGTATCGGCCAGATGGCCAACGAACAGGTTCTGTTTAACAGGAATATAAATTGTTCGCTGAACCAACGATTGTAATCGACTAGACTTAGTTTTAACTTGAAACCGCGTTTTACATCCGTTGTTTCGATTTGGTACTCAAATTTTTCCTAAACTGTTTTCTTGTGACTAAGCACTGACAAGTCGCTCTATCAATTCGTCAATCTTTGTCAACTTGCTGTTCTATTGGAGAGCATTCAAAATTAAAAGATTGTTTCCTTCCGAAACCAATGAAAGAAAGCGTGATGTTCTGTCAATTTGGAATTCAGAAACCCGATTTAGGAGATAGGATGCTTATTTGTTCCCGATATTTACTCGCTGATTACTTATAAGGTCTCTAGGTGATAACTGATTTAATGGTTTCCTGACGAGCATTCCAAGTTTGAGAAACGAGGATATTGATTCTCAAACGCTACAGACCAGATTCGGTGGCTGCGTTCACAGTTCTCGCATGTTATCACAGGGCGACATATTTGAACCCATCACGAACATATTACAACATACCTTTTCAAATCTCCCTAAAAAAGACTTACCTGAAACCTTTAGGCTATGGGAAGATATTATTAAACTTAGAATTCGCCAATACAGCATTTCCAAGGCTCTAAAGTTTAGAGAATATATCAAAAGAAAGGAAGCTCTATATTTTCATTTTGTTTTGACCTTAAACGATCAACGGTCACGCAAGCTTGGATTAAAATCAGAGTTTCGGTTATGTAACAATATATTTCAGTTCATTTCATAACCTATCATTCGTATTTGGTAACAATGGGAAATTAAGCTAAGGTCACTGGGCTCGGTCACCTAGTAAAAGAGTACGAATAGCCATCACGAGGCTTGATCGTTTCCGGTTCAAATTATGTTGTTATCAGGGTGCTCGTTTTTTAACGTCAGGAATTCGCCTTTTCTGCTTTGTCTTCGTGTAATTTTTCGTACTCTTGTTTGGAGTCGAGAGGCACAAGCATTGTGAAGTAATAGTCACTGAAAACCAGAACAAACATGCTCCTTTGCAATGAATATTCAGAAAAGGATTTTGTAGTAAATTAAAGAGTAGTTTGGGTCGAGATGGCTTTGAATTAGACCAATAACTCAAACAGGAGAGACAAAACATGGCAACAATACAAAATGTCGGCTACTTGCAACCAGACTTGTCCGTATCTATATATTTTACTACCTTCGTCTTTAATGATACAAAACCACTTTCAATACAACACTTAAACTACTTAGAATGATTTCTTGTACATAGTTTTTACAGTGGAACCTCGAGGGTTCGTTATATGGAAAACCTCGATTTAACTTGTAAAACTCCTTGAAGAAGTCGACGACAGTTAGAAAAAACGCGTTGGAGAATAAAGAAGGTTTACAACTACTGTTCGCAGAGTGCTGCTCACTACTTTAGTTTTTTTAAAAAATTAAAAATTTTCACGTGTTGACATTTGTTCGTTATATCCGGGTATGTTATACGTTTGGGCCTCTGGATTGTGTTCGTTATACCGAGGACTTCATTATATAGAGGTTCGTTAAATCGAGGTTTTACTGTAATATTAGCTAAGTGACACAATGAGTCTATGTACAAGGTAAATGGGTCAATGAAGTGGGGGCTGGGGTGAATTTTCTAATATTTACTATTCATCTGACTTACAATTCATGCAACGGCAGGATTGCACATTAAAACTCCATATGAAGTGTTTGTATTAACTTGTCTTGAAACATATTTAAGTTTGTTAAGGCGCTAATGCAGATTGACATTTCTATATTTTCTAAATAAAAGATTGAATCATCCTTCCCCTATAAAAAATTCCTTGATCCACCCCTGGTGTACGTTTTTGAAAGCCTACCATTGGCTGGTGTTGTGTGCTTTACGTAGTCGTTGTCCGTTTGTACCATGAATTCGTCGCTGATTTGATCCTAAGCAGATTAGTTGTACTTCGGTAATTAGTTGTACTCTACATTACACAAAACATTTTTCGTTCCTTCTTTTTTCGTGAAATTATTAGCTCCCATTTTGAACTTTTAAATCAGAGAGGGGTTGGAAAGAGAAAAGAATTTCCGTACAACATAAAAAATCAAACATGACGGCTTAGCGTCAGGGCTAATGTTAGGATCTCGAGCTCTAATTCGACTAAATCGATTGCAGACTAAATCTCTCTTGTAAATAATGCTCGAGGTCGTACACTATGTTTAGGAGTTGTCAACCGGAGTTCGTTTAAAGCAAGTTTTGTACCAACTACAAAACTGCTCGCTACTTTCTCATCATTTCTTATTTTTCTTCGGTTTGAGCTGAAAAAGAACAGAAGAAAAGACTATGATTGAATTTGTCAGGAAACAACCTTAAATTATTCTTATAAAACTTTCAGAGTTTAACTACAAAGCTCCCTCTATTTAACGAATCCATAACATTTTACTTGCTACCCATTCAAATAGCAGTATTTCCGTTGTCCTTTGATCCGGTGAAACAGAAATTTAAAGTTTATAAATCGATAAAAACTTACATTGAAAATAAGTACTGATGGCTTAAGGTCGATCTGATGCGATGAATGAAAAGGTTTGTACATTAATCAAGAGAAAGAACTCTAATCTCTCTCAGTATCAGAGCTTAATAAAGGGAAACTTAATTGAAGATAAAGATCGAAGATGATAAACCCTCATTATGAGGGTTGTTGTCTGCAATCTAAAGGGCACCTGTTAGTAAAAATGACATTTACATTACATTTTCGCCTTACCTTATGAGCCAGGCGATCGATCCGTTGGTTAAACAGAATACTGTAACCTCTTGCGGTAAAACACCACTCCTGCAAGCACGAACGCTAAAAGGGCGATCAACACCAAGGGAACGACCACAAATAACACATTCACACCTACCAAAAGTTGATTGGTCACATATACAGGTGAATCAAATGCAAACACTTGGTTTTCAATTTTTTTTTCACCAATCATATTGTGAAATGATGTAAAAGAAACTTAAACATGTAAAATGCCCTTCTGTATGGGGCCAATATGGAGCAAATGTTGGATATTTAAAGACAAAAAAGTAATAGGATCCATTGGAAACTGCGAAAATATGTTAAGTGGTTATGTGAGTGTTTTATGGGTATAAATCATGCATCCTGAGTCCAAAGATGATGCTATGATCACCATACTGCTATCGTGGATGTCTTAATTTGTCAGTGGATGCATATTACAGTCGAAACAGTGCCGGGTAATACAGAAGAAGAACCACAGTCATCTTGTTACCTTTGTTTTCAGGTTCGCCCTTTTCTCTACTGTTCGGGTCATCAGCTGGAGATGAAGGAATCTCACTTAGTGTCGTCCTGTCTGGTGATCCTGTTGACGCTTTTTGGAAATAAAGGTTTTAGTAATCCGTTAAATGACTTGCACTATTTAATTTAATCGTTCGCCTTATAATTTTGGCAAATATATCTTTTAATTGCATGATATCTGCACATTCCCCAGAAATGAATTTGAACCCTTGAACTCTGCTTCGTTGCTTTACTAAATCTTAACTAAACATAATTTTTGGAGAAAAGATGAAAAGACAACAAACAATACTTACCTGAAATATTGACACCAAAGTAAGACGCTTTAAAGCCGGTGTAAGAGTTATTTTTGTCTGACTTGAAAATTATAAACATGTGCTTAGATGAAGAGTACATTCCTTTTTCTGGGGGAGGGTGACCTCCATAAAAGACTCCTAGCACCTCCCCCTTTGAATCTTTTCCATCATAAACGTATAATTCGTCGGTGTTAATCTTGTTTTGCAGTCTAAATTCAGTAAAAATCAATAAGATCTGTTGTGTTAGGTTAACTGTGATCGTCCACGAGCAGTATTGACCATTCGGGTACTTTCCTGGATAGTTCGGTGAATGGAAAGTGCCATTGGCTGAAGCTAGAGTTTTATTACAACCTGAGAACAGATATACACATATGTCATGTATATATGGTTTAATATACACATAATTTCACAGGATAATTTGGTTTCATCAACTAACTTGATAATGTAAATTATACACCGTAAAGAGTTTCAAAAGCTGACTTTGCGAGCGTTAGCCCTTCGTCAGAGCGAAAGACGACCGAATTATCTTATTATACTCCCCACCGACGCAACACCAGTTTCTTAAACGTACCCCTTTATCCACACAATTTTATGTGTATATACAAATTTAACTTCACCTGGTGTTATACATGTACACAATAAAGTTGAATGAGAGTTGCATTTTTGTTGATGATGATGATGATGACGGAGAAATGATGATGGTCGTAACGAAGCATCTATACTAGTTTATATAATAAGCTCAGTTATGCACGCATTCTGATTGGTTCTTACTTATGATCTATAGGAGGACAGATGTATAGATGACGTCATCACTAAAACTTTTTTTAATTTTTTATGATATAAAACAAATAGATTCCAATTTGCCGTGCGTCTGTTCAGTAATAGATCACAGAGGATGTCAAAATGTGGTAAGAACATCAGTGACACTCTCGGCTGCGCTTTGTGTGCCACTTTTTTCTTCTTACCACATTTTGACGTCATCTGTGATCTATTACTGAACAGACGCACGGCAACTTGGAATCTATTTGTTAATTTGAACGTTAGTTTATTAGATCCCTTTGTATCACGTATCGTAATATCACTCTTGCCACTTAATAGCTGGGCAGAGTAAAAAAATGAAGCCGAAGAGGCCACTAGAGGGTGTTGAGACGTTAGGTGAGAGACGCCTTCAGCAACTGCTGAGACCTTTTTTTCACATCCAAGATGGATTTTTTTTTACCTACTTCAACAAATGGAATTTTAATCGTGTCAGCTTACGAACGTGCATAAGCCAACATGTATCTGTGTATGATCTCTTCAAAATATAAAAAGTAGAGGTAACTTTTTACTCACCAGTGTAGTAACAGTAATACATTTTGGGATGCTTTTTACCGGCATCATAAGGGAATTCGTCGCCTCTTCCATCGTGGTTGTTTTTGTTTTGAGTATCATAATAAATCCACTCTACACTGGCTATCGCCCATTTGACCATCTGACATTTGCCTGAGTTGTAAGCCAGCAGGAAAAATGGAGATTCGGAGGGAAGGAGAATAGAAGTATCTTTTTCCCCGTCACTTTTGCAGCAAAACTCGATTCTCGTGTTCTCGTTGTACGTACCATCAGGAAGCGTTCCATTATGTTTATTTTTATTTTGTTTACTGTCGTCATCATCCCAGTAGACAAAGCCTTTTCCAAAGTTTGCAGGGCAGGGTCCCCTTTTGTAGATACAATATTGTCCTGCAGGGATTGATCGGCATGAATGACAACTGAATATTGGTTTCATGTTTGTAGACCAAGGTCATGTCATAGACTACGTACATTAACAGTCATGTACAAGTGTCCCTTCTTTGATAGCTTTCTTATTCAGTGCTGGCCGTCGCGAGCACGTCTGATTGAATTTCAGGTTTTTAATTTCTAGTGTTCGTTGGGGTCCTACAAACACGATACAAGTCAACAAATTAGATCATCCGGCTTCTGAACACACTTTCTTTTGTAGGCGAACATCCAATAATAGTGGTAATTTTCCCTGGAAGACTGACCATGTATGATATACAACACATTCAAAACTTAGCAAAAATAAAGGGACTATTTCATGATTAAGACCTCCGCTTCTTAAACAACATATTTTCAACGGTCTCGTTGTCTGGGGCTAACCCTAACCCTAACCCCCAAACCTCACGACTCTTAGTTATTACCTTGTGGCCACTTCGGTCTGTTATGGTCGTCAATTGTGGATGTTTTTATACAGAATGATCTTTGGACTTTGGTCTCATCTACTTCGGCGTCGAGGTGGAAGTCAAGGGATCTGGCATTTTTTGATGATGCACCATTTGTGTCCTGAGACCTCCATCCTTTCTTCCACTGAAAGCCAGTAGTCCTAGGACAGCCAGACACAGGTTTTGGTATTCCATATGATCCAGCAGGCCACCAAACAGATTCTGAAGGTAAACCAATTATTAATAAGAAATTTGAATAAATCGATTTGAAATACCTCCTTGAAATGCAGGTTAAGACTTTCCAATTTTCCACCCCATATTTTTTTTTTCGAATTCTTTAACATCTGACGTCCGCTTCTTCCGCTTCTTCAAATGTTTTGACCCTTTGATCACTTGAGTGGTCAACGGAGTATTATGAATAACGTTACATCATAACTCATCGAATAACATTATTTCACGTAACATAAAAAGAGGCACAGCGAATGCTTAAACGTTTTACCTATCTTAGCATTTCGTATTGGCTGTGTCAGGATAAAAAAAAAGATACAGTTTCATGGCTACGCTGATACTGTAATCCTAATGAAAGTATGCAATACCTACACTCAAATTACACCGTCGTATTTATCTATTCGGGAATGGTGACTATGTCAGCCGAATGTTACCTTCTCTAGTGGATAACTAAGGAAGGAATTTATGTTTAACGCCTTTACATTAAACCTGTCAGGTAAAGGGAGAAAACAAAATTCTTGAAGCATTAACTGTTAATCGTTTAACAAGAGTGTCTAAGCACCTCGCTAAGCGACATTTTCATTGTATACTTATATATTTATGTCTCTCAGCGGAATCTCTCGCACATAACTCACCTGACAAACGTAAAGTACTGGCAAAGACTATCAGTCTTAAAATTGTCCTCCGTAGCATTTTAATGTCGCTAAGATCTTTGAAATATCTCCAATGTGTTGAAGCATATGATCTTTACTCTGTTTCGAATCCTCATAAAGCGTGACTTGATACGGATATACCGGTCAAGATATAAGTATGCAAACGTTTATCACTCAATGGTTGTCACGCAAATTTTATATCACGTCGAACTCGCGGCTTACGACTGCGTAACGGTCAATGGATCTGACTCGTTTCTTTATATTCAAGTTCTTCATCTGCGATTCATGCTATTATTCTTCTTAGCCCTCCTTGCTAGTTTTTTCCTATTCGAAGCCCAGTCGTGTGGTTTTTTATTTATGTTCTAGGGGGGATATTGTTTGATTTAAACATCAAATTTTCAAACCTGAATAAGTAAGACATGTATGGTAGACATTGCAGAGAATTGATATTTACATCTTGGGAGTGAAAGGGTTAATCAAACCGACCCAGAAGTATTCTTTTATATCATCTGATTGGGCGAATTATACATGTTATAATTAAGATAATTATCAGAGTTTCACTAGAGGCATATACTTTAGTTTATGAGTTGATAGTTGCAGGGTAATTTAAAATGTTTTCCTCTTCGACAGAGAAAAAGCAACATGTCAAATAGTACCCCCTTCCCCACGAAATTGAAAAGGATAATCGCTCAGGTCGTGGAAGTAATTAGGACGATCAAAGGTGATCACTGAGTAGAAGTAACTTTTTTATTAAGCTGCTATGTAGCCATGACCCTAAGCAGTTTATTTCGACAAAATAAAAAGAAATACACCCCTTTAAAACAGCAAACTTAAAAGATTTGTAAATCGCCTCTTTGCATCATACATCATAGAGGTTTATTTCCACGTTCAGCGCAGTTCAGTAAAACTTTCCTTGGAGAGCTGGTTCTTGTTTATAGCTTCTTCGTTTTACATTATCTTTAAGTTATCTTTAAAATAACGACATTGTCTTTGGGAACTGCCACCGATGGTAGTCCAGCAGATGGTGGTGTACAATCTTTTGACTAGTCCAGAGACGTCCTTCCTTCTGAACTTCTTTGAAACGGTATCGTTTCTTCTCCCATGCCATTCTCAGGATCATGTTGTTGGCTGGTGAACTTCTGATCGTTGATTTTAATTTCAGCTGCTTCTTCTGCGTTGTAGAACAAAAGCGTCAGTAATAATTTTTTGTTACGACTTACTTAATTACATGACTGCTATAAAACATGAATTAGGTTGCTGACAGGTTATATCAAGTGTATGAATGAGGACTGTAAACCTGAGCGGTATAGTGGCTTTAGCAATATTTTCTAATGTGTATTTTTCACCATAAGGGTCTTGATATTATCATCAATTCAGCAGACTTCTTCCTTCTCATTCCAAATCAAATTGTAATTGCAATGAATGAATAATGAAGCGATCAGTTTCAGCCCTCGATAGGTAGAAAATGGTTTTCACGTTGTAAATGTTCGCAGTTTCATTAAGGTCACACTAAAATTCTGATTGATATGATACTCCAACGCAATCACTTACGTTTGTGTTTCTTTCTACATTGGTAAAATAAAGATACTACCAGCAGTAAGGCAAGTATTCCAATCACAGATCCATACACAATGTCTTTTTTGATCGTGGCCTGTTCCCGTTCCCGTTCAGCTTGCGTACCTGAAAAAAAAATCAAACACACAAAGAAACATTCCAAAGATGTAATCTTAAACAAACTCTGAAAGTACATTAAAAAATCTAACAGATTTAGTACAATTTATACATGAAACGTTTCCGTTGGATATAAAAAACTCCCTTTAGAAAGAATAACTTTGAGCCCGGGCTGAATTAACTCGTATCGTTAACGTATAGAAAGTTATTGCATCAGGATACCTTTGACTCCCAGATGTTCTCTTTCATTACATGGCTCAATTTCCTTGGATGGTATATCGGTAATGGATGTTGATTTCTGTGTCAATTTCGGGTTTTTGCTGACCATCGGTGCTGGTGTTGTGGAAAGGTGCACATCTATTGTAAAATTGATGAATTTATAAGTTTACTGTATGATGGAAAATATAACACCTGTATCAACATAAACACAACATTTTATTATTTAGTACGTTTTGAAGCATGTGAGCGATTTTTAATAGATAGGCAGCTTGTGTTGAAATTCTAAATATGAAGAAAAGGAGAAATGCTTATAATTGCAAGGCATGAGTATTAAACTTAAGGGTGAAAATTACTCACCCGGATCATCAACAGTGTCATAGTAAGCACTGAAGCCGGCATAAGAGTCGTTCTTGTCCGACTTGAAGATCACGAATAAGCTGTTGGAAGAAGAGTAAATTCCTTCCTTTGGAGGAGGATGATCCCCATAAAACACGTCCAGTATCTTCCCTGTTGCATTCTCCCCATCATAAACGTATAACTGGTCCGTGCTTTTCTCGATCTGAAGACTAAAGTCTGTGAACATCAATCGAATACGTAGGGTTGTATTAACCTTTATTTTCCAAGAGCAATATTGGCCATGGGGGTAATTTCTTGGATAATTTGGTGAACGGAAGATACCGTTGACTGAGGTGAGAGTTTCGTTGCACCCTAGGAAATAAAAAATGCACATATACATGAATAACTTTCCATGTAGAATCAGTGATCCGCTGGTAGAATTTTCGCCTAAATGTTCGTTAATTTCTAACATGGCTCCTTATAAACTCCGGAAAAAAGGAGAAATGCCTATTATTGCAAGGCATGGGTATTAAACTTAAGGGTGAAAATTACTTACCCGGATCATAAATAGTGTCATAGTAAGCACTGAAGCCGGCAAAAGAATCATTCTTGTTTGACTTGAAGATCACGAATAAGCTGTTGGAAGAAGAGTAAATTCCTTCCTTTGGGGGAGGATGATCCCCATAAAACACATCCAGTATCTTCCCTGTTGCATTCTCCCCATCATAAACGTATAACTGGTCCGTGTTTTTCTCGATCTGAAGACTAAAGTTTTTAAACGTCAATCGAATACGTAGGGTTGTATTAACCTTTATTTTCCAAGAGCAATATTGGCCATGGGGGTAATTTCTTGGATAATTTGGTGAATGGAAGGTACCGCTGACTGAGGTGAGAGTTTCGTTGCACCCTAGGAAATAACAAATATACATGAATAACTTTCAATACAGAACCAGTGATCCTCTGGTGGAATGTTCACTCAAAAGTTCGTCAATCTCTAAGATGGTTTCTCAAGACTCCGGTAATTATCAGTGTGCTATTGACAATTGCCAATGTAAAGAAAAGGCTGTATAGATTACAGGTATAACACAACTGGACGCCGCCAAAACTGTTGCCAAAGGCAAAGGCTATGGCCGCCAAAGGCAATTGAGCCTCACTTCCATAGTAAAAATAACAAATAGCGGGGTGACTTTTTCCAGCATGGTGCTTTGTCTTGGTCGTTCGTTTGATTTATCTAAACATACCACTTCTGAGGGAAGATCGCCTAATGTTCGTTAAACTCGAATATGGTATCCGACAGTTTCCAGTACAATCAAAAGTATGTAAGTCTATAACACAACTGGACACCTTTAAACGAGTCCATTGATTATTTCAATACTTGCTGATCATTTTTCAACTGCGAGGCGATTGACCCTCACCTCGGTAGTAACAATAAAAAATGGTGGGATGAATTTTTCCAGCGTTGTAAGGGTACGCACCAAGTGCTTCGTCTTGGTTGTCCGAATCTTCTGTATCATAATGTATCCACTCCACAGTAGAAACAGCCCATTTGACCATCTGGCACTTTGCCGACTCATACGCCAGAAGAAAAAATGGAGATTTCACTGGAAGAAGAACTGGGTCATCTCTATCACCGTCTGTTCTGCAGCAAAAGTTGATAGTTGTGTCGTGGTCATATCTGCCCTCGGGAAGTACTCCGTAATCTTCGTTAATCCGATAGCCGTCTTGATCATCCCAGAAGAGTTCACCTGATGTTAAACCTTCAGGGCATCCCGGATATCTTTTGTAGATGCAGTACTTCCCTGTAAGAGATCAGAAAATGACGAGAAGGTATTGAATACCACTGACGACGAGAGATCAACGGATAACGGCCTTACTGTTCAAAAAGAATGGTGCAAAGCAAGAAATTGATAGTTTATAGGCCTTGTTTCGAGTCAGGTTAGCAATGAGCATAAATGGAGGACACATGTTGTGCGGCAAAAATTTTCATGAGAACAAATTGCAACCCACCTTTCGGCCATGGAGGTCTGTTCCTGTCACTTGTCATACGGTATTTAATACAGAAGGATCTTTTGACCTCATTGCTATTCACCTTTCCATCAAGGTGAAATTCGGGTGACCTTGAGTTGTTCGTTTGTATTCCGAAGGTGCCTTGGGACCTCCATCCTTCTCTCCACAAAATATCTTCTGACCAGGGACACCCGGATACTGGTTTGGGTAGACCATATCTTCCAGCTGGCCAACGAGTGCATTCTGGAGAAAGTAAAAAATAATCAAATGGTGCATGGTCACAAAGCAGACTGCATTGAAATGAATAAGTGAAAGTATTTTTTTAACTGAATGCCTGTATGACAACTCTCTTTAATCAAAGCTCTGAAAGTTTACCTCTGTATTTTATGTGAATTTTTCTACTGGTGATTCGCATGGTCTTAAGAATGTTAAGCCTTACAAATTGTTGCGAACGTCTCTGGGATTTCTGGATGGAAATTGTGTGTCATTGGACCCTCATCAGCTCATCAGCCTTATCAGTATTCATGAGTTTGTCCTCGTCACTAATTCGTCTGGTTCAGATTGCCATACGTTTTCATCGGTTGTTTATTTCGGGTTAAGAGGGAATACCAAGTGATTATCGATGATCTTGCCCAGAAAAGAATACTTACCAAATACATCATGTACGCCGTTATATGAGAAACCTCAAAGGAACTTCATAGTTTGTCATAAATGAAGCACTTACTCATATTTTTTAGCGTCAAAGCAATGTGTCTGTGCTTTGCACTAGAGGTTAAAAACCGATAAACAACGCCATTTATGCTAGAATTGACCACGTTGTGTATAGAATCTCGCTCGATAATATTACTATGATTTTGAGTGAGAAACAAGGATTAAAATTTCTTGAAAGATTATTATTAGTTTTATTTGACTGGTTCCGCTTTCAGTGGCTGTTCAATGTAAACTGTTGGGACTTAGAAAAGGGAGACCGCGACCGCTAAATAGAGGTAACCGCTTAATAGTGGTGAAGATTACAGTGATTTGCAGAAATCAAATTCAGGACTTCGACAACTGACCGCTTATTACAGGTGACTGCTTAAATACAGTGCCGCTTAATACAGGCTGGACTATAAATCGTATGCTTGAACGTTTTACCTGTCCCAGTATTTCGTTTTAGCCTTGTCGGTGAGAATGTGAATTATAGTTCCGTTACGATAAAAGGAGAAGAAAGCCCCAGCCCCTGACGTGGTTTGAGAGTCTGAAGAGAGAATGAATTAGCTACTTAAAGTTTTATCCAAATGTCCTTCAAATTCGAATTCGGTCGCTGTCAATTTGATAACAACTCAATAAACAAACGCATACGCGAAAGCACATCGCACGTCAATCGCTGAACAAACAGTTTCTTTCCTAGAAACTAAAGAATGGGCAAAACTACCATTTACTGTTGATCCTGATTATTCAAAACGATCTCCGAGAGACGAAACGAGCGGACTTAGTTTCCGCACAGGTAATCAGCCGACGAGTTAAGGAATATTCAAAATGGCGGCATCAACTATCACGTTTTTAGGCACATTTGAAAACAATCTTCAAGAGATCGGGTTTATATTTGGGAAACTCAAAACAAAGTAGGCATGATAACTTTACTTACACTATTGAACGGTGGAGTTAAATAATTCATGGTCTCTGAGCGAGCCTGTTCTATAATACTGTAATACCAAAGAAGCTTGGTCGTAAACTTAACCTTGACAATTACGATTGTCTACAGCTACTTTGCGATGTCTGTGCTGATTTCGGCAGAATTTCCCTATCTGTAGTGGATAAAAAATGAGATCTAGGGCTGTTCCTTTGACTTAAATCTGTTAAATCCGTCGGACAAAGAAAGAAGACAAAGTTCTAAAGCATAAACTGTTACTCGTTGACCACGTTTATCTGCGCACCGTTTTAACGATACCTTCTGACATATTCATGGAACACTTCATTACATCATTTCATGCATATACAATAAATAGCACACTTACTTGAAACACTTAAGGAACAGGTGAAGAACATGAGTCCTAAAATTGTCCACAGAAGCATTTTAATGTCTCTAAAACCTTTAAATACCTCAGCGAAAAAGCCATACAATGACTGCCTCGCTCTAAAGCGTTACGTGGTACGGATTAACATGTCTTTCGATGGTTGTCACACAAACTTAATAAGACGTTGAATCCACTCCTGTGACTGCATCACTCTCTTTGGCTTCAAACCTCAGTTCTACATTTCAAGTTTTCCATCTGCAATCCTACTTTCTTTTTCGTTATTCGTATCTTTTTTTTAACCGTAAAAAGTTTACTTTCCCGCAGTAGGTAACAAAAGTAACTCAGATATTGTAGTGACCAAATAGGACTCTCCTTGAGATATAATTTCTCTTTCAAGCATCTTGGCAATAAGAAGACATAAAAACATGAAATATAGTATAATTTTCACTAACACCAAATTCTCGGAGCTGAAATCGTACAGAATGTATAGGGAGACATCGAGGAAAACTGGCGGCGCCAGAAGAAAAAATGGAGATTTCACCGGAAGAGCAATTGGGTCGTCTTTGGAACCGTTTGTTTTGCAGCAAAAGTAGATTACTGCGTCGTGGTTATATTTACCCTCAGGAAGTGTTCCTCCATCATCATTACGGTTTGCGTTCTCCTCGTCATCCCAGAAGAGTTCACCTGATGTTAAACCTGCAGGGCATTGCCGTCTTCTCTTATAGATGCAGTACTTCCCTGTAACAGATCAGAGAATGATGAAAGGGTATTGAATATTATTGACGACGAATTACATGGAATGCAGATGATAACACTTTCAAAATGTTCGGTCTAAGAGAACTATTCAATTCTTAAACTAAAATGACCGGAAAGGATTACACCACTTATTTATCCATTACAAAGGATGATGCCAAGCAAGAAGCTTAAAGGTTGTGTTATCCTTGCTTTGAATTAGGTTAGCAATGAGAATAGCCAGTGAGCGCATGTCGCGCGACCAACATTTTCATCAGGAAATAATTGCAACCAACCTTTTGGCCATGGAGGCCTGTTCCTATCGGTTGTTATATCATCTTTAATGCAGAAGGATCTTTTAATCTCATCGTTATCCACTTTTCCATCAAGGGGAAATTTTGGTGACCTTGAGTTGTTCGATTGTTTTCCGTTGGTATCTTAAGACTTCCATCCTTCTCTCCAGGAAAAGCCTTCTGACCAGGGACACCCGGATATTGGTTTGGGTAGACCGTATGTTCCAGCTGGCCAACGAGTGCATTCTGGAGAAATTCAGAAATGATCAAATGGTACATGGCCACAAAGCAGACAGCATCAGTAAGATGAAAAAAGTTACATCACAGTCACGACTTCCACAATTAAAGCTTTGAAGTGTACCTTTATGTAATTCGCGAATTTTTAAACCATTGATTTGCATGGACCTCAAAATATTGAGATGTAAAGAATAACATTATTTGAATAATCTTCAGTAAGCTTCTATCCGGGCCAACGAGTGCATTCTGGAGAAATTCAGAAATGATCAAATGGTACATGGCCACAAAGCAGACAGCATCAGTAAGATGAAAAAAGTTACACCACAGTCACGACATTCCTCCATTAAAGCTTTGAAGTGTACCTTTATGTAATTCGCGAATTTTTCAACCATTGATTTGCATGGACCTCAAAATATTGAGATGTAAAGAATAACATTATTTAAATAATCTTCAGTAAGCTTCTATCCGAAGGGACTACTGATATCATTGGAGTATTCATGAGTTTTTCCTCAAGACCTGCAAAGAAACGCTAAGGTTTGCAGTGTCACTGAGAAAGGTAATAGATAAGGTTGAAGTATATTGATCAGCGAGGATTTCTGTTAAAAAATCTAAGCGTCATATCATTGCAGTCGTTCTTATCAGCACTGAACAAGTAAAGTCATCTTTCCATGCCTAACATCAAAGGAATTTAAGTCATTGAAAAAAAAAAATAACCGATGTAAACAGACAGGAAGAGGGAGGAAGATTTATATCTTGCTACTGGTATACCAAGGAAATTACACGATTTAAAAATCTTTTGGCTTCTATCGATCAGCCGAGGAAGAAAAGTATTGATCACTTTCGTTAAGACTGAAGCTGAGCTTCCTCAAAAGACGTTGCCAGATAAGTGATGCAGTTCACTAACTCTAGCTTACTAGCCTAGAATATTGCTGAAGAAGAGATCTTTTCTTCCCAACTTTAGGATAGAAAGGATAGAATCGTTGCCATTCAAACGGACCTTGTCTGAGTTGTCACGGCATTCCCGTCGAGGAAAGGTGAAGGAATAACCGCCTTCACCTGTGTCCTGATTCCAAAATCACTCATTAAAACGGTATTTTCATAAATTAAACGTAGATTCTCTTCATTCCTTACCTGATACTCTAAGGAAAATGAGCAAAACGATCATCACCAACGTTCGCCAAAGGAACATCTCTGACATCTCTTCAACTACGAAAGTTCAATTACAATACCTAAAGTTTTCCGATGAAGTGAAAACAAATGCAAACGTTTTGTTTACTTTCAGAAATTTCTTGATTTCTGAGAAACCATTTTATTTATTCAGTACAATTTGGACGAATTGGACATATGTGGATCTTGTGAGCTTGCACGCTCGCAAGATGAACTTCGCGATAAGAGCTTATAGCCGGTGAAACTACCAATAAGCGAAAGGGGTGAGGTACAGTTTGATGTTGATTGAATCTTAGGAAATTCTTTGGACGCGATAGAATGTAACGTAATAGCTGGCCGAGTACACTTACACCTCTAGAAGCAATAAAAGTCCATGAATGGCAAAGGCTCTATTCAATAGTCTGTAACATATACAGATCGTTTTGTAAAATTGTTAACACAACATGGTACAAGTCTCTCAAAGAGAAATTCCTCCTGCCATGCTTCAAAGCTTTCAAATACGAAATCAGTTTTCAGAGTGAAAATATGGAGCACATTCGCGGAATTGGATTTGACTACAATAATTTACCAGGTCTGTGTGGATGGGAATTCTAGGTTTAGAATAAAATTTTACCACAATGAGGTGACTTAAACTACCTGAACTGTGTTACTGCAAAGCAAGAGGAGCGCCACTGACAAGAAACAACAACAGCGATTCATTATGCAAACTCAAGTTTTGAAGCAGCCTGCAAAATGTAAACTCATCATACGTCACGTGGTTTTGTACACTCCATGACACCACCCTGGTAATTAATTTATTTTACTCAATTCCCTTTAATGTGATACAGGAAGGTAACATGTGCAGTCTGAGTCATTGTCAATTTATTGCCTGTTTGACAAAACAGGTACTGAGTTAATACAACTTAATTAGCAGAATAAAGGCCACCATTACAAAATTATTGTTTGGAATTAAATAAAGCACAAAGCAATAAAAACCAATAATATAGTATTTCGAACGCTAAAGGTTGAGCTATTTTCATCAAACTTTATCACATTGTACAGTAGTTATTCCAAACAGAAGAACAAACTATAACAACTTAAGGACCGCTGATGATTTATAGCCTGAGGGGTGGGGTGGGGTGGGAGAATTTTAGTTGTGTCACGATAAAATTCGCCTATTCCACCCTAAAAGCTCTGTAAAATTCTTATGACTTCCCCCCCCTCTTAATGGCAGTTAATTTGGAGATAACTTTTCACAGTGCCCCTTTATACTCTACCGGCGATGGTTTATTATTACATTAATCGTCGTGGATACACGTAAAAATCATTTCATGTTTGTTATTTCAATTTTCATTATAGCACCCCCAAGTAAGCATTCTTAGCTGGCTACTTTGTTGGAGTTTTGAGTGGTGCAGTCACCTTTAATATTTCTATCAATGGATCAGAAAACTGCCAGTATGGCAGGTTTTTACCCAACTTTCAGTTTTCATGAGGTAAGAGTGGTACGAAATTGCTAAGTTTGTAAATTGATCCTGAAATTAATTTACTTCTGTAGGAGATGATGCCCCTTATTAATCTCTGACTTCGTTCCTCTGAATCATGAGTGTGGTAAATGTTTTAAATGACTCAGTTGTCACTCTTTCGTGTTTTCCCTTTTAAGGGGTCTGAAAATAGGATAAAAAATGATTATCAATCAATATGATTTGATTTCCCCTAAATCTTATGAAATTTTGGAGTAACAGCTAGATTATTACCTGTCGCTCTTAAACTGCAGTGCACTAAAGGAGTAGTCTTGTACCCAGACTTTCCACGGCAAAGCAGTTGTAAGGTCCCTACATTTCAGTAATACAGTAGGATCTGGGTATAAGATATGATAAACGACATGCCAATTCACTGATTTTTGTAATTGGTTGCAACAGCTTTGTTTTCAGGCTGGAAAACGGTCGGATGATTAAATGAAACGACAAGCACATTAAATACAGCTGTTGAATCCGGACTCTATTACCGAATGCGCTTGTTAAGTATTACACATCACCTCAAGGAACTCTTAGGTGGAAATAACAGTTAGCTTTCGACATGGCGATTCTAATGTGTGTATTTAAAGATGTTAATAAGTATTCTAAGGTTTCGTAAGTCTCACCATCTATCATAACTCCGTAATTTGAACAAATGGCACTGATTCGCTTTCCATTCTGAAAAAAAGGGAACAATGGAAAAATTGGTCTCCCAGGTCTTGAAAAATAGAAAGGTGTGCTTCTCCTTGTGTTGCCATGGCTACCTGGATGCCTTGAGCTCTTTCAAGTATTCCCAAGCACAAAACTGTATATAGGAGTGTTTCTATCAACATGGTTCTTCTCGATCCTTGATACCCCTCATTATTTTGTTACCTTGTTCTGAAAAGGAATACTGTGAAAACTACGTGTCTCCGCCCAAGAACAAAACTGTTGTGACTTTTGTCATCTAGGGCTTGATCAAGCCTTGACTGCTTGATGTAGATTTCCGGGCCAAAGAATTCTTAGATTTCACTCCATCGCCACTAGTCCAATCCCTTAAGGAAACAAGACTAGGCCATGTTCACTATGCTTTCAACCCAAGTTGCAATCTAGCTAAGTTGAACTTTACCCAAAAAACTCACGAAAAAAACCGTGTTGAATTTGTCGCTAATCAATAATATAATTTTCATATCCGTACCTCAAATAAACCGAATCGTCTAATACTCCATTATCTCTCCTTCTCTTCCTTCGCAAAAAAGAAATCAAAACATTAAACAAATCAAGAAAATGAAAAAAAGTTTTACATTACTATTTTTTTCACGATAAGTTTTTGTTCGTTATGATAAATTCTTCTTTCTTGTCTCCAGTTATTGTTATGTCTGCATCTATGGGCTTATTTATTATTTGTGCATTTATTATTTGTGCACCAAAAAAATTGGTTCTCAATTCAGACAAAGCAAGAACGAATGATAACTGCACTATCATAGCTCTTACCTCTTCCAGCAAAAAAATGCTCCTATCAGCAAGCTTGCTAAACCAATAGTGGATACTATGGGAACGACCACTGCCACCACGTTAACATCTGTGGGCAAAATAGAAAAAGGATTATTACCGATAATGCTGACTTAAATCACAGCAGATGATATAATGGAAAACGATCAGTTATTGCGTTTGTATGTGCATGTCCATCTAGGGAAGTAATCAAGAGAAAACAGAAATGTCAGAGGTTCAAAAAATTAATGAACGTGTGCTGCATCGACGAGCGAGTGAAACAGTTGTGAAAGTCGATTAGCCGCCGTAGCAAAGTGTGCTTTGCTGACGTTTTAGTATTAGGTCTCCGTTTCGTGAAAACTCTCCATTTGATTCGGGCTGAATGTTTAAAAAAAAATCCAACCTTCATTTTTCTGCTCTGTGGCTTTCGCTGTCTGTGGTTCTCTAAAGGGTGTCTTTACAGTTGTGTTTGCCAGTGAGTGAAACACTTTAGAAATAGCTGGGATTGGTTGATCCGTCGCTTCTGGCGTTCGTGAGGTCTTGCAGCAAACAGCAGATGAAAACGCAATCTTAAGAGAATGCGCAGTTGTAGTAAAACCAAAGTAGGACAAAGTAGGCGAAGGCATCACTTTGGGTGCATGTAACATAGTAGTTGTTACACTGGAAGCTAAGTTTCAGAGGAAAGGACAGAAAATGGTGATAACGAGTCAGATTCTTTTCCTCACACTGGGTAAATGCCTCAGAGACTACTGAAAAATTTCATTACGCGAATTCTTCTCCGATAGTACTCTATTTATGAAATTCGACCAGACACAGTATGCAACATGAATAAAGGGGTAAGTTTCTAGAGAAACTGTGGTGCTGCGTCGGTGGGAGAGTATGGCAAGTAATTTATGCAACATGTGCACTTATCAATGACTTGAAAGTCCAGAGAAATTAAAATTGACTTATATTTGGCGCATGGTGCCACAAAGGCAAACACTGAGTATCACTCTAACATCACTCTTATTTCAGCGTGTGGCATATTACTACCATTATTAATCGATCTCGTTTCGTGAGGACTTACTTTTGAGGGTAGTTAATTCAACTTTGGATGACGTCAATTCCTGAGCGTCTGGAGAGGTCGCCGTTACACCAGGCAGTAGCGTCACCTCATAATCAGATGTGCATGAATTGGTGGTTTTAACATCAACGGCTAGAAAAGGAAATATCAGTATCGTTGTCATCATTTATATATGTTCCTCATTATCACCACACTTACGCAGTTCTTGAGGTCTTACCTCTAAAGAAAGTAGCCACAACGCTAGAGGACGTAACTTCCAGGGTTTTTAAACTGGTAGAGGACACTTCAGGTGATGGAGTCACTTCATGATCAAATACGCTTGAATAGATTGTGACAAAATCAGAAGCTAGGAAGGAAAATACCAGTATCGTTGTTATTATTTACGTATGATCATCATTATTACAATGCTAACGCGATTCTTGATGGAGGTCTTACCTCCAAAGGAAGTGGCCACAACGTTAGATGACGTCACTTCTAGGGTTTTTAAACTGGTAGAGAACACTTTAGGTGATGGAGTCACTTCATGATCAGATATGCGTGGATTGATTGTTATAACATCAGAAGCTAGGAAAGAAAATATCAGTATCGTTGTTGTTATTTATGTATGATCATCATTATTACAATGTTAACACGATTCTTGAGGTCTTACCTCCAAAGGAAGTAGCCACAACGCTAGATGACATCATTTCCAGGGTTTTTAAATTGGTTGAAGATGCTTTGGGTGACGACATTACTTCATGATGAGATGGGATGGCGGTTGTAGCACCGGAAGCTAAAGAACGGTCGGATAATGTGGTCAAAAGCTGCTAAAAATTATATAAAAATATTGCAACTATCCAAGACACTTAGACACAGCGGATGTGTTTTTTAGATGATGTTCAACCCCTACGAGAGAACAAGTCAAATTATTAAGCTCAAGTATGTAAAATATCAAATAAAAGTTTTTAAACGGAAGTTGTGATGGCGATTTAGATTGATTGGTATACTTTCAAACTATCATACATCGGTTAGAATACCCTGATAAACTTCAAACACTTACGTATATCAGGGACAGCACGATAGTGAGCACTGAAACCGGTGTAGGAATCTGTATCGTCTGATTTGAATATTAAAAATAAACTGTTGCACGAAGAATAGATTCCTTCCTCTGGTGGAGGATGATTTCCATAAAATACACCCAACAAGTGCCCCCTCTCATTTTTTCCATCGTACACATATAGCTCGTCTGTGTTTTTCTCCTTTTGTAATTCGAAGGTCGCAAACTTTAGATGAACTTGAAGTGGGTAGTGTGTAATTATCCTCCAGGAGCAGTGCTGTTCATTTGCATATTTCTTCGGATAACCTGGCGATTTTATTGTGCCATTGTTTGACATTAGAGTTTCGTTGCAACCTAACCAAAGTGAAACAACTTAAACTGAGATCCCATATGCAAATACCATACAAAACAAGTTCAGAAATTAAGAACTGAATAAGTTATGTTTTTGGGTATCCTAGAGTACATTTTAAGTCATGTGGCACTAACCACTCATTCTACATCAAATTTAATTTACTGTTTAACCTACCCATTTATTATTGTTGAATGAATCTGATTTTCTTACCCTGATAGTAACAATAATAAATGGTTAGTTGCTTGTTTCCTGCATCGTATGGGAACGCCCCATCAGCGCTGTCTTGGTTATCGGAACTAGATGTAGAAAAATATATCCACTCTAGACTCACTACTGTCCACTTGACCATCTGGCATGTCGACGAATTGTAGGCAAGCAGGAAGAATGGAGACTTAGAGGGCAGGAGAACAGAGTTATTCTTGTCTCTGTCCGTTTTGCAACAAAAATAGATCTGCGTGTACAGATGATGAAAAAACTCAAAATCAGGAAGTGCCCCAAGATGTTTGTCTTTGTTATGTAAGGAATTATCGTCATCATTCCAGAAAACATTTCCTGACATCAATCCTTCCGGGCAGTGTTCATCTTTTCGATAAATACAGTATTTTCCTAAAAGAAAAGTATAAGATGATAAGTGATACACATTCGTTGAGATTATGAGGACATAAAAGAAAGATGATGCATATACATATTTTTAAAAGTTTATTGGTGAGTTAAACAAACAGTTATGTCTATGACTATATGGTGTCAATGTGAATAGTGATGAGACTAAGGGTAACTTAATCGCGTTCTGAGCTTGAAAATCAAATGAGACCAAATAATCATAAACACGAACCTGCTGGCCAAGCTGGTCTATGTTCGTCGTCAGCGGTTGTATCTTTGATACAAAATGACCTGTTCACGAAGATCTTATTTACAAATCCGTCAATATGGAATGGCGTCGACCTTGAATTGTTTGATTTGTCATGATCTCTGTAATCAGTGGTGTCTTGAAGAATCCATCCTTCTTTCCACCGAAATCCTTCGGCTGAAGGACACCCGGAGACAGGTTTTGGTATTCCATATTTTCCAGCTGGCCAATCAGTGGCTTAAATAAAACAAGACAGGCATGAAAAGCTGTTATGACATTTGCAAGAAGCACCCAAAGGCTTACACTGTCGCTAAAGGAAAAGAAAAGTTGAAGAATGCTCTTGCCTCGAATAAAAGGCGACCGAGCATGCTTGTTGATCAGGCATTTGGTCGTTGTTAAAACCTTGATGGCATCTTACACTTAACATATAACATCGACACTTGGCGGAACTTACATCGCACTGCCAACTTGGATAAACCAAGCCATTTGGACGTGTTATCTCTTATATCTCGCCGTTTTCCAAAACATGTCTAGATTATATTGTTACGGCACTGAATAGGCCAATCCAGTTGTGATTCGATGAAAATAGAACATTTTTTAGAACATACAGTTAATTTCTTGTCTATAGAATGAATAGATCTGCCATGAATTCAACTTGTAGAACCATTTGACCGAAGACGTATTCAGGATTCGATTTCTTTTTCTATTGAAAGAAATACTGTTTCTCGGTTTTTCAAGAATGTGTCCGCCGCTAATAACCTGATTAAATTCTAAACTCTTAAAGCGATAATACAAGTAGCGCATTAGATAATGTCTGGCTTCAACAAATGTATAATAATGCTGAAATCATCTTACGCTTCCTTAGAGTTTTAAACAAGACAAGTTGACATGTGTGTTACAAACGAAATGAAAACCCTATTGCCTTTGTAATAAAAGGCTGTAGGGAACTCAGTTCACTGGATGAAGACGACTATAATTGTCTATGATTTAGTGAAAATGTCTGAGTCAACTCTAAAATTGATTTTATCATTGCCATCAAAGTATGCTACACGTATTATTCTATCTGGTTTCGTAAGGACTTGCTCTTAAAAATAGTTCATATAACACAGGATGACCACACTTCGAAACTTTTGTCGATTTGAGGGAAAAATCAAACAACAGTTTCCCTTCATATGCGTAAGATAGCTTTTGCATTAGAAGCTTGGAAAAAAATAATGAATCGTTTTTATTTCTTATAAGTTATAAGTATTATATAATTTTACCGCAGCAACTGAAAACTTACCTCTAAAAGGAGTCATATCGTTAGATGATGGCGTCACCTCCTGATCACATGTGTATGGAGCTGGGGAGGGATCGGATAATATAGTCATAAAGTGCAAAAGAGATATGAAAATAGCACAACAACTCAAGAAACCGTAATTAATGGGGTTTTTATCATCATTATTATTATTATAATTATTATTATAATTTTGTTTCACTCATGCGAGAGGGCTTTAGTATGAAATATAACTTTCAAAGAAAATTAAGTTTTAATCAAACTAATGAACAAAAATTGGCACTTCAAGAACTTTTGTAACAGTACAAATACTCAAACACTTACATTTTTTATTGACCACACGGTAGAAAGCACTGAAGCCAGTGTAGGAGTCTTTATCGTCGGATTTGAATATTAAAAAAAGACTGTTCCATGTAGAGAAGATTCCTTCCTCTGGTGGATGATGATCTCCATAAAACACACCCAACAAGTAATCTCTCTCATTTTCTCCATCGTACACATATAGCTCGTCCGTGTCTTCCTCGTTTTGTAATTGGAAGGTTGTGAACTTAAGATGAACTCGTTGTGAGTAATGAACAGTTATTCTCCAAGAGCAGTACTGTCCACTTGGATACTTTTCCGGATGAAAAGGCGATTGAAGAGTGCCATTGTTGGAGTTAAAAGTTTTGTTGCAGCCTACAAGCAAAAATTACGCACTTATAATTGAGTTGCTGTCGTGACAAGAGGCCTGCACGAGAAATGATAGAAGTCTTGCACCGTATTATTTACATGAGTGGAAAGCACGCACCTTTCGACAGTCAAATTTGAACTTTCTTCCAGAGTTTCAATTCTCAGTGTGACTCACGATATGGACTAGCTCGTTTTATGACACAATACGACACCTTTACGCATGGTACTGCATCCATTTTCATGTACTATGTAACTTAAATTAACAACTCCAATGATAATTAGGATAGCAAAAACCTTTCGTATCGTTTCAGTATTTTATGCCATGTTGAAAATTTAAGTAACTTGACATTTTCACACGATTATGCTGTTTTTCTTACCCCGATAGTAACAGTAATACATAGTTGGGTGTTTAATTCCCGCATTGTATGGGAACGCCCCTGTTGCGTTGTCCTGGTTATTAAAATTAGATGTAGAAAAATATATCCACTCCAGACTCACTACTGCCCACTTGACCATCTGGCATGTCGGCGAATTGTAGGCAAGCAGGAAGAATGGAGACTTAGAGGGCAGGAGAACAGAGTTATTCTTGTCTCCGTCCGTTTTGCAACAAAAATAGATCAGCGTGTAAGCCTTATTAACAAACTTAAAATCAGGATGTGCCCCAGCTCGTTTGTCTCCGTTATATAAGGAATCATCGTCATCATTCCAGAAGACATTTCCTGGTGTCAATCCTTCCGGGCAGCGGTTATCTTTTCGATAAATACAGTATTTTCCTAAAAGAAAAGTATAAGATGATAAGTGATACACATTCGTTGAGATTATGAGGACATAAAAGAATGATGATGCATATTTTTTAAGTTTATTGGTGTGTTAAACAAACAGTTATGTGTATGACTATATGGTGTCATTGTGAATAGTGATGAGACTTAGTGTAACTTAGACCATCTGTGATAAGTGATAAGTGATACACATTCGTTGAAATTATGAGAACATAACGTTAGTTGGTGTGTTCAATAAACAGCTATATCTATGGCTATTTGGTATTAATGTGAATTGTGATGAGATTTAGGGTAACTCATTTGTTTTCTGACCTCGAGTACCAAGAGAAACTAACCTGCTGGCCAAGCTGGTCTATATTCGTCGTCAGTGGTTGTATCTTTGATACAAAATGACCTGTTCACTAACATCTTATTTACAAATCCGTCAATATGGAATGACGTCGACCTTGAATTTTTTGATTTTTTATGATCTCTATAATAACTGGTGTCCTGAAGAATCCATCCTTCATTCCACTGAAACCCTTCGGCTGAAGGACACCCGGAGACAGGTTTTGGTATTCCATATTTTCCAGCTGGCCAATGAATGGCTGTGAATTAGACGGGACATGCAATGAAAGCTCTTTTAGGATTTCTAGGAACTACCAATTAGTCTATGCTTTTCATTAAAGAAACAGAAAAGTCAGATGATACTCATGCCTCGAATGAATGTTGATTGAACATACTCGTTGGCGCTGATCTATCAGGCATTTGGATGATGTTTCATTTTTTCATTGGAAGTATTTTACACAGGAGATATCACCACTAACACTCAGTAGAAGTCACATCGCACTTATATATCTTGAATAACCCAAAAATGAGGTGGAATTTATAACACGCCATCTAGATTATATTGTAACGCTACGCTACGCCTGAATAAGCCCATCAGGATGAATCGATGAATGTAGAACAGTGTCTACAGCATACAACTAATTTTCGTTTGCAGAATAAAAGCATTAGAGATAAGTTCAACTTTCGGATACGACCGAAGAAGAATTAAGTTCGATTTCTCCTTACAGTGAAAGAAATTCTTATCATGTCGCACGGTTTTCCGAGAATGCGACCGTAAATATATCACTGCAATTGAATTCTAAACTAATATTCATTTATCCAAAATTTACCATTATTTCAGGCAGGAAAAGCAGGAAGTTTTGACAAAACGCTAATGAGTCAATGAAAAGCACTAAATGCGAATTTAGCATTGTACTTAAAAACAACCCTCCAGCCCCTTATACCAAGACACAACATGATCCAACAGGACACCTATGAAAGGTAAACAACCTACTTCACTTAGATCCAGTCTGCCACAGTGTTTTGGTTACCTTGAGTTACCTAATTTCGAAGTTAGTACTTGTCTTTAAGTCCGGGGAGGATTCTTAAAGGATCTAGAAACAGCAAGTCACGCTCAATGTTTGCTTTCAATACTTCGAACGATCTTCGCGAATATCACTTCACAACAGTGTGGTCCTCTAAGAGCGATCATGCAGCTAACATACCTGATGATTCTAGGCTGTAAAGAGTTGTTATTAAACATAACGACCGCCACAACATTATATCCAGACTGAGGTTACTGCACGGTTAACAGCTGATTAACGGCTTTTCCCGGCGAAATGGATGAAGAGACTGAAGAACAGCGTATTTTTGCCGTCATCGTCTTTCAGTTTCTCAGAATTATCATCGCAACGAATTGCATTTTGTGTTACCTACCGCTTGACCTTACCGCCCTCAGCAGAAGGCAAGTATATTGGAGTCGAAATCGTTTTTTTCAATATGCAAATAGTCGATTTTTTTGTGAAAGGCTTATAATAATGTGTCACGTCAGAATCATTCTCGGGGTTATGCCTTTATGCCGGAGGACAACCGAAAAGTACTAGAAACGAATTTTGGGATCGGGCAGTTTTCGCGGAATTTGTCGGACTATTCCAATGACATAATTTGCGATTTGCAAACAGTCAGGCGACGTTCATGTAAAACACAGAGACATTTTATTTGCCTTACATGTTCAGAATAAAACGTAGAGAGTAAATCATGCACTTTGATCTTGTCCCTCAGGCAGGTGAGATCTTAAATGAGTTAGGAATTACTCTAAGCTGAAGGGACAGCTTGAACGTGATCTGAAGTTAGCTAAATTTTATTTAAACCATTTGACCTAACTTCATTTTCTACACCAGCTGTTTCTCGGGCTTGAAGTGTTTTCTGTTCGGTGGCTCACAACCGCCATGGCAATAACAAATATCTCACGGCAAAACCAAACAGGAAAAAGTTCACGGCAAAACTAAAAGGCCTTTGGTTTTGCCGTGAGTCTTTTGGCTTTGTCGTGGGCATTTGGGTTTTTAAGTGAGGTATTTGTTCTTGCCGTGAAAGTTGTGGGCCATCGTATCTCTGTGCCATTCAAGATCCCACCCGCGGCCAGAGAGACAATATCAAAGAAATATTCCCGTTGAGTGATAGCAACGTAGTGCAGGACCAGAGAAATGTAGAAAAGTATTCTACGAATCAAGCCGTGAAAAAACAGGGCTAAGTTGACTATTTATGCAAGCTGACGCTCTCGCCGGTAGTACTGTATTTTTTGGTCCATCCAAGATCTCGAAAGATCTCACAAGTCACGGGATAAGATAGACAAATTGAAAGAAACTTTGATTTGAGGATATTCCGAGTTAATAGCACAATGAAACAATGTCCTCAACAACGGACGCTGTCAGATGCTACCGACCCTCTCAAACAGCGTAACAGAGTGATCAGACGTGTTATCATTCTCGGAAGCATACTGATCTCTTAATCAAGGATGTTGCTACCCACGGGAACTGTAAAAATAAAAATAAATGTCCCTAATGACATCCGTCCGTAGCTGTTTTCGTTTTTCACCCGAGGTCAAATCGTACGTGATGAATCAGTTCAAAGAACTGATGTCAAACTCATAATCAATGATTAACTTTTGACTTTTCCTCTGAGCTGTTGTCAGAGTGTTCTTCATTTTCAAGATTGCAAGGCATGAAAATTCCTACTAACTTCTGGGCGTTTGATTTAAGCCCCAATAATCATCGAGTTCAACTTGATTCGAACTGAGAAATTATGTTTCAATCGAATGGAAACGTGATACATATTAAAAGCACCAACTCGCAGAGGAAGTTGGCGGGTTATAGTGGCAGCAATAACGATTATTGAGGGTTATTAAACCTCTTCCATGGGTGAAGGTTGTAATCCAATTTATTTTCATTTTTTTTTTTTTTTGTCTCTCTCTTCTGTAAATTATCATCACAAAAGATGGATTGGACCCTTACCTCTGGTCACTGAACTCTGCACTCAAGCCCTCCTCCCTGACAGTCTTCATTTCTTCCCACAATGGTCCACCTAAAATATTTTTATCTTTCCCTATTATTAATCAACAGTTTTGAACATGGCAGTAGGATGTAGGGTCTCAGTACTTACTGAAAACAACACAACAGCTGTAAAAGGCCTAGGTCTGCCTTTGTATATATTTACAAGTTTCATTCAACCAAATGCCACAAATAATTCAAAAGTGACACTTTTATTGCTATTTGTGACAACAACCTTTTGCAAACCTGAGTCAAATGTCTTATCCATGTTACATCTGTGTGTAATAAAAATGACAAATCCATGTAAATGTCCATTATCTCACTTTGTACCACTACTTTCTTTAAATTTCATTTTATGCTCTTGTAATTGTCATCTTAGGCAATTCATATAAAACAACAGTATAGCAGAGGCATCTGAGTTTTTCTGAATGTCTTCTTTTTAAAGCTTAAGAATTCTTGTTCATCTAGTAAGTATGTTGAAATATCTGCAGGAAGATAAGACAAAAATTATGATTCTTGGAAACAGCTGAGGGAAAGAATTTTTTCACTAAAATCAAAATTCTTTCTTTACATTAAATTGAAATCATGAAAGTTTGCTGAGTGTGATGATAATGAGATAAAAAAATGCAGCACTGGGTCTAAAGGGTTCAACCTAAGCCCAGCCATTTGAAAATTTGCTTGTTCTTTACAAGGCAGGTATTTTGCCAACCTTATGGCTGTTAATCATCAGCCCATCCTTTGTTTTTACTCTTATGCCATCCTCTGACTTGATCTGTTTCTAATGGTGATGTCATCCACATAAGGCAGCAGGTTTCAAGTAAAAATCTGAAGACCTTCCATTGTCCTTGATCTCATCCTTGGGGTCTCCAGTCTAGCCATTGATATAAGACGCTGAATGCTGTCTGGGTTTATAGCTGCTTGTTCCATTTGGTTGGTTGCTACAAGCTACAAAGGACACAAAAAATTGTTCTGCACAATCATTGTCATGAGCATCATGGTCAAATTCTCTGAGTAAAAAAAATTATGTTGCAAGTTTATATAGAGAGTGGTGAGGAAACTCTTGACCCTGTACACCCCAATATCAGTATGCATATTCTCATTGCAGTTCTCTATAAATTTCCTGAGGTGCTCACACAATCAAGGTGCTAAACAATCAAGAGCTTCTTTCATTGGTGATAATTTCCATTATTCTCATGACCTTTACACTTGGTTAAAGGGTGATAATATAGGGAGAAATTCAATGCTGGTCACTCTCAGGGGTCAGTCAGCTAAGAAAGTAATACTATAAAGAAAAATAAATTAAAACAAACACAAAATGGTTCACTGAACAAAACAAGATTGGAACTCTCAGAGACAATGGCACGTTCTCTGTGTTTTTTTTTTATGTTAGGTAAGAATAGGTTCATCCCACCAAAAACATGAAACAGATTTTTTAAAAGTTATTCAATTGATTAAAAAGGCTTGCTATTACCCTTATATTTATGCAGGTCGTATATTTCTCCAAGAAAGGGGGGGAATACTCAGGCCAATTGCTGATTATTCAGAACCTCTTCCTAATAGTCTCTTCTGTGGTGAGTTATAGACCTCATCATAGTCAGTTTTGGGCTAATGTAATTTTTTGATCCCAACTTAGTCAATTCCTGTTTGTGCATCTACCTTATAACACCTCTTACAGGTCATCTTGTATTGCGAGCTGATTATTATATATCAAAACAACAAAACCACAAGTCTTCCCATAATTGAATTCCTATTTTCTAGAGTTTTCTTTTCCCCAAAAGCTGGAAAATGTGTGACCCCATTTGAGTAACTCTATGGAAAATGTAACCCTTTTATAGTCAATTCAGTCATGAAAATACAACCCAATCCAGCTGCACATACCCCTGAGACTATTACTAGGAAGTACCCCCCTGAATATTGTTAGACCAATCTGATGACATTATTATGCCTAGACTAAATTTCTCATGTTGCCCCATTTTATCACTTCACTTATTGCACAATGCATGTCCATTGTACTACTTGTCTATGCACAGTGAGGTTTATCATTTTATTGATGTCATCCAATAAACACACTTTCCCCTTAAAGCTGTGAATCCATTATTTTTATATTAATATATCGATTTAATCCGGTGAACACCACCAGTCCCCTCCCCTAAGGGATAGAAAGATAAAGGGCACCACAGGAAGTCATACACCTAATAAATGTTATCTTGTGATCATAGTACAGGAGTTGCAATTGGCTTAGAGGAATAACTGAGAGATTACTGTAAGAGAGATGGGTCGTGTAACAAGTTCCGGTCAATCAAAAAAAAAAAAAATAAACAGCCACTTTCTGTATCGTTTTTCACTTTTACGTGGTAGAACGAGGGGAGCGCCAAATTGTGGCGACTTCCTTGGTGATTGAGCATATTGAATTAATGAATTAGGAAGACTCCGTAATGAACTAAACTTTGACCTGCCTGTGGCCGCACACGCACAAGCTTATGCAGTGCGATTGTACGAAAAACACACGATCTGTTCTCCAAAAGACGAATGTAGGTATCATACAACTTACGCATTTGGATCTCCGCAAGTAGGACGGTGAACTACTCACCTGAAAGAGAAGGCTGACACGATACAGTAACTTAAATCCACGTAAATATTGCATCAACATCGTTTTGTTTTACAACTTGGGTCTCGACCAGCGATAAATCCGGGAAAATTATTTGTTTTGACAAGTCCGATTTTGTTTAGGAAAAAAAATTCGCCCTGACGTCCAACAGGACTTCAGACGGAGGAGAGGTTGTGGGAGGGTCGCATTTGTTTATGTAATTGTGAAATACCTCTAGGGGGTACCGTATATTTACTAACAGCTTATTATGCCGTATACCCTCCAGGGCAAATTAGGGTTCCTCTAGACTCATCTCCACTTGTAACATCACTACTAATGGATTAATATCGCTATTAATGTTAGGGAATCTAACTAGAGGTATAAATCTTCAATGAAACTTGGGGGAGAGCCTAGGGCATTGAAATAGGCGCCATTTTTTATAACGGGGTGGGGCCAAGGTGGGGTTCACAGGCAGGAGCAGGGACGATGATTAATAAAATCATTTGAACCATCACTCCATCCTATAAATCCACAAGGAGCCCTGGAGTAACGTTGTAAATCCACAGCATAACGACCCAGTCTTTAAATCTGTCACTTCTTTCGCGTGTCACAAGTCGTTCTCTGTGCTAAGTTCAAAGCGAGATAGTAAGTGTCGTTAGAGTCTCAACACCCTGAATACCAGAAGTTCATCGAAGTTTGCCATCATTAAGCCTGAACACATTTATCCACAAAATTTTTTATCCCAAATAAACTCACCAGGTCCGGGAGGGTGGGGAGGGGGGGGGGTAGAAAAACGACTTTTATATGCTTCTGATGGTACTTGGTGTACTTTTGGTCTCTTAGTGAGCTAACGCTGAAAGGAAAACGCATGAGTAAGATGCTTTCATTTTCTGTCCAATTCACATAGGAACACATTTTTAATATACTCTGTTCCAATAGAGAATTACATCACCCGGTCTGTTCAACAACGTTATTTCAGATCCTGCCGATGATCATCCGGTGTTTCACCCTCAAGTATTTAGGGCGTATATCGCGTGCAACTACGTCAAATCCAACGGGGTCAGGTAACAGGATGTTGTCATAACAGAGCAGAATTGACACAAAAGACAGAAAGCTGAAACCAGAAAGTGTGCCAAAGAATTGGCCTTACGGTCAAATGGAGGTAAACTTGATATCAGTTGACTTTTGGTATGTTAGAAAGACGCTGACAGCCGCGATCAAAAGGGATGTGTGCGGCTACTGTCACCAGTAAGTCATGACTACTATCTACGGGCATTGATATCAGTCTTTGCTTGCGCGCTACAGAGTACAGTATTTGCGCCGATCTGCAGCGTCATATATTGACATCTTGTAAACCGCTGAACGAGACACGAAATTCGACTGTTCCTTCCTTGGCAGTTGGTCAAGATGTTGCTGAAGATGTTGCTGCATAAACATTCCGACATTTTGACCGCCATCATTTTGATGTCAATGTTTTGCGCTTCGTCGCAGTCGCTAAAACCCCTCATAAACAGCACAAATACGTCAGGTAAGAACAAGACGCTTCTAAGCCGTGTTGTAATGTTTGAGGCCAGCTAAACCAGATTACACCAACATTAATTTGTTTTTAATTACTCCGTACTCAACTATCGGGATATCCCAACATATAATACCTTTGATTCGATTCTTAAAACCATCGATTAATGTCTCCGAATTATTGTTTTTTCACCAAAGGAAATCATCTTTTGATGCTTCATCACTGAAATTTATCGAAATAGAGCGAGTGACAAGCCTATAATTATGTCTTTTTGCACTCACTACTGATTTGTCACCGTGTTACGCTAAGTTCTTGTTATGGTCGTAACAGTTGCGTAATTCATTTGTGTCAATGTTGGGTCTATTTCGACTGAGACCATTTCTGATCTATCTATGTCGGTGGCTGTCTTATGGACTATGTAACATGCATGTTTGAAGTCCTGTTGTATTAGCCATCGCCAAAACACAGTTCAGACACGTTAATACTGGTATCAATGACGTACATTTCCATATATTGATGCATTCCGGGCGTAATTCAAGTCACGCATCCACCAATTTTTCGCCAATTTTTTTTTCAAAAACGACTGGCATTACGAGGCATAACCTATTCAGTGTTCATTCACAATAGAAGCTTTCATGATTCAAAAAATACACAGACAGCAGCTCATTAGTTTTTATTGTAATATGTTCGAGAGTCAGTCCTGATCTAATGGCTTACTGTTTCTGGCATGAAAACTATTTTGGTCTGTAATCAGCCAAGCTTATTCTTGGCTCCCTATTTTCTATATTTGCTCTCCATGAATCTTTGTTTTGCTTAGGAAACTTTCTGTGTATCATGATAAAAATGCATTCCGAATCGTAAAATTTTTAATATATTTTTCGTGACTCGTGAAACATTGAAAATCATGATTCATGACATCTCTCGCAGCAGGGGTATTCCTCAACCCATTTGAAGAGGACTCAGCGATCAAAAACGCATTCCCCTAGAGTAGAACTTCTACCCTCAAAATAGAGAAAAGTGAGGATTTCATCGTTAAAATAATGTTTAGAACTTTTCGACAGTTTTTGACCATAGCGTGTCAAGCAATATTAATCATCCATTTACATCGTGTTCTTTTCCATCAACTGATACTTCAGTGGTTCTACTAATCCCTCTTAGTCTTCATTATAAAATTCATTAACATGATATCATCTACACCCTGCTCAGGCTGTAAACCATTTCACGCTTGAACCCCCCAGAGTTGACTTTCATACCACTTCTTCTTCTGTTTTCAATACATTATCCTTTTAACAAGTGATGATCCAGCATCGGCAGGACGATCTCACCTTGATAAAACTACAATTTCTCTTGACTAATTTGCAATGGAACGTATTACAACCAGAAGAGAGAATTACTATTCAGATCCTGGGGGGTTAACGGAATTAGATGACAGAGCCTTGCTCTCCTGGTCTGAATATTTATTTTTCCTTTTTTAGACAAGGAATCATTAACAAGCAACACAACACCAGTGCATCGTCCGCAGTCTAACGCTACAACAACTGATAGTACAATTTCACCAAGTTCCGCCCCAACTGAACTATTTGATCTAACAACAATCAAAACAACAAATATTTTTCCCACGACAACAGCCACAACTAGTGGGGAACTCCTTCAGGCAACAGAAACTACTGAAGGCACCAAGAGCAGAACCACAACTAGTATCGTAGAAGCAAAAGCACGAGCAAATAAAACACACGAAAGCTCATCAAGTACAATATTGGCTGTGTCTCTCTCGTTAGGATTTTGTTTATTAGCTGTAGGAGTCGCTGCAGCTGTATTCTTTGTTCGCTGGAAAAGGTGAGACACGAAACTTGCTGTAAAATCTCTAAAATCCGTGGTGCTGCATCGGTGGGGGGCATTACAAAGTAATTTAGTTTTATCAGCTGTGGTGATAATGTAAATTTGTCACCGTAAAGAGTCCATTCCTTTAGCTGACGATTTGAGCGTTAGCCCGTCGTCAGAGGGGCTCTGGTGAAGGGCTGACGCTCGAAACGTCATTTTTAAAAACTCTTTACGGTAACCAATTTACATTATCAACTAAGCTGATAAAACCAATTTATTTTGCCTTAAAATCTGCCCGGCTCTGGCAACTCCTGGTTATTCCAGCTATTGTAATTACGTGTAGTTTAGGCAGATAAGACTACAACAAGGATTGTTGTTGTCGTTATTTCAGTCAATTGTTTAGAATTCATATGATTTATTAACGATATAGAACTTTTCCTACCGCCATTGTTTTCAATAACACTAAACTATTCAATTCTGTTCAATTAGTTTGGGTGAGCAACGTCCAAATTTGAAGAGCCTCTAGAAAAATAAAAGCTGATAACTTTTACTTTGAAAAATTTTTATATTTTATTATTTGATGTTTTGTGTTTCATATGTTATTCTTATGTAACCATATTTCAATTGTGTTTTCGTTCTCTCTAATACTTCCCCCAAAATAAAGAGGCACGAAAAAACCGTTAATCATGCGTATATTTTATCTCATTTTAGAATAAAAAAGATGAAAAAGGGATTTCAAGAAGAAATGGCAGTCATTTGTCTTCAGTAAGTCCCTTTTTCAGTAAACTGTTGAAACACAGTAAAGCATTTGCTACATAAGAGATAATGGAAAATATAATACACACAGCAGAAGTCTTCACTCCACCTTGGTGAAGCGTATTCATGTATCGGACACCTTCTCAAGCTTGAGTACTTTACCCATGCAGCCATACATGAACTCATTACATTCGTTAATGTGCGCAGTATTCGATATTTTAGAAAAAAAGATTACAGAGACCTGAAATCAAGAGATACGTCGAAAGTGATGTTTGGCAACCATGACAACTAAACTTAGGTATTCGCATAACATCCAACTATTTCCCAATTATTTTCAACATATTTTTAAGACCCACCCGTGGATCTATAGTTATGATACCAGAAATAAGTCTAAACCAACATAAAACAATCATCGATTCTCCATCGAGGTCCTCAGATCTTGACTGCTTCCCTGCCTGGCTGGGAGTTCATGAGTTCGCTAAACTCTGCCTCACTTTAAAGCAAAGGTTTAACGATTTGGTTATTGAAATCGTCTGTCATATTCAAGTTCTACCTCGGATATAAGGTGACAGAGCCTAAATTTGTAATCTTCTACAGTTTCTTCACGATTAACTGCAAAATCAATCCTAGGATCTTGTACCATTGTATGTACATGATATCATTGTACTTCTGCCTGCAAGTTACATGAATAACTAAGAAGTGAATATATCAGTAAATAAATAAACAAAACATGGCTTTATAAGCCACAGAGGCTGTACAGGGCCTTGCTGAGTTACAGCAGATAACAGTTATTTTCATTTATTTCTTTTTTTCTAGCGACGAGCTGGCTTCAGAGGCCCTGTACTGTTCATGGAAACCTTTCATGGATGGAAATGAAAACAACAAAATAAAACTTGTCATTGAAACTTCTACCAGTGACGCGAATACTTCACGAGCGAACACATAACAACTGGGATGGAACAAATTAAGTAGCTCTGTGTGCACGTATAGAAGCATGTCTCGCAGCAAAGGAAATATCGACAACAGCTATAAGTTATAGATAGAATTGTACATACCCTTTCTTCCTTACACCAACATACATATTGCCAAAAGGCAGGCGGGTTTTCGTGCGCAAATTAATTTTAAATCATTCAAGTTTTCAGGAGGATCAATCAATTGAAGTTAGTGTTCCAGTTTGAATAAACCTGCACTGATTTTGCACTCTGGCGACTTAGCAAATCAACATATATCGTTTCTGTGTTTAATATATATCATTTATATTCATCCGTTCTTCCTTCATCCTAAAGTAAGTAGGTTAGTAAGTGAAACCTCTTTACAGCAAAGTACCTCTAGCTCAGTTAACTTTGACTGGGGACGTTACAGCTTGATGACGACGAAATAAGTGGAGATGTAATCTAAGGACTCACTGCATATCTCGGGTATCCGAGACAACCCTTGCACTGAGTGTAACTGGCCGAGCTAACTTCTCACTTATTTCTTTTAAAAGTCTGTACTTCTATTCCAAACACTATTATTGCACACTCCTGACCATAACCGTTTCAACTGCTACTCTTGAACGCTTATTTGGTATTGTCTAATAGTATGGTGTGAGGTATAAAATGAAAAGAAACAACACGTATTTTCCCCTTATGAAGGTTTTTATTGCTTAACTAACAGAGCAATAATACAAAGGGCTGTTTATCCTAAATCTATCATCTTAAAACCTTCGATAATGGGCGGGGCTTGAATACTCGGAAGTTAGCATCAGCTGACAGGTTAATGTTATGTTGCATACAATGTCACCTCTTCAATAAAGATTCTTGACAATGTGGCAAAGCCTGTGTGACCATTCCCCAATGGTATCCCTGTGCCAAGGCAAGGACCGATTCTTACTTCTACTTTCACCCCTCCCTCCTGTACGTTATGGCAGTGACCTTCAATGTGACCGTGCACGTGACTGTTGAGATTTCCGGCGTGGGCCTGGTACAGAGCGCCTTCTATTGGCCCAGGAGTACTGCACTCGACACCGTTAAATGTGAAATACCACCGATTACAACAGTGATGACATCCAGAGATTCTGATATTTCCAGAATAATATACACGAAGGGCTGTGTAACTGACTTGTTTCTGGAACTCACAGGCCTGTTAAGAGAGCAATCGATCAAACACCAAGCTTGCCTAAACATGCACATGAAGGTCAGAAATACTACAATACCTGTCGGAGTGCACCAGTGTCTAAGATTAATTCTTCAAACTTTCCCACAACCTTTCAAAATGATACTTAAGGAAAGGTACAAATTGAAATCCGTTGGCCTTATCCGTCAGTCCTTCAACAGAATTTCCAGTGCGTCAGTTTACAAATAAATCTTTACTCCTCTACTTTTCTTCAATTATTCGTAGAAGAATAAAATGGAGGAAGACTCTGAGGTAAAACCAACAAGGATGACATTGTTTGTTTTTCGTTTTCGGCTGCTTTTTTTCTGCGTCGATAGTATGAGCAAAATGGTTTTAGTAACATATTGAAGAAGAGGCCTCTTTGCTAACAAACGCTAATGTAGATCAACTGACCCATATGATGCCTTTATCTTTCGGATCTTCTCTCTTCCATGTGCACTCTTTCCAAGAATAACCGTAGCCGAGAACTCGCACAACATTCAGGGCCAGAAAACACTGCAGGAGAATTATTCTAGCAATCATTGCTTCACTGTGCCTCCTCCTCAGAATACCCACTGAGTTTTCAAATCGAATTGTTACTTTTATTAGGTGATCGAAGAATGAATGGTATTTCAAGAGTTCATCCGGTCTTAGGAAAATAGTAATTTTGTAATGAAACTATTTCTGTCACTTTTTGAGTCCTTCCACCTGATACATTACAAGGAATGACACTTTTCCAATTAATTGCCACATCCACCCCATTTGGACTGACTGCTCTGCGGCTTCCAAATAAGTAAACACAAATCCAAAGCAAGGGAAACCCAACCACTACACACGCTAAATTCCATTGATGAAATCTTTCTCTTTCATCAACCTTAACTCAACCGGTTAGTTAAAGGAAAAAAAAGCAACTACTTATGAAGGAGTATTAAGACCATTACAATTAAGTAATAGTCTTTCAAAACATTGTTTTGTCTTGTAATATTCCGCTGCCTTTCCTTTATAGTAGTCCGTTTTGGAAAAAATCCAAAATTTCTACAAACAACTCCAGGGGTGTAATCTGTTCCCTAATTAAATTCTCAAGTGCTGACATCAATTGTACTTACCACGTCTGACAATTATTGTGACAATAAAATCAAACGACTGTAATTTTTATTTTCATTTTAGTCTAATTTGTTATTGATTTGCTCCCAAGCCTTGCTACCTTACAACTCCAGGGGTGTAATTTGTTCTTTAGTTAAAGTCTCAAGTACGTGCGGAGACTGATTGATTGATTTTTTTTACCACCTCTGACCATTAATGTGAAAATGAAATCACACGATGACATATATTTTTTTTCCGGTTGATCTGAGTAACCTTTTTAATTTTCTCCCAGGGTTTGCTACCTTAGTTTTAGGCTTTAAAGCCTCAAGGTTTTGAAATTTTCTGCTACACCACACCCCACTACTCGATGTGCATAGCTATATTTGAAATGGTGTCATGTTTGCAAGCCCGAGTAGCCCCCATGATGGTAAATTTCCCGATGAACAAAACCAGTATAAGTTTCAATCCACAATTTTCCTTTCTTTTATTCATTACCTAACATCCTCTACAGCTAGTTTCCACCAGTAGCCATCAATATTAGCAACCCCACTGTTACGGGAAATTGATAATACAGGAAAGCACTGAGGTAAGTCACATGCAAACAAATCAAATGTAGAACGCATTATTAAAAATGTTATAAGCGGTCAAACTAATTAAAAAAGCAATTTGTCTTAAAAACAGTTTCCAAGAGGTATATTTGTAAACATAAATGTCAATAATGTTTGTCTCTGGCGGTTAAGTATATAGATTAATAGAATAATTTATTCAAGGACACTAGTCATTTACAGTCAAATATATGCTTCATTCTTTAATCCTAGCTTACTACGGCACTTGGTCACAATATAGCGACCCACAGCCAGGCTGTGGTGATAAGAGGGGACGGATTCGGCGTTGATCAAGGGTATATGTAACATAATTTGACTAACTTGGTCCACATATGAGCAACTTTCCAGGTGAACATCTGGTCAAAGGAAGCCGACATTTACTAGTGTTTCAGAAACTACAGAGTACATGTCTCAACAAGCAGAACCACCGATGCAACAGTTCTACGGCTTAGCGCAATCCAAACCAAAATTATCAAAATGAACATAGAATACACCTTCACACGGGATAGGCATATACGAGTACAAAATGGCGCCATTTGGGTCATGAACATAATGTAAAAGCTTGTAGGCTAAGAAGTGAAACTGCGTGTTTAATCTTCTTCAGTTAAAGGATCGAACTCCTGGATAATAAAACGCCAAATATTTATTATGAAATATTGAGTTACAATCTCTCCTCTTGCCATGAAGTGTGTTCCTTTATCAAACCAGTACAAGGTCTTGGTTTCGCTAGAATTCATTTTCTTGTAAGTGTCTTTACCACCTGTAAATTCATTGCTTGTTTTGTCCTCAATGTTAATGATCTTGCGATTGAAAATGGGTGGCAAGAGTCTTAGCGATAAAGCAAACTCCATAACCCTAACATCGTCTGCGGGTGGTGCCATATCTGGGCTTACGATTCCATTCAGATAAAGAGTGATGTAGCCTCCAGTAGAAAAACCCGTTCCCAAAAAATCAGTAAAGGAAACCGCTCTCTGTGGATGAGATGCATGAGGCTGAACAACCTGGACAAACTCAAGGTTACCTTTATTCTGACCGAATCTTCCTGAAACAATTTTCATGGGGAAGTTCGTCTCGTTGATGAAATGAGCGTAAAATGACGGCCCAAAAGCTGTCAAAACATGACGTCTCAGCCAATTTCCAGTGTGAATTTGATGCCCTTCTACTTTTACCTTCACTAACTGGCGAGACACTTTCCTCGCAGCAGATTCCACCGTGTCAAGACTTTGGATTGGCGTCAAAGCCAAGCTGCCTCTGACTGTCTCTACCAAGCTCTTACCGCGAAGGTTTCTGCTTAAAGCCAAAATCTTGGTCAATTTTCCACCCTGGTAGGGAAGACTTCTGAGGAACGTCAAACACCTCACATCTGAAAGAAAAGAAAGTTTTCCTTTTGCATCCCTTCTTTGACAGCTTATCTTTCGATTTACGACCTTTTCATTCTCTTTATACTCGCTTCCAAACTGAACATATTTTCCCTTGGCAGCTAACAGAAGAGCCATGAAACAGCCATAAGCTTCGTAATACGTGACCAAGGCTGTCACGCAATCTGCCACATCAGGATCTTCCGCCACGCTATCTTCATATTTAAAAGGAAGCGGTGACTCAAACCTGTTGGCCAACTCGCCCAAAAACTGAACGTAATCATTCCATAGATTGTCATTATCAAGTTTCTCTCCAGGCTGCATTGACTGAAGCTGATAGATCTGATCTGAAACACGTCATTTGAGACCATTGTACTTCTGGTCCTGATATTTTCTGTTGAAGAGAGTCAATTCGCTGTGAACTACTTATGCCAATTTTGCCACAACACTTGGTTCATTTGGCTTGTTGACGGTGAGAGCAGCACTAAGGATGCAACACAGCACTTTAAATACAGGTCCATGCGGCTCGCCTTTCAATACAGTCAAACTGGACATGAACTCCAATACTCCCTTGTAAACTGCATGAGTGCTCCCACTTCCAAACTTGCCTAGGGTGTCTACGGAAGCTACGATAACTTTACCCATATTTTCGATATAAATTTGCCTTGATTTTTCTTTCTCACTCTCCTTTTGTTTTCTTACCCAGTCACCTATTTCTTTAAGTTTGTATTCGAAATCCGGTCGATGTGTTGGATGACAGGCCTGAAAATAGTCCGTTATCCTTAAGCTGCAAAGATCTCAATACTTCCTGAATATCGTTCTCCCTTCGAGGAATGTTTGTGTCACATTCAGCCATAGGAGCAGCTGATAATCTGTTGCCTGTAGATAAATAAATAAAAAGAGAAGGATGGTGCCTAAGTTCCTATCGATTAAGCCATTGAATACGTATAGCTTCAAAAAACGGGACCCAAGTTGTATTTCGTGGGTCAAAACAGTACTGAAGTATCAAACCTGTGAGGAACTCCGACATCGAGTCTTTTTTTCTTATATTATTATAAAGGATAAGAGATATACTGAGAAAGATCAACGGTTACCATGACCCTTTTTAAGAGAAAGAAGATTAACGAAAATGTCTACTCAGATGTCTTAGCTTTTCTTTCGATTTAACCTTGCAAATGAACCTAGCGAAGGTTTGCTAACCACTGGCAAACGTGATGGACAGTATGAGGGTTGAAATTGTTTTAAAAACCATTCTTACAGATATTGAATAACTTCATCAAACATGCATTTGCCTTTGCCATAATTACTTACTCAAATCGTTCGCTGTTTTGCAATGAAAATTTTATCTACCAAATTCGACCAAAATTCAGAACACTACTCTCGCGGTCATGAGTTTCTCGCCATACTCTTCCCCAGATTCTCTCGAACTGCAATAGTTGGAGCATGGAACTGGTTTTCTAACTCTAAATTATGTAAGCCTATGTAAGCCAAATGAAAACACTCGTTACACCTTAGCAACGCAACTAAACTGTTTAATTTTAATTTTCTCAGACACCAGAGACTACTGTGATCTATGCGTATACGTTTTCATATCTTTTTCGTTAATAATGAATGAAGCAGTTATGGTTTTATTTACTGCTAAGAACTTGTTTGCGGGAAAAATCCAGTATGGTTGAAGACATCCAATATGGCCGGCCTTGCTCCGTTTGGACGTGACGATCAGCCTTTCTTTGATGTGAAAATTGTGGGTGGAAAACGAGTTGAAGTCGAAGTTGATAAATATGGAAACCCCTTGAAGCAGGAAAGGAGCACTCATCTACCAGGAACTCAACAGAGGGTGAGTCCTTCAGCTTTGTCAAGTGCAAGTCCCGCTATATCGTCAAGGGCATCTGTTCCCCCGTGGGTAAACAGAGGCGACACACCTCCAAGAAAACTTTTAAAATCACTGGAAAGTCCTGAAGACGGGAGTCACAACTCCGCACAAGGTCTTCACAGATTTTCTTCGCCAAGTTCTCATGCTGTTTTACCGCCGATAAAAAAGTCTTTAAATTCGGGTGTAGATGACGAAAGCAAGACCAAGTCTTTGGCTTCAAGATTGAATTCAGTCTTGTTAGGGTTTGACACTTTGAGACTTAAAGATACCTATCTTAGCTTCGCGGGCTTTGACTCGACTTTGTCGGGTTTTGTGTCTGCAGAGCAGATTGAGAGAGAATTCTATAGACTACAAATACCAGTGAGAGGGGAGCTTTTAAATGAATTATTAGCGTTATTCATGTCAGCTCATAGACCAAATTGGGTCAATTATGAACAGCTTTTGAAGTTTTTAAATAATGCTGTTCAGCCAGCAGCTACAAAAGAATTTCGTGTCCCCAAGCTGGATTTAACATCAAATCCTGGTGACAGACTGCAAGAGAAAATATCAGCTAAATCTCCCAGGGAAAAAAACTTGCCATTAAAACCAAATCAAGTATCTCCTAGAGCTGATGAATCACAGAAAGGTCGTCAGAGTGCAATAGCTGTAAGAAAAGCTTTCCAAGATAAGCAAGACACTGCAATCTTGCTACAAATTGAAGAAATGCTCAAGGAAGTTGGTAATGCACAAGAACAAATTCATACTTTAAGGAGAGCTTTGGAAGAACAGGATGTGGCAAGAGCAGAGGTCATATCTACTCAGAAGGTATGATAAAAACAACATTAATTTTTCTGTAAACAACTGTTTCTTGCCTTATAGGATTTAACTAGAGATACTCAACAGTGTAAAAAACAGTATAAAATAGAAGTTGGCAATTGAGATTAGCAGGTTTCAGAAGACCAGCATACTGGAAGAATGAATTACTAACCATCTTGACTTAGTTGTGATATTTGATACTTGTCTCCCAACTCCCAATAGTTTAAGGGGAAGAATGTAATTTGTGATTCAGTGTAGTATACAGATGGTGTCTGGCGTCTTTTGTCTGGAGATCAGGTTATGTTGTATTTCATGCATAGTCTATAGGAAGAGGAATGAGACTTGATCAATTTTCAAATTTCATTCTCACAATGGCTACATGTATGTCAAATATCAAAGGATAGAATAAATGTAAAATGCTCAGCCAGAGTGTCAAGAGACTGACAATGTTTCCCTTTTTCCATTTAGTTGAAGACAATTTGTTTGCGTCATCACATCCCTTTTCACAACTCCTTGTTGGATAAAATAATTGACAGGCTTGACAGATACAACTCAGGTAGAGTAAGGTAGGTGATAGACATATTATTAGATGAATAAAGTGTTATAACTGCTTATAAACAATGTTATTGTTAAACCCCATTTGATGTGATAATTGTCTGTATTTTCCCTCAGCTGGTTTGAATTCATCTCCTTCATTGAGCGGGCACTGCCTCTTCCTTCACCAAGTGTTGCCTCAAGTCCAAGCCCAAGTAGGAGTAGTTGTCATGGTTTAGAGACTCCCCCTACGAGGCCAGTGTGGGAAACAAGACAGCCTCTTAAAGGAGTCAACAAAGATAGGCAAGATGGGCTGCAAGTTGAGATGCTTGAGGAGCAACCGCGAAGTTTAGGTAACACTTTTGTCATTGGAACTAGTTAATAAAGTGATTGTTGAAAGCAAAATACTTTTTAAATGCTTCATAGCTTCCCCCAACCCCTTGCTGTAAGAGCCTCTGGCATTCTGTCCTAATTTTAATTGAAGATGAAAAGTAACTGTACCAATACAGAAAATCAGCACCTTACCACAGCCATTCCCTGCTAATTTTCTCCTTTTAATAATCCTGCATAATAGAAGACAAGGGGTTGCTCTGTAGCAACATCATGTCCTCCCATACCTTTGTCCCTTTGCCCTTGTAACAAAACACTACAGATAAATAATTTACTGGAATGTTCACATCTTTCTTACACTCTTTCTACACTCTTTCTTCCAGCCCTTATAAAGTACCCATTTCCTGCCCTCTTCTCTCCTGTACCCTCTTCACTCCTTGTTCTCTGTTGCAAGTTCTAACTGCCATCCTGTCATATGTTATAGGTGCAGTTTATTGCCAATTTTTCACACACTGCCCCCAAATTTTACCTCCCTTTCCCCTTCCTGTAACAGCTAAGCTTTGTGTTGAAGAGTGTCTTTGTATGTATATATAGAGATGTGTCCTATAGATATGTTTTGTTTATCTGAGCTGTTTTCTTTTTGTCATATTGTGAAAACAGGTCAAGAGGGAAGTGTGGTTGGTGATAGACAACAAAAGGATTCATATCAACATCACAAAAGAGCTCCAATGCATCAGGTGTCAGATGAGAGGGGTGGGGATGATTTTAACATGTCACTGTATGCTGAAGATGAAAGAAGACAACTTGAAGACAGGCGAGAGGACTTGTTGAGGAAGCAGCATGAATTGATTGAACAAAAACGGCAAATTCAGAGAGAACAGGAAGAGATTAATCAATTTATTCAACATCAGAAGGAGAAGCTGTATGCAGAAGACCATGATTATGACCCTCCACATTATGTGCAGAAGGAAAGTAAGGTTGAGAGATTTATGAAGCTAGCAAATGCTCTTTATGTTTGTGACCAGGATCAGTCAGGTAAATTTGAACACAATAATTCTCCTTACCAATTTTTAAGGAATTATTTGCTGGTTATTCTTGAAACTTTTCTTTTGTCATACAATAGTTAATGTTCAGACATATGTAGATTCCATGTTGCTGTGTGTCATTTCACAAATAGTAGATCACAGCTGACGTCAAAATGTTGTGAGAACAAAATGTGGCTCACAATGTGCAGTCACCGTTGATTTTCTTACCACACTTTATGTCTTCTGTGATCCATTTCTGTACATACTAATGGCAACATGTAATTGATTTTTTTATGTGATAAAAAATATGTTTTTAACCCTGTAACCCCTAAGAGAGACTGGCATCTAATTTCTCCTAACATTAAAGTCAAGAGAATAAAGGAACTGATCACCAACTACAGAAGCTCTTGATTGTTAGACAAATTCTCCTTGTCAGCACCTTAGTAAATGTACAGAGAACAGTATGGAGAATATGAATACTGATGTTAGGGTGTAAATGGTCAATTGTGACATCATCTGTGCATCTTTCCTTTGCAGATCATAAGTAAGAACTCATCAAATGAGTGTGTATTTCAGCTTATCGTGTAAACAATATTCTTCAATTGACAATTTCTGATTTTTTCCACTCTGCTGGTATTTAAATGTGTATTTCTCTCTTTGTTATTTCGCTCTAAATTTTTTTTTCTGTTATTCTCATGCAGGTCTCATAGAGGCAGATATGGCTCGTCGATTACTGAATAACTACAACCTTGTTAATCAACTGGACTTCTCTGCCCAGCTGATTGAAAACACGATCAAAAGTTGCTCAACCACAGATGACAAAGTTAGTGTGGATGATTTGATAGATGAACTTAAGAGCCATCTTTAAAAGAGGTGCTTGTTGAAAAATGGTGTTCACTGCTGTGGTGTGTAATGGGATGAACATGGTGCTTTCATTTCATATGCAGAACGATGCCTTTCTTCGTGTATAACATTGTTCTCGAGGTGAAAGATTTCCTTGTCTCAGGAAAACTAGCATTGATATTGCTCAAATGCAGAGGTTTAAACAGAGTGACTGTTCAAAAACTTGTAAATATAGAGAGAAGACTGCTTTCCAAACAACAAGTCAACAAGTCAACAAAAAGCCTCCGAGGGGTTTGAGGGCCTGATAAACCTAAGAATAAGCTGAGAATGAGTTGTACTTATAATACTTGTAAGACTTTTATTTGTATTCATATTCCCTTGATCTTGTTAATTTAAGTTTGGAGACAGGATTTTTAGTAGAAATTTATTTATTGTAAATAATGTTGTATGTCCATGTATATAGGTATATGAACAAAGGTACCATTATCCATATTGTGCTTGAAACAAGCCTAAAGAATGCAGAGTCTGTAAAAAGCACCATGCACTAGACATTTAGATATATTTAAATGGGTAATTGAAGTAAAACAAAATTTGAATGTTCTTCAAGCTAGTCAGAATTAAATTTGTTTATGGGATTACTTTCTTTGAAAGCCTTTGCATTGGTGTCTTATTTGAAAATTTTTGAGAACAAGCAGTCAAAAATTGTTATAAGTGTTTGATTTCATTGTAAAAGTGGGACGTCCATCCTCTGATTGTCACCTAGCTCGCTTCCATCATCTTAGTAGAGGCAACCTGGTAGAGAAAGTTGATTTGGAGGCATAGGGGGATGTCTTGCGTATCAGAGTCAAGGATCCCCGTGGGAGACTGGGCCAAGTTTAATCTCGAGCTTGAGAAAAAGATATAGGGAGGGGACAATCATTGCACATGCGCAAATATTAATTGCCCCGAGACCGGTAATTGGCGTGTACGAGCAAATTTCCGAGTGTTCTCATTTATCTACGCCGGAAGTGCGTCTTCCTTTGCTCCGGATGTGCGTTTTCCGACAAGACCGTACTTGCAATTTTTGTTTCCGATAAGAAATAAGATGTGACTGTGACCTTGTGATTATGAGATATCGAGTTATTTTTTTGACGCAGATTTGTGGTTCAACAATCTTCAGCAGATAAGTTTATAACTTAACTAAAAACATGTCCATTTGGCGCATACAGGTCAAGTTAGCTCCTGTTTCAACAGAAATGAACCTGGGATGAGATTGTCTTTTTGCACACTGTAAAAGTTGACTTTAAACCTTCTTTGTCTTTAAGTGTCGCAAACACTGAACCGATAAGAGTTATAGAATCAGTGCAAAAAAAACACTCTCTCGTATAAAAAAACGTAACTAAAGTGGTTATTGGCCTTGGTGAAAGGCCAAGAATTACGTAAAGTTGTAAAAGTTGGATTGGAGCGGACTTTTTACTTTTTCATTTTGACTCTGGCATCGCCCATGGGACTTTTTATGAAATATAGCTGGTTTCAGTATTTGAGTTAAGATTTAATTTTCATTAAATTATTTAGTTTCCTTGTCCGGAAGTAGCGACGTCATAGCTCTGGTGCATTATAAATATATCAAACAGACTGATAAGTAAAATAGCAAGTCAGCAACCTGCCGGTCATTGTTACAGTAAACCGTCTGGTAAACTTAGAATTTGTTTCACGTTTTAGGTCAGAAATAATTGAGATTTCTCTCTCAGAGTAACAGTATTAAGAGAATAATGTTTTTAAACACAGCAAGTAAAGTTGTTACAAAAAAAGCAGAGATCAAGTAGTGTTTCAGCGCAGTAAAAGATCAGCTGTGATATTTCCGAACGGATCTCCCCGAGGGGGGTAATTAATGATCAATAATCATGCCGAGTTGCAACATTCTCTCATTTTCTAGTTCATGGTTTAGCTCTGTGTTTGGAGGATAGATTTTAAAAATCTGTAGAGGTGGTCGAAACTGATGTTAGTAATGAATAATTTCACCTCTTCCGTGAGCAGAGGATAGCGACCCATCAGTTATGGTACGCCATAGATGATGGGTCGGTGGCCTGTGGCCGGCTTACTGGAGTACCACTGAGAAAATATCATCAGTTCGCCCATTTACGTGAGTATCCACTTTGACCTTGCTCAAGGTAATACTACATCCGTAGAATCAAACGACCTTTTTGTAGACTGGATGACACGCACAATGCATCTGCTTCGGTCAGTTGCTTTTCATGTGACCAAAATCACACCATGGGAAATATGCCATTTCATTGTGGGTTTGAGAAAAATGGATGTGCATGTTATCATGAATATAACTCTGTACGAATGATTTTTTTTTTAGATCAGGGAAAATCCTCTTTAAAAAAATATATAATTATTATGATAAAATTGGGACAAGCATTAGTTACCTCGAAAAGTGAAAACTAATGTACAGTGCAAAAAATGGCAGTTTCAGACGCATCCTTCCCTTCGTCTTTGGAAAACTGTTGTTGAGAAACAACCCAACTGTTACGGAAATCACGCGATCCTGATTTCACTAGACCGGTTCTAAACTTAGCATTAATCACGGAAGTTCGTGTTCAGAGCGCGTTTAAGCCTTTAAATCAAGGGGACTATGAATATCAGTTACATTTTACCTTTCGATCGTCATCAGTAGATTTTCCAAGACTCACGAAAATTGACGACCGCACGTGTTCCGAAGTCCAGTCCAGTTCCTATGAAATTTTCATAGGGGACTCGCATACCGTTACACCACACAGCATAATATGTCCTCGCGTTATTTTACCTGCATATAAGCCCTAACAAGTTATGTCTAAACCTTAACACTGCGGAATCACAAAACCATGTCGCACAAAGCAAAGTACTGCGGTTGGTTGAAAAAATGCCATGAAGGTTGGAGTAGACTCCACAATAATAATGTTATGTGGAAAGACGAAGACCAGTCAGTTGTAAAAAATGTTCACAGTTTAACTGTAAGCAGTGAATATATCGATGGGACGAAACTTCTATCTCCTTCTGTCGGTCATCTGAAAAAGAACGATCTTAGAAGATGCCATTCTTGGGGATCATCGTTAAATCGTATTGTGAAACGTAAAAGTCCTTGTAACAAGTCATCGGAGACAAAAGGTATTGTATAATTTTCTTTTTTGCTGAAATAGTACATATTTTCCTGTCGATAACCAGTAATCTGGCTTTCAGATTTCTCCTGGTGGTGTATTTTGGTTAGTTTTCCATAGATGAACCGCCTCTAAGAAGATTGACCACAACCGCACTTGACAATAGACGGATTTATCATCTATCCTGTTGCTCCTCGGTTTTAATAATCTTTAAGACGCTTTATGACCTGACAGATGCAGTTCATCAAATCAGAAAGAAGTCGATAGTGATGTCTGCTGGAAGATTTCACCAAAAATTCTTGATATTTTGCAATGCTCTCTTACAGCTGCTGCGCGCTTTCCTCGAAATTTCATTTGTGAGATGAATCTTAAAGAATTATTATGTCGAGTTAAAGCCCTTAATCTGTTCTCTCCGCACTATTATGTATGTTACATGGTTTTCCAGTCCTTCGCTTGGCTATGACTCCCAGGTTATGTCTAGATCATTTTTGACAGAGGAAGGTAAGTTGGCCAACTTGCAGTTTATAAAATGATCCAAAGAAAATTTTATTTATCGTTTATGTCCCTCAATAATCAACTTCACCGGTTTCAATTTCAAGCAAAGAATACTATCTATAAGCATTTAGTACAGACGTACTATACCACGGGAACAAATGATTAGTGGCGGGTTCTGTCATGACGTTTTAACAGAAAATTTACCCTGAGGCTTTTGTTGCCATAGGACCGATTTTATAACGGATATACGCGTGACTGCACGCTGTGCATCTAAGAACACGCGAAGATTTGTTGACAAAACCTATCATTGTTAACGTTGCTGGAAGGTATCTTTGTTTTCATTTTATTCGAAAAAAAAAAGTTATCGAAATATCATCTCTCAACAATGATCGGAACACCACGTTCGTGAAGAGCACAGGATGATAGACTAAATTAAATCACCAACATTCCTCTTTCCTACTTGAAAGTGCTTTTTTTTCTTTCCGGCAATCTCTCTCTGTTTCCCATTTCACTACGATATCTTCGTCTTTCCACTTTCACCTCCATTTTCGCCCTCTTTCTATTCCATTCTCTTCCTTTCTTGATGCAAAGCCAAGAAAATAGCACTTTATTGTCTTGGTCAAGTTAATTCAAGATATCTCATCTCCTGTTATGTCGTCGGTCTCGTTTACGCGAAAATCATGTTTTGACTCAAACTCACTTAACTCGGCTTATCATGATACTGTAGATTTGAAACAAGGAGATTTACCTCTTGTGCATGGGTGTGTCAAGGCAAGGGTATTCCTCATCGATAAAATTCAATGGACATCTGTATTGCGTACGTGTAGGCTTATATCCGCAAAGAAAAAAATTGATTCAAATAATCCAGATAGCACTTTTGGTATGGATCCCTAACAGAACACCTCATCCTACTGACCGCAGGAGATTTGATTACGAAAGGGATACCCCACTCCAGGACTTCTCCAGGAGGAAATGATACAACCTGAGATTGTATGCTATACTATAGGAATGGATCCATTATAAATATGCCTGAAAGGATCTGACAATGACTAGTCGGTACTCCAACAGATCAGTGGCGGCTTTGGGGTGGAGTGGCGGGAGTGAGGGGGGGGGGGGGGGGGGTTGGACGGAGCCCAGAACAGCAACGTGGATTGAAATGTCATTTGAAATATCCTCAACAAAACTCGAGATGCACCAATCATGGTACTTGTGAATGGCAAGGACTGGCTGTGCGATCTCCAATCTTATCCACCCTCCATATGATACAACGATGAGGGAATACATGTCGTGCTCTTGATCCCAAAATACTGTTGCTTGGGTTTGATAGGCTTTCAAACTCGGCCTTAGAAGTAAAAAGCACAATAGAATTACCCAGTTAACTCCAACAGATAAGACACAGTCGAGGAAAAAATATCTGGTGGAGCTTTGCGAAACGTAAACGTCGAAATGATTATTTATGTGCCCAAGTAAGTTGTACATAATGATCAAGTGTGCTCTCTTTATAAGGGCCAAAATACAAGACAGCAGACATAACAGAAGAGAAAAGCTTTGGTAACATTTTGTTATTTCTTTCCGTGAACCTGTTGACTTTTCTCGCCAAGTCATAGACAGAGCAAAGGAGCAAGGCTAAAAAAACTTTGTTTATTTTTTATCTTGATCTTGGTTGTCCAACGAGCTTGCGAATCAAGCTTTACCTACCATGACTGTTTGCACTCAGTGTTTCGTGCGGACACCGTGATTTTTTGCTTTTAGAATATAATTTCGCAAGGGGTGGGTTTAATTCCCTGCATCATTATACCCGTGACATGCTCAGAAATATATCATCTTGCGCAATTTCCTCAAATATTTAAAATACGGTAATCGATTAGTTTAGATAGTGCGGGTTCTCTTGAGTAAATTTATTTTTGTATTAAATCATGAAAAATGATAACACAAATGCTTGTGTATAAACAAATGTATATTATAGCAATGGTTAAGGCACTAAAATATTGGTAGAGTATCGACCGTAAGGCTTTTAAGTGGCGTATTGCACCCGGAAGAAAGGAAATACCTTTGATAATTGCACTCGATGTGAAAGTCATGGCATCAACAAAATTACTCATTTGAAATTTCTATTATTACAGGTTCCTTCCGTTTTGTGTATTTGTCATACTGCTTAACCGTAATTCAATAGGAATTAAAAATGTCGGTGTCTGGTATCTTGAACTTGTCTCAATATCGCGGCGTCGTCTTTATGTCTAGGAGATGCATTACAAATACAAATATTTGATTCATTTATTCTGCTTTGAATGAAATATTTAAAATTTTTTTTAGAGGCGTTTATCAGATTCATGGTATGCTTGACATAATTTTTTAGTTTCTTTTTTTAAATTTCTTATCTTTGCTCATCTTAAGTAGATCCTTTTTTTCTTACCTAGGCCTTGACCTGTTCAGAAAATTAATTAATTTATTACAATTTATGTCTTTCGATCACGTGACTCTTCCACCGCCGCTGGGCAAGCTGTCAATCAAAATTGAACGTAATGGTATTCGCTAAACACAAACGGAGAGGACATGAAAACTTGAATCTTTGACTTATGAAAGTGTTAAGATTTGACCTCATACGGTCTTCCTTGTTCATCTGTTTGCTTCCTTGTACAATGATTTAAAACATGCTAGAAGTGGAAACGACCGAAGTGGGATTTCTGACGCTGTAGGATGTCTTCCTCTGTGAAGGCAATATTTCCGTCCATCTCGATCAGCAAGAAGAAGGGAAAGACAACCTCAGGAGGAACACCGCAGACTTCAAATGCACAATCACAGTCTCTTTTGCGGCCCTTGACTCCGGTGTGTTGCTTTTAAATCTCTCACGTTTTGAATCCTGTGATCTGGGTTATTTCAAATAGGCGTTGAATGATTTTTTTTTGTTGTTCTAAGGAATCTAATCGCAAGCCGCAGCAGACTGCATCAAATCCGATCGATCCGCTCCGAAGTACCCTAACTGCTCGAGGATCTTCGCCGATTCCTTCTCCGTCGACAGCACGAAAGACAGCCACTGGTGAAACAAACCCTTTAGCACTCGAAAATGGATCTCAACTGAGTCAGTCGGCTCCGGATTTGAGGCTCGGTTTTAGGCATGTTCGGAGTGCTAGTCAACCTTCGGGTACATCTACAACTTCCCACAGGGAGTCATTTTCTTCGGTGACATTTCCAGATCGTAGTAATTCGGTCAATAGTGATACTGGCTATTACAATGAAACCGCAGAAGAGCCTATGATTCTACAAGAAGATATTATAGCTTTAACCTGCCACGTTCGAAAGTTTTCCGAAGCTTTGAGCTCGCTTCGGAACACTTTTATAGAATGCGAAGGTAAGGATGTTTACAAAGGCGCCCTTCCAGTTGTGTACTTGTTTATCGTCAGTTCACATTCATTCGAAATTGCTAATCTTGTGCACAAACTGTGAGTGGGAATAATTTCCATGTTATCAACCTTTGTAGAAGTTAATATTTTTCGCTGATCCGAGAAATACCTCTTACTTCTTAATTTTTCTTTCATTATATCGTAGGAGATTTCAGGAACAATTTCATCCAAGCATATTCAGTAATTAAAATTAGGGGTTATACTTTAGAGGATGTTTTAACTCTGATTGCTTGTAATCACCTGTTTGAATCCTAAAATAGGGACATAATAAGCGACTTTTTATTTTTTCTCGATTTAGCGGTGTAAATCTTTTATTTTTGTTTCTTGACGCAAAAGAATGAAGGATTATTACATCATTGACGCCAGTGATTGGTTTTAATTTCATAAAATCACGTTCATGCAGTCACGATTTTTTATACCATTCCAACGTTTTTTCATCAGGAAATTAATTACTAGAATTGAGAGAGATTGATATCTAAATCAAACTCTTGTGCTTTGAGAATATCTCGACAAGTTATTCATTGCAATTGTAAGATTACTTGTATCCTGCTTTTTCTGACGATTTCGTGCAGAACATGTTTAAAAATTAAGCTAGCGGTTTATCGAAAGTATTGCTGGTTTTGTGTCATTGTAAAATTTTTCGATTTTTCCCTTTGTGTATGCAATTCATTCACAGTAAAAATTGTGGTTTGTGCTCAAACTTTGTTTTCAAACTATGGCAAATATCTTTCTGCAAATTTACTTTGATATTGCTCTGTTATACATTGCTCTGAATATACCCTGCCTAACTCCTAAATCATATTGATGTAAGACATTTTTCCATAACATTAGGATTTAGGAATGTTTATTTTGGAGCTGTCTGTCTAAACGTCTTTTAATTTGATTTGCAATACTCATTCAAAGAACAAACGCAGGGATTTTTGTGTGATTGTTTACTTTTCAGCAAATACCTCAATAACCACATTGCTGCACTGCAAGTGAAAGGAATTTGCTGCTATTTTTAAACTGCTGTTAATATCATAGCCAATTTTCATAAATGATGGTTTTGATTAGTTCTCTTCAGTCAAGAACATTCTCTCCTTCTTTGCCTTAAGTTGTCTGTAATATTGTGAGAGTTTGTGTAGTTATAAAACAGAATTCTAAATCCAACAGTCTCGAATATGATGACATAGAGCATGTATTTAACATGAGAGAGTGTTAAGAGATTGTTGTGGAAATTTGTTATTACCAGACCAGACATTGTGAATGATGTTTACTAAATCATTGGTTGTTTGTGTGTTACAGGGAACAATCCTTATTATTTTCAAACTTTTCTTTTTTCAATGTTTTGGTTAATGATACATGTAACATGCCATGACAGTTCTTGATTAGGTGTTCAGGAATGCATCTTCTCTTTGTCTCTTGTGGACAAGTTTCCCCTGTTTTTTTTTAAGTAGAATTTAAAAAAAAAGCCTCCACTGTTGGGTGTATTTTCTGTGATGTTTTCTTTTCTGTGCGAAAGCAAGAAATACTCGGAGTCTCTCAGTCACAAAGATGCATTCAAAATGTAAGCTCTAACATACACTCTCATTCAAGACAAATCTCATTCAAGTTTAAAATTTTATCCTAGTTGCATTGCAAATTGGAAATTGCATTGCATACAACTAGTCTTAGAACATTGGTGTAGGGAAATGTTAATAGAGTATTATTCAGATTCTGTTTTTGACACTAAATTCAGTTCATTTAACTAATGATTTTGCTTTCATTTGTAGATAATCCTGACAGTGAACCACCTGAGGTGAAAGCCCATGAACGCCTTGGTGAGGTGCTGTCAGTTCTTAAAGGAGTCCTCAATACTTACGAACCACTACACTCAACAGAAATACTTGCATCTGCTGGAACACTGATTAATAAGGTCAAAAGTCACAACTATGAGGATACTAGTAAACCCCCTGATGAATTCTATGAGTCCATTGATCAGCTTGCATTGGCATTCAGCAGCAGGTAAATTGAGATGTTGAAATGCCTAAAAATAAGACAAGATAGAGCAACATTTGTTGAATGTCTTGTTATAGCTTCATTTATCAACCTTTGCCTTCTTGTTACTTATCTATCCCAGTCCCTCCCTCATAATTATACCACCTTGAGGCAAGATGCCTCTCCAGCTTCTAAGGACAAAACATTAATTCTCCATCCTGTTTGGTGTATGATTCTTTTTACCTTTTAAACCCAGAGAGTGACTTGCATCTAATTTCTCTCTACATTATCACTGCTGCATCACAAATTAAGGTCATGAGAATAAAGGAAATGATCACTTACTTAAGATGATCTGGACTGTTAAATACATTCTCCTTGTCAGCACTTCAGGAAATTTATAGAGAGCAGTTTGGAGAAATGTATATTGATGTTAGGGTGTAAAGAGTTCATCTAAGATCTGAGAATTTGGCCTTAAATCAAAACATCCTCAAGGTTATTTTATTCTTGCATGGAAATGTATCAATATTGTATGGAGAATTTTGTGTTTGGTCACTCTTGAGAACCTAGGGTTAGTAGTTTTGTGTAACTATCATCATTTATACAGTTAGTGATGATTGTAGTTTTCCTTCAGAAACAAATTAACTTGGATCAACCCTTCAATTCTTGGCATCTGATTATAAAATCTCTGTAGTAGCCGCCATTCATTTCTTTGAGAATTAATTTGAGAATTTGATATAAATACTCTTCAGCTGAGGAGTATGTTTATTCTCAACACTTGTTTCCTTGATGTGGTATTGATAATTGAAAATTAATGAAGTTACTTGTTGATTGCTTTGGGAATTAAGGGTTCAATATCCTAAAACTGTGGAGTTCAATTTGAACTACCATTTATTGCACATTTAACTGAAGTTCCACATTTCTGTACAGTTATACAGTTCTTTTTTTCTCAAAATATTTAAAAGCTGGTAATATTTACAGTCATGCATGCAGGACAGCATCTATACATGGCTTACAATATTTACCAGACTTCTCATGGGAACAGATAGGACAGCAAGAAACATTGACACCAGCTGTGATAATTCTATTAAATCTGACAAATTCATGTTAAGAAGGAGGGTTCAGTTCCTGTAGTTACATGGTATATAAAGACTGATGACTGATGCAAAACAGAACCTTGAAATGGAGACATTTGGATGATTATAATTGATTATAGACCTTGAGGTTCTTAACCTTTTCACTCCCAAGATCTGATTGTTAATTCCCCTTTCCAGCTTCAATGCATTTCCTTGTAAATTTGTTTATGAGAATTTGCTGTCAGATCAAGATAATTGAACTTGTTTACCTGATAAGTTTGAGTATTCTCATCACCTGTTTGCAGGGTAATGTATAGATACACAAGAGATAAGTTACATGTTACTCAGGTGTGGATGTATGGTGATTATGTGTTTCTTGTCCTTTTTTCTAGTGTGTCTGATTTCCTTATGGGTGAACAGGATATTGGTTTGTCAGAACAAAGCATGAATAAACATTATTCACAAGTAAGTGATTGTTTAAAAAGTAGTGGTCAATAGATTGCTACTTCCCAACCAAAATAAACCTCTCACAAAGTGTACTGGCTGACTATTGCTTCTTTAGACACCTCAGTTGCAAGAAATACAATCTATGAATCTATACTTAACTGATGTCCATGGAATCTATGAGCAAATGTGTTGTGATTGATTTACTGTTACACTTTGCTTTTCACCACTAAAAACAAGCTATTTATATTAATTTATTTTAATTTTATATAAATTTATTGTTATTTATTGGTTTAAAGCTAATGCTTCTCATCTGTAACTGTTCAGACTAGTGAGATATTTTTATTTGTCTAAGTTCATGTGTATATTCTCCAAAGACCTCTTCACAGGATAAAATGTGTTCCTTGTTTAGTGATTCTCCAGTACAACATTCAGTGACAAAATCAGTTGTCAAACTTTTTAGAATACCTACTTGAAAAAGACCATGTTTGAAATGAAAATTTTTCAAATGTATGCTGTGATACTATAGCCATTCACCTCATTCAGTGTTGTGCAATCATAGACTGAAGGGCAAAATCATTCTTTCATTTAGTATGTTTTTGACAAAGGGTTTTTAATTTTTTTTTTTGCTGGCTGTAAATCTTTCAATAGTTTATTTTAAGGTAAAAGCATTATTTTGGTTCCAGTTTATTGCTGCTAACAATGAATTTCAAGATAATTCTCTCATTCTATGTGATTTACCTTTGATGGTGGGGAAAAGGTCCTTACTCCTCCTCCAACCTGCCCCCTTCTGCTGAGGGGCATGTAGAGTTAACCCCAGAAATCTGCTCAGAGCCTTTAATTTTTCAAATTCTATGTTTGGGTGAGCAAAAGGTCCTAGTTTCCTCTGGTGAAATATTTCTCAAATCTGGCTGTTTATGGGATAGGGTATTTAATGAGTGTAGAAGTCAGTGCCTATGCAGGCAGGCATGGAACACACCCCTTCATAGAATTCCTTCAGAAACTCCCTTTCAAATTTTTTTTATAGTGATACGCATGCTGTAAATCTGCCTTGTACACTCATTGTTTAGGTTTTAGAAGACATGAAACCTTTGTGACAGAACTTGTCACTAAATCCTGTCTTCTACCAGAATATCTGTGAGGAGTGTTATTTAGTAGCAAGTTTTTATAATCAGATAATTTTTTCTAGTATAATTTATCTGCAGCCTAATTCCTCGTGGATAGATTTCACTAGGCATTTCTTTTGCATTCCACAAACTTAAAGACATGAAATACTAGATGTCTTATTAAGAGATATTATTTTTAAGCTTTCCTGATTAAATATGTTTGAGCAACTGACTTTGAATATACCTGACATGTTTTGTTTGACCATTTACAATTGTATTTTGGGTTTGTGATTTGTTCTTTAGAAAGGAACAAGGTAAAGAATCATCAAGGTGTTAAATAGTGATTGTCATGGCCAATTTTGTGTCAAATTCCATTTATGAGTGTCACTGGATGGTTAAACAAGCTGTTAGCACCAAAAACATGAAACAGATCTGATGTTCTTGTGGTCAGATGGCATTTAGAGTGTAGGGTTACACACACATTGTTCATACATTTCATATTTTTAGCATCCCACGAAAGAATTGAAATATTTCTTGGCCTGTGGAATGATAATTCAAGGATGGGATTTTATGCACGTGTGAATGCAGTGCTTAAGTTTCGGGCTTGATATGAACTGGAGGTGTGAGATACATGAGTTATCTGCAAATTGCCAATGAATTCAAGTGGAACAGAGCTGTCCAAATGGTGCTAATTTTGGGAAATTCTTTTGACGTTGACCCACATGATACAAATACTTTAATGTCATTTCTAAGAAGAAGAACTCGTCTTCAATGCCTTTCCCCACGGACAATAAGCTACATTGTAAGTGAAATTTTTCAGTTATTGACATTTTCAGTATACAAGTCTGTTGTCTGAAGTGTAGTCTCTTTTAAAGCAAGGATAAGAGCATGATTTTCCCGTATTGTGTTGAAACATCTTGCAATCTGTTTCATACAGTATGACCATAATTCAAGAATATTATATTTCTCTCTAAGTACATGTACTTTACTAAAAAAATTACCATCACGATATTACAGAATGTATCCTTGATACAGCTTTTTCTAGTTTCTAAATATGCTAGGTTGGTTTGTTTGTTTGTTTGTTCTGGCAAATAAGTATGAAACATCAGTGTTTTAAACTTGATCAATTGCCAGCTGTTTGACAACACTGACAACAACATGCATTTGTGAGGTCAACTTGACAAGGCTCTTTTGAAGTTACATGTTGATGAAGCTGATGGTGTGTTTCTTTATTTTATCTCAGTGGTTTGATTTGCTCCATATTCTTGTACAAATAGTTATGCAAAGAGATAATAAATGTGTTCATTTTGATTTCACATAACACTTTATTTATAAACCTTTTTTTCATGTTTTCTATGCAGTAGTTAGTTTTGCTTGCCTTTTGATGATGATTTGGACTATTGAAATTATTCAACAATAACTATGGAAATGTCATTATAAAATTTTGTGTTTTGTGTGATTCTTTTTAACCCCAGGTTCATTTTATTTCATTTGATTCTTTCTGCCAAAACAAATATGTAAAATTTCGAACCAAGGATAGAATTAGATGAGTGAAAGTATTATTATATAGTAATTGAACAGTACCTTAAGCTACATTGTGAGAAGAAAAATTGTTCATAGCTGTTCCTGAAGGATCTGAAACATTTGTAAAGAAATCAGCAGAAGATTTGGATCTGCTTCTGTGCTCAACTTTTGTTCACAAACAAGTGTGATTGTTATCTTCATTAAAAAATACAGAGAGTTATTTTCACCTTGTTCAAGGAAAAAACAGAGTGAACTCTACTAGTTTATGATCCTGATCTGGCAGCCTTTGCCATGTGATCTTAAACAATCTTTTGATGAGCTTCTGCCATGGAAATTTGAATATTATCTTCTAGATAATGTTGACAAGGATGTTGTGACTGCCTTGTACATTTAGGGATACATGTTTTGATATGTTAATCTTTGCCTCTTGACCTTTCATTTTATAATATTAGGTTTTTCATGTATTGTCTTGGTATTACTTCTCCAACAGAAAACATCTGGCCGGATTGAAATTTGAAAAAGTTTTGCTTCAAAAGATAAATTTGTAGCAACTGACCAATTTACATTCTAGGAAACTTTGGTTAGAATGCACATGATAAATGCTTTATCAGGAACTGATGAAAGGTCTTTTCAATTTATCCTCCATGAGGGCAAGTACACTCCTGTCAGGGAGAGACCAAGTATTCATGAATTATGATTGAGTTGAAGCAAATAAAGATACTCTTCTTCCTCCTTGTGCTTGTCATTTAGACCATGGAAAATATTGTTATTGATTTCCAGTCCATGCTTTTGATCTTAATATGTTAACAAAAGACTATATTACAAGTTCTCAAATATGTGCTAAAACATATGACATGTACAACTGTAAACAGTGCCTTTTGAGTCAATCATGGTATAGAATAATGATCTAAAGGAGAGTGTGATATCAATTGATAAAGGAACTTACTGTGGATGTTTTCAGAGGAAAATAACAAATGTCACTGACATTTGTGAGTTTATTTTGCTACTAGTTTGACTACTTGAAAGTGAAATATGAGTGGGTGGAAGTGTGTGCGACTTTTGTGGTGAGTGTTATGAGTGCTGTGATAAATGGAGGGTCAACACAATGGAGATAACTTAACAAGTATAGTGACCTGTGATTAAAAGGACAGGTAGATGCAATCCCCAATAATTCCTTGTACATTGTCTAATAGTGTGCAAGGAATTGTACTTTATTTAAGGTTCAATTCACTTTTGGAAATAAGAACATTGCACTCTGTGCTGGTAAATAATGCTGTTTTTTCTCATCCGCTCTTTTGTAAATAATGTTTGGTGCTGTATGGTGAAATTTGTTAGTTTTTACATCACAGAGAAATATGCATATTGCATGGAAGTGTGAACATGTAACTTTTCCCCAAAATATTTGTTCAACATCCAGCAAACAGGTTATAAGAATATGCAGACTTATCAGAGCTAACACCAAATTCTTATAACTAATGTACAAAGAAATGTGGAGCAGTTACATGTAGAGGGGAGAGTTAACAATCAGATCTTGGGAGTTAACCCTTTTACTCCTTACTATCAACCATACGATTCCTATAATGTTAGTTCAGAGGATTTAATATTGGATCAATTATTTATCCCCAATTTGATATTTTTCCTTTTTTCTTATCACTTAGCTGAGAAATTCTGTCTTGGTCATTCTTGGGAGTTAAAGGGTTAAATGGTTGAGATTTTGTACTGTGCTGTGTAGTGAAAGTTGTTATGCCTTTTTTTTCTTGTAATTCACCACATCTATAAATAATGTGCAATGTTGTTCAATGGAATTTATTAATTTAATGTCACAGGGATTTATAGAGATGATTGATTTTAACTTCACTTTGGTCATTCACCCATCAATTACAAGGCAGTGTCCAGCTCTCAAGGGGATTATAAATGGGAGAAGAGTGCTGTGCTTGTATGTTAGGAAAGTTACTGCTATAAATTTCTTATGAGCTCAACATTTCTAAATAATTTAATTGAGTTTCTGTTGGTGATGAGCTTGTCGTTTTTTTTTCTAAAACTTTTGAATTATTCATACCCTGATCTAATGTATCCATTGTTTGTTTACTTCAGTCATTGGAAGACTTTGGTGATGATGATGATGAAGATATGGATGAGAGAGGTTATGATGAGGATAATGAAGATGACCAGGATGAAGATGACAGAAAAGCTGTGGAAAAGAAAGAATCAGGTAAAAACACTTGTCAGAACAAAGAGTGCAACATTGTAGAGAATTATGTAGATGTCTGAAAATGTGAGACATCCTATCATTGACTGAGTGCTCATGTATGCATGTGGTTAAATGCTGAGAGGTTTCACTGACATAGCAGGCATTACAACCTGCACATAAAAACTTGTAAACCACATTTTAGATCATGCTTTCTTAACTTTTCAATGTTGTAAGATGGATTCAAAGAATAGATATTAATCATGAAGTGATGAACTATGAAACGCTCACACAACTTTATATTTTATTTTACAAAACAGAAAATATTTTTCTTTTCCTTTATACTAATTGGCCCTTGGTTTGCTTTACTTTGAACTAAAAAAATATTTTGAATTGAGGTCAAATTGAAAACTGTACTTTTGCTATCTTTTCTCAAATAAATCCCAACAAGGTTTTTTCTATTGCAGTGAATTAATTATTTTTATTTGTTGATTTGGTTTTTGGGTCACAGTTGACACTTCGGCAGAGAAGGCTGATGAGCTGGATCGAGCTTTGATAATGCTTGAACATGGAGTAGACATTGCAATGCAGGTTGGTGAAGTTACACATTATTCTGTGTGACCTCTGATTTGATTCTTTTTGTCAAGTTAAGACTTTGATTAACTTTCTGTAGATTAAAATGGTGGAAATTTATTTTTGATTATTTAGATAATTTATTTTATCGTTTCTTTTTTGTTAAATTGCTTATGATATTGTAGTTACTTCTGTTCTAGAAACTGCATCCCTTTGTAATTTATTTTAATTTCCAATAATGTATTGAGAGAAAGTTTTACTTAATAAGCCATCCTTGTTTAACACTCAATTTTAAATACTTATTTCAAAGAGATTCATTTCTTTTTTACCAGAGAACCAAAATTTGGGCTAAGTACTCCAAGGACATAGAAACATATGTTGACAAAAGAGCTCACCTTGGTAAGTGAAATGTTTTCTTTCCCTTGATAATTCATGTTATTGTCAAACTCAGAAAATCATCAATGCCTGAAATATGTCTGGAATGGTTATTAGATTATGGCCAATTACAAGGGAGATCAGGACATATAATTATGTGTGATGCTTGTGGTAGACTATGTTAAAAATTTACTTGTTGTGAAGTTGATAACTGATAATTCTATTTTTGCACCAAAGTTAATCAGAAAAGCTGACTTCCCAACACAAACATCACTTCCCTTCTTCAAATTAGTTGGTTCTCAATTCTTATTACATTTAACCTTCCTTGGCACTTTTACCACATTCCTTATGATTCTCAGTTACTTTTACAACTGATTTTCACATTTCACACAAACAGCAGTTTCCAACATAAACACCTCCACGTGTCTTGGTAAACCACATAATCATCCATGACTTCTCTCCCTGACTGACTTCTACCTTTACACCCAAATATCAGCATGCATTTTCTCCTCACTGTTCTCTTTACATTTCCTATGGCACTAACCAGGAGGATTTGTTTAACAATCAAAAGCTCTCTCAGATATTTATGATTTCCTTTAACCTTGTGACCTACAAGTGTGATTCAGCAGTAATAATGGAAAAAGATTTCAGATGCTACTCACTTGTAGAGGTTAAAGAGTTATTTTGCTTGACACATTCAAACATGTTTCTAGCGTATATGGTTTTCTGAGTTTTGCTTTCAAGATTTAATTTAAGATTTATGTGTAGATTTTCACTCTTCCATGTGTCATTTTCTGTGCATTTACTTGTAGATGACTGAACTACAACTCTACATTATCCACTTACCCTCAAAGATTAATGGTCAATGTACTTTTGATTTGATATTTTAGAGTTGGAGTACACAAACAAACTCTCAAAACTTGCACAGACAACAAGAACAGCAATTGTAGAGGAGGTGAGAATATTTTGGGACATGTCTCATAAGTATGTTGTTTTGCTTTGTAATATTGTTTGGCTAAATCCTGGATATTTTCCAAATCATCAAAGTTTTTATGCCTGTGTATTTTTTTTCCAGAATTACCTGCCTTTTCAGTCTATTTACGTGACAGCCCTTGATCAGGTGAAGAATGAATCATTATATTCTAGAATGTAATAACATTTGAAATACTATATACACAGAATATCAAGTAATAAAATATTGGCAATTAGATTTTAACAGACTGGCCAGCTTAGACTGGAACTACCTATTGGTTGAATACTGCATTTGTAACACTGTAAATCAAGAAAAGTGAATATTTTTGTCACATACATGTAAGGTTTGTAACCAATTTCCATTTGTTTCTCCACCCAAAGGACATTGAATATGCTGAGAATGCCAGCAAAACATATGCAGCCCTCTTAGCAAGCCGGTTTATGGAGGTTGGTAACTTGATACCTTTGACCACATTTTGGTATTTGTGAAGGTCTTGCTTTGCATATTGGGTTGGGGCTGCCAAAGGCTTTCCATAGAGCATTATTTCTGGTGTATTATCATGATCAGTCATTTGTTTTCAATGGACAACAGAAAGAAATATAGAGAAATTCAAAGGGCCCACATTTCCACATTAAGCCCTCCCTTTCAATAGGTTCTTGTCTGAATGGTGTGGACACAACCAATCCTCAGGGTGATTAGAGATAAAGAGATTTACCAGAGCTTATTAGAGCATTATATTGCATCTTACTGTTCTTTATGTAGCCTTTAACAGCAAGAAGACTTAAGCATGAGAAAATACGAAAGGACCTGAAGGATAGCTGGGCTAAATCGTGTAAGAAACTGGTAAGACACGTACAACATAATTAGTTTTGATCTGTGCAACATGTCAAGCGTCTCTGTTCATTATCTTATTTGTGGCTAATTTTCCCCTCTATTTCTATTTTATAAAGAATGAGGCAGCAGCAAATCTTAAGAAGGCAAAATCTTTGTACATCCAGAAACAACAGGAACTAGAAAAGGTTTGTATAGTTAAGTTTGTCAATAATTTGTTTTGGCTATGTTAAAAACTTGATTTTCCACCTTCCTCCATGATCAAACCTTAAATTCTTCTCACTCACTTGGGAGAAAATCCTCTTGCCATAAGCGGAATATTGTGAATATAATATTGTGGAATATTGTTTGTGATGTAGCTCTTCCTATAAATATTATCTCTCTGGGTTCTTTAAATTATTTTTGTAAAATGAGTGTAGACCCCTTTTATGTGCAGCTGCTTTGTTTGTGATCCATCTCATCAGAATGCTCATGTCATCATTGTTAACTCTTATTTCCTAGTGCTTTGGAGAACTTTATATTTGTATATATTTATATACCTCTATTCTCTTGGGTGGGTGCCTCACATGGGTCCAGGTGTCCCGTCTCTATCTTCCCTTTTGGGCGATTTTGGCGGTGTGGTAGTTTTTTTGAAAGGCTCTGTCGTTTGATGAAGGGCTGATCGTGGCATTTGTTTATCGCTTTTCCCTTGAGAGTCTCGTATGTGGTGTAAATCGCCAACGAGTTCTGTTGCTGGTTAATTAGTGGAGTATCCTACAACGATATTTTATGTGGTGGGGTCCAAATTCTCATTGTTAACTCCTTCTTTACTCCACGATTATTTGACATCTTTCTTTTTTGGGTGAAATCTTTTTAAACATATTTTATCTGTTTTTATGTCCAAACCAGGAAGAGTCAACATTCTCACGCGGAACCAAGAAGAAAGAAGGTGATATCAGGAAAGCTGATGAGGCTGAGGAGATGTACAAGTCTTGTGTGGTAGAAGCTAATGCAAGGCAGAAAGAATTGGAAAATACCAAAGCAAGTATCCTGGTGGAATTACGTCAACTTGTCTATCAATGTGATATGACAATGAAAGCGGTACGTCTTGGACCACACCCTCTGAGTTAACCTTTCCTTGCCACAGGCGCTTAACTTTGACCTTTGGGCCATTTATTTAAATTTTTTTTTACGGAGACCTTCAAGAACAGAACAGTCCATATTTCTGCGACAGGAGCCCTTAAGCACTGTGTGATTTTTGTAATAGCACAACCTTTGGTAACCTGTTAACTTAACAAAGATGGCAAAAAGAAGAAAGCTAGTTTTACCTTTGAAAGCTCCTGACTAGTTTTAGCAATACTGTTATTATGAAGCAAATATTACTTGTTTATTACTTATGACTTTGAATAATTCTCTCGTTAGGTAACATGTAACTATTTCCAGATGATGAATGCGCTTGTATCACCCGGCCCAATTCAGTTCCAGACTCTCGCAGAAAGCAGTAGGAATTATGAACCTGGAAACCAGTTCGCCGAATTCGTTCGTCTGCAACAAGCCAATTCACCTCAAGCTGTTGAACAAGTCTTTCAGTTTGAACCGTACTCTGCAGGAAAGTATGTACTTTTTATTTTACAACTTTGTAGAATTATTATAGAATAATGCCTGTGTTGACAGTTTTCAGCTCCACTTGTGCTTGATTTCCGCGTTAATTAGAGCCTATAAAATTCCTCAAAATTTAAAATGCGAAACTGTCACAGACAAACCGCTCAAACTAGAGGCTAAAAGCCTGGTGCGTATGACCCCTAAACTGATTGACTAAAGTGATTAACATGTAACTTCTCCTTGCAATTCCAATAGGTCACCTTGTAAACAGGTTATGAGAATAGACAAGCTTTTCAGCTAGCGAGTTTCCTTTTAGAACGAGACCGAATTCTAGTTTGATCTTGGAAGTTAAAGGGATAATTAGATGTGCTGTTTTCTTGCTCTCGTTTTTCCAACACATTCCCATAACTGACCTTCAGAATGTGTCAGAAACAAACCGTGTCATTGCCTTTTTAATGTTTCAGCCCAGACAGAGGATCACAGACTCCGTCACGCCACAACTCCTTATTTGATTCACGTTACATTAATACCCATTCTTCTGTGGAGGAGACAGCGAAGATTTCATCACCATTTACCTCTCGCCGTAATAAAAGTCTTCAGCTGCACAGTGTACGGGGTGTAAATAGCTCGCAACAGCCGATCAATGCCTGGAGTAATCTAAAGGAACACAACAGTGATGGTGACAGTACAACTAGTCGATCCCTACCAGGGTCCCCCTCAGGTAGCCCGACCTCAGACCGCAAAGCCAACATTCCTCGGGCCCAATCCTTAGAGTTGATCTCATCTGATGATGCGGATAACAAAGACGAGGGAAGAAGTACTAATGGTGAGAGTTAGTTCCCTGCGTTACAGGATTAAGCGCAAGCCAACATGGTTAGATTTAGGAAGATGTTGGTCAATCATTAATGAGGAAGGATTCTGTGAAGCAAAGTGCTGTTGTGATACACATATTATAGTAATTTTGAAAGATACCCTAACTGTTATGATGTAGCTCCTTTAAACCTGGGGCTCACCGAATGTCTTGTTTTAAGGACGTGTAAACCAAGGCTCCGATAGAAGACGTAAACCCAAGGACCGCCCATCTGCGGGTCCCTTCCAGAATATCCGTCTGTCACCATCAGCAAAGACGCACAGGCTGAAGAAACTCCGCTCGGCCTCAAAGTGTCGTGAGTGTGACAGTTATGTGTATTTCAACGGTGCAGAATGTGAAGTATGTGGTCTGACTTGTCACAAGAAGTGTTTGAAGGGCCTCCAAATACGATGTGGAAAATACTCGGTAAGGAGAATAAAACAATTCTTAGACTATTTATTTTTAGTTTTGTACTCTTGTACTGATGACTCGTACTTTTCTCAGATTTTTAAACCTCTCCCCAACAATAGATCGAAAACCGACCCTGGTATACTCTACTAGTCAAGTTATTTATGGTTCGAGCCGTCACAGACAATTTTGTTGGCTAATAACTCGTGCCTTTGTAAAGGCTGTTAACCATTTCACTCCCAGATCTTGTTGGTAATTCTCCATACTATCTGCATACAATTCCTACAATGTTAATTTGGAGAATTTGGTATTAGATCAACTTAAACCTTTTTTCTTTATTCTCATCACTTGTCTGCTCGATATTTAAATGATATTGTAAGGAGAAATACTCTCTTGGTCACTGAGGAGTTACAAGGTCAAGCGAATGTTTCCTCTCAAAGAGATAATTTTCTGATTTGGAAACCTTTTAAATAGCTATAATTAAGCCCAAGGGACTGACACGGTTTTGAATTTGTATTAAAAAATAAATTTGCTTTTTATAGCACTTTTTATAGTATTATAATCTTTTTCGTTTTTTTACAGAATGGCCAAAGGCGCATGACAACGTTTGGAGTGGACATCAATCGACATCTCCAACATTCGACCACTGATGAGGAAAACATACCTCACATTATCTCATCATGTATTGATGAAATTGACAATCGAGGTACGAAGTCCTTCTGAATCAGTTTGCTGTACTGTATTTGAACACTTGGTTATTTGATGTTAACTTGTTTCGCTTCTCTGCAACGAGATGTGCCCTCACCACTTCCCTGCATCCTCCCCTCCCACTGCGGTTCGTCATGAGGATGACAAAAGAGCGAAAAGGAAGGGGGTGGGTAAGGCCGATGAATTTGTTTCCTTCTTACTTCCCCTTCATTAGTTTGTCCGCTCCAGGCTCTTCCCGATCCTACTGGTCCAAAATGGCGCTCGCCAGAAAAAATGGCTGTTTTGTAATCTTATTTTTGGTCCAAACGAATAGCAAGCAAAATATCCTCTGAATTAAGCTTAGAGTTGGCTCGAACAACTTAAACAACCTTTTAGGTTTTGATCGCTCATTTACGTGTTTTTTTTTCTTAATTTTGTAGGTCTTGATGTCAAGGTTAGTTCTTAATGTCCTGTAGATTTTTCTGTGCGGCCCTTGAAATGTTGTTATTGCTTTTTGGTTTTCTTTCTTATCCTTCAAGTCAACTGAGACAGTTCTGATATCTTTCAGGGAATCTACCGAGTGTCTGGAGTCAAGTCCAGAGTGGAGAAACTTTGCCAGGTAATGTAACCAAAACATCCAGCTTTCCATACAGTTTTGGATCAAAAGGCCTCTTCTTAGCCTGATATTGATCTTCCTAAGTGTGTTTTTATGTCTGCAGTCGTTTGAAAATGGAGAATACCAAGCTGATTTATCAGATACACCGCCTCATGTCATAGCTGCTGTTCTTAAACTCTACCTGCGACAGGTAAGCAAACTTAAGTCTGTACCACCCCTCCCATCTTATGGCACTCGACCAATCAATTAGCTCTTTTAAACGCATGCTCGTTGCCATTACGGTTCTGCGCGTTATGGATCTTAAGTTTGCTAACTTGATTTAGCGAAAGACTGCGTTTTTCTTATTTTCAGCTTCCAGAGTCGCTTTTAACTGTCAAGCTATATCCGGAATTCATCCGCGTTGCTAAGGTGAGATTCATCAGATTAGCTTTACCCTCGCTAAAAATTTTGTTTTTTAACCCACGATGGTCCTGTTTTTATCCTTACAGGAGAGCTTCGCGATCATAGATAACTCCACGACATGCAAGGCAGCTTCGGGAAACGAAGATATCCAGGAAGAGTACCAAAACCTTATTGGAAAACTTCGGGAAGTCGTAATGCAGCTTCCGACAGCTAACCGAGTGACTGCGGCTCGTTTGATTAAGCATCTTAGGAGAGTTTCAGATCATGACGAATCGAATGCCATGCCTGCAAGCAATCTGGCAATCGTGTTTGGACCCACACTATTGAGACCAAAGTAAGAGAGTTTTGACCTAACTTAGAGAACAAGCGACAATCAGTGCGAAGAGTTTACATTAGAAACGGGTGAAAAGCTGACGGCCGTGTTAGGGTCCTGTGTCTTGTGTTGTTGCCACATTATGACTGTATTGAAGCTAGTATTGATGAGAACAGACAAAATCCTGCAGAAATACAGTTTATATGCCCCCACAATCAGCCCGTCGGTTACTTTGCTTGAGTCTCCGTTTTAACCCTTTACAGTTTAACATCAATATGCGGTTAGAGTTCTCCATATTGTTGTCTGTACAATTCCTATGGTACTTACAAGGATAATTTGGCTAAAAATCAAGCAGTTCTTGGGTGGGCAATTATATCCACTATTCTCATGACCTTAATGTTTGATTCACGGCGATACTGTTGATAGAAATTTGATTGTTATCACTCTTAGGCTATAAATGGTTAATTCGTATAAAACATTTCATGTTCATCTTTATTCTGCAGTGAAAACGACCAAGTAACTACCACGTTGTCTTCTCTTGTGGATATGCCTCACCAGACTCGCCTTGTTGAGCTGCTTATCACAAGTCCCGAGGTAAACAGAAAAAAAAATCTTAAATACATGAGCTAACAGTGTACGTACATCTCTCCCCAATTTCTTACGGTTCTGTCTGTTTTCGGACGATTTCGTACATGTCCGGTTATTTATGGACGGTTCCGTTAGATGCCGTACGGTTTCGCCAGTTGATGGACGTTTCTGGTGGTTTTCAGACGATGCTATTCAGTTTGTAACGAATTTTTTTTAAGATATTCTTGGTGGAGTAGTGTTTTTCTATCTGTACTCATCGACATGCACATCCAATTTAGGACGGTCCTGGCCTGCTACTAACTCAGCCATCACAATTTTTTTTTTTTTTTTTTATGTTGAAGGTATTTGAACATCCTGAAGCGGATGATTCAATATCACGGGAAAGGTCTGTAGAGGTGAGTGGCGCATGTTGTATATTAATTGTGTTGTCGCCTTACCCAGAGTTTCCAAACTTCTTTCTTTTACCTACGAGCCTACTCAAAATTTTCCATCTTTTTAACCCTATTTATAGTATATATTACTCAACCATTTAACTACCACGCACCAAGACAATTTCACTTCACGATATCAATACAAAATTAAGCAGGCGAGTGATGAGAGTAAAGACAAATGTCAGTTAGGGGATTATAAGTTGATCTAATGGCGAAGTCTCCTAAGAAACATGAGAATTGTATGGCAGACAGTAAGGAGAATTGTGAAATGTATGTTTGCAAGAGTTGCTCGTATAATTCATCAGTCTTGTCCTTCTTTCTCGGTAGAAATTCACTCCTCCCAAACCACGTGACAGAGAATGCAGTTTGGTTGTAATACAGAGTATGCGATCTGCTGGTAATGTCCTGTTCTAAAAATGAAATTAAATAGAGACCACATTTTGAACACTGACAGTGTTTCTTATAACGGATTGCGGAAAAAAGGATTCGTGCCTATTAGAGCTGTGTTCTATTTCGTGTCAGAAAAACAAACTAAAGTAATTTCAAAGTGCAAGAACTTTTAGACATAAGTGTAAGGTTGTTAATAGGTGGGGGGGGGGGTTGATTGAAATAGAGTGCCTTGGAAAACTAGCGCCACCCCATCATCCAATCATCGCTTTGGGCGCTTGTTCTCTCTTGAGATTTCAATAGCCCTTCAGGATGTTTCACTTCGTTCTGATGGGCCGTTGTCATTACTTTTGCTTTGGGTTTACGACACTCAATCGAAAATTGCTTTATCAAAGAATGTTGGGAAGTAATTTGCATTTCCTCTTTCTCTTTTTTATTTTCCCTTTTTTAGGAAATAATGCAGACGAGAGTTATGAGGCTGGGGATGAAGCTAGGTAAGCGAACAGACAGTTTATCTGTCTATTAAAAGTTAAGTATTTTAAGGCAGAGAGAAAGACAGATATGATACGATATGATAACTAAAATATCAAGTTGAAAGCCATGCAGAAAGCCAGTTCCAAGGAGAATGAAGTGGATTTTTTTGCTTTTGAAAACGCTCCTTAAAGAGCAGTGAATATTTGGTGGGTGGGGTTGGTGGGTCACGTGGTCTTCAGGGGAACGGAAGAGGGATCAGTCATCGCTAACAGAGTGTCAAGGGGGGACTTACGAAAATTGACTGCCGATGAGGGGGGGAGGGTCATTAGAATACTACAGAGCGTCATGAGGGTTCAGGTAAATTTTACTGTTACACAATCAAAATCCTCCTTCCCCAGACGGCTAATAATGACGGTCCTAATGAGGCTCAGGAAGAATTTGGAAATAGTATAACAACTCTCCGCTTTCTTTCGTAGAATGACTTGGTTTGTATGCAGTTGGATATTGAGTAAAAATAATCCATAAATTACTGATTTACATTCGTGTAGCTTGATCAACACACCAGACATAAACATATCTCAGCCTCACTCGGACCATTCTCCTGTTCGACGCAATTCCAGCTCCCCGGCGTAAGTACAATGCATGCGTGTCTTTCGTACGTAACACAATCTTCCTGCTCTACGCGTGACGTAACGCAGTGTCGTCACAGATTGTCACCATTCATTTTTCAGAGCAATCAACGCACCACAACTAAAGACCATAAACATACCACCGTCACCTTCGCCTTCAACGTAAGTGTGAAAATAGCGTAGTTTTAAGGTATATTTTCCTTTATTATTCTATTTTGTCCCCTTTTAAACTTCCCCTTGTGCTTTTGTTTACCTTCAGTAAGGTTTCAGTAATATGTGTGTATCGCATTTGGTCATTGAAATTACTGTATGTCTGCTTTCGTTATATGTCACCATTTTTAACGTCATTATATCATTTTGTAGTGACGAAAAAGTAGTGCATTTTCAACCCACGATTCCTCTATTCGCTCCGACAAAGAACCAACGCTCGAAACGTCAGCTTTAGAAACTCTTTATGGTGGTTAATTTACATTATTAACTCAGTTAATAAAACCAAATTTTCTTGTAATAACCCCCCACTTAAGATCGCTTCTGTTCACATTACGGAAACTGAGATAACTTGCGTTTGTGTTGGCCCCATTATACTAAGTGTGAACCTGACTCCGTGTTTCTTTCCCTAAAAGCCATGTCCCCTCAACAAGCGATCTCTTGGCTTTATTATTAGAAACTTCACTGCTCACCGCTATTAGTACCTCCAAGCACTCTGGAAGAATGAAGTCCCTATCTGTATTTGTGGACGAGGAAGGCAGGCTTCACTGTCGTTACTTATCTCGGAGTTGTTAGTAGCACTGAAATGGTTGGGAGAAGAAACAAAACGATAAATAGTTTCATTTAATTTGTTTAAACTGAAGTTGCACTGAGAGTTGCTCTATTGGTTGTATGCTGGACATTGAATAATCTATGTTTTTGTTCTGAATGTCTGCTGTGCCAGTGAATAGTAAGTTACCTAGCTTGGTGAAAAGACAGGTCACAGTGAAAGACGGAACAGGAGCCATTACTAATGGATGTATGCCGTTTTGTTTACAGGAGGAGCAGCCTTGGGTTTGGATCAGAGTTTTTTGAACTTCTTGCGAAGTCCAACAACAGAAGTGAAGAGGTACGGTGGCACATTTCTTTGTTTTGGGTTGTTATATTATTTGTAATAATAGCTACGGTAATTTTCAAACCTGCTTATCGCTTCGAACTCGAGTAAAGATAGAATGGTGCAGAGCTTTTAGAGATTCATCTCCTCTTTCTTCCTCCCTTTGCTTTTCAGCTGAATGATCGCGCGCATTACAGCATCCCAGAGTTCCTGTTGTCAGACTCGCCGCGTGAGAGAGTTGCCATTGATCGGGAAGATTCTGATATGGAGGATGAGTACGAAGATGATACTACACAAGGTCAGCGGGTTTTCGTTTTCATACAAGTGCTTAAAGAGAGGGTTGCGCTTATTTAAGAAAATAACTGTCAGTCTGGCCAAGAGGTTTTGTTGGTAATCTAACTTAAAACATGAAGGCGCACTATAAAAGGAGAGGTGCCGTCGGTACCTTTGGATTATTTGTCAATCAACCGTCGTGGCGCACAGGCCGCAGTAGTCAAAACAGCCTGAGCTGCCGCTGATCCAGAGCGAGTGAACAGCAGGCGGATTTCTCAAAAGCTCAAATAAGTTTTTATGTTTTTATTACCAGAAGAATTTGTTGATGTGGAGAATTAATTTAACAATCCAATTCACTTCTAAATGAAAGATTCAGCACTGTTACTATAAGGATAAATTAGATAATGATCACTATTAGGTTTAAAAGGTTAAAACCAAGATTATATATTTGATGTTTTGTGTCACTTTAGGAACAAGTGGATCTCGTACTCCAGACGACCTGCATTCTTCTCATTTTGGTGCTGCAAGACGTGTAGGCTCTCCACGGTCATCCAACGAAAACTTAGCCGACGATGATAAAGCCAACTCAACTCGGGAAGCATCGCTTTCGGTGATTTCTCGGAGTTCTTCGTCTTATTCCTTCGCTCCGAGCTTCAGTTCAGATTTCACCGATTCACTGTTACCCGATCTCTCCGATAGCGTTGGATCGGACAAGGCAAATACCTCGGGGGGCGTCGGGATATCCTCAAATGAAACGAGGATGTTAAATGGTCAGTCTGAGTTTCTCAATCGGTTATCTTCGGGGAACGTCGGAGTGGAACCTCGTCCACGAACTGTGGGTTTTATTAAACGAAATTCCGATCTTCCAGGTCGGGTTGGAAACATTGCAGACTACAGCAAGGAATTCTATCCAATCGGAATGAAACAGTCGTCTAGTGACTCTAACCTTAACAAAGACCCCTATGCCCTCGAGGAGGAGGTATCATTAAGAGCGATTTCTGAAGTTGCTAGTTCATCTTCCAACACAATAACCAGCTCGAAAAGCGAAGAACTTGAAAGAGATGATATCGTCGAAGGAGATGATCATGCTTCTCTTATCAACCAATTAAAGACTGTAATTGATATTGACTCTAAAGGGGCGCTCTTACCCGATGGGGTGGGAGATAGTTCGGTAATTAGCTCCGTGGATAGTACAGTCAGTCCTGTGCAGTCTTCAACTAAAGGGGAAGCAGAGGACGAAGTAGTCGCTTCCTCTCCGTCGCCACCGAGAAGCCCTGTTCAGTCTCCCTCCATCGAGTATAAAGATATTACGTTCACAACCTCAGCTGATGAGCCTGCTTCCGTTCGCGAGATTCCATCGGAGACGGGGTCACGTGAGCTAATTATTCCTGTGATGACAGCTTTGCAGGAAAGAAGACCTTCAACACCAAACTGTTCCACTGCGGAAGAATCGTCTGAGTCCCAGTCATCAGATAGAGTTGAAACTTCGGTCGATGTGACGCCTGAAAAGAAAGAAGTCGGTGTAGCTGACAATAAAAAGCCTGAAAAGAAAGGGACGCCTCGGTCCGCGTACAGCACACGGATGTCAGTCAAAGATCGGTTACTGCAGTACGAGCGAAATCGTTCGGTTAGCGTGGACTCTAATCGGAAAACTTCTTCGGAGCGATTTAGTCCGAACACTGTAGCGTCTCGAAAGCAGATATTTGAACAAAAAGAGCGAGGAATATACAAGCGCGTCAGTGACATGACAACTAGGAAGCCAAGAAGTGACTCCGGCGGTAGTGGATCGGGCTCGGCCAGCAGTAGTCCTAAGTTGTCAAGGAAGCGTCCCATTGATACCGACGATGGAGAAAGTTTGGAAAATGTCGGAAGCCAGGTGAAAAATAGGTTGGAAAATGATAAGCAAGACGAACCACGTCGACGGAATAGAAAGGAGAAATCGGAAAATACCGACCTTCCTCGAAGTTTGATTCTCGACAAACTTGATCGTCAGCGAGGAGGAGAAGTTGACTCTTTGAGACTTGATTTACACGACGGAGCCACTTTGTCTCCGAGAGAAATCGACTTTCCCACCGATAGTTTGGGTGCTGAAGATAAGAGTAGATCCGAAAGAACACGAAGAAGCCCGAATAATAGTCCGAGGTCGAGTCGGACAAGTGCTCGTTCTTCGTTTCCCGACGACAGTAAGGAAGAGGATCGAGAGCCCCAGTTTGTGTAATTTTTCGTTGTTCAATTGGTAATTAGCTTATATTCGGTCCAGAAGTGTGTGCTCGGGGTAAGCTCTGTGATAAAAATCACAACTTAAGACGAAATTAACGACGTTTCCCGTCCATATCGTGAAGAATGACTGAAGTAAGACTTTCGTTGGAACAGCAATCTTATTGCTATATGGTGACAGAAGTTTGATTCAAACATTTGAAGATCTTTTGCTTGATTGAAAAGATTTTTAATATTCTTTTGAATTTTTATGGGAACCTTTTAAAGAATTTTACCGCGACGGTTATCATTTCACCTGTTTTATTTTACTTGGCAATATCCTTGAGCTTGAGGAAACAACCCCACTATTAATCTCCTCTCGATATCAGTATGTTGTCAAGCAGAAAGGTGATAAGAATTCAGAATGGTATTTTTGGACTTAGAACCAATTTATTAGAATTAAAAGTTGGATATTGCAAATAGTAAGGAGGATTTATAATGTGATCTTTGGAGTTCATGGGTTGATATATTTTGTCGTTATACATGATCGTCAACCTTCAGAACATTTGACGTAGAAATGGGAAATTCGCGAATCTTGTTTTTAATATAAAACAACCTAAACTAGTTGTTATTGCCTTACTCTTACTGAAAAATATCCTCTTAACTGAATAGTATATTTTTGTACCCGTAGGTTAATCACGAATGTTTCATAGCGTTCGAAGCAAAATTTTCTTTATGGAGAATTAGATTAATTTTGTGTTAGTATGTATATAGCACTAATTTCATAGATGGCCAACAATGGCTACCTTAGTAAGGAACTTTCAACTATTTTCATAGCTTGAAGTCGCGACAACTGTTCGTGGTTTTTGGGGAAAAGAATAAAGGTGGACTTAACCTTCAGATATAAATCGTATTGTTATTTCTTGACAATTGCGAGTTACTTTGTGCGCGTTTTTGTCTGTCTGTTTTGCTTTGTGTTTTGTTTCGTCGTTTTTGTTTTCATTTATATTTATCTACTCAATGTGAGGGAACTTGGGGTTATTAAGAAGATTAATGATCATGATTATAATCATATGTGGTTCTTGTGTTGCTTCTTCGTTAGTTTATCTGTCTATAACTTTTATGAATACAGTCGAAGTTCCCTCCAAGTCTACACGCAGGCAAACAGTACTACTTATGGCCGTCTTTATAAACACCTTTTTATTTCCCCTAGAAACTCTGTAGTTTCACTTTTCAGCAACAGATCAGGTCCAATTAGTCTCTGTGTTGGGGAGGCTTGACCATCGTCCTTAAGTGCCATTACATTATCCGTTATTAAATAATTATTCTCCGAGCGTGCGTTGGCTATAGTCATCTCATACCCAACAAGCGCTGGTTAAAAAAGGCAGTAAAGCTAAATTATCTAATATTTAATTTCTTCTTGGAAATTTTGAAGTAAATGGGAAGGAAAAAAGTGAACAGACTGTTAGAAATATAAATCAGGTATTCTGAAAGATGAATTTGCATGTCCCGTTATGTTTCCATCTCGTGATTCTTCATGGTTCCGCAATCCCGTGCAACTATTCCCTCTGAAAAGAATTGGTTAGCCATGTTGGCGACAATGTAAGTTTACGCGATGAAATTCGTTGTACAGGTCTTCCTATAAAATTTACAAAGTGATTGAAAACATTTCTTCAGATTCAAAGTAAGAGAGAATGATTTATCTTTACTCAAATGAAATTATTAAAATTTTGGGTCAATTTTGTGTGATATTTCTTTTAACTTCTTTACTGACTGTTAATGTGTAGTATTTGTATTTAAGCGGAGGATAGCGTCTGATTTTAACTACTTACAACCGCTTTCGGATATTACCGTCAAATTCCGGACGGTACCATCCAATTTCGGACACAGGCGTCTATTTTCGGAGACTTCTTTAGTATCGACTTTCAAATTTTATCGAAAACCGTTCCATTTTATTTTTTTTTATCTTGTTTTTAATCTTTCCAAAAGTTTTAGAGCATACAAGATCCACAAGGTAACTTCAGGGACACAATTAGAATGCGTGGAGTACAAAATCAGTGCGAAAAAACCCCTCTGAGATGTTTGTCATGAGGTACAAGGAAAGAAAAAAATATTCTCCACGTCTGAATTAAAATAAACGCAGGCCATTAAATAGTCCTAGTGTCAAAGTCTCAGCCCCTTCATAAGGTCGCGAAAATCCTCTCTAAATATTAATAAAATACTGTTTGGTGAATAAGCTGTTTAATGTGGACATGTTTCCAAGTCGTAGCTCCTTCGTATGCTGATAAAATCCCCTTAAAATGACACCGAAACAGAATTTTGTCAATTAGCAAAAAGCCCTCTTGAACTAAGGCAAGGTCGAGGTCCAGAAAACTCATCGATGAATTTAATTTTAGATATTCGGGCACTTTTATCTCGGCCGAAAAGAGGATTTCTTGGACATTAAAAAGCGTGTTGGAAAGAACGAGATTAGTTCTGTCTTATGTGTAAGTGTCAAAGTTAGATCTTTTGTGGACTGAAAAATTCCTCTCTGAATATTAAAACAATAGAATTTTGTTAGAAAACTAGGTGTAGCTTGTGGTTCCCAAAAGCTCATTAACGAAATTCTAATGTTTAAATATTCTTGCACTAATATCTCGGCCAAAAAGAGGATTTCCTGGACATTTAAAAGTGTGTTAAAAAGGGCGTGATTAGCTCTGTCTTGTGTACAAGTGTCAAAGTTGCGGCTCTTGTGTGGTCTGAGAAAATCTTCTCTGAATTTTGAAACAGTAGAATTTGGTTAGTGAGAAAGAAAACTAGGGACGCTTCTCATTTGTTAGAGCTGGCCGGTCGGACTGATCCTTCCGTAAATGGAACGCGCTAGTTCTAAGAACTGTTTGAACTGATCCTGGCCAAACTGGCCCCCATAATGAACAAGGGCCGTTCAGTTCTCTCGGTCCTGCGCGGAACGCGGGAAGTGCGCGGGAATTCTACGCGTTGAAAAATGGCGGCAGGTTCGTCGCAGACTTGTGGTGAGTATGATATTTTGTCCATTGTTTTGGTTTAAAATAGGATTGCTTTCCCTAAGATGCTCTTCAAAGGTCTTCATAAGCAAATTTTATTTCATTGTAGAGCTCGAGAACGGGGAAAAACTTATTACGTGGTCGTCAAAGAGCACCAAACTATTGATTTCCTTAAGACGACTGGAAAAAACCGACCTCTTCGACAAAAGCAAAGTACGAAAGAAAGTTGCAAGGGATAAAGTTGGAGAGCAATTAAACGCCAAGTCGTTGGTGAGAGTTGCAGGAGAACAGTGCTCGAACAAATGGAAAAAAATTAGAGGAGAAGTAAGTAAGAAGAAAAAGTAAGAGAGCACAACGCCAAAACGGGGAATTTGAAGACTCAGTGGTGACCCGAAAATTATTCCAGCGGAGACTGTTTCCTCTTTGGTTACAGCATTCACTGGCCGAAGTCGTCGGCCGCGGAGGTAATCGATTTTCTGACGGAATTTAAAGAAGAAAAGCGGAAAGAAGAATAATAAAAGCTCGGCCTTGCTCAAAGGATGCACGAGGAGAAAATGGGTACTATGGTTCGATTCCTGGACATTCTGTCAAAGAAGAGAGCGCTGAGAAACAATTTGCGGCAATGTTGTGAGACGGCAGCTTAACAACCTTATCTTTTTACTATCGGTCAAACAAGTAAGCATTGAGGAATAATCGGCTTTCGTTTTCCCCGTTTATTTTTTGTTGCTCGTGTTGTTAAGTATTTATGGAACAAACTACCTCACAGACTATTTCCACCTTTCGAAAATTTCTCTTTTATACCCATGGAGTGGGAAAGCGCCCAAATATCTTGGCTATTTTCTCGTCGAAAGTATGAAAGGTGTCAAAGGTGAACCCACGCGGTGTGACTTCCAAATTTTGAGCATTTCGTTTCGGTACATGTTGGCATACTATTGTACAAGGTAAACCTTGTTCGAGAAATTTTGGTTTTATCCCAATTTGAAAGTACTTGATAGCAACTTTATAAGTTCTGAACGATTATAATGTTAACGTATTAGATCCCAAGTGCTTGTATTTCTTGCTTGTCAGCGTCTAGCTACCTGACATACGGTCGATCTAAGCTTACTAAAATAAAAATATTACGGCTTTAACCTTTAATTCTGTTTGAGATTTGGAGCTTTTTGAAACTTTTTTTATGTATATATATTATTTTATGCTTTTCTCTACTAATTTATATATTAAGCTCGTGTTTGCCCTTCTCCTGTTTCACAGAAAGCTTGATGAATTTCGAGTTGCATGATACAGGAGTGCGTGTGCATTCCAGACAGTTGTATTTTTGTGTGTGTGTGAGTGTGTGTGTGTTCTGGGAGCAATCCTAGGTGTTCCTGGTGTGATCTACCCCGTAAGCTTTGTAGTCGTCTTTCAATGGAGACTTGTGTTTTGAAACCATTTCCAGGCTGATATGCCTTTATGTTTGCAAATTTTCCATGTATATTCCTTTGTTTTTTGCCAAGGCTATTGATGTACAGGTTTGTTATGAGTTTGTTGATCTCTACAAGGAATGTCATTATATTGTAAAAATATTGTAATGGGAAATCAAAAATTAATCACTTGACTTAACTGGGATTCTTTCTAGCAGTTGTATATATACACAACTTATGACAGTTTTTCATTTCTTTTATTTTTCAATCAACTTTGTTATGTGTCACTGTGCCATGAACAACAACATAAACAACATACTTTATTGACTTTCCCCAAGGGGGCTTTTCAAAGACAATGTTATAAAAATAATCCTATTACAATTAAAAAATCCTATTTACAATTAAAGATGTTTTAAAATCTGAATGTTCTAAAAGAAAAATAAAAGCATACAAATATATAAAATTACAACTCTTTGAGTAATTTGGTCCTTAAACGTTTTTTAAAAACCTTAACGGAGTTGCACAGTTTAAAGGAATTATCCAAAGAGTTCCATAAGTTTACAGTTCTATAGAAAAATGTTCTCTGACCGCTAGCTGTTCTAAAGAATGGAATTTGCAAAAGCTGCGAATTTCTGGTGCTACGTCGACTAACCTCGGCTCGCTTTATGAATTTTGATGAGAGGTAATCTGGAGCCTGACCAGTCATGCATCTGAAGGCCATAGTAGCGTTCCGGTAGTAAAGCTGGCTTTGAACTGAAAGCCAATTTAGTTCCTTGCGAATTGGTGTAACGTGGTCAAATTTACGCGCACCGCTAACAATGCGGCATGCGAAGTTCTGCACCGCCTGTAACTTGTCAACATTACATTTTGAGGTATTTGACCAAACATTGGAACAATAAAATAACCTGCTGAAAACTAAGGAATTAATAATCATCAAAAGTGTACGTTTGTCGAAAACATGCTTGACACGGTTTATTTGGCCGAGGCGGGACATGCACGAGGAAGCGGTCTTAATTATGTGTTCATCGTAAGTTAAATTAGAATCCAAAATCACACCAAGGTCTTGAACGGACACAAGGCAAGCTTGAACGAACACAACTTGGCAATAACTATTTGTCTCAGTTCGTACTTCCATGTCAACAAATTTTAATTCGTGACTGTACAGGAAAACAATTGCACGTACACAAACAATTTGACGATGTAACAGTTTCATTAATTAATTTGCCGACAACTGCGATTAACTGTAATCTCTCGACTAACAATTATTTTAGAACATCTATGGTTTTGTTCGTAGTGTAAAAACCAATATAACAATGATACCTCTTGGCCACTGTATAAGGTCAGTGCAAAGATCCTCAAGAGCTCTTACAACACTACCAATGCACCGCGACACACTTGATATCGTAACGTCGAAACGATCAGATATCTGACGGCAGGTCTCTTGGTTCGCCAGGGCCCACACAGTTACAGCTATCTGTTTTCTTGCTTCAATGGGCCGCTTGCCAAATGCATTTCCCTTTGGGATATGCTCACTTGGTGTTAACAATTAAGCAAGTAGTTCAAACGTCGAGGATGTCATCTCGAAATGGCTCCGGAAGGTATCGCAATGATAGCTAGGAACCGTGATTTCGAAATAGTGCGCAATTCTCGCTAATTTGTGCCGCGAAAAAAATACACTTAATTGAAAAAAACACAAATTCATATTCTACATCATTCATAAAACGAGTTTCCTCCTCCGGCAAAGGAAATTGAGAAAAAATGTTAGCGGAATGTTACAAACTTTCGTCGGTAAATCGGCCATGTAGTTTACATCAGCTCTTGCGTGTATTCCACGCAAGGATCACGTGCGTAATCACTCGAGCCGACCTAGGCCTTCCCATTATGACCAGTGAGAAGCAATTCTTTCGGGCCGGCAAGTTCTAACAAATGGAAAGCGCCCTAGGTTTGGCCATTCAAGTTAGCAAAAAATGTGGATACATAGTATATTCAAGGTATTTTATATCTTGTTTTTTTGCTTTCAGTTTCTATTTCATTTTGCTTTAATAATCACCATCAGGCCGCGCAGAGTTTATTGCATGAGGCAACTTTACATTCTTTGACGAATACGACTACGAAATCTATATTTCCCCGCTGGGAAACAATAATCGTGCGCGAGCCTGCGTTGGCAGTAAAAACGCGGGAACCCTCAACATTTTAGGTCAAATTTCGCTCACGACAATTTGGCAAACTGTGTTTATTATTAAGGCTATTAGAAAGCTTGACGAGGTATGAGCGTCCTAAATATTTCCCTGAAAATTGGAATTCAATTGCACTTGTAGTCAAACTCGTCCCTAAGGTCTGGGTAAATAAGTCTGAATAACATATGCGATCTCAGTTAACTGCGACTAACATTGAGGTATTTTATCCTCAGGGACACAAGGTTATTCGTATCGACGGCACGACATCAAGTACAGCTGAACGGAAGCATGTTATCAACACATTCCAGACTGATTCGTCTTACACATGCTTCCTTCTCACAACACAGGTCTGTGGAATATGCTCAGATCTCTGATATCTGCATCAGTTTTCGGACGGAGACACCAAACCCGGGTACTTGTGTCCGTTTTGGGACACTTCTGGTCAATTTTAAACACTACCGTCCGATTTAAAATACTAGTGTCAGATTTTAGACACCAATATCCCATTTTAGACACTAGTGTCAGATTTCAAGCACTTGTGTCCGATTTTAGAAACATTTTAGATACAAGTGTCCATTTCTGGACACTAGTGCCCGATTTTGAAGAATAGCCTCCGATTTTGGACAATAGTGTCCGCTTTTAGACACTTGTGTCCAAGTTTAGACATTAGTGTCCGATGTAGACTCTAGTATCCGATTTTAGGCACAAGTGTCCGATTTTAGATGTTAGTGTCTTATTTTGGACATAAGTATGCAATTTTGGACTACAGTGTCAGAGTTTAGTCTCCAGTGTCCGATTTTGGACGCTAGAATCCGATTTTGGACAAAATTTTCCATTTTGGGTCGCAAAGCTTCTTCAGGGTCAAATGTACTAACGCTCTATACGTCCACTTTTTAAACTTCTATTGATCAACTTTTATTTATGATCTAAAATATTTGAAATATTTCAACTGCTCCTTGTCTGCAGGTCGGTGGCGTTGGAGTAACATTGACCTCTACCGATCGTGTGGTTATCTGTGAGTATTCAACGTTTGTGCTAATTCCGAATCGATTGTCCGCCAAATAGTCCGGTTTCAAAATATTTAGATGTACCTTTAAACAGTAGACCTTGGTATGATTATTCTAGGGAATGAACTATTGAAACGATCCAATTCTGACATTTTGAAATCCAGTGTGAGACAGAGGAATCAACCCCCACAAACTTTGGGGTTTACTTCTCGGACTCGCTTTGACACTTTGTTGTTTCACGCCAAATTTTTAAATCTTCAAATTAGACAGACGGTATTTCAAAATAAATCCGTTCAAACATGGCGCATTATTGACAAATAATTCTTGTTTCCTCAGTTGACCCGGGCTGGAATCCCGCCTCAGATGCTCAAGCCGTAGACAGGGATAATACCAGGAAGGTTCTTTTTGGGAAGGTTTTTTTTTTTTTAAAGGGGTATGGGGGTAAGGTGCGACTTATCGAGGGAATGAGGCGATTAGTTTAGACATATTTCCACCTAAGGGGGGTGTCTGTTTGAGTTTACGAATGATCAGGAACTTACTGTTATGACGGGAATTGCGTTATTTTTGAACCAGGGGAAACAAATTTATTCCGTTGTGCAAACGCATTGTAAAAAAAAACCTGAAATGCATCACGGTAAGGACTTACTCAACCACAAACTTTTGATACGTTTTAATATTCAGTGGAAACTTGTATGTGTTCTTTTTGGTCGTTCGTTGCGTAAGTGTCTCGCGCACTGTTTTGTATGTGTTCTGTTGACTGTTTGCAACGTTAAAGTCTCGCGCACTGTTTTGTATGTGTTCTGTTGACTGTTTGTCACGTTAGTGCCTTGCACACTGTTTTGTATGTGTTCTGTTTGATTGTTTGTCACGTTAGTGTCTTGGCACTGTCTCGTGTGTTCTGTTTGATTGTTTGTTACGTTAGTGTCTCGCACCATTTTGTATGTGTTCTGTTTGATTGTTTTTTACGTTAATGTCTCGTCCATTGTTTTGTATGTGTTCTGTTGACTGTTTGTTACGTTAGTGCCTCATGCACTGTTTTGTATGTGTTCTGTTCACTGTTTGTTACATTAGTGTCTCACACACTGTTTTGTATATGTTCTGTTGACTGTTTGTCATGTTAGTGCCCTGCACACTGTTTTGTATGTGTCCTGTTTGATTGTTTGTCACGTTAGTGTCTTGCGCACTGTTTCGTGTGTTCTGTTTGATTGTTTGTTAGGTTAGTGTAGTAGCAAACCTTTATTTAACTAAGGTAATCCCTTCAGAATACTTAAAAGTATATCTGTTATCAATAGGAGCCCTCGCACTGTTTTGTGTGTGTTCTGTTTGATTGTTTTTTACGTTAATGTCTCACGCACTGTTTTGTAAGTGTTCTGTTGACTGTTTGTCACGTTAGTGTCTCGTGCACTGTTTTGTATGTGTTCTGTTGACTGTTTGTTACGTTAGTGTCTCGCGCACTGTTTTCTATGTGTTCTGTTGACTGTTAGTCACGTTAGTCTCTCGCGCACTGTTTTGTACGTGTTCTGTTGACTGTTACATTGGTGTATCGCCTACTGTTTTACATGTGTTCTGTTCACCGTTTCTCACTTTAGTGTTTCGTATGTGTTTTATTGACAGTTTGTTACGTTAGTGTCTTGCGCACTGTTTTGTATGTGTTCTATTGACTGTTAGTCACGTTAGAGTCTCGCGCACTGTTTTGGATGTGTTCTGTTGACTGTTGGTCACGTTAGTGCCTCGCTAACTATTTTGTATGTGTTCTGTTTGAGTATTTGTTGCATTAGTGCTTCGTGCACTGTTTTGTATGTGTTCTGTTGACTGTTTGTTATGATAGTGTCTCGCGCACTGTTTTGTATGTGTTTTATTTGAGTATTTGTTGCTTTAGTGCCTCGTGCACTGTTTTGTATGTGTTCTGTTTACTGTTGGTCATGTTAAGGCCTCGCGCACTATTTTGTAGGTGTTCTGTTTGAGTGTTTGTTACGTTAGTACTCTTTTGTACGTGTTTTATGGACTGTTTGTTATGTTAGTGTCTCGTGCACTGTTTTGTATGTGCTCTGTTTGATTGTTTGTTATGTAAGTGTCTTGTGCACTGTTTTGTATGTGTTCTGTTCACTGTTTGCTACGTTATTGTCTCGTGCACTGTTTGGTATGTGTTCTGTTGTTCGATTTTTTGTTACGTTAGTGTGTCATGCATTGTTTTGAATGTGTTCTGTTGGATTGTTTCTCACGTTAGTGCCTCGGGCACTGTTTTGTATGTGTTCTCTTAAATGTTTGTTACGTTAGTATGTCGCACACTGTTTTATGCGTGTTCTGTTGACTGTTTGTTACGTTAGTGTCTTGAACACTGTATTGTATGTGTTCTGTTGACTGTTTGTCACGTTAGAGCCTCGTACACTGTTTTGTATGTGTTCTGTTGACTGTTTGTCTCGTTAGTATCTCGTGCACTGTTTTGTATGTGTTTTGTTCACTGTTTGTCACGTAAATGCCATGCGCACTGTTTTGTTTGTGTTCTATTTGATTGCTTGTTACGTTAGGGCCCCGTGCACTGTTTTGTATGTGCTCTGTTTGATTGTTTGTTACGTTTGGGTGTGGGGCACTGTTTTTTATGTATACTGTTGACTTTTGTCACGTCAGTGTCTCGCGCACTGTTTGGTATGTGTTCTGTTGACTGTTTGTTACGTTAGTGCCCCGCGCAATGTTTT